CCCCCCTTCGTTTCAACACCACTGTAGGGGCCCGGGGGTCAAGAGTTGACCACGGGAACACTTGTGTCAGTCTGCGCGGGGCGCCTATGCTTCTATGCTGCCGTCATCTACGGCGAGTTTGGTTTGATCTGGCACACGATATATAGGCTCAATTTCACATCTTCATATCTTTCCGCTTTGGCGACGCACACAAGACGTTTCCCATCCTGGCAGCGGGTGGGTGCCTGCTCCGCATTCCGTACTCGTAGGCAAGGTAGACACGGACGTGCCAGCCCCCGGGGGCCGCGAGAAGCTCTTGTCGTCGCAGGGCCTGGGGGCTCTTCTCGCTTGGGTACACGGCACACGGCGGCTTTTGCTGCTCGCCGCCGCATACATGGCCGGCCGCGGTGACGGCAACGACCGCGACGGCTCTCGGATGGCCATGGTCTGCGCACTTTGTGTGAGTGGAGTTCGGCGAAGCAAGCAAAGCAAGGCAAGGCAAGGCAAGGCAAAACAATACAGTAATGCTGCCAAGTCTGCAGTGTCATGTACCCGTATCCGGCCTCATCACCAGCCGGCCACAGCCCCGTATGTACAGAGTATACATGCATCTATGCACGCATGTATGCCCCGTCATTCGCCATCAAGGGCTCCACGTCCAAATACCGCCCCGGCATCAACAGAACTCGGGACCTTTACACGGTTGCATGGCAACTGACCAATCTCGCGTCGAGTTGGAAACCACGAGTCTGCGACGCGAGACTGGACGGACCCCTGATCAACGGCCCAGACTTGGCTGCATCCAGCACCGAGCAGACATCTCATCCTTCGCATTCGCCCCACAACGCTCCAAACGTCTACTGACTAACGTTAGCTAGTGCTCGCACTGGAGTCAGGCGCCAGGGATGGCCGAGTCGTGGAGGAAGAGGAGGAAAACTTCCCCCCGGACCGACAAGAGCGAAGGCCGCCCGCCCTCCAACACATGCCACGCAACGTATAACTACACGGGATCCCGAATACGGCGGCATTAAGCTTCGTCCCGACCCTCGCCTCCCCGTCAAGCGTTCCTGGTCGTGATCCTCAGCGCAAGCTCGGCCGAATCGTGCCGCCTCTCCCCTCCCTCGACCGCGCCATGTCTCGCCTTTCCGTCAGAGCCGCGGTAACGGCCGTGATGCGGGAAAAGGGCAGATGGCCGCTCGTGCGGCGCCTGCGCTGGCTCCGCGTCGGCCAGTACGTGGTCAACGTGGTCGTCGTCGCCATCAACGGCTACCTGGTCTCCGTGCTGGCGGCGGCATCGGCCGGAGACGCAGTCGGCGTCACTGTGGCCATGGCGGTGGTGAGCGCCCCCCCCCTTCCGCCGGCGACGCGAAACCACTCCCCGTCCCTGCTGACCAACGGCTCGCCAGGCCGCCCTGGGCTTCGTCCTCACCGCGCTGCAGCAGTGGCTCGGCACGCGCCTGGCCGGCTACCGGAGGCGCTCGTGCCTCGCCGTCTTCGTCCTCTTCGACCTCGTCTGCACGCTGCTGCAGCTGCCCCTGGTTGCTGTCCTCGCCACCGCCGGCCTGCCGGCGAACTGCCACGGCATAACGTCCGGCAGCGACCCCGACGTCTGTGAGTTTGCGCGGTTGCGACGCCGTCGCCGCCAACGTGTCGTGTGCGCACGCTGACGAGGAGCCCACGTAGTCGGTCCCTCGGGCCGTGGGCTGACGCCGAGATACTGCGCCGTGCCAAACGCCACGTTTTGGCTGTCCATGATCCTGACGTACGTCTTGCTCCCTTTCTCTCCTCCTCCCGCCCCGTCCCACGCTGCGCCGCCGTCATTGTGCTGAAACGGCCCCGGCTGCCCAGGCTGTCGTACACGTACACCATCAGCCTCATTGTCCGGCAGATTGCCGCCGTCAACAGGGAGGCAAAGCTGCTCCGGCAGGAGCAAAAGGACAACGAGAGCAACGAGAGGATCGCCGCCATCATGGCCGCGCACCGCGCCCCCCCGCGGACGTGGAGCCGCAGGCGGCCGCACCCCGTCGAGACGGTCGACCTGGGCGCCGAACCCGTCCGGCCCGCGCCTCCTCGTGATCCCGACGCCGTTGCCGTGCCGCCGCCGCCCGCCGCCCCCGAGGAGCAGCCCCCGCCGTATATTTCCGTCGAGCCGCGGCGCCATCTGGCCGCGAGCCTGGGCAAGAACTAGCCCCTCGCGACGCGACTCCCGTCGTGCAATGCGCAAAGCCGCACAGGTCGGGGCGGCAGCGTCAACGGTCAACCCCCGTACCGCACGGGACGCCGTTGCCGGTGCCGCCAACGACCCCCCCAGCACAGCTTAGTCCTAGCAGAAACTAATGCAATTTCGTACCGCACCAGGCGCCGCGCCCAGAAAGCACTCCCACCCCCCTTGCCCTCTGGGCTCAGACTCCACGGCCCAGCCGGTCGTGTACCCAAACAACTGCGAGCCCGTCATGTCAATCGGCCCCAGAACGGGCCGTCGGAATCGATGTGGAGCAGCCGTGCTCCGTGCCAGCAAGCCAAGTGCTCTGCGTCCTTGTGTCCCGAGCTCCAGGAAAATCGTGGACTGGACGTTTCAGCCGCAAACGAACTGGGCGGACTAGCCTGCCCGCGCCGTCCGTACAAGTGTTGCGATGCTTTCGCACGGCTCAACGATGAGATATTTCCCAAGACAATTTCAACACACTGACTGTTGAAGCGGTGAACTTTGCGACAAGTCAGCCCCGTGCGGAGCTGTAGCGCTTGCGTCATTTGGATCCACGTGCTCCAGACACATGTAGCGGGTGGTTACTAGGTGGTGTGCATGCCGCTGCTGTGTTTTCTATTCACGGCGGACACGATGTTGGAACTGTGTGTATTGCACGCTTGTATGCTATGTAAAGTACAGAATACTTAGGTACATATTGTAGGCAGTACGAGCCCTAAAGTATACTCCACCATCCGACCCAGCCGAGTGACTGCAATTGGTTGTGGAAATCTAACACACGATGCTCTCTTTTGTAGCTCAGCCAAGGCCTGACGACAGAGTCCATAATGTAGTTGCTGCGTGTGACGTGTTGACGCCGCCCCCTTGCGGGCCCCCACTTGCGCACATCCGTGGGCCAACTTTCGGCGCGGAAGTGGCGTGGTCGCATTTCAATCGGCCCCACCACCCATCGCCGGCCGACCCGTCGGTTGGCCTCGACGTCCCTTGCTTGGCCTGCGACTTGTTGCCAACTTGCCCTCGCACACACAAACACACAGGAGGAGACGGGAGAAAGCGCAGCACGCCGGGCCAATTTCCCCAACTAGATCCAAAACGCTCAAAGCTGCACACGAGTCAGCTCCGCCATGCAATTGCTGCCTTTTATATCCGCCAGTCTAATCATCTTTATATATCAGTTGTCTCTCATAGGGACTCGATCCCTGCCTATGAAAAGCACAATTTCTCACTTTTCGACACTTGTAGCAGCCAATACGTGATACATGCATTCATCCTTGTACGAACTACCAATCTTTTCATCTTCCTCAGCTGCATGATTCATCAGTTTGTCCACGGATGCTTAACACGGCTCAGTTCCGCGTAAACTAGACATTCCTACAAAGCGTTTCCATTTGATTGAATAATAGATGCTATCATGATACACGCGGTCTTGTCCTCATAATTTCTTTGCAGTTACAACCGGATTTGCAGCCTTCTACAATTACGCCGCCTTCCAAAAATTACCATCACATGATTTTTCTTCTTGAACAAGCAAATATCTATCCCGCAGCAATTCTTTGTAAGTACTCACCTCACCACTACTCCCGTATATTAGTTCAAAGAGTCCCAAACATACTCCTCTCCCATTCGTTCGTGACCTGCGGGGGTCCAACGCCAAACACCGTGTCGGAGCGCCGATTCGACGGCCTCACGCTTGACTGGCTGAGGTGCAACGGCTTGGCGACACTGGGCAGCCTCACAACTGTTATCAGTCCAACCAAACTGCACGTCATCAGCCCACCAAGTGCGAAGTTCAAGCCCGACGTGAAGGCGGACGAGCACGGAGCTGATGTTCTGGTATCCATCAAATGTGACCGGGGTAAGAGAGCAAGGGGAATTAGGGAAGCTTGGACATGCTGGCACACGCTTGACTTCTGACCATGCAATAGACATTTCATTTGAGGCAGCCTGATTATATGTATAAGCAGAAACTTCGAACTCGCACCACTGCTCAGCGGCTTGGGCAGCACATCCGAGGTTCGCGCTGTACAGGTTGAATCGAAAGCAAGGATTCGGGGAGTTGGGTCCAACACCAATCTCGGCTGTGTCGCTGCACCCACTCAATGCAGGGCCAGTCAGGGCGGGAGGGACGAATTCCACGAGTTGACCCCCTGATGAAGCCGTATATCCTTGAACAGATTGGGATGACAGTGGTGTTACGAGGAACCCTTCCGAGAACCAGAAATCTCCGGCGGGGTTGAAGAGAGGACCTGGCTTCACATTATCAAACTGGAAACAATCAGCACTTCAATTTTAAATAGGGCCCGACCGCACGCTCACATTTACTGTAGTATTGCCCACTTTGCCGCCAGTTGGGCACATTGCCGTGGCAGGGGCAGGAGAGGGAGCAACAACGCCGGCGTCTGAGGGATTTGAAGTCGGATCCACGGAGGGAGAAACCATTGCTTCACTCTCAGTAAAAGGTTGAAGGCTCGCAGAGGTCGAGTTGGACCAGCTAGCACTGAGGGCAGCAGGCCTATCGGCGTGTTAGTAAAGTTGATCCCAACCAAGAAAGTAAACAGCCAATTACATACCCTCTTGGATGTTGGACAAGGCGCTTCAACACCGAGGCCTTGGCAGGAACAGTGACAGTGGTGAGAGTAGTCACAGGAAACTTCATCGTATAAGTTGTGGTTGGCTCAGGAATGACATTAACCCAGGTACTTGTTTGGACGGAGGTTGCAACCGGCCCGACCTGGGGATTGACCAAGGTTGGCAAGGCACCATATTCAGCAGGTGAGACACCAGCTGGCTGCCAGCCATATGCACCAGGCATGCCTTGTGGTGCAGGACCGGATACAGGCGTTCCATTATTGTCGGCACTTCCAGGATTGCCGTACACGGATAAAGGTGCGGCAGTGATGACCGACAAAACAGGAATACCGCCTGGGCCGGTGACAATGGTGAAAACAGAAGGTTTCGCGCCATTATCAGTTCCAACCGGCAAACCTCCAACTTCAGAGCTGATCCCTGGCGGGAAAAGTACAGTAGGATTGGTTGGGATACCCGTTGCGTATTCTTCCAAAGCAGGTGGAATAGACGAACCAGCCCCTGGGATGGTCACAGAGTTGGTGGCTCCAGATGGCACCGCCTGCGGCTGGGGGGTGATGACAATAGTCTGAACAACAGGCGAAGCGACTCCATTCGGTCCAACAACGGTGAGGGTAACAGCAGTGGTGACTGGGCTGAGAGCAACAGTGCCCGACGGGGTAATGCCTTGGGGGAGGTTACCCAAACCCGAAGTGACAACAGATGGAAACCCAAGGGAGGTGACGGGGACAGTAGCACCTACTGGTCCCGGTGTCTGTGGTGTCAGGACGATTGTTTCGACGACAGGAGTTGCAACACCATTCGGCCCAAGAACGTCAACAGTAACGCAGGCAGTGTAGCCTGCGCCAGTTTGTGCGGGCACAGTAACACCTTGAGGAAGCTCGTTGTCTTGGCCTTCAGGAACAATCGACGGAAGACCAATGATAGTACCAGTTGGCAACAAATTGCTCTTGGGCATCACAATAGTGGATTCAAAGACAGTAGGAAGTCCATCTGTACCAAGAAATGTGTACGTCGTGCAAGTGGTCAACCCTTCAGATGACATCTCGACAGAGCCAAACTGGCTCGGAGTAGCAGTAATCTGTCCCGGAACGCCTGTGACGACTCCGGACGGGGCTACGGTAGTAACAGGAGCAGCGGAAGGTCCAGGCACCAGGAAACTAGTTTCGACAACAGTAAGCCTGCCATCGGCCCCGACGACAGTGTAAGATGAGCGGGCGGTGATTGCCCCTTCACCAGGCACAGGCGATCCAGGAACATTCGTGGCTTGTATGGAGATGCCATTTGGGAGATTTTGGGGCAGCTCGGTGACCAGAACAGCGGATGCAGGAATTACCAAGGTAGACTCAATCACAGTTGGCCGGCCATCAGGTCCTATGACAGTATAGCTCGTACAGCTAGTGATGGCCTGGCCGTTTGAAGGCGCTTGAGTAGCCCCTGGGGGGACAGAGATACCAGTTGGCAAAGCAGCAGAAGCATCAGTGACAGGGCTACTTTCGATGACCCAGGTGGAATGAACCACAGTGGTGATTCCATCGGGTCCAAGGACAGTAATGGCAGTGGTGGCAACGATTCCTGGCCCAGTGTAAACAGGAGTAGCGCCGTTTGCGGTGATAGTTGTGACAGGAGTTTGCTGACCAAGAACCGTAGAAACAGCTTGAGGAGAAACGTTGCCGTCCGGTCCAACGATGGAAGCAGAAGTCGCCGCTGGAGCACCGCCATTGCCTTGATTGGTGTTGATGACTGATTCTAACACTGTTTCTTTGCCATCGGTGCCGGTGACGGTCCAGCAAGTCACAGCAGGCCCTGAGCCAGAAATTGCTTCAGCTGCAGCGGTGCCAAGAGTGATGGTGTGCTCAGAGACAACAGTAACAAGACTTTGAATGCCATTAGAGCCGGTAATCCAATCAAGTTTCGTATCTGTGACGATTGTGTAAAGGTTTGGAGGGTGCACTGCAGTGCTTCTGGCGCCACCGTCGCCGCCATTGGGGTTGGCAGTCACTTGGCCAGTGTAATCAGTCATGTACAACGAGTTTGATGGAGCATTCTGCGCAGTACCTTCGGTGGCACTTCCATTATCTCCAGGACTTTTGACAGAGACTGAGCCAGGAGTGTCAGGTGTAGTAGAGCCCGAAGGAGATGACGCATCAGAGTGGGTGGACTCTGAAGTTGCAACGGAAGTAGGATTGCTTGCATCAGAACCAGTACCCCAGAGATTTGAAACGGTCACGGTAGTGAAGATCTCGACAGTAGGTTGGTTTCCATTGGCAGAATTCAAAGGAGAAACTTGAATAGTCTGATAGCCAGTGTGATCAGGAGTTCCATCGGTGCCAGTGATTGCCGCAGGAGACTCATTGCCATTTGAGACAGGGCTAGTAGGGTAAACGGTAACAAATACAGTCGTTGTGCCCTGCATCTGACAGGATTGCCCGTTGGGCAGGCCATTGGAGTTGTCGCCACTGCTAGTAATCACGACTGTGCTCTGTGGGGAGTTGACTTGGCCAGCAGAACTTCCGGTATCATTGCTGTCATCTGGGGCTCTGTTTTGTTCAGTCAGCCAAGAATAACAACCGTAGCACAGTGAACTTGCCCATAGTTAGCTTGGGAGGCAGCTTGATACAGAAGACTGCTGGCCACCACGGCCCCAAGATTGAGGGAGGCACGCATGGCGGGCGGCGGATTGAAGATGCTCAAACAAGATGAAGCCGTGGACAGACTGATAATTCAAACAATGACTGCTGCGGAGATTTGGGAATCAAGAACAGAACTTGATGTGAAGGTAATGGCGAGCGTACAAAATGGCCGAATGAAAGGGAAATAGTGTTGAGAGCGCACAAGAATCGAGGTGTCGAGACGAAGAGGGGAGCAGAGTAGAAGAGTTCAGGAACAGGAAAAACGGCAGGCCAGGATCAAATTTTCCAGCCGTGGAAAGTGAAAGAATATGGAAGTGCTATCGACACTACCTCTCGTGCCGTGTTGCCGATATTTGTCCACGGAGGAAAGAGCGGGTGGACAACTGCCAGTGTCGGGCAGGCCGTTTCGTGGTAGAAATCGCCACCCAAAACAACATCCAACCTCACTCGATTCTGCAGTATCTATAGAAGTAAATTTGTGATGCTGATTATTTCTTCTGAAGTTGGATATGTGAGGCGAAATGCATGTTGCCAAATATCGCTGCAATGAGATATCAAAAAATGTGCTGGCCAGCACAACAGTTTTTTCTTTCATGACCTTCTCTATGCACTCGAGGTTGCGGAACAAGCAGCTGCCGCAGCCCAGGGCTCCTTCTCTTCAACACAATGCATGGAAACCCGAAGTTTAAGGCTATTCTTAGCCCACAATCTGCGCACAGTCCACAGTTGTCACGCCATTATCACAGGCGCAGATTGGACAGAAAGAATCGGTCCTATAAAACTACGGCAATAAATGCCGAGCCAAGCGTCAAGTTTGATTATCCGATGAACAGCTGTGAGGTCCGTCAAGGAGTGCTAGCCGATTCGAGCACAGAAGGGAGTCATGTGCGCACGTCCCCATAGAAGCGCAGGCCGGTCTCTGGTCAGCCTCGAACGAAGAGCAGGCTGCGAATGAGACAGGTCCTAATTTTTCAGCGACGAAGCCACAGAAAGATCGAGCACAAAGGCATGCAACTCGAAAGAAGGATCAATACCTACATCATTATGCCATGTGATCGGAGTAATCAGGCGCAGATTGGGTCGGGATGTCCTCATTGACAATAAGCGAATCAACTCCCGTCCTTTTTCGCTCGTCCTCGATTCTTGCGGCCCACAGCGCGGATCCCGTCGTTGTCGTCAGGAGGAAGAAGAACGAAAGAATGGGTATCAGCTCAAGAATCATTGCGACAGTGCCGAACCAGACATAATCCCAGGTCAAGTTCTTGATCTCTCTCTTTTGTTCTTCTTTTGAAAGCCCGCGAAGCTGGAACCACCGATAATGGGAAAGCTTGCCAAGTCTGGTGCCCGTGATGACGATGAACGCCGGCGTACCAACGTACGGAACAAGGTTGAGTGGCAAGAAAACAACCAACTCCACAATCTGTATGATGCTCCAGGGTTGATAGATTGCAGGGCTTGTTGGTTTTCCAAGCATCTTGACAGCATTTGGTGCTTCGTCGAAAAGAATACGGTGAGGCGAAACGAGCCCCTTCAATCCCAGCTTGATGAAAGTCGCCTAAAAAGCGGATTAGCCGACGAGCAGGTCGCTAGCGAGTATCGCATCGCAACAGCTTACGTCAAAAACGTCCACTCGACACTCATCAACAAAGAACCCCTCGAAGAAACCCTGTATGATGATTAATCCTTCGCCTAACGTCAGAACGATGGCGTTGATCCATGCTCCCCAACCGTGAAAGATGGCGAGAAATAGAAACTGCGGCAAAAAGGCGAAGGAGAAGAGAATTAAATAGACGAAGAATGATATCAGCGACAGGGGCAGGAGTCTCCCACTGAAAAGAGGCCAAAATTCTTTGTTCCGTAGAAAATACCAAATACCACGCAAAGGGTATGAAGCGGCGATACCGGCCCGTTTGGCATAGTTGGTCGGTCGGGACTTGGTAAGCGAGCGCGCATCTATGCCAGTGGACTGGCTGCCGTACAGACTCGTGGAAAAGCTGCCTTGCGACGGCATCATGAGTTGCGGTGCAGGCAACAAAGGTCGGTGGATTGAAGCCGTCGTGGTGTCGCCAGAAATGCCAGGGCATCTTTTGGGTACTTCGGCGTACGTCACACCGTCGGACGTGGGGCAGCTCAAGCATCCGGTTCGGATTGGACCAGCCGAGAGCAAAGGCAATTAATTGGCCTGCAGATCCGTTCCAAGCGGGTTACCCTGGGGCTCGGAGGCATGTGATGATTGCACATGCCAAAAATGCCGTTCTGTTCATGGAAACTTGCCAACAACAGTACACAAATTAGAGTAGCGTTTAACACTTCCCAAAATTTTGTGACAGAGATATATCAGCCCGAAAGAAACTTTGTAGTCCGCAAGCAAGTTCAAGGCCTAAGGTACAACTAATACTCTGTGAGGCTCCCCATCCAAATCACGCAACATCAAGCGGCGTTTCAGTGTACCCAGCAATGCCTAACAAGATAACTGCTTTTATTCACTTGATTTCAGAACACAGAAGATGCATTTTGCGGTCACAGATGCAGTGAACAGCGAGAAAAAATAAGCAGCCAGAACAACACGTTTTGTTTCAAGCTGCTGATTGTGCCAACACCAATGCCCGCCGCAACCTTGGCCGGGTGGAGGTTCAAAGCATGATTGGCCAAGACTCAATCCTCAACCATGTCGACCCCCGAGCACCCAGTCGCATGACCGAGATCCGCCGGGGCACCACTCTGACCGCAAGCGTCAGTCTTGGCGTCCCGTCCGGCAGCAACGGCCTGTGAAACCCTGCGATGATTGTGTCTTTCGCCTTGTCTGCCCAGTGTGCACTATATTTGAAGTAGACAGTGTTGTATTTAATCACATCTGATTAGAAGTGCGCCTGCAGATATATATCTTTTTTTTCTTTTTTTTTTTTCGGTGGGAGGGGGGGAGCGCATGATTGTTCTGCCGCTCAGATGCAAGTCTGCTGCCCTGTGCGCCGTGCGGGTCGGGAAGCTTTGACAGCAGTGCAAGCTCCATCACCTGGGCATGCCAAACCTGCCAACCAACAGTCTGCACTTTGGGACACGAGAATTATTGGCGGCAAACTCCCTCAACATCTCAGCATCTACTTGACTAACATGTAACCACAGCGAAATCATGGACTCACGTCCTTGATCCTGGAATCGTTGTTTTGTGCCTCTTTTTACTTTTCTTTTTTCACCACCACTTGGTCAGTGTCGCCTGTGCCACATTGGGGCTTACCCACGGGTTGCCTGCTTGGTTAGCCGCCTTGTGCACAGCCACAGCTGCCAGGGTCAATGCAAGCTTTTGGCAACATTCCATGTCTTCAATGTTGCATCATCATTGCTACGACTTCAGGTGGCGCTGCGATATCATGTCTTTGCATCCGCCTTTGACCCCGAATTTTCCGAGTCAAGAAAGGGAAGCAACCCATTCATATATCTCCAGCTCGTGCCTAGCAATGAACTCACTGCTTGGTTCTACGAATTGTTGTATCGGCCCGGAACAGCTCATCGTCTCGCATACCGATGCGACTTGACTTAACCAAGCATGGGTACGCCGCCTGCGAATCTTTGATGCTTCGAAGTTTGCTCCATGTTTCGAAGTGGGCAATGGAGTTTGCTCACAATGTGGCATCCTCCTGTCAATTTTATCACCCTCCATTGTACGTCAACAGCGAAAAGCGTTGAGAGCGTCGCAGTGTCCCAAGAAATCGCCCTGCTGATAGCCGCAGATGCTTGGATACTCTTCACGGGACTCCTGGCGTTCCCGGTCCTATATACGTATGGAAACCTGGCAGCCATTGATGCTTACTTCTTCGGAGCGAGCGCATCAACTGAATCCGGACTAAACACGTAGGTTTTCTCCTGACGGACAAAAGATGGCGGAAAGAAAAGGCATCAGGTGTCTCAAGTTCTTAACACGGAATCTGCAGCGTCGACATCAAAAATCTAGCGCTCTACCAACAGTTGTACCTGTATTTCATACCCATGCTTACAAATATATGCTTCATCAACATTGTCGTTGTCGTAGTCCGCCTCCACTGGTTCAATCGACACCTTGACAGGTTCGGTAAGCTTCCCATTTCCAATGAGATTCGCGCCCCGTTCCCGACATGTCCAGACGCTCTCACTTGCTGATACTTTCCGTTGCTGGTCAGGTCCTGCATTGATTCGCGCGAAAAGGCGCAAATCCGGCAACTGGGAGAGACATTCAGATCTCGAAGCCGCCGAACCCACCGAAGCCTCAGAATCTACGGCCTCGACTGCGATGGCTCGTATCTCTAGTCATGTAAACGATCGACAGGACAACCAGCAAACCAACTTGTCGACTGCAAATAACAACGATGGCACCCACGAGGCTCAACCGGAGCTAGAAGGAAATGACCATGACCCTGAGTTGTCATCAGGACCGACTGATAAACAAACCCAGCGGATTGCCTTCCATCCATCAGTCTGGAACAAGCCTACGCATACCAGAAAAGACAGTACCCTCTATATTCCTGGCCCGCGAGAACGAGACAGAGGTTTGTCAGATGGCCCCCTACACACGCCGTGGATGCTCGTTCTCATGCCGTTGTACCTGTTTCAGGAGAGCCGATTGTAGAGTTGGGAAATAGGAGACCCAGCGGTTAGCCTATGACTCCCTGGATGCTACCACTACCCAAACCAACATGTGCTTACCGGAGTCACAGACGCCGATGCGACATCCACTCGTCGCCCAAGCGATACAGACCCAGAAGGTTTCCGGCGGCGCTTCTCAAGAGCCAGGTCGTTTGACAGGGCCACCGGTGCAGCCGCGTCAATATTCGTGATTGGGAAAGCCCCAACCGTCTCGCGCCTCTCGAGAGCCCCGACATTGCACCGAGCCGCAGCCGACCAGATGCCTTATCTGTCTAGGAGAGCAACCATTGGGAGGAACTCACGGTTTCACAATCTGACCAGGCGAGATCGCCAGGAGTTGGGCGGAATCGAATACAGAAGTCTACAGCTTTTGCTCAAAGTCGTCGTCGCCTACTTCTTTGGCATGCACATATTCGGAGCCATCGCACTTGTGGGCTGGATCCTGCATGCCGATCCAAAGTACGACGTCTACCTAGGGCAATGTGGCCAGAACAGAATTTGGTGGGCATTTTACACAGCCCAAAGCATGATGGACAACCTTGGATTCACCCTCACTCCTGACTCCATGATGTCATTTCGTGAGGCAGAGTGGCCTCTGTTCGTTTCTACCCTCCTAACCCTGGCCGGCAACACTTTATATCCCGTCTTCCTTCGGCTCATCCTCTGGATCATGTCAAAGGTAGTGGCCCGGACATCCGCCACGCAAGAATCTCTGCAGTTCCTGCTCGACCACCCGCGGCGCTGTTACATGCTCCTCTTCCCGCGGGGCACCACCTGGGCTCTTTTCGGCATCATTCTTGTCCTCAACTTTATGGACTCATTTTTCATTCTCATTCTCGACTTGAACAACCCCCAAGTCACTTCTTTGCCTCCGGGACCTCGAGTCATGGCCGCCATTTTCCAAGCCGGTTCATCGCGGCACACGGGTGCGTCCGTGTTCAACCTGGCCACCGTCAGCCCCGCCGTTCAGTTCAGTCTGCTCGTCATGATGTACATATCCGCCTTTCCGGTAGCGTTGAGTATTCGGGCCTCCAACACTTATGAAGAAAAGTCATTGGGCATATACCAAGCGGAAGCAGAGGAGAATCTTGACGAGGACAGTGCACGATCCTACCTCGGTCGCCATCTGCAGTCACAGCTGAGCTTTGACTTGTGGTATATATTTCTGGGTATATTCATTTTGAGTATTTCGGAGGCCGACAAGATTGTGCATCTGCAACAACCTGTATGATCAAATCTTTCCTCTTCTCTCCGTCCGATCTCTGATGCCTCTCGCTAACGGTTCCAGTCATTTGGACTGTTTCCCATCTTCTTCGAGGCTGTTTCAGCGTAGTAAGTTTTCCCACAGGACTCCAGGGCACGGGAGCCGATTTCTTTCCTTCACCCTGCATTCCCTTTTTTTCCCAGGCGGGAGTTTGGGAAAGGCCACTAATTCTCCCCTCTACCAGTGGCAATGTTGGGCTGAGCTTGGGGTATCCGAACACCAACGCATCACTCTCAACCGAATTCTCGACGTTGGGAAAACTCGTCATCTGCGCCATGATGATACGAGGAAGGCATCGAGGGTTGCCTTACGCGTTGGACAGGGCTATCATGCTTCCGGACGAGCATCTTTTGGGTGCTGCTACCCGGGAACGGGCGACGGAGGAGGGCGAGCAACAGTCGCAGAGATGAAGCGTTGCACCTCGAGGCTGCTGTTTCTTCGGTTGGGCGCCGGGCCGGGCATCAAGGCGCGGAGGCCCGAGGCATCAAGCCCTCATCGCCTCATTCATCCAGTCGGGCGACACACGGGCGTCCTCTTGTATACATAGCCCTCGTCGGCCGGGTCCGTCAGATTGAGGAAACAAGACTTTTGCACACAATACTATCTTACATGTGAATAAGTGTCTATGCTCTCAACAGTGCCGAAGGCGGCCGTCCGTTGCAACGCAACCTGCCGGATTAAAGAGGCGGGCAGGATTGCAGGAGCGGCCTGGGAGCCCGATGACATGATTACCGCTTTTGTTTGCGGATTCCGTATTCGCCAGATGTGATTCGTCGGACGGCTCGTGGACCGACGTCGCATGGACATGGACACAAGCGGAATGGGTGGCATACCACACCCGTTTTTGGGGTGACACACGAGCCCGACTGCATCCGAGAAAGCAGACAAAGGAAGTGTCACTGGTTTGCATCCCCAAGGGTGGGCGCTGGCAGCACTTTGTCGCACGAGCTGTCACGGACGGCGGCTGGACGACGGGCAGAGCAAAGACGGACGCTCGTCAGTCGGCATGTCGTTTCCTGATCATTGTTGCCTATTCACGCATCACAGTTCGCGTGGCACAAGAAAGTGAAAGCACTAAAACAGGACTCTATCAAGGAGAGGAGAAGTAAAAAGGTAAAGTCTAGGCCACATCCGCCCCCTAAGTGCTCGAAGCCGCAGTGCAGTTTTCGAACGCCTTCGATCCTCACACTCGTCCCCTGACCTGTCTGTCCCCAGGGAAGTCCACAATTCGCCTCAGGTCAATTCAAGCCTTCACGTCTGCCTCGCGACTTTCCAGCCATTCGGCCAACGCGTTCCCTTGCGACTGGCCGGCCGTTTGGACATGAAGGTTGTCCATCCCTCCGCGTACTTCTTCCACCGATCCCATTTCCATCCGACTCTCCATGGTCCGCAACTTGCTCTGCAAAAGCGGTAGGCTGGCAGCCGTTGGTTGCTTCCGGCGTGGTCGCCTCCAAGTCTGGTGATGGCCTGCGTGATCTGCCGTCCACAGCACTCAAATTCATTCCGTCATAGGTCCGGCCATCCACCCAGCTTCTTGAAGTGCTCCTGCAGATACAATTTCAAATCGTCCAGCGTTGGTTTGGAGGCGACTCGAGACATTGCACGGTTAGTGAGCATGCCGTAAATGAAACGTGAAGGTACATAGCCGTCATTCAACCGGGTGAAGAAGTAGCAAGCATTCGTCTCCAGCCATACTTGAGACGAGGCCTTTAGAAGTTCAAGTTCCGGGCTCAACGGTGAAACATCATTCATGTGAGGACGCAAAGCCAAGTATGAGATTATCTGGGCCATGCCAAGGTCTGAAAAGAAGGGGTTAGCCAGAAACTCGGTCACGCATGCGACGAAGCTGAGGAAGTTGGTCCATTCTTTTTTCTTCGAATTCGTCCTCGCGGGATTTGGCGTCGGCCGCGACTATTTCAGAGAGCAGCGTTAGCAACGAGGACGCGGGGCGGACAAAGGCGAGGACATACAGTAATCGTCCGAGTCGTCGATTAGTTTCTCGGTGAGTTCTTCATGAGTGATTTTCCAATACGCGAGGTGCTCAACACCGCTACCGCCCCTACAAGGATATTCTGTCCAGCATGGTGTCGGGGGAAGCAATATGAGAGGTTGACCAGAGCCTCTGCGATGGCATCCTCGGATTTGTAATAGCCTTGGACATGAAAGCAATAAATATCATCCGCGATGCACTTGCCGAGCTCGAAGCTGCCGACGTTGGGCCTCTTGATGGCGTGTTCAAGACGTCGACAAATAAAGCATCCCATCGCGCTGACGGCGCCATCTGGGTGCGAACCAAAGAAACTACGGTATTCGCCGAGGTTGCCTTCCGCCATGGTGCTGTTCAGTGAAGATGATCGAGTCAGGATGGGGTTGTGACAAGGTGAAGTTGCGCAAGACTGGCCTTGACGATGAAGACGATGGCGGTGGGAGAGGATGAGGTTGCGGACAAGCTGGATTTTTGTAGACAAAGCCTCCAACCTCCTGCCATCAGCTCAAGAGGCCGGCTGCCACTACGGCCATGCACTTGTTCAGTCTTTGAAAAGACGAGGCGTATCCCCAACTCGCCGTTCTGCACACGTCCCAGCATCGCCCGTGACGAACACGGCCTGTCCTTTGACAGACGGCAGCGCCGTCACACGACGGACACGGAGGGAACCGGGCCAGCGCGCCATGTATTGGGCGATATTCGTGCGACTCTGCGCCTGACGACCTGGCTTGGGAACCCAACACGGTTCATAACTCACCCGGCTCGGCCCTTGCGCAGTTGGTAAATCTTTGCCGCCCCCGAGTCCCCGGCCGACGTTGCAGGGCAAGCACTTGCGGTTCTCGCCATGTTTGCGTCCTCCAAAGCACAGCCCGGGAGAGAGGAGATGAACGTCGAGCCAAAGCAGCCGTCACCTCCCCAGGGCACGCTCGAGTATCCCACCCACTCGCAACGAGCGTCGTCGAACGATGATGCAGCGTCACTGACCGTGCCCGGTGAGTGGGCTGTCGTGACCGCAAAGAAACGCGCGGTTCCGGATGACGCCTTCACATGCTCCGTCGTAAGTACACAATCCGTGCAACTGGCGACTGGGTCGTCCCGGCTCCAAACTCAAACACCAACCCGCCGCAGTACTCGTGCAGCAACTTGCCACGGGACCACCCCGGCCGATACGTGAAGGCAGCCGACGCCAGAGCCCAGGCGGCTCAAGTCCCGGTCCCCGCCGGCCGGCGTGACGACCAACGCAAAAAGCGCAGTAGAAACAGCTATCCGAAATACTTCGAAAACAGAGAACGATTCGCCAACCTGGCGTCCAGCGAACCGAGGATAGAGTATCCCCTGAGGCCAGAGGGACCCGAGGCGTGGCAGGACTCGGGCCCGACGGGGACCGGACCCGACGTGCTGCGCGTGATTATCAGCGAGGACAAAGAGGGAGACATCGACTTGGTGTACCATGATTTGAAAAAGTCGCCGCACCACAACCGGAACTTCTCTCTGGCAGTTTATCGAAGCGCCGGGGAGGCGCCGGGGAGAACAGAGACACGGGGGCGGAAGAACCAAGCTTTGGCGGAAGGGCGAGGATGAATCGCTTAGTCCCCATCCGAGGAGCAGTATGAGACGACGCCATTGTGGGAATGTGACATGGCAAGATTGACAGACATGTTGGGGATGAGCGTTCGTCGCTGGATCAAGACACGAGCCAGGTACAAAGAGCAGACAACAGTTTCAATTTGCACATAATCTGCCATTGACTGCCGACCCTGGCGTCCGCACGCAGCTGCAGCTTGATGTATTTCTTCCGTATCATCCGTCTGTCCCGTCTTCCCCCCTGCTCTGTCCGGCTCATGGGACGGCGGCTACTTGGCCCTATCGCCGACCCGAGCACGACAGAGAAGCAAAGAGACAATGACTGAGCACACCAAGAACACGGCCTGGTCGAGTGCCGCAGGCACTCTTGGTGGAGCGAGGTCTGGCTGATAAAGGCCCTTTGAAGCCCAGTCGAGTGTCCTTTCGTCCCTTGGCCCATGGTCGGCCCTCTCTCGAGGCCAATCGTGAAAGAAGACAGTCTTCCCAGGACGGACGCCCAAGTCAAAGCCACAAGAGGCACCATCGACCAACCAGGGCCGTTTTGTTCAAGCTCATCGACGCATCCAACACGGCATCAGCCGGGGTCTCTGGCCATGTTGCCGCGCCGACGCCACGCGGACTGTTGCCATCCGGACATCCTAGCACGCAGAGACAGCGACCATGGCCGGGTCTGCAACGATCCGTCCAACGCCTGCTGGGGAAACCCACCCAAGGGGAGGCCTCAAAGGCCGGAGGTGCGTCGAAGCAAAGTCGGATGAAGAGTCGTGCTCGGCGCCCTCAGTGATTGCCGCCAAAGGCGGCCGTAGGAGTAGTCAGGCGCAGGAACGGCATGGTTGCTTTGTTTATTTAAGCACTTGTGCTCGTGGCCGCACCGGGGCCCCGGTGGCAAGGATCTCGATGGTGAATGCCGAAGGGAAAAACGAACAGCAGCCTTCCGACCCGTGGCCTGCCTCGACCGCAAACCATACCCTCGAGGACTCTGCCTTTCCGCCTCCAACTAGGCTGTATAATTTCAAACGAACGTCTCAGGTGACGAGAGCACACGAAATCTTCGAGCCACGACCAACAAGGTAGAAATAACGTCCGGGGAGGAGGCCAGAGTCAGGACGAGGGCCACGCTCAATATATGTCGTGCCGCTTCCCGCAGCACACGCATCAACCAATCAAGGCAGATATGAAAACCATGTGGTTCCTGCGCTGCTTCCGGGCAGGTCCAGAGGAAGCACGTACCTCGGCTCGCGTGCCCATGCCCATGCTCACAGCTTCCCGTGGCGTCTGGGTTTTGAGACATTGCCGGCATCTTGAAGAGCGCTGCAAACACCGACTCTTCCCCGCACTTTGCGCTTGCAGGAGATCCCGACTCCTGAGCTCGGCCCCGAAAAGGCTCACCTCAGCTTGGATACGACAAGGTTAGTCCCTAGCAAAGCAGGTGTGAGCGGTGTGTCGTGGTGGGTTCGGCGGCGCCAGGACCTGCGGCTTTGCTAACACGCCTCTGCTGCGGGCCAGTATGTAGGTCAATGTTCGTCAGGTTCTTCCTCGCCCGGCCGTCCTGGCCGTGTCACAGCCCGCCCGGCCTCGGAGGCTCGGACACGCTGGCTTCGAAAGAAGGCGCCCAGTGGCCATTGTCTCATGCAGCACGCTCGCGCGCGTGACTGAGCTGCGCGAGGCTGAAGGCCTGGACGCGCAGGGTTGCGATCCGCCCGTGGACGAAGAAGTCACGCTGGCCCTGGCGTAGACGCTTCGTTTTGTCTCGTCACCGACCCTTGCTGGAGACGTTGATGGTTTCTTGCGACGACTGCGGTGCCTGACGTTGTCGACATCCCGCCGTCGGTTCTGCCGAGTCTCTGGTCCGACTGCAGCTGACTTGGAGTTAGGTCTTGGTCAGGACATCCATTGGAGTGAGAATGTCCAGCACCGTCTTGGGGCTTCTGGTCGTCGCGATATTCACCTGGTTCATGGCGTGCCTGGTGGATCTGCTTGGGCTTCTTCCCGACCTCGAGGAAGACATGTTGCGGGATGTGATTCCCAAGGGCCATGGTAAGAAAAACGTCCGACGCCTGGGCTTTTCTCATCTCTCTCATCTGTACACTAAGCATTCTTGTTTCAGCGAAAAGGGAGGAACTCGGCAGCCCGCGCGCACCCGGGAAAGCTGCAAATGCACGACGAGGCACCTAGCACAATGCGAGGCGAACACGGGGATGGTGGCGGGAAACATGGCGATGGCGATGGACTGCGCGCCGTGGTTCTTCGCACAGGTCCGAGGGCTTGGCTGGAGACTGCACAATTCTCTTGTTGAGACGGGAACGCAAAGGCGAGAGGCGTGCTCTATTGGAAACTATATGCTGTTCTTCGAATCAAGCACTGCGATGCTGGAGCCTTCGAGTCAAAGAAGACCCATTTTCACAAGCACGCGTACGGAGTGTTGTCTGCTTAGGACAACCCTCGACACAGAGTCAGTTCATCGTTTTTGCTCTTCAGCACCGAGACATGGTCTGGCGTGTGGAAAATGAGCAAGACCACGACACGCCGAGTAAGAACTAGAGATGCCTGCGGCAGACCTGGATCTGAGAATATGTAGCCCCGGCCCCAGACCATTGGCAGGAGATGCCGCAGCACATGCCAACGGCAGCTTCCGTCGCCATTTGTGATTCGCTCCTGTAGGTCGGTCGATTTGAGATGCGGTTCACCACGCATCACAGCCCAGGATGAGGCCATCTCGTGGGGATGCGAAGCTCGCGTCAGAATATGCGTTGGCGTCGCCGTCATCTTTGACACGCTCCGGGGTGCCATTGCTGTGCGTGGAAGTAGCGAACTCGGCCCAGCACCCATGTTTGCGGTACTTTGTTTCAAACAGGTCAGGGCAGAAAGCTTAAGCTGACGTAGAGGTGCTGGACCATCAGGTGGTACAACGGATGACACGTTAGTCTCTCATCTGAACTTGGCCTTTGCCGGGGCGTGCTGGGGCGAGGGCTGCGTGTTACAGGGCCTGCAACGACGATGCTCAATCTTGCCCAGCAATCAGCATTGAGGCATTTTGAGGAACGCGGGCCCCAAGGCCAGTATATGCAAATCATCGGTGTACGGAGTACGCTCATGTCCCGAGGCATACACAAAGCCCCTTTGTCGGGCCTGCGGGCTCGGCCTCCATCCGGACCTTGTGATCAATGTCGTGTTACCGTCGTTGGCCGGCCTCGGTGGTTGAGGCACATTCGTGGACCCGTCTTTCAAGCCAGAATCACCAGAAGGATGGAAGGCGGCTTGAATAGTGCAGCGAGCATGTGCCAAGTACGTCCCACATCCATCCATCGACTCTGTTGTTTCTACCTCCCTCTCTGTTGTAGCAAGCTGCTGCCATGGCCTTGGCTGTATAGCTGTACTAGCTATAGCTTTAGCAGCTACATGTTGTGTTGGCTTATGTACTGAATACACGATGTTGGGACGAGAGGTTTAAGAGGAATAACCCCAACCCCGACCCTAAAAATGCCCGTGACAGTAGGACGGCGTGATCCGCTTCGACATGGGGTCCGCGGGTCCAACGGAGCCGTGTGACGCCAGCGTTGGTCGGGCACCTTGGTTCGCCAACATGGTCGGCAATGGCATCCGGCGCCCATAGCGCCAATCGATGTCTACCCGTTAGCACCGTTCCGGCCATGGACGAGTTGTGTTTTGACTAAAGCGCCGGCGCGTTGGCTAGCATAACCGGATTCGTTCGCTTCGGCGGCGACGAGCCGGGGATACGTATGTCGGCATCGGCTCGCATCCAGCTTGGCAAAGGGCAGAGGCGACTTTCGGAATGTGGAGCTCCATGCGGCCAGAGAAAACCAATCCGACGGGGAGCATTCTGGACAGAGTTTACAAAGTGGCGGCGACGGTCGAGATGGCGAGCCTGGCTTGCGCAACAAACATCCTTGGGCAAGGGGCCTCTCCCGCGATTCCGGCTGAGGATTTACTCGATGCCGTGTTGGACATCGGGCGGAATACTCCGTGCGCGGCATCACGTTGCGCAAGTCCAAATTCCGTGCGAACTGTGTGGCGTTGCGCACAGAGCCTTCAACGTCGGACAACCTGTCGGCCACGCTGGGACAGCGAGTACACTGCTGAGGTCTTCTTGTGTTTGGCTCCGTGATTCCTCATCCGCGCAGGTGCAAAGACATGGGCAAAGCCCCGGGACCGAGAGCTCGCTGCTCGGCGGCATCGTGAAGGGCGGAGCTGCGGCCAAGCTGGATGTGCCGGACTCGTCTAGATTCCAGAGTTGAACGTAGTTGTTACCTTCCCCGGAGCCAAACCAGTTCCGGCTAGACCCCGAGCCTTGGACCGGTTGTTGATCATCAGATCTGATGATGTGACCCGCTGGACGCGTTGGGAGTTGGCACTTGTGTTGATATGCGTGGCTTGTTGAGCCACCACCACCGTCGCCGACAACCTTTTTGCAGGAAAAGCCTACAGCCACGGCCTCGGACCTCGATGCCGCATGCCATAACTGAACCACCGTCCACTTCTAAGGCGTCGAGCTGAGTCAGTCAAGGACGGGATGCCATCACGTGGGCAGGGTCTCAGCCTCTTGCGTCCGAACCGGTTCCCAGGCTCCAGCCAGCATGGAGCTTAATTGATGCTCGTGTCCCTCTCCGTTATTTAAAATGAACAAGTCCAAGCCTTCGTGCTCGCCCCCGAGTGCCAGAGTCCAGAGGTGAAACCGTCATGTGGCCGCGGTGACCTCGATCCCTGCCCTGCCCCGTCAGTCGTACTCGACCAAGCTCGATATACTCGCACGCTCCCTCGTCGCCTCCGGCCCGTCAATCATGTTCGGCTATACGTCACATCGAAACCAAGTGCCTCCTGACAGCGGCCACAGAGCGCGACGGCTCGCCTAACTAGGCTTGGGGGAACGGCGGCCACGGAACGATGGGCCAACTCACCGAGAGCCAGCTCGTCGCCATCAGCATCATGGAGCGCGCGTGCTCGGCCGTCTCGCTCCTGGGCTGCCTCTTCACCATCGCAACCTTCACATGCTTCCGCACGTTCCGAGCGAAGCCCGTCAACCGGCTCGTCTTTTACGCCTCGTTCGGCAACATGGCCAGCAACATTGGCACCCTGATGTCTCGCGCGTTCCTCGACGACCTCGAGTCGTTTGGATGCCAGTTCCAGGCCATGTTGGCTCAGTGGTTGGTGTCACCAAGCGGCTGCATCATGTCCCCGACGTTGCTTCGTACCCCGACTAACACCAGTCCCCAGGTTCATGGCTGCAGATGCCGGCTGGATACTCGCCATGGCCATCAACGTCTACCTGACGGTGTACCACAAGTATGACATGAAGCGCCTGCACAGGATGGAACTCATCTACCTCCCGGCCTGCTACGGCATCCCCTTCATCCCCGCATTCACATACCTCTTCGTCCGGCGCAACGGCAAGCGCGTCTACGGAGATGCCGTCCTGTGGTGCTGGGTTGCCGCCGACTTTGAAGGCCTCCGCATCGCCACCTTTTATGGCCCCATCTGGTAGGCCACCGGCCTGTTCTGGTTGTCATGCCGGCTCTGTTGCTAAGTCTCTCTGTCCAGGGCCATGATCCTCGTCACCTTCTCCATCTACATTGCCACGGCCCGCACGATTTTCAAGATCCGCAAACAAGTCCACGACCTCAGCTCCGACTACGACCTTGCGTCGTGCACCAGCGCCGAGCTTCCGACGGTCAACGTCACCAGGGCTACCACACCGCGTCGAGGCTTTGGCTCGCAGCAGGGCTTCTCCCGGCGCCGGAGCTACGAGCACAAAAACGCCGCCTGGTCCTATACCAAGTGTGCTCTGCTCTATTTCACGGTTATCCTCGTCACTTGGATCCCAGCTAGTGCGAACCGAGTCTATTCGCTGGCGCACGACGGCCACGCCTCCGTCCCCGTCGCCTTCATGAGTGCCTTTGTGCTGCCCCTGCAGGGTTTCTGGAACTGGATCATTTACGTCTTCATGTCGTGGACGGCGTGTAAAACGCTGATGCAGGACATCAAGGCCAAATTTTCGCCTGTTAGAAAAATACCTTGGCCTGTTAAAAAGGTACCTTCGAACCGGAGCCGACCAGATACCGGCCCAGGTACCTGCTAGGCGGCGACTCCCAGTTCAGTGGCTGCGAATTTCACTTGCATCCGAACGCTATAATGCAATGGTCATTCCAGGATCAAAGGCGTGGGGGCTCCTGGACAGCTTCTGCTTCTCTCGATTTTGCGTCGCAGCACTCGGCAGGACGTATCCCCGCTGATTAGCCACCAGTCTCACCCCATTCCGCACCAAGTTCGTGGAGTAGTGCGTATGGCCAAATGCCCAGAGATGGATGCCAGCCCAGCCTTGTTGATCGAGGAGATCGGTCGCGAATGCGGGTGTCCAGGGGTTGTTGGAATCTCCGGGCCGGGAAGTGCCTTCGATGCAAGGCGCGTGATGCGTTGCTACCAGAAGCTGCCTTTTTGTGCTTTGCTCCTTGCGTGCTTGGGCTACTTGGTTGCGGAGCCATGCAGCCTCTATGGCGTGGATTGCGTTGTGTTTCTGAGCAGTCCACCCGTCCATCTTTTTTGAAGTCGTTGATCTTCAACTCAATGATGCTGGATACTTGGTCTGGAATCGCAGACCAGAGTGTGCAGCCAAGAATTGTCAAGGTTGAGCTGGGGTCGTTCCATCGGGCTTTATCTAGGAGAACAAGGGTTCCAGCAAGCGTTGGTTCCTCCACAAGACGCCGCGCTTGGTCGAGCCCTGAATGGTAGTCTAGACCATAGAACTCGTGGTTTCCCAACACCAAAAACACCTTGTCATGTCGGGACATCTGCGCCTCGAGAAACTTCAGGTATCCATCGTAGTCAATGAGTCGTCCGATATCTCCACCCAGGAGCAGAAATGGGGCGGTCGCGGGGAATGTAAAGGACAAATACTGTTGACCGACCTCGAGATGCAAGTCCGAGAGAAGTCGGACTCGAGGACGCGATAGGCGACACTTGGCGTCCGAGGATAGCTCGCAAAAATGCCTGCATCGTATCATGGGGTCATGGGATGCGGGGAGTAACAGCCGTGTACACTGTACGTACACTGTACGGAGTACAGTGCTCGGGCCACTTGCGGGCCAGGCAGCAGCCCCGCCCCAGCCGTGCGGAGTTGTGTGACTGAACAAGATGAAACTTGAATGCTGGTGCTCAACGGCCTTTGCATGACAACTTGTCACCTTGGATTTGACGCCGATCAAAGTCGGGGCTACCGTTCTCAAACATCACGGCATGCAAGTGTGCATTGTTGGTGAGCTGGCACTCAATTGCCACAACGATCCCCGCGTATGTCATGTTCATCGTCCCGTTTGCTCGACACGTTCCCACTGGGGACCGCATTCTCAAATACGTCTTGCGCCAACTAAACCTTCGTCGTGCTCCTCAGTCCTCATTCCACTGTCAACTGAGAGCCATGATCCAGGAACGCCTTAATGACGCTGTCATTGCACTGCATCGCGTGTTAAGCCGAGAGCAGGTGACCTTGGCGTCTTCGGTGGCCGTGCAGTGGCGACGTCTGGTCCCGGGTAAAGATGTGGATTGCTTGGCATCTATATCGAAAGACAGATCATGCAGCTCCTGAACGACAGGGAGGGCTTCCAGGTAGTTCCGCAGAGCCGCCAGGATTATGTACCCTGGGCAGTTTCGAGCCGGAAGTAGTTATACTGAAGGAGCCGAACTCGGACTAATCGTGGAATTGAACATGAGGTTGAAGACGGTTGGTTCCTCAACCCTGCCATTGCCATTGGGATTCCGGATATCAAGCTCCCCGATGAGCTTGCCGAGTCCGGGGCCGTCGTGGTTGTCAATCTACTCTTGACTAAGACTCGCAGGTGCCCTGACGTTTTTCCCTGGCGGTCCCAGCCTCACTTTGTCGAGAATACCGTGGTACCGTTCCACCTCGGCTTTGTCCAACTTGCTCTTGCTGTCAGCAGCAGCTCGTCTGCTGCCTGCTAGTCTTGATTCCAGCCCAGTTTCAACAAGCTGATCAGCACTGAAATGCTCACACCTGACGGGATCGTTTCACATCCAATCCGTGAACCAGTCGACGTAGCCGGTCGTTTTGAGGACTGCCTCTGGTGTAATGACTGTGTAGTCGACCTCGAGAATGTTTTACTCGACGACAAAGTGCCTCCGCCACTCGTTGGCGATGTCTTGTTCGCCAGCAAACCGCAGCCGGTGGACCGTAGTGATACAGACCACGGTTACTCGCACCGACTTTGTAGTCGGGCGCCGGTCGATAAATCTCAATAAATCTCGAAGGCTTCGGTAGAAGAATCGCCTTTTCAGGAGCGACTCGAGCTGGGATCGATGAAACGCACCGCCAATGGATGCAACTTTAGTTGTTTGCTGCCACGCTCGCAATGCATTTAAGCGGTGTGAGCGCTTCATTATCCCTGCGACGACACGTCGTTTTCACGCTTGTGCACACTGTACTCCGTACACTGCAGTGACTGCACAACTCAAGTCATGACGTCGTCTAGACGCGCTTCACGCGCGCTTCAACCGCCTCCAAGTCAACTCTGGCCGGTTGCCTGTGCAACCAATCGCCGCCTGCTGAGTTCTCAACCTGTCGACCCCCTCAAGTCGCAGCACGCACCTGCTCGAGCATCCAACTCGGCGAGACTTCAACGCCACATCTCCCGCCCATGAAGCAATATCGTCCAGTAACATGTCACCGGCAACACCGCGCTCGTGTACCACAAGGTTTCGTCGGCCCCTCGAGGTTAGTGCTCGCCCCCGAGTTGATGCATTTGACACGACTGACATGCCGCGAGTGAAGGCCATGTCGGGACCGTCGCTGATTTCCTGCGACCTCCTACGCCTGCCAACCGAAGTGCTGCTTCGCATCTTTGAACAGGCCGACCCGATTGACCAGGTCTGCCTCGCCCTCGCGAGCAAACACCTTCTCCAAGTATCGGCCATGTTGAAGATAAGGGTGCCCTCAGTGGCCAAGCACAGAAATACCACGCCATCATCCTGCCGTCTGGTGTATGAGCTTCTCTGGCGCTTTGAGCCTCCAGTCGACCGGGCAAGGCGCTTCAGGCAGCCGAAGAAATATACACTATGCTGCGACTGCCTGCAGTACCGGCCGCTGAAAGCGACACATTGGAAGCCGTTGGAGAAGAAGTATCGCAAGATGGAAGGTGTCAAGGAATACTGGGATAGGTCTGTACGTGGTTGGAGCAGATCCAGTTATACCCAGTGCCCAGAATGTTATTGCAAGGAGAGGCACGACGAACATGTTGCACGATTGGCCTACAGACAAAACCGGTGTCCATGCTGTAAGCAGAGTAGATAAAGGGTTACACGTGAGCCTAGCAAGTACTCTATCACTCGGCAGGGTAATAACTACAACTATATTAATCTCTCAACCTCCTCCTGCTATAGTAGAAGTTGTTTTTATATATATGAGCTTACCTAGAGCTAGCTTACAACTAGCTAGTTAGCTCTATTATACTACTACGCTTAATTAAATCAAGAAGGACTGTACATCACGCCTCTAGCGCTTGGTCTCTGATTGCCTGTTACGTCTACAGAGCTTTACGGCGCTGCGATACAAGCCAGTCCACGGCCTTGAGCCCAATGATAGCTGTCGCGGGCTTCTTCCCATCCCTCACTACTCCTGTCAACTACACATCAGTAGAGCACACAGGACTCGCCGGACTACCAGTGTCTTTAAAGGACTTGGAGCCTTGCATACGAAAACTGTTGACTGGATAAAATGTAAACAAATGTCGCTGGTTCCAAGCCCTTGCGAGTCGTGGCCTAGGCTCCCACGACAAATAAATGAACATAATCGTGGTACCTTTCGCATCATCTTTCTCTACCGTGACATAGTCAACAGTCCACCACGTTTTTCATGTGCTTTGAAACTTTTGGAACTCGCGCGAGTCCGCGAAGTCCACACAGCACAAGAAAAAGTCAAAGAGGTCCAGCACCACGTGCAAGAAACATTAGACGGCTTGCGTCACATGGATGTTGGTGACGCAGGGGGTATGGTCACGAGACCCAGGGCAGAAGGCTGCCGCAAAAATAGAACCTGCGGCCGCAAGGACGTTTTGATACTAGAGCTGCACTGGCCTCCAAGCCTTCTTCTCGCACCAGGACGAGTCCTTGTCTCGGCTTGAACCGCGACACTTGCCGGCAGGCGTAGCAAGTGCACAAGCAGATCTAATTGACTGCAAATCGGCTCAGAGTCCACCTTCATCTTACATGAAAGAGCGCCACGTACTAGTCATGTAGCTTACAACCTAGTGCATCTTCTACAGGCATCTGGTAAGTGCTATGATAACCCCCCCCCCCCCCGCGACCAGGTCCGTCCAGGCCGCCATTTCGCTGTCAAAAAGGTGACATTTGGACACGCGAAAGGCATAAATTTCTCACAACATAGGCCTCTACAAGTTGCTTTACCCATGCCGGCTCTCGGTCTTGAGCTTCAATCTGGGGCCTGTGGTCTGCGGCGATGCTCTGCAGTCCGTGTGTTGACACGGCGTCAAGTCGGGGGTCTTCAGCGAATCGGGTGGGAATAGTGACAAGCACGTGGGCTAGTGTTGCCTGGATAGTGATTATTAAGGTCCCAGCTGATACATGTGCATGATTTCCCACTGCCGTCACCTCTAGCCTGTAGAGTCTCCACGTTCCGACATATGGCAGAGTATTTGATATATTCTCCAGAACAAGGCACACCTAGCCGGGGCCTCTATGGGCCTCATGCTGATGCGGTTTCGCTGACCTTCCGATCAAAAACAGCTGCCTTGTCTCGTTGCTGTGTGGAATATCAGTTCAAGAAGCTGCAAGGAGCGTCCAGGCCGGGCACTACGATGTCATGGTGAGGCTATTACGAACTGACACTTCAGGCGTGGGAACTTGAGCCCTGGAAGAGGCTTGAGAACGCCTAGGAGGGCGTGGACGCCTTGTTCAGGAATGTGGTGGCCGTGGAGCACCCGTCTGCCGTCCCTGCGGTGGCCCGAGGAGGCAAGGAGGGGCTGGGGGAGTGGAGGGGCCCAAGCCGGCTGCCGACGGACCCGGGATGCCGGGACCTCCGGAGGTGGACGCCAAGCCGATGGACCTGGCGCCGGCCAGGCTGGCGGAGCTGTTCAACATAGCCGAGAGGCTGTCGGAGAAGGAGCAAGTGCGGGCTTATGGTTGCCGGTGTTGCCCTCTGGATGGACAGCATTGTTGGCTGCGGAGCGAACCTGGCGGCCCAGGTCGAGAAGGATGACGCCGACAGACGACGAGTTCTTATCGCTGTCGACGCAGGTCTATGCCTGCTGGCCGACGCGATACTGCGCCGTCGCCATCGAGGCCCTGGGGATCTGGTCACAAGCCATCGACCGAGTCGGCCTTGTCCAGGCGGGAAGCGAAACCGCCTTCAACGGCTCGGCCTCCAAGCCGGAGACCACAGGCCTGCGCCGCCTGCAAAATAAAGCCCAATAGGCCATCATGCAGATTGACGCCGACGCGCGCCAGCGAATGAGGACGCTGGAGATCTGCGGTTGACGCGGCCGTCATCGACCCGGTCCAGTACTACATGGAGAAGACGATGCAGCGGGACCACATGCTCGTCGAGCACATTGTTGTTGCCGTCAACCTTGTCCCTGGCAAGATCCGCGAGTCTGACCTGCCCAGCCATATGGTGGGTTTGCCTCACGTCCTGGAATTTCAAACACTGGTGGCTGTGCACATTGGCAATAAATTTAGAGTGGAAGCACACAAATGGAAACATAGTTGGCTTTATCCACAACGATCATGAGCAAGATATGGCCTCAGAGACCAGCTGGCGCGGCTTTGTAAGACTTCACGGGGTTGTCTGACATAGTCCCTGCAGACGTTTTATCGGCCCTGGCACCACTTGATACAGCCATTGGAATCTAAAGTCATTTGAAAGGGAGAAATTATTGGATCAGCCGTCGAGTCGGTTGCCGCCCAAACTGTCGCCTGCTTTCCTGACGTCACGTTGATGCCATTAATTCCGGATCTTCCCAGCCTGCGGCCGAAACAAAGGGGGGACAGGCTGTGATAGGTTGTGGACTCGTACAAAAAAATATTTATACAGCCTTGTGTACCGAATGACAAAAATGCATGACACCACTCTGACAAGCTCCGTCTGAGAAAGCAGTGCCTCCGACATGACGGCGCCGACCCGCTGTGGTACGGCTTGCAGTTTGTCTCCGGCGTGATGACGGCTTTTACTTGAATGTCTGTTATTTCCTTTCTTTTCACGCTGCACTCTTACCTGCGCTTGCCGGTCTCTTAACTGTACCAGGACATAAATGGCAACTGCCTTTGGGGACCACACGCACTGCCGTCTGAGAGTTCTGAGCGAGATGTTTGGCAAAGCTTGTTACCAACTACACCTAGGCTGCGCACCTGTCAGGATGATGAAATATTGCGCAGCACCGTGGCCGTTGGTTGTCGACGTCACACTACGGTTGAGGCACAATGCATATTACTAGCGTCACTATTGCAAAACTCCACGTCACCATTTACTGCTCCAAATAATTACATTCTCATTGGTCAAGCGTATCTGCTCCGTAAAATGCTTGATTCCACAAAGTTTTAACTATTAAAATACAAGTATGAAAGGACTCCACTTGTTCAAGCCTTTGCCTGGTGACCAAACGCATCATGCTCAGTCTGCGCACTATTCCTTCCAGGTTTCCCAAGTGTTGCAACAATATCTCTGCTTCGTTATTGATTCGCTCCATTCAACAATCTGCCAAGATGACTACCATATCCCAGGCAGTCATCGATGACCATAGAGAGCTTGAGAAATACTACAATGAAGTAGTTCACAACGCAAACGATTATGGCCGTCAGCAACGCTTCGGGAACCAGTTCATCTGGGACCTCGCTCGACATTCCGTGGGCGAAGAACTGGTCGTGTACCCAGCCCTAGAAAAGCACCTCGGTGCAGAGGGCAAAGAAATGGCTGAACATGACAGGAAGGAGCACCATTCTGTACGTACAGGAACGAAAATACAGAGATTTGCTACATCCACCGAGCAAAGACTGACGAGGTATCTCAATACAGGTCAAGCAGATGTTGGAAGAGTTCCAGGAGATGAGTGCCTCTGACACGGGCTATGTCGACCAGTTGAAGAAGATCTGGGGTTCTCTTTCCGATCACATGAAAGAAGAAGAGGAAAGAGATCTACCTGCTCTTGAAGGCAAACTTCAGTCCTTTGGGGAGGAGTCTAGCTCTATGGCCAAGTCCTTCCGGCGCACAAAGCTCTTTGTGCCTACTCGCAGTCATCCCAGTGCTGGGGAGCATCCGCCGTTTGAGACTGCAATGGGTTTACTTGCCGCCCCTATTGATAAGGTGGCTGATTTGTTCCGGACATTTCCTGACAGGGAAGAGCTGTAGACAAGGCCTCAGTATCTCGAAAGTTGAATATACGATCTCTTTTAGTGTGCATATCTGTTTCGACGCCCTGGTGCTACTTTTCGGCACGGTACGCAGAAGCCTCCAGGGGTTCCTCGCCCATGGGTGAGGAAGACGTGTCAAGTTAGGGTGCCGATAATATCACCAATCCGCAGACTGCCATTTACATATATACATGGACTCGGAGCATGACTACTTATGTGACTGGGGAGTTCATTACAAGTTCGCAAATTGTAGGACTTGATCGACAATGAGGCGCCCCCAAGACCACCGTTCAAGTCATAATCCCCCTGTAGCACATGGCATCAGACGGGGCCGAGAATTGCTCCCGCCAGGCCCGTCAAGACATTATTCAGAACACCTTCCCTCGTCTAATCTGAAGCATCCGCGGGTCCTCGCTTCGAAGGCGTCTCTGGTCCCATTTTGCTAATACCCCTTGTGTCATGGAGCCCCTCTTCGTCTTTGCGACTAGCATTCCTCTTTCCGCTCACCGCACTTTTCACAGAGTTTACCCAGCCAGACGACTCTGGTGACGTCTTCTCCATTTGCGCTTTGGTGTCGTTCTGGTAGAGTCGTGGCGTTAGCTCGAGGTGTCGTACAGATTGCCCATGAGGATAACTTGCTTGGTTTCGACCCGTTTGGTCACCGCGAGAGGTGCCGTTGGAACTTGATCCCGAGAACGGAATCTCTGTTCTGCGAGCACCAGAGCCGCCGGCTCCTTCACCAGCACCTATTTTACCCGAGGGGAGTTTGTCCCTCGACTCGGCCGTCGTGATTTGACGACCCGGATCCCCGTCACCACGGCCATGCGAGCCTCCCCTTTCCATGGCCCCGGCAACCCGGTTCCCCCCGATTCCGGCGCCACTCAGACCGAGATCATACTTCTGTTGTGCCATATTTCTATGATCGGGGGCCTCAGCTCGGTTCTTGCGCGTGGCGTATATAGTGGCACCGATGAGGCCGGCACCAGCAGCGGCTGTCATTATAACCTTCTCTCTCGACATTTTGGGCCGGTACAATCAGTTGGGATAGCCTCTGCTGGGAAGTTTTGTCGCGACGTTTAATAAAAAACGATACGGAGCGTAAGACGAACAACATACATCACCATTCCCGGCGGCTATATATGTGCAAGTTCTTTGGCGGGTCGGTCGACATCACACGGCCAAACCGCAGCCACGAAAATATCCCAACTCGACGGCGCCGGTGGGGCTGTGTTGCGTCAATGGATTCAGAATGGATAGGGATGAGAGTCTAGCCGATTGTCGATACCCCCCGTCGTTTTGTTGCAAGCGCTAACTAGTTACCAAATGGGAATTGCTACACGGGCATGACACTTTGGCTACACGGGCATGACTCTTACACGGGCATGACTTTTACCACTTCTGATTGGTCGCATACTTTCTTGGCCCCACAGATACTTCCTCGGAAAGGCGGTGTAGCCAACTTCACTAACAAGCTCCTACATCACCATGAATTGCAGTCACTTATCGTTGTGGGCGCGATTGGTCTTCTGCTATCTTGCAAGCCTGCATTTCGGATTAAACTACCGTCCTTGTACTGTTAGCCAGTAACTGTCAAATACTGGCAAAAGACGTGATGTGGTCTACTTAATTTATTGCCTCACAACGATACAATCTGGATCTTCGTCATCACTCTTAGCCAGTTCCCATTGACTCCTTGTCCTGCGAATGTTTCGTTGCGTCCTCCGTCCACTGTACCGCACGCCTGTCGTATTCCCAGCATTTAGGACTTTAGAAGGTCTACCTGGCCCTTGCTGGGCTGAGATGCCAATTTGGCCACCAGTTTGTGTGATGGTTTCTCGAGTAGCTTTATGCACTCTCCTAGCAAGAGTTGGCTTATTGAGACTTCCTGGCGGTCGACCTCGTCGCCCACTTGGTTGATTATCAGATCGGCTACTTGATGTAATAGCTAGGCTTTCTGGGATAACCTGCGCTGTATTCTTTGGCCTTCCACGTAGTGCAGTGGCAACTTTCGGGTCAAGAATTCGTCGGTATGGATCTTGAGATGCCGATTCCCGTAGTCGCCAGCGTGGGTGGACCTCCCATTTAGTGAAACGTGTGTCAGAATCTAGCTTTGCGTAGACTTTATGATAGCATGGGATTCCCAGCTCAATAGAGACCGTACAGTCGTCGTCGCAAAGTCCAATAGAGTCGGGGAAGGGATTCTTCCCCGTCGGCAGAAATTTGCGAGCAATACAGTATTGCTTGTTGATTAACCCAAGTCCTTTCGATGACATGGTTGTTCGTAGTTCACCAAGATAGTTTCCCATCGAACCTAGGTATTGTGGAGCAGTCAGGACATCATCCTGTCCACAGGCATCCTTAAAGGCACGTTCTTGGTCATGTATCATATCCTGCATTGCCTCGACGAGTCGGTAGAGGTGGCTCATGCCATTTAATAGATAGCTTTTGATATTATTGTTGCTTGCTTCTGTGCCGGACGTAACTCGGATTCCGAAGTTACGATAACGACGGATAAAGCAACGTGCCCATTGAGCACTAACAGGCATATAAGTCGAGTAGAGGTATTGTAAGATCGCTCGTTGGTCGTCGAACTCTTTACAAAGATCTCTCCATGCCTGCTCAAACGCTTCCTCAGTCTCGGCATAGAGAACCTTTTTCCACATTAAAACAACGCCTTGGTAAGTATGAGGAATCTTATCACTACTCGACCGATCTTCGATCAGATGCTTATCTGTAGTGCTCAACCCGCCATCCGCCTGTGAGGGAATGTCTTCACTGTCACTAGCGCTAGGGCTAGTAGTACTGTCCTCACGTTGGCCCGTCCACCTAGTCTTCGATTTAAGCAAAACGTTTGAAAGGATATGATGAATACAAAGCTGTTGCTGTGCATTTGGAAACTGATCATTAACGGCAGCTTTCATAGCCTTGTCGAAGTCTGTGATGATGACATCTGGTTCCCTGAGTGAGTGTTTTGTAATGAGCTTGCGAACACTCTCTGCAAGGAATTGGAACCCCTCCCTCCTCTCGTTATCTATTAAGCCAAATGCAGCATTGAACACAGTTCCAAGACAGGTTTGGCCAGTAGCCTGGAATAAAGGAAGCTTGAAGCGATTAGTGTTATATGTGTTATCAAAGCTAATAACCTCGGGGAAGCGCTTCCACATCTGTAGACAGTACGGAAAGGTCCAGACAAGACCAAGCAGTCTATCTGGATCATCATCGGCCCATTTCGCGATGTATGGGATCTTCTTCTCATCAAAGAGTTTGATCAATGCCGCAGTAGGTGTATAGCCATTTAGCTTCTCTCGGTTAATGAACGAACGGGCATTATAGATATCCTTCCGCAGGAGTGTTGTATCGGGGAATTGCTCCTCAACCATAGCAGCTACATCACTGGCTCGAATACCCGCGCGACGGCTTGCTGACTCGATGGTTGCTTTAACTGGTGTAGTAAGGCGGCGGTGGGAAACATGCGCAGATGGCGTAATACTCCGTTCATGGTTATGCTGGTGATGTTTCGGGTCTCTATGTTGTCGAAGAAGCCACTTGCCTTCCTCTAGGGCTTCAGCAATTATCATCCATTTGCAATCACACTTCCGAGACCTTCGGGTTCGAAGACCAGAACCCCCCGAGGCCCGAGATTGTCCAAACCGGTCGCATTGAATGGAGTACCTAATCAACCGTCCCTTATAGGAATATTTATTCCGCCGAATAATACCAAATCCGTTCTCCTTTGCAAATGCGTTGGTTGTTTTAAAAAGAACTTCGGCCGAGGGCGCTGGGTCGCCAGGGATTATTGGGTTCGGAATTGGCTCCGGGGCGGGAGATAGAGACTGTCGCATAGGCGAGGAACTAATATTTTCGGGCGTCGGTGATATTCGAGGAGGTTGTGTGGGTGACCTACGAGGTGGAGAGTACGGTGGAGGAGAGTCATATGCTTCGAAACTTAATGGTGACCATCCCCATCTCTCTCGCCAAGCTTGTACACGTTCGTATGATCGAGCAAGGTCTACAGTTAGCCTTCGACCTTCGCCGGTAACCTCTCGTACTATGCGCATTGCGGACTCGAACTCGGCTCTTGTCCTTGTTGGGAGATGCTGGGCGGATGGGGGTGATTCGGGAGGTTCAGAGGCGAATGGATCAAATTCTGGGCCTGGTATAAGCGCTCTGACTCGCTGGCTCCATCTTTTTCCACGGAAGAAGTCATTTTGAAGATATATCTCATAGTCAGATCGAAGGCCCCATGCAGGCTCATGGCGGCCCTGTGAACCATGGGGGTGTGGGAGACTTGAAAGTGTTTGCGGGAAAGAGGCGAACAGGTTATCGAGTGCATTTTCGTCCCCGAGGCCGTAGAACTGACCGATACTCGTAGCAGAGCTACTCGCGGATTGTGGTCGGTCTTCAACTGTGGAAGGACTAGATCTGCGTCGCCGACTGGATTTGTGTCGCTTTCCTCTTTGTGATTGATCACTGGGACTAGGGCTCCGCGACCTGCGAGGAGGTGTGCGAGGCAAAGACATTGACGTCTTGAGAAGAGAACAAGATTGTAGTGAAAGAATTGGTCGCTATCTCTACAGCATAGGGTGCCGTATTATGGTTTATTAAAAGCTACGAAAATGAAGAAAGCAAGCTCGAGGGGGTCGCCCCGACTGCGCGACCACTGGGTTGCTGCGTAGTAGCTTAGCCGAAATGAAGTAATTTACACAGAAGCAAGGTTAAAATGGCCCAGGTACTTGCGGCTGAGGTGGCAGAATCCAGCGTCGTTAACAGAGACAATGCGACCAATCAGAAGTGGTAAAAGTCATGCCCGTGTAAGAGTCATGCCCGTGTAGCCAAAGTGTCATGCCCGTGTAGCAATTCCCTACCAAATATAGACGTCACAACTTCGTCATGGCGGAGACGGAGGCATGACAGACAGGCCTTGAGACTGGAGCAAGCGATAGCCTGTTATTTCCAGTGGTTTGCGCCGTCCCAAGCCAGTCCAGGCCGCAGAGGCCATGGCAGACATGACAGCACACTACAAGGCGACATGGTCTTGGTTGTTGTACGCCCATTGTCCTGACATTGTCGTCCGTATAATGAAAAGAATACTGATGCCTAGTTCCCACAAGCCATGAAACAGTCGGAGCAGCTGCAGAATTACTCGATTGCCTGGAACGCTGAGCCAGGCACCAACGTCTCATGTTGGAGGAACATGTAATCTACGTCGTTCGCCGTCTCGACGTATTTCGCTTACTCATATCGTCACCTCGAGAAGTTCATTTTCATGACGTCAGTGTGAATTAAGCAAATGCGCATCAGCCCCCAAGTACTGTTGAAATAGCTACATCATAGACTGATAGCATAGCAGCCTGCTGGGATTATGTGCCAGATATAAATATTTGCATACTAATTAAACACTAAACAGCCTTACTAATATTATCTATATTATCCACCTACATATATCCTTATCCTCTCCAAGATGGAATAGTTCAGCTTCAGTATAGAAATGCAAGATATTAGGTTATGTATAACGGAAACCGTAATCCTACAGTTGCTCTGATCAGTGCTTCATGTAGATTTATGCGTCGTAACGGGCCAAGGATCGGACTGCACGAAACCAAATCGCCGTCCGGTGGACCATCTGAAACGGGACGTCTGTTTGAAATTGCGCCCCCCAACGAGACCGAACTAGTTTGACGGCTTCGTGTATTGAATATGTTCCCATGGCCGGCCAGCTGTAGACGACGCTTGTGGCATATCAAGGGGGTTCTTCTGCTTGATATGCTGAACCGGTTACCCTCTAGAACCTTCCGAGACCCTAGATGGCAGACTTGCCTTGGGCCGTCGCGCTATGACTGGAGGCTTAATTTTAGGACCATGACAACGTTCATTGCCAACGATGTAGTAATCACAGGTGGATGTCACACGGTTGGCCCCCTCCAAAGGTTACACGACATGATGACAGGGCCGCGGTAGAAAGACGTTTCAAGCCCAACCAACACTGCCCTTGTCACGGTGACCGGACTTGGCCGTGGAAATCGAAGAGTCAGTGGCTGCGTAGCATCGATTGAGCAAGCCATGAGGGACTTGGCCAACTCGCGCCGTTTGGCAGCAGCAAGGGCTCGGCCAAGTCACGACCTGCCAGTGCCCATTGTGCCCATCAAAGTTCACCGCCGACTGATATCTCGATATTCCGAGACCGTCAGGGTGGTAGGCCGCAGAGCAAACGCGTCGTCACATGACTGCAGATTATGTAGCAATGAAACGAAATCACGACGTGTCGGTGTTCCCGGGCTTCATTCTTGCATCCTCGCCACGCCAGCTCTTCGCTCAGCATTTGACCCTCTCCTTCTTGTCCGAAAACATCAATCCTGTTGCTGGGATCCCTCTTGCCGGCAAAAAATGCCCATCAAGCGAGAGTCGCCGCCGCCGGCGTCTCAGTCGCACTTTGCCAAATTTGCATGTGCCTCCTTCACGCCCGACGATGACGCGCCCTTCGAGCACGAATTCGCCCGCCTTGCCTCGTCCCAGCAATGGATATCCGGCTCCCAGGAGTACACGCAGGAGCGCACGATTGCGATGAGACAGGAGCTGATGGCGCACTACTTCTGCGACGCGCCGGACACCGAGGCCGAGCTCACCGAGCAGCAGAAACTCGCCGGATATCAAGCCCTGTGCCGCGAGGTCGGTCTGCCCGCGAGCGCCTCCATGGCCGACTGCAAAAAGAGCCTGAGAACTACGCTCGTCAATATCGTGGACCTGATTGACGCGCGGCGGACTTCACGAGAGGTCAAGGTCTGGGGTGATTTCGACGCCTTCCGCCGCTACACGCTGCAGCCCGAGCACAGAATCGACCGGGAGGAGGCCAAGAAGAACGGAGGATTCCTCGCCTCTCTGCTGCAGCACCTACGATGTCCACGAAGAGGAGGGGCAAGAAAGCACCGACGGAAGCCTGGTCTCGGCAGTTTCTGCACTCTCCGCGGGAGGATCGTGAAAAACAGCCGCGCTTGATCTGCGCTCACGGGGAACTACGTACGTGAGAAAAAGGAACGGTAGCCAGTTTATCTCACGACATGTATTGAGCAGCTCTTCTTGTTCCCGACTTGGATAAATATAAATGCACACAAAGCCTTTTCGGATGAGCACAAGACGATCACGGCATCAACCTCAGTTGGGCCGAAGCTCGTCTCTCCGCGGCGCCAGCTAAGCTCCAGCGGGATACGTTCGTTTTCCAAGTGCAACTATTTGGTTGGATGAAACGGCAAGACAATAGAAAATAGGCCACTTCTTCCAATACAAGGGGTTGTGGGATTGCCTACCGAAAAAGTACTCTACCCACCGCTTGTTAGCCCTGCCAGAGCCGTCTCCGTTGTGAAACGTGAGCAACAGTATGGCTGCTTCCAAGTACGTGGATGAACTGCCTTGCGGCGTCAAGGTGAAAGTCGGATTCGTCTTTTTGGAGGTCTGCAGTCGTCCAATACGCGCGTCGACAGACATTTGCACGTCAATGACCGGGCCTTTCCAGTGTGTCCGCGTTTGTGTCCGCGTTTGATCGAAGATGGTCTGGTTGAAGCTGTAGTTGCCGCCGTCGGGATACAGGTCGGCACGGCTTCGGAGCGTTGTTTTTTCATCTTGAACCACAGGCCACGTAGCGTCGTATTCCAAGGAGTGGCACTAAATCAGTCAAGGCTGGCGAATCCTGTATGGGAACCAGTTGACGTCTATGCCAGTCAACTACTCGGCGGATGTGGAATCTGTTCATGGGCCCAAGCGCGTTGAAACCTGCAGGCTGCCTAGTACAAAGCTATCTAGCTACCTGTGCGACTACGCTGAGTCCTGAGTCCGCTCATGGCCTGGCCAGGTAAGCTCAACGGGCGGAATCATAGTTCGCCGGACGAACATGGCTCCTTGGAAGAACCTGATGTGCAGTCAAGAGGCCCTACTGTCGCCTGCAAAGTGCTGCTGAAAGCATCATGTGAGGTTCAGGCGCGTGGCGACGTTGGGAGTCCACGATGGACGACGCGTCTCCATCCTGACCCGATGATGAAGCTGGCAGGGACCTTTGTCCTACTTATTCTGCCACAGCCAGAGATTTTTGGAGATCCGAGGACTCAACAGAGCTCTCACGTAGGACTGAAGTATATAAAAGTATATACTGCACAAATTACTGCAACACCCTTGCCAATCACTCGGGTACTTCTCAAGTGCCCTCTTGGTGGCTGTAGTTTTGTTTTCGCAACTACCTTCCATCTTGATAATACGCTATACAAAAGCATCACCCAAAATGAACCGCGAGATAAGAGCGTGCTATTGTCGAGATAATCTGTACCGTAAATGGTCAGCAGTGCGAAATCACGGAGCAATGTTCGTGGTATGAGGCCGCGTTCCGGGACCTGATAACTGAACTACTGTTTCTCTCCTCCTAATATTTACTCCTGCTCTTGAACGGCCGCGAGACCTGCCGCGGCCCCCACGCCCACGTTGCGTCGAGGCATGCTGCCCTTCGACTTCTCCCCCGGTGAGGCCGTGCTGTACGCTTGCCCGCGAATGCCTTGTGCCCCGTGCTGTTGGCTGAAGCTGCGTGTGACGCGGGATTTGAAGAAGTCACAGACAGGCCAAATATTGAGATTCTCGGTGTTTTGTGTTCCGTTCGCTCGCATCAGGGTCATTTCGGGCAGTTGTCGGCGGCTAATTCAAATGTGGTCTCAGTCCAGAAGAAGCGGAATGTCCGGATCCTTCAGCTTAACGTGAGGTTGTCTTTCCATAGGAGATACTGGGAAGCTTGATAACTAACGTACAGGGGGGTTCTTAAAGGCACAATCTAGGCGGTGCGTCATGAGCACTCTGAAGCAAGTTGCAACAGTAGAAACCAGCAACAAATAGGAGTCAACTGCTTTAGATAATGAAAGAGCAACAGTTGACCTTCGTCGACCGCCTTCGCATCCACCTACCTATAGTGCCCTTCAGCCTCGTGTCCTTCTGACCTCGGAGTCTGGTTGCCCCAGCTCATCTGACATGCCTACCGACAGCTATTGCTTCCAACAAGATAGGGCCTGGGTTGAATACGCAAACCAGAGCTCGTTTGATAGTGGCGTCGGACGCAAAGCACGCCGACTGTTTGCCCCCTACGTCCACCGACTTAACCGTTCAGTTTCTCCTCCCCCGCCAGAACGGTTCCCTTTCTCACAGCAGCCTGGTGGGCACGCGCAATATGGCCCCAGACGGGAAAGTACTCGTCAAAGAAGGGGATCATCTCCTTGGCTCCGGGGGTGCCTCTCCAGTCCCTCATGAGGTCGCATGCAATCGAGAACAGGCTGACAACATGGATCCCGGCTCGAGACATGGCGTCGTTTGAAATGTCGCGGACCAGTGCGGACGTCGTCCCCGAGGCTTCGGCATTGGCCTAGACGGAGTAACCGGCCTCGCGGAGCGACAAGGCGAGAAAGGAGGTGCAGACGTCGGTGGTGACGCCCGCCAGGATGATTTGTTTCTTGCCCGTCTTTACGACCGCGCTGCGGAACTCTTGGTTGTCCCAGGCGTTGACCTCGCCCTCTCGTAGGATCAGGGGCGCGTCGGGGTGCATTTGCACAATTTCTCTCGGGAGAGGGCCATTCGGGCCTGTCTGTGGATTAGCGACAGGTGACGACGACCAGATTTTGGTTTTATACGCCCAGGTGGAAGCGGGAGGGAGTGCACGCCTGTGACATACCGGCTTGTGTGGACGTGGTCATGATGACGGGGAGGCCGAAGATCTTGCCCAGCGCCGCGTGGGCCGTGACCTGGTCCCGGAACAGGTTCGGGTCCAAGTCTCTCGCGGTGTGAAAGAGACCGACTTGATGGTCTACGATGAGGAGCAGCTGCTGACGGTCAGGTCTGTACACGGGGAGCGAATCACGACTGTGCCGTGCATACAGAGTTGTTCTTGTCCAGCCTTTCGTAAGTAAACTCTGCAGAGGGCCCCTTGTTAATCTTCATCCAGGCCTTTTGCCGCGTTGGACTTGGAACTTACTCTCTCCAGGATACCCGTCGGCTGCGGCTGCGACAGTCGCAAGCGCGGTCAATGTCAATGGGAGTAGTTTCATACTGGCAGAGTATCGTGCAACTCGAATTGACTGAGAGTTGTACGCAAACAGGTTGTTACTCAAGTGATTTATGGAGTTGGCTATGTCGTATGGAAAAGCCTGCTCACTCGAGACCCTTTTACTCAAGTGATTTATGGATTTGGCTGCGTCGCATGGAAAAGCCTGCTCACTCGAGACTCTTTTATACATCTCAAGGTCCTGTAGATGATCTGGTCGTCGTGCAACTTGTGAGATGGCGTTGGCGCCGTCGCCAGAACCTTCACCCATCTCATGTAACCATTACCGCACGCTTATCTGTTGCTTATTTACGCGCAGCTCCTGGCCGTGGTGTCACTCCAGCTGCAGATGCGCAGTCGCAGTCACTTCGCTTCCATGCAGCTTGTAACGACGCCCGCATGCGACGCAACGCGCAGCGGCTGAGGCGACTAATCACCAGCAGACGCCGTTGGACGGATTTTGTCATGCCGTAAGCGCCAGATGGCCCTCGACAAGAGTTTTGTCATCATCAGAAACGTGGTCTGGATGCAATCATGTGCCTTGCTTGGTCTGTCTGTCTGTCTGTCTGGTGCCACGCTTTCCGTCCTGCGCCTGGGTTGAAAAATATTTGACTCACACTGCTCTGCTCTGCTCCGCCAAGGTTCCCCGTCTACTCTTGCGACAATCTCTGTCAATACACCATCTAACATGCCGCTATAGCCCCGAGGAAAGCCCTGCTCTCGTTCCCCTGGCGAACCTTTGCCAAAGGCACCAGGTGATGCTCACCATCAGGACTACCGCTCTGAAGACGCCGAATGTAAGCCTGTGCAACAGACAGCCAGCTGGCCTTTTCTTGTCGACTAGCACCGACGCCCTCCCAGATCCAAACGCCCCTGCTGCCGTCGTCGAGCAAGAAGACGTCGTTGCCGTCGAGGTCGGCTTGTGAAATGCGACCGCCGTCCTTGACAAGATCAAACGTCAAATGACCAGAGGCATCGCTGAGACGGAACAGCTTCCTCGGGCGCTGGACAGCGTCACCGGCGGAGCGTCTCGACGCAGCCGCGGCCATCGGGCGGCGTTGCCTGAAGCCGTCCCGGGGTGAGTCGTCTCCGCCATCGAGCAGCTCGGTGATGCGGCGCGATCGGGACTCGTCCTGCGCAATGACCTCGACGTCGACGTGCTTGGCGAGCGTCATGTCGTGGACGACCTGGGCGGCCTTGGCCCTTTCCATGGGGCTGCAGGCCTTGCCTTGCCAGACCCAGATCTTGTGGCCGGTGTCGAGGATGAAGACGTCGCCGTCGTCGAGGCTGGCGACTGCGGGCTCGACCTCGTGGACGACGAGGCCGTTGGCGGCAGACGCAGACGCAGACGCAGACGGGCTCTTGAAGACACGCAGCAGCGTGCGCGTCGGCGCCTTGGGGGCGTCCTCTTGGACATGGCGGAAGCCGGTGCGGACGCCGCCCGACCGGATGGACATGCGCGGGAACAGCGCGAGGAACTCGTCGGACGGCGCGCTCTGGAGCTCGCGATGCTGCGTCGCGGCCCCGTGCAGGAACTCGTCCAGCTCGACCGTCTTGTACGCCGCGGCGCCGGCTTCGTCCTGCGTCGTCCGGCTTCCCAGCCAGAAGAAGATGTCGTGGCCGAGCTTGTCCGACTCCCTGCCGGCCCGGTACGAGTGCAGCACGATGAAGCTGTCGCCGTCGTAGAATTGCCCGTACTGGTCCTCGGGCCAGGGCACGACCCGGAACTGCTCGATGCGCCATACGCGCAGGCCTGCTTTGGCGCCCACTGCGCCGTCGTTCCACGCGGGCTCCGTGGCAGCCGAGTTGTACTTGACACGGTGGTCAATGTCGGATCCTATGAGCTCCACGTTGCTGTCCTTGACGTCGTATTCCCGGGGGTGGACCAGGCCTTGGTTGGGAGCCATCTTCACGCGTGGGCGGCTGGACGGGTGAAGATGCTGGGCTTGAAGTTGATGACGGTCGAGTTGAGGCGTTGATGGAACAGCAGCATTCTTGGGATGACGAGTCCAACCTCGCTGGACGTTGGCGATGCTGTCCTCCGTCACAGGGGTTTCGCGGCTGAGACTTGCGTCACAGGACAAACTCTAACACACGAAGGGGGGGGCCGGGCTCGGGACAGGGGCTCGACGTGGCTTAGAAGGGTCCGACGGAGTTTCATCTGCTCTTCAACTGGTCTGGCGCTGTCGATCCATGGCAACTGTGTCGAGGCCTCGGATGGCTCAGGTCACAGACGAGGGAGGGCTGGTGGTTGTCGATGTCAAGGCAGACAAAGGTATAGCTTCAATAGTTGTCAACTCCTCAACTCCCAACCTGATAGTACTCTCAGTATAAATACATTTTCAGCCCTTGTGTGCTTCTCCACAACATTATCCACTCGTAATTACAGTCAAAGCGGGTGGCGCAGATACCGACTTGACCTGCCATCTCATGATGCTGCAGCATCTATCCCTCTCCGTCTCGTCGCGGCAAAACAGTACAGTTGCACGGGATTTCTCGTAGGCGTTCTCGATTCAGTGGGAACACGGGTACGCAGGGTCCAGATCAAGATGGCCGAGTTTCTGCTCACTGCTCATCCTGGGGCGCTTTTGGCCATCAAGGGCACCGGGCTAATCGTTTTATTGAATTGGCGGCGCACACTGCTCTTGCCTGGACGTGACGATGCTACAACCTTCGCACTCGGCTCTACATCCCCCCTCTTGAGATGATGCTGTCACACCAAAAAACGGGTGTGGCCACACCACACTATTTTGTGTGGTATGCCACCTCACATCCTATGTGACAGATACCAGAACCAGGATCTAGCTTCCGATCCAAAGACCCGTCCTCGAGGCGTCAATTCGGCTCACCAGCCCCCGCCGACCTTGGCGTCCTCGTCGAGTTGTATCGTAATCAGTTGGCAGCGACGAAAAATCTCGAGCGCTTCGTCATAAATCTCTAGTCTCTCCCGCTCGGTCAACAGCTTGCCTGCCGTGACGACACGGTCTCTGAACCGGGCCTCGACGGACGCCTCCTCTTCTACACGCCAGAACGACAGCGGCGGCGGGAGGGCAGCAGACGGATCCATCTCTGCGGCAGACAGGCCCCAGAATTCCGGACCAGCCTTGACGAGCTGCTTGCGGATAAAGCGCCCGCCGTTGAACAGGGCCTGGTACATGATCCATGCGTAGACCACGAGGAGATGCGGCTTCGTGGGGATGTAGTCCTCGATGTATCTGCGGAACTCGGTGCCCGCGTTGCCTCTTGTCGTGTCGACGCTGGCGGCAGCCCGATGCAGCTGCTTCAGAGCGGCGAAATCCGCCTGCAGCCTCTTTGTTCGCAAAAGCTCGGGGAGGTATATCATTCGCAGGACCGCCTGGATCCTCTCCTTGTCAGTCCCGTACGAGCTCGGCTCGTTGCTGATGTCTCCCATGCACTCGGCACCGTCGCCGATCTGGGCATGCCACACCTCCTCTAGGCCCCGGTAAATTTCTGCATAGCGGGAGAGGCCCAGGGTGTAGAGGGCCGGCGATTCGGCTCGAGGCGGCAAGCACAGCGGGATGCGGGCCGTGTTGAGACGATTGACCTTCCCATGGACCTCCCTGTCATCGATGGCGATTCATGAGTCGGCTGAGTGAGGCCCGGGGGGCGGGATCGAGAGCGGTGCACAAACCTGATGACGAGTTTAATCTTTGACGGGAGATCCGTGTCGGCCATGTCGAAAACGCGATGTGGTAGGCAGGGGATCGAGTTTGGTGCTTCGGAGCGGTGCGTGGAAAAACGAGGACGTACAAGCGATATTTATGCTCGCGCTACGTCCCACCGATCGGTCTGCCTTTTGCTGTATCGCTGCGGATAAGTCATCCGGTGGTTGAAGCTTCGCGGTCACGCGATAACGGGACTTCAGCCCGTAAAATACCGTGGTGTGGCCAAGCCCATTTCTTGGCATTCCTTCCTATCGTGCGACACCATTGTCATGAGCAAGTTTGCACTAGACGACTGCTCGTCATCCCACCTCCATGACCTAGAGATGTTCGGCTCATGTCTCCTTCGTGGAGATGACCACCAGCTTGGTCGGCTCTTGACGTAATATGCGATGTTCGTATGCCAGATTCTCCTCCATCACGATTCACGACTACAAGCCTGCGGGCGACACGTCGATATATTGGCACAGATCCACTTTGGTCCTACGCCGGCTTGACTCGTGATAGGTCCTGAAATCTCCATCTATGCCTGGGATGACTAGTCAGCTGCTTCATTCTGAGAATCCGGCTCGGGCTGCCGTGCAGATGACCTCCCAGGAGCACAGGATGCAACGCCACACAACCCGGGAGCGGCTGAACATGATGGCCGTGTACCGGGCTGTCGCGCCTTTGACCTTCCCTTCGCTCGAGTATCATTAGCATGAGAGGACGAGGCATTCTACCCTCGTCCTCGCTCTGGGTGGACAACTTTCTGTTGCCGCGCTCAATCGCTAGCGGTGCTGCTCATGTCTCGTCGCCACTGTGCTGCCGCTCCTGCTGAGGGTCCCACGTCACATGGCTGTCGATGGAGGTCTGTTACATTCGTTTGTCATAAGCTTGACGCGCAAGGTCATCTGTATTCGAGTTGCTGCAGCGGAACCAGCGACCGCCGTTGTGCTTGCGTTTGCAACAGGACTCGGACCTACGTGCCAGACTTGACGGCTCATGAGGAGCAAGCACAAACAACACCCAAAGCCGAGTTCCCAGACTTGAATGTGCTTCTATTCATTTCTTCCAACGTCGGAACCCTAGAGCGACGGCTGACTTGATGCTGATATGCGACCATCCATGCCCATCTCTATGCTCTCAGCGCAAATTGTTCGTCACGCTTCCCACCATAACAGCAATCTCTCTATCCCAGCTCGCCTCGGCGGCCTTCTCCTTGTTCCTGCCCGTGGCAAACGCCCCCGGTGGCTGCGAGCCCTTGATCACAGCTTGTCGAATGGCATCCCCAACATTGGTCTTGTTTGACTTGAGTGATCGCGCAACAACGCCACCTCTGTTGACGATATCCTGAACCCGAGAGGCTAGACTGCCCGCAATGGTGCGCCAAAAGTACGATGCCAAGGATCCTGTCTCGAGATGTGCAAGGAGCGGCTGGATGAGACTCGGTTGTTTGTGGGTTGGCGAAGCCGCGAGCAGTGGATGGGCAGGGGGTTTGTTGGCATGCAGGATGATTTCGAGGGCAACAATGTTTTGACACTTGGACGTGGCCTCGGAGAGGGCCCGGTCCAGAGAAGGGAGCTGCCCGAGGGAGCGAGAGAGGGAGGTGATGCTCGTCTGCAGGGACACTCGAATATAGTTGTCCAGGGCGGCGAGGAGCAGCCGCGGTGACCAGCGGTCGGCCTTTACGCCGTATGTCGGCGAGAGGAGATACAAGGCTGCCATGGCCGCTCCTAGCCTGGCCTTTGCTTCCTCTCCTTGGGCAAAGGTCGTGCTGCCGGAGATGGAAAACTCCCGCACCAATCTCTCGGCTGTTTCGCGGACGGACCGCTCAATGGGCGAAACGACGGCGTCTTGGAGTGTGCGGATGGCATCAACCTTGCCCAGACCGTGGCCTTCTTCGTCGGGTCCATCAGCCTCAAGGACCTCTCGGAGAGAAAGGATGGTGTATGAGCATCGGACGAGTGCCCCGTCATCTTCTTTGCCTCCAAGACCACCTAGCTCCGACTGCTGGACTTCCAACTGCCGCCCGAGCTGGAGACAGCGACCAACTGATCGGCCGAGGCGCAGCGTTTCCCACAATCGCAACGCGACTTGTCGAACTTGGTCAGCCTCTGCGTGCTTGTCAATGACCTCCTTCTCCAATTGCTTGTAGCTATCGTCGAGGCTTTTGATCTGTGTATCTAGCTCCGAAACAATACGCTTGCTGGCCTCGTTTTGCGCTCGTGTATATTCCAGCAAGGGAACCGCGGAGCGAGTGGTCAACAGGTCGATGTGCGAATCGACCTCCTGCGCGTCGAAGAGAACTCGTGACAGCGGCGTCGAGAGATCGAGGGGTGTATCGTTGGCGTTGTTGGTCGACACGACGAGGGCGTTGGCAAACTGAGCGGCCGAGAAGTCCGGGGAGAGAAAGGCTTCGTAGTCAATGTATGAGGGCTCGTCCGGCTCGATTGTGCTTGGTTCGGCAGCCATGGTGGGTGGGTGATTGTGAGAAGATTCGTCGAGGGTTTATCGCATCGTGTCCCGAGTTTGACACGTGGTTACGCGTGGCGGGAATGAAGGGACAGCTGGCAATATGACTTGTACTGTCAAGAATTGGCGTGGAATGAGCGTTGTTCGAGGGCGACTACTAAGACTAATAATTGGAGATGCCGGGGAATTCATCCCTGTCCATCATCGTCTCGCCGTCGGCCCAAATTCTCGGACTTGATGGCACCCCGCAGCATCGGGGCGAACCCATCCAGCCCGTGTGGGCGGGTCTATCAACACTGTGCTGCCACAGTCTGCTTACCCAGATAGCTGTACACATCTCGGCGTCCGCACTGTGTGCTTACTGGCTCACGCGGACATTAGCTTCTGCCGTGCGTTCCGTAGTCGAAGAAATCGCGATGCTATAGACTGCTTCGGCATCTTCCAAATGTCAACCTTTTTTTTCGGCTCGGTTCGTCTGCACTCTTTCGGCACCCGTTGCTTTGCTCCCGGCTCGTCTTGTTGTTGTTGCTGGGCGGCAAACTGTCCTTGTCCTCGTCGGTATTGCGACACGCTTTAAGAAACCCGACTTCGACGCGCGAATGCTTCGATACTCGGCTAGCAATCACAAGTCTCTGAGAGGGCATCCAGCAGACGCCGTCTGGTTCTTCAAAGGGTGCGTGAGCGCGGTCCGACAACTGCGTCGCAGGCTCGCCGCGTCCTCGCGCCGTCCACTTCGCATCCCTTCCAACTGTAGCAGAAACTCTTCAACATGATCCATTTCGACGTCTTCGACGCCCGCGACCTTCTGTTCCGACGAGACTCGAGCTTCCCCCCGGGCGCCAACAGTAGTGATACCGTCATTGGCAATGTTCATTTCAACACCACGGCCCTAGGCAACAACAACTACACATTCTACCCGGGCAACAATACCTTGTCCAACGCCTCGAATTGTTATATGGTATTTGCGCCCTACACACCAGTCTTGGTCCAGGCCAATGGCAGCTTTGTCAACGCAACAACATGCTACAGCTCCGTCAATCCCATAGGTAAACGCGGCTACGTCGGCATTGCTCTTGGTGTTCTGTACGGTCTTGCCATCGTCCTCACTCTCGTTGCACTGGCCAAGCATGGCGCATTGTATCTCCGCGCGACAAGACGTTTCTACCCCATCGGTCGAAGATGGCAATGGTATTGGGCATGTCTTGTCTCTGCTTGTGCCATCATCAGTCTCTTTTCCGGTGTGGAAATCGAACGATACTACCTCCAGGATCTGCCCATTATCCTCTGTGTCTTCTTCTGGTTTCTCATGTGCATGGGGACCGCCGCACTGGTATGGGAGTCTGTGCGACACTGGGGCAGCTGGCTCGAGAGGCAGTACGTAGATCCGAACCCTTTTGTGTATCGTGAGGATGATGGACGGGCCAAGGTCGAGTTTTGGCTGCCGTTGTGGTTCTACTTTTGGTTTTGGATGGTGAGTGTTGCGTGCTGTATCTGTCAAGTCTTTACATGTGCACTCGCTAATTCTCACTCTAGAACTTCTTCATGGTTGTTCCCAGAAGCTGGAACTTCGCCAGGTCACAACACTCAGTCGAGCAGACAAGGGCCGTGGCCATTCCCACCGCCACGAGTGTGCGGTTCAAGGTTGGGGCGTTTTGTCTTGTCGTCTGCTGGCTCACAATTATGTTCTCCCTGACACATTCGATCCGGTACTACAGGCCTCGTCACCGTGGCATATTCGGCCGTGCTTATGGACTCGTGCAAGCCGTACCTCTCCGATTCGTTCTCACCATACCCTTGGTGCTTGCATTGATCGCTTACCAAACAGTGATATCATTCATTTGGGACTTTTCCCTCGTCAAGGAAGACGGAAGCGTGCCCATCATCATGGCTTGGGGCTATGGCCCGTCTCTGCTCATCATCTACATTCAGATCGTGTACGCATACGCCACACCCAACGAGGACAAGGAACTCATCAGACAACGAAGGGAGCGCGGAGAGACTGTGGATCGTGAACTCGGCGTAGTCCATAAACCAGCGTGGTGGAGACGTGTCCGCGGTGAACACCTCCGCACCATGAGAGACAAGATTAACCAAAATGTCAACGAAGTGGGCGAGCGTGGAATCGGCCGACGAGTCGAGAACGACGCTGAAAGAGATGTTCGTCTAGAAGCTGAACGGTCTGCCATCAATGGCGACACTTTCGAGCTCAGCAGTCTTAGAGACAACCCTCACAACCCGCGGGTCGACAGAGCTGGTGTTCACATACTCGGTACAACAACGTCGGTTACCGACGATCCGTTGGCCAACCCCTACATGGGTAAGGACAGTCGGCGGCACGCAGAGAGGCTCATGCAAAGCGCTGGGACCGTCTTGTTCCCTAGCCAAGAACTGGCCATGGAACGAGCCAGGAGAGCAACTGAGCTCATGGAGGACGGGCCGCCGCCGCCATACCAAGACAGGCAGAGGAGAGAATCGGAGACGCAGAGACCCTCGTCGGCACACAGGTCGAATAGTACGTCAACGACATTGAGTGTCAGCGCGGAGCCACAACGGGTGAGAAGCATGTTGGATGTTTGAAAGCGTCCAAATGGTGACATGCCATGGCGCCATGGCTGTGTGAGCATGGTTGGGCTGGTCCTGGTGCGTTGACATTGAAGAGTACGGAGTAGGTGCTATTTAACTCATGGAGATGGCGAAGTTGCGAATGGGACGCGTATAAATCCCCCGTCTGTGACGACTTGCGTTTTGATTACGTAGTATGAGTAGTCCGTAGTGTACTGGCAAATACATATCCTTCCATGCTCGACTGTACTCTAACTAGCCGAGACATAGGCAAGTGTAATGAATGCGAGCACAGGTGCAATATGGCATTGGATGAAACACCGATACATGTCTCAACCTTGCCCATGATCCTGGAGACTGCAACATCATCTTTTCCATGGCAGACAGTTACCCAGCCTACCAGTGGCTTCAACCGGGATGGCATCGCACGACGTATCACCACATTTACATGCAGCATGCACACTGCCCACCATTCCGCCTGCTCTGGCCCATTATCCTCAGCGACAAAATAGATGCCTCCCACGTCTCTGTGACATGGGCCTGATCTTGCAGACCGAGGTGGAGGCATGGCAGGGCCTAACTAGCGTAATGGATGGGACGCATGGGCTCAAGCTCGGATGGAAATGTAATTCTGATGTTGGAGGCCTTGGTGTGTAAGGTGAAGTGACATAGCAATTGCGTCTGGAGCGAGAAAAGTTACGGTGGTTTGTGGTGAAGTCGGGTGGCGGCAAGTCTCGGAGCAGTTGACGAGTCGTTTTATGTCACGATTCACGCAGGCGAGTAGCAGACGCATGAAGGTGGCCGGCGGGACCCTCGTCGCTCCTTCCCTCGAACCTCCGACTGACAGCACAAGTGAACGTCCGGATATTCGCCACATCCATACTCCGTACTATTTTTTTTTCTTCGCCTTGTCGTTTATTGCAAGTTTGTGCTCCCCTTCGTCATTGGTCGGATCCAACAGAGTCGGTCTGCCCGTGGCCGCCTTGTTTTTGTCCGGTTCTGCGATAACAATGCGAACGTCTACACGGGGCCACTTGGTCATCATCGTGACCGATTCCGAACGATGGCTCCAGGTCCAAATTTCGACGCTCCTCAACGCCAGCTGATCCTCGTGCTCAGTCCAGCAAGAAAGAGCACTTTTATTACAGAGTACATGAACCAACTCTCCACATCCTCCTGCTGCGGGACAGCAGGGGACAATTCATCAGTTACCATCACGGTCTGCACACAGGCTGGCCCGCGTTCTGTGAATGACCACAGAGGGGCCTGCTACCGATTCAACAAGACAAGTTACCGACAGCTCGTGGCCCTGTATGTTGTCTCGCATACTCCCTCTTGGGCATCGTGAATCCCGCTGAAACCAAACGATCAAGGGCGAAACCACTGAAGTCAGTCTCCCCTGGTGTCCCCGCCACCAGGTCCAGGCACGTCATGGATACGCATCGATTCTCTTGATCGGCAGCCATCTCCACATGGCTCCAGGCGACGTTGCCGACTGGTTCCTCAGCCTAACTTGTCAGTTATGCACGGAGCACAATCAGCCAGCCATCCGCTTTGACTTCTGCATGTTGGCCGCCCCGCTATCGGTCGTCAGTTCGCGACCCCATCATGAGATTGACGGAGTGCATGGCCGGGGCAAGTACCTCGATAATGGTGTGCATTCCTGGGTCCTGACACCATCAGAGAACTGACTCCGTCTGTGATTTAACCCTAATGCCGTTGTTAATAATCATGCGGCTCTGTATCGTTCAGAAGGCTGAACCTTCCCGTCTCGATGGCTGAACCCTCCATGGCTTCCACTCAGGTGCGACATCCTAACCGGGCAAGGTCAGGTTTCTGACAGCTTGACGGGCATGTGGGTGCACTCTACTCCGTACTTTGCCACGCTTTCTTCTTGCCATGATTTCAATTGTCCTTGAGGTGTGCATGGCGCATATGGGTGTACTGTTAACGCCTCTGGAAGGCTAGTCTTGATTCCGAAAACGTCTGACATTCAGTGATCTGAGCCAGGACGTCGGGGGTCTAACAACTGCCCTCAGTGTATTTCCTGTCTCAGCTTTCGTGTCCAACGTGTCGTCTACAGCTTCTGACATAGATGGTCACTGAACTCTTAGTGGCCTCATGCGAGCGTGAATCCTGGCACTTGACGATTCAAACAAGGCGAATTGGTGAGTTTGAGTTGAATGGAGGGCTGGGCAATCTACGCAGTACTTGTTGCAGAAGCCATCAGGAGAAGGAAGCACCACAGATCCACTACGATGCGAGGCACATCGTTTCGTTGGACCGTCATCCCTCGTGTGAGGGGGGATGAGGGCGTACACAAAACTAGCAGTGGACAAATAAGAAACGATGTACGTCGTAGCACAGAGTGTGGACCAGGCAAGAGGTTGCCACCCCGCAGATGCTTGATGCTTGGATGGCGCCGACCTCTGCGCGCCGTGGCGGTGCCGTTGGGGACATTAATTAGCACTAACTAGCTTGTTGCATAGATTCGTGGCCCGTCGATCTGGATGCCACTGCCACGATACAGGAGGAGTTCGCCTCTGGCATTAGCGACAGATAGTAACGTATAAGGATGAACCGGAGCCGCCAAGGACAATATCGAGCAAAAGCAAGCGGGTCTCATGGCGAGCCTAATCAACAGCCCGATCGGATTCTATTTCAGCATGCCATGTCGTCCGGAAGCAATCGGCCAACTCTATCGGCACACCGCTTGCAACCAGTGAGTGTAGCGTGGCGACAAAAACTTCCGGCACTCCCGTGGACAAGTGAGGAACTGCCTCTGGAAGTCGTAAGCACTGGCAGGCCCAACGGTGATGACTGGTCACTTGATTGGGAGGTGCAGCATCCCCAAAACCATCCAGCAACGGATTGATGCCTTGGCTGGGCGCCGTGTGCCTGGACCCCGCCCGCGCCAAGATGATGGATGGGTGGATGGGTGGATGGGTGGATGACCTGTACCTTACGTCTCGTCTGTACCTTGCGCAGGTCCAACGGACGTTCTTTGCGGAGCAGCGATGGACTTTGGCTGAGATACGGAGTACATTGTCGAGCATGACAACAAATGCCGAACATGGGCCATGGCCGAGTGCTGCATGGTGCAGAATGTCGCCCGGCCAGCCGGCCAGGAACTCCCAGCCTCGGCCTCGGCCTTGGGGCCAGCAGCTTGCCACTTTCCATCGGGTCAGGGAGGCCCAGGGCCATGGAGGCCTGGTGAAAGCTGCTGGACAACGAGCTCCTGTAGGTCGCTTCTCTATCCCGAAGCCCGAGATTTGTGTTGCCGGTGGATACACGGAGTACGGACGCCGGAGTATGGGCCGTGCTTGGTACTCGTCGACCACCAGCCAGGGTTGCTGACGAGATGTAACTAGGCATTGCGGAGAACAATGCACCACTTGGGTGGCGCCAACCACCTCGACCACCAAATCATGGAGAGGCAAGCTGGCTCACTCATCACGTTTCGAGTGAGTCGGCTGAGCCGCCAAGTCACCACGCAAGGAAGCCTTGTCCCAGGACCTGGGTACGAGCTGCGAGCGTCTCACATCATCTTTGGAGGCAGTCTCGGTGTTTGGTTCAGCAAATGTCTTGCGTTGCCATTTAGATGCGCGGGTTGGCCAAAGCGTCACCACGAGGGGGTGAATGCTTCCAGGGGCCGCTGAAGACGCCGCCGGGGAGGTTTGCTCCGTACTCCGTACTTTTTTCACTACTACTAGTACTAACTTGTTGGTACCAAGTAGATTCAGGTGACGCAACGCTTTTCCCACGAGGCTGGGGGGACTTGGTCGAACAGGAGGTGCCCAAGTACGGAGTACTTCTTGGTATAGTAGTTACTGCACAGCGCAGCACAGCGCAGCACAGCACGTCTGCTGAGGTAGCACACAAGTCCAGGCGTTGCAGGACGCTGTCACCATCACTGGCAGCTCCCTGCTTTTACCTTTTGACTAGTAGCTTCGTTTCTTTGCCATGCAGTCAAGGTGGTTGGGTTGGTTGGTTAGCTGAGCTCCCTACCAAAGTGTGTGTCAAGGTCCAAGGCTGGCTGGATCTGGACTCCACCAAAAGGCAAAGACATGGTATGGCCCCAAGGACGACCCGGCACATGTGGGAGTTTTCCCGTTAGTTATCGTACCACAACCACATCCGTCGTCAGAGGCGGGAAAAGCAACGAGATGGCGAAGAATCGTCGAGACTTTTCCGGCCGCACACCACGAGGAACCATGGGCCCCGTTCCTTTTCATCGCCCACACAGAAGGCTCGGGCGCCGGGCCCGACTCTGCTGGCTGTCAAAGCTTGCGTCCACCGGGCGCCTGCCTCCCTCTCTCTCCCTCGCCTGATGGGTGGTGCCTCTTGCTCATGCCGGTCCAAGGTGGCCATGATGTGCCTTGCTCACGGTCGAATGAATTCTGGGTGTGGTTGTGTCCCTCCACCTGTTCCCACCCATGCCCCTGTCGCCGTGCCTCATGACCAGCCGTGGTCGTTCCGAGGAGGTCGGGTTTGCTGGCGGCCTTCGCACCAGGCAACGTTCCGCAAACAGCCCAGTTCTGGCCCTCCAGACTCCAGAGGCGCCGGCCGTTCGTCCTCCTGCCACGCGGCCCTGGACGTTGGGTCCTGGCTAGCGAGGAGATTCGAGACATGGCCCGAGCCAGGCTGACGGCCACCCCCCCTACCCCGTACTCGGTGCGCTGCGTATTGCGACTCTCCTTGCGCAGTTGGCGTTCTCGTCAAGCTCGCTCGTCGTACGGGCAGTGTTCCTGGATCATGCTCCGTATTGCATCTTCATCCTCGACCTGCCCTATTGTGCCGACGTGGTACCTGCAGGCACCGCGCCAGTAGCCCGCACGGCAACAGAAGAGAAGCGCGGGACATACGACATACACTCCCCCCACAAAGGCCGCAATCCACACCATGACCATTGTCCAGTCAGGGCCGTCAGCAAGGTCATTGACCTCTTGTTTCATGGATGGGCTTCATTCTCTGCCTGTCTGTCATGCTTGCGCAGCGAAGGGCAAGCGCGGTGGCTTGGCTCGAGCAAGCCCCGTCGCAAGCCGCCGCAAGGTATCGATTTGTTTTGGACAGTCAAGATGGCCTACGGAGAACCGCCCGGCAGGTACCGACACTGACCGATGCGATGCTGTCCTGTCGTGGACCGCGCCAACGGCCGGCCTGGGTTGCCTGGGTTGGATGGTATTTTTACTTTGCAATCGTGATAAGCTTTCCTCAACCACCAAGCGCGCATGCATGCTCCCTCTTGGTCGGCGCGGCGTCGACGTTTAGACTTCAGACCTCGATGCTCGTCAAGTCCGCACCATCCGGCATCCCGCTGCGAATCGCACGCTTTCGTCCGAAACACAGAGACACAGAGAGAGGGGCGGGGGAGAGAGAGCAGGCGAGACGAGACATTCTACAGTAAGCTCCACGGGCGGCGCCGGCGCAGACCCCACTGGATACTTGCTGAGTACCCCGTACCCCGTGCTAGAAACTAGAAAGGCCGGACCGCATTCCCCCCATCAGTTTCCTGCCAGTGAGTCCTGTGGCCCGCCCGCCCCCCCTGCCGCCTCGCCTCGTCGCCCCCTCCCCCTGCTCCGCCGGGCTCCTTCAGCCTCACCCACTGTCCACGGTCCACGGTCCACGGTCAGACGGCCGCTTAACAATACCCTCCATCCCCTGGGCGACCCTCCACTCAACTTTCACCTTGACCTCCCTTCCTTCCACCCATGGACTGACGCTCCCGTGCTCCGTACCTCGCTCAGCGTCACGAACCTTCTCTGGCCCGCTTCTCATCCTGCCCTCTCCCCGACGACATCCGTCCAACTCCTGACAACTTCGACGGCCACGCCATAAGCAAGCACCTCGCCATCATGGCAGGTGCCTTCCGACCGGTGAACTCGTCGCTGCTGGGCGAGTCCATCAAGGAGGAGCCCGTGACGACATCCTCTTCCTCTTCCGTCACGCCGCGGCCGAGTACGGCATCACAACATCCGCCCCAACCACAACCGTCTCGTGCGGTGCCCGACGACTCCAAGACGCCCACTCGATCGACATTCAACCCGGCTGCCGCCGATCCGAAGCCACTGCCCAGCGCCCCGTTCCCTCCCGCCGGACCGGCATCTGAGTCGCCAGACGGCATGCCGCGCCGCGAAAGCCCGCAGCATTCTACCAAGTCATCCAGACGAGATTCCATAGACGTGGACATGGATGATTCCGACGGAGAGACTGGCGTCGGCGCCGACGACGGCACGGTTTCTGATGGGGACAGCGTAGGTGGCGACGGCTCAAAGTCAAATAAAAAGAAAAAGTCGCAACGCTTTTATTGTACCGACTACCCACCATGCAACCTAAGTTTCACTCGGAGTGAACACCTGGCTCGACACATTAGGTTCGTGTCGCCATCATTACGAGGATTCTTGGCAAGGCCCGAGGGTCATCATGGCCGTGCAGGTGCTAACCACGCTTCACAGAAAACACACTGGGGAACGACCATTTCAGTGTCATTGCTCTCGCCGCTTCTCACGACTCGATAACCTGAGACAGCATGCCCAGACTGTCCATGTAAATGAGGATATTCCCATGGACTCACTCGCGGCAACGGGGTCGCGCTTCCAACGGCAAATGCGAACCACAGAGAGAGTACGGCAAGCCGGCAACAGAGCAAGAGCATCCACAAGCGGCAGCGCGGGCGGACCTGTCCGCGGCCACTCCAAGAGCCTGTCCACGTCCAGCATTGCCAGTATCAGCTCTGTTGGCTCTGGCTATGGTCTTCAGGCGGATGCGAGGAGGCGACCACCGCCCCTCGTGATGGCTGCTGATCCTCGGACTCGGATGTCGCTTGAATCGTACCGAAGCAATGCAGACAGCACTTTCTCATACCGACCTCCCTCTCCGGGCGATTACAGCGCTCCGACGTCTGCTACCTTCTCGACTGCGCAGAGCAGCCCGAGGTGGGTGTCCGGAATGCCCTCGCCTACGACATCCCACACACGCTCCCAAAGCCTGTATAGCTCCGGAAACCGAACGCCAGGCCGAAGGCTGAGTGTGCCATCCACCGCAAACCCCTTTCAGTCAGCGCCCGCTCGTCCGTTGTTCAGTGCTGGCCACCTGAACAGTTCGCATCCGTCGGCTTTTTCACCCGCCGCTTCCAATCTAGTTCCGTCTCCAACGTCGTCAGCGTCCGGGTGGTCCACCCGGCGAGACTCTGTCTCGAGCAACGGCGACGAGGCGTGGAGGCGTCGCACATGGCACCCGGACAACCGAAATTACGGCAACCAGCCGCCGCAACCTCAGTCGAACCAACTAGCAGGAGTCAATCAGAACGTGGGACCGAATCCTCCTCCACCCATCGCAAAGCCCTCAAACGCTCAGTCGTCCTTGCGGCTCCCCGGCATTGAGTCGTTCGATCCGCTTCCACGCCGACATCCAACGCCGCCGCCGCCGCCTCCGCCGCCGCCTCCGCAGCGCCAGCAGCCTGGCCCTTCGGCCATGGCCATTGACTCGGAGGCGGCATATCGACGACCTTTCCAGCCTGGAGTGGGTGAGACAATTCAGCCAGACGAACGCCGCAATTTGAACATGTACGATGCCAGCCTGCAACGCGGGTTGAATCGTCTAGATATAAGCCACAAGACGCCCCCTCGTGATGGTGCCGGAAGTTGGGCTTCGGAGGCCAATAGGGCTGTCCAAGCCCAGGCTGAGCGCGTTCAGACGCAAACCAGTCAGCCGAGCGTTCGGTTCGAGGACCAGACGCCGCCTTCCCGACAGTTTCCATCTTCTGTGCACAGTGGTCGACCTCTCCACCAGCATACCATGTCGGCGCCATCGATCGCAACAGCGAGGGAGAATAAGAGGCACGGCTGGTACCACAGACCGGGTGTCCCGCTGCATCCACCCGGCGAGCTCGTGTTGCAGGATCCCCGCGGTGCCCATGTTGATCGTATGGTTCACCCGAACTTCACTGGTTTTGGCGGTTTTCCCGGCAGGGAACAGCCAGCTCAACCCCAGCAACAGGATGGGAAAGGAAACCCCGACTCGCTCAGGCGCTTGGAGGCGCTTGTGGCTGTCGCGACGAGCGAGGGGACGACAGCGACAGCCTATTAGAGAAGCAAATTCTCACTCTTATTCGCAGAATAAGTCCCAGTGAACCTTTGACCCCCCTCCCTTTCGGCTCCCAGACTTGTCTACTATTTCCCGCCAGACTTGTCCCCCGTTTTATGACTTTGTTTCTTGTCGATACGCCTTGCTTCGCTTTGGAACATACACGTTGCGGTTTGTTGTCGGCGAGTTTCTGACACAAAACGTGGTTTTTTGCCCTTTGAATTTGCAACTTGGAATCGAATCATGACGTCATGAGACACCCCACGGGCCGTATGAGATGGTCAGTTGAAAGGCGGCCGTAATACACGATTGGCGAAGAGACTAGGATAGCCCTTAGACGAAGATATCGACGACTCACGTTATGAGGTGGATGAACAGATTGTTGGACGTTGTGGCGTTTGTCTCGCCTTGGTAGCTCATGACCAGCTGCACCTTTCTTTCGGGACGGATAAGCGTTTGATTGTGATACCCTGATGTTTGATATCAACTCGGATGGGTTTGTGAAGTGTTGGGACGGGCTCTGCGCATATTTGCTTGCTTGGGATGCCGGCGTTTTGACTCACGACTTTCTTTTCTTATGGATGGATGATTGGATGACGGGTTAGGATTAGCCTCAATGTGAATGACGACTTGACATACTGCGCTGTGGTGATGCGAGTGACGGGCCGCGTCTGCATCGCGTCACCCATTCTGACATGGCTAGATATCCCCACGTGTGGCGGGCCCCTGGCTTGCAGCTCCTGCGAGGCTTCATGCCACTCACTCACTGGGGGCGACAGTGTCAAGGGACATGGCAACACGGGGCCTGGGGTGAGTTCTGGGCGTACCTGGCTGTCATGGCTGGGATCGATCCGACGACCATGGTATCTACACATGGGCGTGACTTGATGCCCATGCCTGGCCATGATAGCTGGGACCGGAGCCGTCATCTCGGTCAATCCGACCACCAGTGGTATTCGTACAAGGGCTCGAGCTCATACCATGTCCAGCCAAGTTGAGTAACAGACACAATTTACCCACTCTTCAACATTGATACGCAGCCACCGAGCCCGTCTGCAAGTGCTCAAAGGCGGCCAGGGCGTCGTCAAAGGCTGAAGACGCGGCCGCCGGGCTTGACGTACGGCCTGACGCTCTGGTAGGCCGGGAGGCGGGCGGTGCCCACGGCCGCCGCCACGTCCGGGTCCACGGCGCGCGGGACCACGACGTACTCGGACAGCGCGCCATGACGCGCTCGCCCGCCTGTGCGTCCCGCACGTCGGCGCCCGTGGCTACCACCTCGCCGCTGAGGTCCATGCCGGCCGTCTTGGGGAACGACACGATGGCCCGCGCGCAGAGTCCCAGCGCCGACACCTCGTAGTCGGCTGGGTTGATGGACGCGCTGATGACGCGCACCGCGATCTCTCGCGGCCCGAGCGCCGCCGGCGGCCGCGGCACCGTCGTGAGCTTGAGCGTGTTTCGGACCTCGCCCCGAGGCGAGCTGCCCTGCCCTCATGCCGGTGGACATGGTGACGGGTCACGGCGCCCAGGCTATGGTTCTCTTTGGCGGGGATGGCACGGGTTCAAGTCGCGGAGACGGGTGCTATCTCGGTGATGTTTGCAGAGGTTGCTTCTGCTTCGGCCCTGCAGCCCCGTTGTCGAACGACCCGTCTGGTCTGCCGGGGACGATTTTCCCCCCTACGGTTTGCAGGCACCGAGGGCTCGGAGCAGGTTTGGCGTCGACTTGCGTCTGCTGGGCGGGGGGTCCGTGGGGACGACGGCCTTGGCATCCCGGCCGGGCCCGCATGACGGCTGGACGATGGCCAATGGGCTTCGTTGGAAGTAGACCCGCCTTGTCTTTGCGAATTCCCGAATGGGGCAATCGACAATTTGCGGTTGGGGGCTTTTTCTGACACGGCGAATCGAGGGTAGTGGCCATCTAGTCGCTTTAACTCGGTTGTGGCTCTTTGTGGTAAACATGGCTGATGTGTGACGAGACTGCTGCACGAGGACGTAAATGTCAAGACGTGCTGTGCTACGGCGCAAGAATCTTCCCAAGACGTTGTCAATTTCTCATGATCCGAAATGCGGCGCCTGTCACGCCATTTTCGTAACAAGGGCTGGTCACCAGATTATGGCCGGGAGTAGCAGCCTCGATTCACATATAATCTCGTATGGTCTGAGGGCCCTGGGTTCCTCAGTCTGAAGGACCCGACCTACGAGGGCGATATACACAAGATGACTGTTGGTGTAGTCATAGCCCAGATGACCGAAGCATCAAGGGTTTGCAAAATGCCTCGTCCCTTTGGTGGGCCGCTGTCCCTTGGTGCTCGGCCCCGTGAATGGCTTACAAGGGTATCGTGATAGCTGCAACATTTGGGCGTTGCAGCGAGTCATGTGGTTGAGGCTGTGTTGACCTCGTTCCAGGGGTAGTGTCGCCCGTCGAGTGTAAAAGATGGCGCAACGAACTCGAGCCATCATGATTCTGCTCGACGTAGATGAGAAGAAGGGAAGGATGAAAGACACATGCTCACCGGCGGCTCCATGCTCGTCGTGGTACGTGTTCGGATCCCGCGGTACGGCACACGGATGCTCGGCGGAAACGCGGGAGGGAAAGCGAGCCGCGGTGCTGCACTACGTGTCAGCGGGGAAGTGAGCAACAGTTCTTGCTGGAGTGGTTCCCAGAAGCAACACAACACAGGTGGTGGTCGTACACAAGTTCGGGCATTCCTGGCGGACGGGGGATGGCGTGAGGGCTGCGAGTTTGGTTCCGCGAGGTTGTATCGTCGTCGTGTGCCCATGTCTGTAGTGCATGATGTCGGATTTAATTTGCGCATGGGACGAGCGGACCCCAAGGAGTATCTGCTATGCCCCTTTCTCCCCATCCAGCACCCCTCGGCCCTCCTCAGATGCAGTGGCCTGGGCCGCGTCGAGGACAGGACTCTTTTTTTCGGGATGCTCTCCTTTTTGGTCGTGCGTCATCGGATGACGCGACGCGGCTCGGATGACGGCCTGGGCCGGACAAACGACAGGCTCGCCGTACCATGATAAAGTGCCATCCATCCGCATCCCCGAGGGAGTAGTTACTCCGTACTCGAGACCGGTCCTCCCCGGCCCACCAGATCTCGCCAGTCCTCCTTGTGGTTTTCATCTCGTCCCAGAGCACAGTTCCCGCCCAAGACCAGGGCAAGCATCGCGACAATGGCACACAGGCCCAGCGCAGAAACAGCAGTCTACACGGCGCTATTCCTCTCCATCTACGACGTGGCCGTGCTCTGGCTCGCCAACAAGCTCCTCTGGAAGTGCTCGACCCGGAGCACGCTCCTCCCGCTCTTCACCAGCGCCCTGGGCAGGCGGCACCTCGACATGGGCGTGGGAACAGGCTACTTCCCGTCGACGGCCCTCAAGTCGGCGTCGTGCCCGTGCGAGGAGATGACGCTCGTGGACCTCAACCCCACGCCTCTCCGAGCCAGCCGGCGGCGAGTGCTGCGGTCGGCAGCGTCGAGCGACGGGCGCCTGACGACGGTCAAGACCATCGTGGCCGACGCCACGATGCCGCTGCCGCTCGCGCAGGACCGCAAGTTCGACTCCATCAGCGCCTTCTACCTGCTGCACTGTCTGTCCGGGCCGCCCGGGCGCAAAATCGGCGTCTTTGACGTGGCGAGGCGGCACCTCGCCGACGACGGGGTGTTTGTCGGCGCGACCGTCTTGCCGCTCAGGAACAGGATGAGCTGGCTCGCGGCATCCATCATGGCGTTTTACAACCGCGCAGGCATCTTCAGCAACGAGCGTGACGCCGAGGACGTGTTTGCCGAGAGCCTGAGGAGGAACTTTGCCGCCGTGGACGTCTGGACCGTCGGCGCAGTCATGTGCTGGCGCGCGCGAGGCCTCAAGGCCGATCGATCCGGCGTGCGAGCTTGACGTCCGTCGTGAGGGAGAATCCGTACACCAAAGCGTGTGCGTCCAGCCCGGTGGCACGCGCGGCGCACAAAAGGCTCCCATGCCAGAGTAGAGTGTGCAAGGGGGCAAGGAACGAGGCAAACCGAGCCGGCGTGGCAACCGCCACGGATTGCCTCCAAAGCGCTCGGCGGCATCTCTCTCGGCTCGGTCCTGCATTTATCCATCCGTCCATCTCGCATCACGACGCCCACCAAGCCCGCCGAAGCCGGCACGAAGAAAAAATCAGAAAGAAAAAAAAGAAAAAAAATAGGAAAAAAAAATACAAAATCAACAACCCCAAGCACCACGCCCAACTCGCTCGTCATGTCATCGACGGGCACAGTCGACACAACCGTCTCCAACACGCCCGTCACGTCGCCCCCGTCGTCCGTCACGTCCCCGCCGTCCACGACCTCGACCTCGACCTCGCTCCCGTCCTCGCGCGGGGATGACCACGGCCGCGATCACGCCGTCCGCAACCGCCTCGTCAGCGCGTACAACTGCGTGCGCCGCATCTCCGTGCTCGTCCCCGGCGTCATCGTAGGCGTCGACGCCTGGTGGACCAAGACGGACCGCGCGTGCCGCCCCGGCGCCGCGTCCGCCGTCTGCACCCACGTCCTGCTGCTGACGTTCCCCGTGGTGCGTAGCGTGCCGCCAGGCCAGACCAGGCCAGGCCAGGCAGCAGAAGCCGAGACCGCAGAGAGCCCAGAGCTGACCAGCCCGCCGTGCGCGCGCCCCAGGCCCTCGTAGCCTTCGTCTTCGACGTAGCGAGCATCATATGCAACCGCCTCGGCGTCTTCGGCAAGTCCCTCGGGCCGCTGCTCGTGTCCATGGCCTGCCATTTCTGCCTCACCGCCGCAACCGTTGCCTGTCTCGCCGTGCTGGCCTGCGCCCTCGCCGCCTCGGCTGAGCCTTCGTGGAGCGCGGCCGTCTTGCTCGTCATCTTGCTGTCCTCGCTGGCGTGCGTTCTTTTGCCCCCCTCCTGCCGTGACAAGAGTGGACGAGGCGGCCTCGCTGATACCCTGCAGATGCTTGTCCTGCGCGGCCCTCATCTGCGGAGCTTTGGCGTGGCGCTAGGAACGGATATGCCTGGCGCTGGATGCCCCAGACGACGAGTACGACGAGATGGGGACGGGGACGGGGACGGGGACGGGGACGGGGATGCGGATGGAAATGGGAATGGAGATGCAGGTTTGACAAGTGGTATTCTGTAGGTATAGTACATATCATTACATGAGTAGCCTTAGCGGCCATGCTTTCTTGTTGTACATTTCCATTCTGCTCCACGCTCCCCGTGTGGTGAGTGAATTTGGTCGTCGACCCAGAGACCCTCCCTCGGGTGCTGTTCACTGGACAGCACACTTTGGGGGCCCCATTCCGAGCCCCAAGTTGTTTTCTTCTTCTTCTTTTTTAAATATTAAAAAAACAGGTGGAGGAAAAATAAAAAGGAGGTCATACTCTTGGCCAGATGCATCAGATGCCCACCCCTCCAAAGCCGCCACTCGCCGCAAATCTCAGTTGATACTCCCTCAAGTCGGCCCAGTGCCTCAGCTCGTCCTCCTCATCCTCTGCCGTCATGTGGTTCGGATCGCTCGCGCGACTCGCCGCGGCGGGGCCCGTCTTCTCCAGCTTGATCAGGATGTCAATCAGCTGAGAGAGCGCCTCTTCCGACTTGATCGCCACCGGCCCTTTGCGGTCCGGCGAGTCGTTCATCAGCGTCGACGCAACCTGGCGGATCTTGTTGATGAGCGACAGCCCGTTGGGCTCCATGTTCCGCTGCGAGATGGACCCCAGCACCTCGAGAAGGTTCTGGACGATCAACTCCCGCTCTGCGGCCATGAGAGCAAAAATCTCCTTGTCGTCTGCCTCTTGCATTCCTTGCTCGTCCGCGCCCGGAGCCTCCACGGCATTGCTTTCCTCGTCGGCCACGTGTACGTCGCGGAGGTTAAAGTACAGCTCTACAAAGTAGGACCGCGTCGCCAGTTGAGACATGAAGATGTTCGCCTTTTGGATCTCGTACTGCAAGCGACGCCGCTGGGCAGGCTGCGTCTTGATGACGTTGCGCACGTCGTGGGACGGCTGTGCGTTGGGCCACACCGGCGGTACGTATTGCAAGCCCGATTCGTCCAGCGTCGCCAGCGAGTTCGCGTCTTCCCCTTGCGTGGACAGCTGTAGCTCTGGCGGAAGGTTGTCGATGATGCCCTTTGCGGCCATCAGGCCGTCTCGTAGCAGGATCCGCTGGTCCGCCCAAGGCAGCGTGTTCATGCCATACGCAAGCTCCAGGCTCACCACGCCATTCATTGTCGTGTAAATGTCAATGCCGAACCGGAATCCTGTTAGCAGCGTGACGGTCCCCTCGGCCTGATGGATAATCTCGTTCGCCAGGACGCAGATGTCATCGACGTTCTCGGGATACGCGGGATAAGGCAAGCTCGGCGTAGACGGCGCGATGACCAGGTCCGTGCCGCTTATGCCCAACTGGGTCATGGACCTACAAACATTAGCTATTCACCCACGACTTGAAAGGCATTTCGGCGCGTCAACGGACCTAATACCCAGCAGGAGGCACCAGAACAGACGTTTCCCGATCTGGTCCTTGACGTGATTAAACGGCAGCGGCTCGGTCGAGTACGGGTCCGTGCCAAAGGTTGGCAAATCCCCGGCGTGCTTTGGCCGCACAAATCCCAGTTCCCGTATCAAAATCAGCGTCTCTGCCAGGAAATGGCGTGCTGGATTCCACTGCAGCGTATAAGCCCCGGCCAAACCGAGAAAATAGCTCGTGCAGGCGTCGTCCAACGTCTTGGGCTGTTTCAAGATCCATTTGCTGCCGCGTGTCAGAAGCGCAATGTCGCGACACTTCTCCACGAGAACCAAGGCCTTGGGAAACAGATGCGTGCTGTGCTGCGCCTTGAGATGCTCCCTTGCACTCCTGGGAAAGGACGCGACCAGAGCACCAACCATGCTTGCCAGCAGGCCCAGAAACTCGGGCCGCGTTCGGTCTTCGCGGTTGGCAAACGACTGTCGAAAGGTGGGCTCGTGGGGGAAGGGCGCCAAGGGATGGATATACGTGAAGAAATCGTCCACGAGGAGCTCCAGCACGGGCATCGGCGCGATGGACTCGGCATCTAGTATACCATCCGACGAAATGTCCATCAGCGTCTTGGCGGCATTCTGAGGCGACGGGGACGCCGGGGGGAAGCCAGCAGCGGCCACCTCCAGTCGCTGCCGCTTGGCTGCCTTTGCAGCTTCAGCATGCTTGTTCGGAGGGCCACGTCTCTTGGTCTCTCGTTCGTATGTACATTCGACACCCAGCTCGCGGCAGGGCCGGCAGGGAATATTGCTGTCGTCACATTTCACCTTGCGCATGCTGCACATGTCGCACGCCCTTCTGAGCCGCGTCAACTTCGGATTGATGGTCGGATCACGCATGGATCCTCTTGGGCCGGCGACAAGATGCTGCTGCGTCATGTCGGGACCCTGAGCAAGCCCCGGCATGCCCGCGGCCTGGGGTTGCTGGGACACCTGGGATGCTTCGGCTGCCGCTGCCGCTGCGGCTGCCGCATCTTGAAGAGCTTGAGGGTTTTGAATGGCCTGCGCAGCGTCGCTGGCGGCTTGGAGGATCTCGAGGCCATTGCTGGCGTAGGCATGGGCAGTCGCATGCTGCGATGGTGATGGAGGTGGAGAATCTGTCATGTTGGGCAGAGCACAGGGCCGGCCGGCAAAGGCACGGTTAGAGCTGGACGCACGCGACTGCTAAAAGGTCGCGATGGCTGATTGTCGGCGGATTTCCGGATCTTGATGGCTTGAAGCGAGGTGAAGCCGGCACAGGGCTTGAAAATTGGTGTTGGCCACGTGTCAGATCACGTGTGCATGCGTCTGTCCCTGAGCCGCGTCCGACTCGGCCTTTGCCACGTCGAGCCAGACGTGCAACCCTTTCTTTGCTGCTTTGCCCTCTCGTAATGCTATTGATGTCCCCAAGAGACGCTTGAACAGAAAGAGAGCGCGTTTTGCTCGCCAGAGGTGTCTCTGTCTCTTCTGCGACCTCTCTTCTGCGACCAAGGAGATACATGTCAAGACTGTCATCTTCGGAGACTGTATCCTGGTGGCAGCGTATCACGACTTTCGCGGTGCTCGGGGCGTCATGAGCAGCTGAGCTGATAGTAATGGGATATCTTCTGTCTCGCATTGGCTATTCGCTTAGCACGGACCCGAGTGAGTCAGTGATTATATTCTATTTGTGTCGTATAATGCACAATGCGCGTGGACCGCTTGTTGTAGAGCCGACGATGACCCGTTTTCAGGTGCAATTCATCGAGTGCCTCGCTTCACGACGGTGCCGTTTCTCTCGTCGTCATCATCATATCATTTGGGCATAGCTTTATATTGCTCCCAGGCCCTTGATCGCCACAACTGCCAGCCCGGCCCACTTCATCGTCAGTGCGGTATTGGATGGTTTGCCGGCGCTGCAGGAACAGCAGGGTCCGAGTAGCATTTAGACTCAAGACAGACGGGATGAATCGTCCGTGTCCGTCAATGTGTTCATGAGCCATGTCAAATGAGGCAGAGGGTTCAGTCAAGATGTAATGCATCGATAGATCTTTCGTCCGAGACAATGAATAGTCGCTTCATAAAGTTGGTGTCGTCCCGTTCTCTGAAACTCTGTCTATGTTGTCGCTATTTTGCTTTTTCTTGCCCCGAGACGTCACAAACATATCGAGCTTCCCAATCGCCAGCTTTTTCGTCGCTCGGGGAAAGACTGTGAATACGGATGATAGACTGAAAGGTCCTTGAGCCATGGAACTGCAACGCTCTTGTTCGGGTCTCCTCGGCCTCTTTATTTTGCTCCTAACATGTGTGCCTGGAATATTTGCTCGGCCAGGCTCCTTCTATGACACAGGTCCCCAAACCTCGTCGGAATTCCAGTCACGACCCGCGCCTCGCTCCGCAAAAAACTCGACACACGACAAGTATCTCATTGGCACCGGCAAAGCGGACATCACGGGACCCGTGGCTGAAATCATCCTCAGCGGCTACGCAAACCTCCAGCAGGTCGGCGGCGGCATTCGGCAGAGGTTGTTCAGCCGAGCCTTTATTATCGGTGATGTGGACAATCCCGAAGATCGAATTGTCTATGTCGTCCTCGACAATCTGGTCGGAGATACAGCAATTCGATACGGAGTTTTGGATGCGCTCAAAGCCCTCGGCGCTCCCTATTCCGTATATGGCCAGCACAACGTGGCACTTGCGGCAACCCATAGCCATTCTGGACCGGGCGGCTGGAACAATTACTTGATTCCTCAAATTCCAGGCTTGGGCTTCACTCCAGAAAGTTATCAAGCCATTGTTGACGGCGCGACCCTGTCGATCAAACGAGCACATGAAAGTCTAGAAGAGGTAAGGATAGCAAGCACACACACACTTGATGTCTTTTTGATGGCTCTCTTGCGCGGCCTGCACAATGTCAAAGATGATTAGCACGGTGACTGATCTCTCGTGACCAAGGGATACCTTGACGTCGGCACCACCGAGATTACGGATGCATCCATAAACAGATCACAATGGTCCTATTTACACAACCCTGCTGAGGAACGGGCCAAATATAGTGCGTCGACCGACACGACTATGACCCTGTTGCGCTTCACCCGGGCCTCGGATAATAAAATCACCGGACTGCTGAACTGGTTTCCGGTGCATGGCACTTCGCTCTATCGAAATAATACCCACGTTGCGGGCGACAACAAAGGGCTAGCAGCGTGGATGACGGAACAAACGCTGAGGGGAGATTCCGCCTTCGCAAGCAATCTGGTGGCGGCTTTTAGTCAAGCAAATCTTGGTGATGCCAGCCCCAACGTAGAGGGTGCTTGGTGCGAAGATGGATCTGGCACACAGTGTGATTTTGAGAACGCAACGTGTGCGGATGGAACTGTTGCAAAATGTCAAGGCCGCGGTCCTCGCTGGCAAGTTCAAGACCAAGGTGCAAGCAGCTGCCATGAGATTGCACTTCGCCAATTGAGGGGTGTCAAGGAGATTCTGGTAAGCAAACAGGGCGCAGGCGCATCTACTTTTCTTTTTATTGTTCTGCCGGACACGCTGACCGGGCTGGCCAGGCTTCCATGTCCAAATCCGCCACTCCTGTTCGGGGCCCTACAGTCAAGTCGTTCCACTTCTTTCACGACATGGAGTATTGGGAATTCACAACACTGAACGGGGAGACTGCCATGACCTGCCCTGCGGCCCTCGGGTACGGCTTTGCTGCTGGGACGACGGATGGCCGAGGCGAGTTTGACTTTGTCCAAGGGGACAACGGTAAACCACGCAACTATCGTCCGTGGGACTTTATTTTGCACCTCATCAAGAATCCATCTCTGCGGCAGATGGAATGTCAAAAGCCAAAGCACATATTCCTGAGTGGAGGGGAGCTCAAACAACCATACGAGTGGGAGCCAAGCATCGTGGATGTCATGATGTTTCGGGTGGGCCAACTGGTCATGATCCTGAGCCCAAGTGAGGTTACCACAATGAGTGGTCGGCGGTGGAAGGAAGCCGTTGAGAAACAGGCAACCTCGTTTGTTGATGATCCAGTTGTGGTTCTAGGCAGCCCGGCCAATACCTACGCGCACTATGTTGCGACGCCGGAGGAATACGACGTCCAGCGTTATGAGGGCGCTTCAACATTATTTGGACGTCATGAACTTGACGCTTATATCAACCTCACAGTCAGCAATATGCACTACTTGAGGCCCGACGCCACCGATAAGCCAGAGCAGGGAAAGTTGCCGCCAGATAATCGGAAGAAGTCGTTCAATCTTGTTCTGCCTGTGATGTATGACACAGCGCCGCCACTCAGAGCTTTTGGAAAAGTCCTGACGCAGCCCAAAGCAGAGTACAAGCGCGGTGATGCAGTCAAGGCCAGCTTTCAAGGGGCGAATCCACGGAATAATCTTCGCCTCGAGGGCACTTTCGCGGCAGTTGAGAAGCAAGGCAAAGATGGGACGTGGAGCCAGGTCGTAGACGATTCGGACTGGTACCTCGTCTTTACGTGGCGGCGCACGAATACCATCTTCGGGTATAGCGAGGTTGACTTTGTGTGGGATACATCAGGGAACGCTGGACCAGGAACCTATCGATTCAAGTATTATGGCGATGCTAGAAATCCCGGTGCAGGCATTCATGCGTTCACTGGAACTAGTAACGCGTTCAAAATTGGCTAGCCTTCCAGAGACGGTACTCTGTACGGAATCACGATACATGACTGCTATTCATGTGAGCTTGAGATATGAGTAAAAACTTCATCTAACTTGCCGGCCCAATGTAGTTTAGTCTCTCCCCCATTAAATAGAGGGAGTCAACATAGATTGACTGGAAAATCTGTTGTTTCGTGCATGAGTGATGCAGGCGACTGCAAACGGCCGACATCTTGCTGCCTGACTAACGAGCCTCTTTACTGAAGGCACGACTCACCTTTGCCAAAAGCTGAAAGAAGGAGTTGGGAACCTTGCTGACAATGACAGGCATGGCTGCCCCACTGTGATTTGTGATTTTGTCGTAAAGATGGGCTGGCTTAGCTGTCTTGTACCCTGCAGCGTCACTTTGCCTAGGAGGAGCGTGACATTTGCTGCATGTTGGATGCGTCTTAGCTTTGGGCAGATGCACTGGCGCGCCTGAACATGCAGAGAATTGCGGCTGCAAGGCCGAGGTGGTGATGAAGGCGAGGAGAGATTGCGTGAGAAGTACTCCGTAGAGCGACGGGAAGAAAGACGAGATGGGGAGGAAGAGAGGGAGAAGAGGAAGAGGCGTGTTCCACAACATTATCAGGTACCTAGGTACCTGGGTATTCCATTTTGCGGAAGGTACGCACGTCGTGCCTGCCCCTAACACCTTTATCCTTGCCCCGCTGCGGCAAGGTGGTTTTGCTGGCCTGCCACGTATCGTCAAAAACTGAACCAGAGAAGTCATCTAGGTGCTTGTTTCTGGCGTTATTCTTGGTCACGCGAGCGGCATGGTGACCTAATCTGACCCACGACGACAAGACGACGTGTAGCTGCAGCTTCCAAAGCCACCGAGTGATGCTGGCAATGTTGTCTGCGGTCAGAATTTCAGACCATTCATATCAAAGCGAAACCACAAACAGGCCACAGAAGATGTTTGCTGTGACGGGGCTGACAGATGCGGCGGTGCAAGGGCCAAGGCTACAAGGGTTTTGGATAGGGATCTGGAGTTGGAAAGCGTTTGCTGGTTATTCTGCTCCGTCTTGTGAATCAGATCTTCTGTGCCAGACTCATACAGCCCACCACAACAACTATTTGAACCGACAAGTAGGATGGTTCTCTAGACTACTTTCTAGCTGGATATCGAACGGCTATTTTTCTCCCGCACCAAGAGCAACGGCAGGACTGGCAAATTTGTCTCGGCGACTTCGCAGGTCCCTGGTCTAGGCGTAACCCATTGAGGTCAAGGCGTGAACTCTGGAGCTATTTGTGCAACCAGGTTCCCGCTGGACGTTCGTTCCAAAGTGTTGACTAGTTTGGAACGGAACTCTCATTTGGAAGCCCACCGTCGAGTTTACGTCGCCAACTACTCCGTATCCAGGTCGTTGAATCGCAATAGTAAGGCACTGTTTCGTGGTATCAAAAGCCCAGCCCCCGGGAGAGTGGTTCCCATCTTTCAACTGCTGACTGTGGCCTTGTTTTCAGACTCTTGAACCTTTTGACTGCAAAGTTGCACAACAGCAACCATCCTCCAAACGACATCTTCACCACGGACCACGACCTTCGCAGCAAACATGAGCACCGACAGACGAGAAACAGTGACGTACTGTCAGTGAAGCAGGTGGACACCGATGAACGGAGGAGCTACAGCCTACGACAACGATCTGGGCGGCGCTGATTCTGGACTTTGCGTCCCCATTTTCGCCTCGAGTGGGACCTCGGCCAGCGTCATACCCCTCACTCTACCAATCCAGGCGCCGGGCCCCTTCCACGGCCCAATTTCAAGGCTCCTTCACAATCGCAGCATTACCCAACACACTCGAGCCCTCTGCTTCTCCTCTCCCCTCCTCCCCGAATCTTTCGGAGCTAGCATTCTCTTCGCATCGACCGCCTCCGGCGAGAATAACAACGGCACACACTCCCGGCCCGCTTGCTCCCGCCATGGCGCGCCGTGAGTCTCTCTCAGAGATCCGCGCCGCCAATCCGGATCTTGGCCTCAGCGGCAACGTCATCTCCGTCGCATTCAATATCCCCTACTCCTTTACCTATCGCGAGGGGTCCGATTGGGTGAGAGCCAAATGCCGCGCAGAGTCCCAACTGTTCAGGATTGACGTTCTCGTTTGTTGTGGCACACCGAAAGCTGACAACACCACCTCCAACAGGACCTGGGACCCCGCCGAGGCCAATCCGCGCTTTTCGACTCCTTCGCCTACCTTTCTTCCGATGCCACACCTTGGAACCACACGCTTGTGGCCTGGACCGGCGAGATCGACTACCCCCCGGAGACGTCTATTCCCCCCGCCGCATCCTCTGGGCAGGTGACGAGCAGTGGTAGCCTGTCTGGCCAGACGACGGTCGGCTTCTCCTCCCGGAATGCTCTCTCAGCTCCTGTTCCCGTCGACAGTAACACGCGACTTCCCACACCACCGCCCATTGACGGCCTGTGGCTGCCAAAGGCCGATCAAGTCAAACTGGAGTATGCCCTCTCTCACAGCAAAACTATTCGGACAGTGCCCGTATGGCTCTCGGACGAGGCAGACGATTCCGAGGATAGCGTCATCTTGAAGGACCAATCGCGGTGGCGGCGGTACGCACACCACGACCTATACGCTTTATTCCACTACAAACAACACGAGCCGACGGACGGTCGCAAGGAGCGCATTCAGTGGGCCGACTATTACCGCATGAACCAGAAATTCGCAAACAAAATCGTCGAAATATACAAGCCCGGCGACATTGTCATAGTCCACGACTTTTACCTGATGCTCCTCCCCAGCATGCTACGCCAACGGAACCCAAACATGTACATATCATTCTTTCTACACTCTCCATTCCCTAGCAGCGAGTTTCTGCGGTGCCTGCCGCGGCGAAAAGAAGTTTTGGAAGGCGTTCTCGGAGCCAACTTGGTGGGGTTTCAGTCGTACAGCTACTCGCGACATTTCCTGAGCTGTTGCACTCGCATTCTTGGGTTTCCCTCTGATACCCTCGGCATTGATGCCTACGGGACTCGGGTTCAGGTAGGCGTCTTTCCCATAGGCATTGACGCCGCCAAGGTCGAGAGGCACGCATGGGCGGATTCCGTCAATGAGAAATATGATGCTTTGAAAAAGATGTATGCTGGGAAGAAGATTATTGTTGGCCGCGACAGGCTCGACAGTGTCCGTGGTGTGGCACAGAAACTCCAGGCGTTTGAACGGTTCCTTGAAATGTACCCCGAGTGGAGGGAAAAGGTGGTTTTGATCCAGGTCACTTCTCCAACGACGGTAGAGGCTGAGAGGGACGATGACGAGAACAGGATTGCTACAAGAGTGAACGAACTAGTCATGAAGATCAACGGGGAGTTTGGCAGCTTGGGATTCTCTCCGGTGCAGCACTACCCTCAATACTTGAGCCAGGACGAGTACTTTGCTCTGCTCCGAGCCGCAGACATTGGTCTAATCACCTCAGTCCGAGACGGCATGAACACGACCAGCTTGGAGTATATCGTTTGCCAGAGACAGGGCAACGGTCCACTGATCCTCTCAGAGTTCAGCGGGACAGCGGGAAGTCTCAGTGACGCGATCCACATCAACCCCTGGGACCTGACTGGTGTTGCGGAAAAGATCAATAGCGCGCTTACCATGTCGGATGGCGAGCGAGGCAGAATGCAGTCTCGCCTGTACAAGCACGTTACGGCGTACAATGTCCAAGCTTGGGTTACCAAGTTCATCCGCAAGGTACACAACGTCTTGGGAGAAATGGACACGGCCAACGCCACACCGCTTCTTGACCGTGCTGTCTTGTTGTCCACGTACAGGTCGGCGGGCAAACGGCTGTTTATGTTTGATTACGACGGCACGCTGACACCAATCGTGCGTGAGCCGAGCGCCGCGATTCCCTCGGAACGCATCATCCGATCGCTCAAGCGTCTTGCCGGGGATCCCAGGAATGCCGTATGGATTATTTCTGGTCGGGACCAGGAGTTTCTCGGGCAGCACCTAGGTCACATTCCCCAGCTTGGATTTTCGGCCGAACACGGCAGTTTCATGAGGAACCCTGGGTCAGAGGAGTGGATCAACCTGGCAGAGAAGTTTGATATGGGGTGGCAGGTCGAGGCTATGCAGGTGTTCCAGAAATACACTGACAGAGTACCTGGTAAGACAGCCGAGCTACGACGGGCCGTTGTCCGAGAGATTGACAGGCTGACCAAACAACAGGCTCGTTCATCGAGCGGAAGCGATGTGCCCTCACGTGGCACTACAGACTTGCACATCCGGAGCAGGGCGCCCACATGGCACGAGAGTGCCACAAGGAACTTGAGGGCACCGTGGGGACGAAATGGGACGTTGAAGTGATGCCAGGCAAGGCAAACGTGGAAGTTCGGCCCACCTTTATCAACAAGGGCGAGATCGCCAAGCGGCTCATTGCGACGTACCACAACCCAGAACGTGAAGCGTCCAACGACGACCCCAACCCCGGCCGCGTTGAGTTTGCGCTCTGCATGGGGGACGACTTTACAGACGAGGACATGTTTCGAAGCTTGAACGGAGCTATTGGCAAGGTGTTGCATCCGGACCACGTCTTTACCGTGACTGTTGGGGCCAACACCAAGGTGACGCTGGCCAAGTGGCATCTGCTCGAACCCGAAGACGTGATTGAGTGCGTGGCACTGCTTGCAGGGGTTGGTGACGGGTCGGCCTTGACACAAATGGGCGAGGTCAACCTGGCCGCGCTGAGCAGCGTAGAGGGACAGATTCCGCCTTCGGAGCAGGCCCCCTTTCTCAATTGATCGGGCATTGGAGCAAGGAAGAAGTGGACAAGGCAGGAGGCGCTTGCTTACGCGACAATGAGCTTTAGACGTCATGAGGCTTTTCGCGATTGGGACGCTACAATGACACAATAATGAGGGCATTGAAGGTACAGAAAGAACTAGACGGGGCGTTGGATAGATGAAGAGGGCATCTGGGGGGGAGGCGCGTAGTTCAGGCGGGCCAAGATTCCGTAGCAAGAATAGAAGAGATACACAACAGGAAGCCGAGGACGGAAACGAAGACGTGGAAAAGCGTCGGGAGAGACGCGACGGCGATTTGGGTAGATGGGCACACAGAGTTAGGAATGGCACAGCGCTGCCTTTTGGCAGCAACACGACGGGCATTTTATCCACAGCACGGTATTGATTGAAACATGAGATTTTGCAACAGCCTCGCCGTGGAGTCTGAGACGGACATGGTTGACTGTGGAGGGCAGCCCGAGACAGCGCCGCCGTGGCAAACGATGGGGCCGCGTACACGCACATGGACAGGATGGAGTTGCAGATGCACGCCGAACGTAGACGGCGACGTGATGCCGAAGTTGAAGGTGCGGAAGTTGGTGTATTGTCGGGAGCCGTGCCGGCGCGGGTAAAGCTCAGCACGCAATAGCCAAGTGTTCGGATCACCCCGGACTCTCGGATCCAGGAACGGCGGTGAACTCACTCAAGGAGGTTTGGAGTTGGGACTACTTGCCCTTTTTGCTGGGCCGTCGTTTACAACATGGCGTCGAGCTGGATGCTCCAGAGCAAAGTGCTGAAATGCAACAAAGTAAAGCGAAGGACGTTAAACCTTCCCAGCCACAACTTGCAGTCCCTTTCCCCAACACAAATAAAGACGACTACCTCGCCTCGAGCGGTGGAAAACATTGTCACAGCCAACATGATTGCCCGGCAATCTTGGCACGCTCGGCCGTTGCAAGAAGCAGCATGAACACCACGCGTCAGTTTGCAGCCCTATGGTCGACTTGCCGAAACGGAAAACAGCCGCCGAATGGCCCATTCAAAGCTTGATTCTGGCACCGGACAATGCACACCTTCTTCACACCTCGAAACCCCCCCCGGCAATTCAGTCTCTCCGGCAGTTGTACCGTCATTAAATTTCTCACCATGGCCGCTCCATTCACGCCCTTGACGCCCGGGACCTGGTTCGTGATCTTGAGGGCGTCTGGCGCGAACCTCACACCGGTTGCAGCTTCGTCAAGGGCGCACCGAAACGGTCCTGCGCCGTCCTGATTGACTTGGTGGAACGTAATGTTCACCAGAGTGCCGGGGTAGGCTGCCGGAATAGCTCCCTGGGTCGCCATCTTCTCTATGCTCGCCGCGATGTCGTTGTTTAGCTCAGCGAGCACGGGGTCGTAGCCCGGCGCCCCGCGAACCTTCCGGTCGGCCTGCATGTGTGTCTTGCCGCAGCCCTTGGCTGCAGAGAGACTGGTCTGTGAAAAGACCGTGGTGTCCCTCTGGAACGCCGTGCCGCTGCCGTCTCTGCGGGCGCCGAGGTCTGCGCCCATCCCGTAACCGCGAGCCTTGCTTGCGGAGCCGGCCGTGTCCACGATGACACAGTGGGCGGCAGCATACAGTACGGCGGCGGAGTAGATGATCACGTTGCAGAGAGCTTTGGCGCGCATTCTGGCTCGGCCGGGTCGGGATTTGGTTTCCTGTTCCGCTGAGCTGACACGGGAGGCTTGACTTTCGAGAAGCTGCGGCAAGTGCTGTCACGGAATGAGGACCTGGTGGTCTCGGTGGCGAGACGTGCGTGCTGAGTATGAGTGCCGTGACGGTGAAGTGCGAGGCAGAAGGACCGCTGTGAGACGGTCGGAAGGGAGCCAAGTGGTTTTTGTAACTCGGCCGTATGGTGTCGTTCCGAAGCAGTGTCGGCTACATGCGAGGCTGAATACGACAGATCACTCCGCCCCCAAGCGACTCCCACGCTTGCCGCTCCTCCAAACACGGCTTGGATGGGGGCGAGTGCGTTCCTTTTTGGAGTTTGTGATGCAGTCATGGACATTCCCCCTCCGTGACAAGTAGTTCGCCTTGGAACGGAAGATGCGCTGACAAGCAGATGAATGGTGGACGTGGTGATCAAAGGTAGACACAAGTCCGCTTCAACTGCTGCTCTCAATAACCATTTTCTGCATATCCCGCCTTTGGAAAAGTGCTCATGCCACGACAGAAGTGAGTGCGAGACGGAAAGCGTGCCGCGATTGCATCACAGAGAGGCGGGAGAGTTTGATGTGTGGTGACGATTCAAGACATGAGCTTGGCGTGACGGCCTCATCGGCACTTGACCGCTGGCCCTCTAGTACTGGACACATGCCATATCTGGAAAACACTGGAATTTCGGTGCGGGATGGTCGCGGTCACGGTCACCGATGCCGGGATCCCGACGTTTCCCCACAAGGAGCCGGGTAGGGTTAGGGTCGGGGGACGTGCCGGTCGTACGGCAATTACGGGCCGGCAAGGATTGCGGCAGTTGGCTGCACAGGAAAGCACGGCATCGCGTTCGTCGCGAGGACGGACATTGCTGGTCTGACGGTGGTTGCCTGCGCCCATCTATCGGACGCGGATCCCGGGTGCTTAAAACTCGCCATGACCGACCCCCCTTCGGCTTTCTTAGGTGAACCATGGCTACACGGCCTCGTCGCAGGGCCAGGGAGCTTTCGAGAGACGTCCAACCTCAAGTTGCCATCAGCAATTGTCTGCCAGGTGCTGCGTGAAATCCCGAGGCCTTTGCTTTATCAACCCGACCGGCCGTTATTACCACGGCCCTTTCAGACGCAGCCCCTAACGTAACTGCATTGACAGAACGTGTCCAGGGGGCTCCCGGAGATGACATGAGTCGCGACGCTACGCATCCGTCATTTAGTGAGCGAGTCATGGGCACATGAGACGGCTTGCAAGCTTCGGCTTGCGGACAAGGAGGGTGGTGCGCATTTCGTAGTAGTATGCGCTACATGTTGTAAAGGCGCATCGTTTAGCTTGCAAGCCCACGGGAAAACAACTACAAAGAGCCAGCGTCTCAGCAGGTGCGGTGAGCCAAGCAAGATTCCAAGAGGCCAGAATGCCAAGCGGTGAGGATGCTGCTCAACAAGGCACTACCGTTGAATCCAAGCATGACCGGGATATTAAGTAGTGGGACTGAAAAGTTGGGCGTGAATAACTCCGTACTCAGTACTGTTTCTATTACGCCATGACTCGGAAACCCCACCTGACCGGCAGCTGAGAAGAGGGTGATGTCATGGCATTCGCATGGAAAGACATGCGCATCGCAAACCCTCAAGGTGGGCCATGACTTACAGCGCAGGAGGATTTGGAGCGAGGAGAGACGGCGATGAAAGCTATCATACAGGGGCAGAGAAATAGTGAACCGACATCCTCTTTGGGAAAGTCAGGGCTACTAGTTACTTCCCGGCAAATATGGCGAACAATCTCACGGAAGGAAAACAGCCATCTCTCCTGTTAGCACCGAGGCCCCTGCCCACAACCCCGACAAGCCTCTTTGCCATGTCACTCATGGTTTAGCCTTGGCCTTCAAGGGCGGGAATTTAGCCGCTTCGCATCAAAGCAGCTAGCTGATGCCGATGGAGCCGAGTACGGATGCGTAGTCGGAGGCTCGGAGTACTAGTTCAGTTCAGTTTCCGTCTAAACTTTCCATGCGACCTACCGTAAAAATCCGTCAATGACTGGGTCGCACAAGACGAGTCAATGGCCGAGAGTTCCGCGCAACAGCAGAAGAAGAAAAGTTGCCTCGCCGCCTGCCGTCGTCTCCCGGCTGCCCAACGCTCCTGTTCAAACGACCGGGACCTTGTACAACCATCGGAAACTTGATCAACTCAAATCATGACTCTTCGAACCGTGGCGATTGCCGGCGCGACGGGCAACCTCGGGGGCAAGGTCACCAGGGCCTTCTTGCGACCAGAAAACGGCGCCAGATTCCGAGACGTCGTCGCCCTCGTCCGAGCCGAGTCGAATGCCACCGCAGGACTTGCCGCCGCCGGCGCCAAGCTGCGCGTCTACGACGAGGACAACCTCGCGGAAAGCCTGCAAGGCGTCGACGTCTTGATCAGCCCCCGTGTCCTCGCGGCACGAGACGAGAAACCGGCCGGACTAACGCGCCGTCAAGGGTCGGGCCGTCGGGACACGCCTTCAAGGAGAAGCTCCTGCGGTGCCTGTCCTCGACGTCGGTGAGCCTGTACTTTCCGTCCGAGTTCGGCGTCAATCACTACCTTCACGACTTCGCCCACGACGAGTGGGACATGAAGAAGCGCCACTTCGAGCTCGCCAAGCAACTGATTCCCGACATTCGCCTCTGTCGCGTATACGCCGGCCTCTTGCTCGAGGACTCCGTCGGCCCCTGGTTCGGCTTCGACACCAAACGCGGCCGGTACGAGGCGGTGGGCAGCCCGAGCCAGCGCACCTCGTACACCAGCAAGTCGGACGTTGGGCGGGCCCTGGCAAACTTGGCGTCCTTGCCCGCGGGCGAGGTCCCCGCGGAGGTGTACTTGAGCGGCGACAGCAAGAGTTTTCAAGAAATCGCCGACATCATGAAGGCTCACGGGGCGGGAGACGTGGACGTGACGTCGGTGCCGCTGGCGCCGTACAAGGCCGAGGTGTTGACGAACCCGTCGCCGACGCCGGAGAGGTATCTGCGCTTCCTGATGGGAGAGGGCAAGATCGACCACTCGGAGCAGGGACTGGGGAGCCAGACCGACGTGGTCTTGCGCGGAGGCCCCATCGAATGGACGCAAGTGAAGGACCTGGCCGCGGAGACGGGCGGCAAGCCATGGGCCGACAGTGACTGGTGAAGTTTGTGCCGAGAAGTAGCAGCAGAGTAGCAGCAGATTGTGTACCGCAGCAGCCGCGTGGAATAGAAACCTGGTCATGGTGCCGAGTTCGTGCTGTCTTGTTGCGTGCATATCCATCATCCATCATGTGGCTGTCCCGTACCCCGTCCACGATCCCGGCAAGACCGGCCGGCTCCGGCGTTCTACGTGAGCAAAGCATTTGAGCAGGAATGATGTCATGCCGCCCGACAATGTCGCAACACGGCAAAGGCGCAGTTTCCAGCGACGGGACTGCAATGATGCACATGCCCACTCCAACCCTAACCCGGATGCTGATCCATCGCCACTCGGGCCTCGGCAAGGCTTGGGATTCCACAACGGCGGTGGATATCAGGCGTGGCCGCGCCGCACGGCTCTGGAAGGTTGGACGAGCGCGAACAAGCACAAAGCACAAATCAACCCCGCTGCAGCCTCAAGCAACATGTCGCACAACCCACAAGCAAAGCCCGTCGCCGTCGTCGCCGGTGTTGGTCCCGGCATCGGGGAGGCCGTCGCCCGCGAATTCGCCTCGCATGGATTCGTCGTGGCCCTGATGGCGCGGACCGAAGAGACGCTCCGGGCCATCCGAGCCGGCATCCAGCAGGACCACGGCCAAGAAGCGGCAAGGTGCTACGGCACCGACCTGCGCGTCGAGGACCGCGTCAACGCCGCCTTTGGCAAGATTCACCAGGAGCTCGGAGGCGTGCGGGTGCTCGTCTACAACGCGGGGGCGCGCCGCGTCAACGCGCGCTCGCTCCTCGACACGACGACGGAGGAGTTCGAGGGCTTCACCAGGATCAATCTCTTCGGCGCCTTCTGGGCGACCAAGTGCGTCCTGCCGGCCATGCTCGCGGCCGGCCGGGGCACAATCATCTACACGGGGGCGACGGGCTCGCTGCGCGGCATGCCCGGCCTGAGCAGCTTCTCGCCCGGCAAGTTTGGGCTCCGGTCGCTGGCGCAGATCGTGACGCGCGAGTATCAGGGCCGCGGCATACACGCGGCTCATGTCATCGTCGACGGACCGGTCGACGGCAGGCTGATTGGCGGCGTGATGCGGCGGCAGTGGGAGCGCCAGGGCGACGGGGAGAAGCTGGGCGATCTGGATGCTCATCTGGTGCGGCCTGCTGACTTGGCCAAGGTTTACTGGTATCTGCACACCCAGCCGCGGAGCACCTGGACGCACGAGTTGGACGTGCGGTCTCAGAAGGAGGCCATGTTTTCCAAGCTGTGATGGGGCTCGAGGGGCGTCCAGCTCGACGCCGAGGACTGCGACTGTTCTTCGGGCGAGACGGGCACGCCGACGTTGCTCCTGTGTGTACGCGAGCGTGCTTAGGGGGTTCCCCTTTGTACACGAGGACAGTTGCCATCGTTGTGCGCTTTACGAGACAGAAGTCACAGCCCGGCGAAGCTTCCGGGAGTGTTCCGTTCTCCTATGGGCCCATGTCGTGCTGGCATCAGGAATCAACACATGCCCATCACTCACCGTCTCCAAGTTTCAGAAGCAGCACGTGCCAGATGGGTGCATGTTTGTACGTAGACCAGCGCGGTAGTTATCTAGCCAACAATCTCGTGAAGCGACCCCTACGTTCCCGGTGCGATCTGGGAGCCCTGCCTTGACGAATGCCAAAAACAACACTTCATGCCCCCCCACCCATCAGGCCCATGCGTGCCGCGCTGAGCGAGCATCACGAAAGGTTCCAATATCGCCCCGGCCCATTGAGCACCTTGCACTCGGTATCGCTGGGCGGAATGGCCAAGGGGTAGTACAGGCCACCGTGAACCCAGATGACGACTGCAGTTTCGGCACGTCAACATCCCGGGCGGGCTCCGCGGAACGGATGGTTGTGGGCAAGACTTACGGGATCTGTCCTTGATATAGGACTTCACGGAGCGGACGTCCTGGCTGAGCTTTCTGTTGTCGTTGTCGTCGGTGACGGTGACGCCCCCGCCTCCCTGGCTGCAGTTTTCATCCGTAAACGTGTCAAAGGTGCCGATGAAGTCGAGAGGCTTCTTGGTGCCATCCCTGGTGTCGACGACGCCGGCGCTGATGACACTGGCCAGACTGGCAAGCAGCACGGTGACGGATGACAGACGCATGTTGGGGACGAGCTCGGGGTTCGGGTCTTGAAGTACAAGTGTGAGAGGCAAGCTGTGGCTGTTATGGGGGCTCTGCTTTGCGAACGGCGCGATGCTGACTGGACTTTGCTCGCGATGTTGTCCTGTGTCGGGCGTGCCTTGGCCTATTTGTACTTTTTCCAGACTGTCACGGGGACGCAGCCGGCGCCGACGTCTTTGCGGAGGAAACACGCTCGCGAGATGACTGCTCCATTCGTCTTTTCACGCATGCCCCGAGAGCAGTGTATGATGAGGCCGTGACGAAGACATCTTGGAACGAACGCTGGTGTTCGTGCTCGAGCTTGCTGCCCTCGGCGGTGGAAACCGGCCCGGCTGTCAGCTCATCGACAGAATAGGCCCTTTGCTTCTGAGGTCTTGCGCCTGGAGCTGACGACGTCATGCAGGACACGACGAGGAAAGCGGTATTTCGGTGCCGTACGCTTGACGCGGGAGCGGGGTGCAGCCTTGTCAATCCAATAAGACGACCAAGTAGCCCGAGCACAAGTGGTGTTCGCCCGTCCAGCAAGTCTGCGTGCTGCAGCTCTTGCTGATATCTGTGTCCGCCGCGTCCGAGGGGGTGTGGAAGCGCCGGCGGCCGGGACATCCGAGGAATCTGGTGCAAGCAATGTCAATGGAGTCGACATGGCTCGGTGATACTGCATGTCAGTTGGATGGTAATGTTAGTGGCTCACCGTTGTGGCACGACGACAACCGCGTCGTCTCGGCCGTGAATGCTTTGTGCGTCGCTCGGGCGAATCGGAGTGGTTTGCACAGCGGCAGTTGGTCATGGTCTCGGGTAGAGATGCGTGCTTCGTGGAGTCTGCCGGCGAGCGTGTGCTTTTTCGAGCACGTCTGCGCTGCCACGCTGGGAGGGCATGTCGGAACGTCCCTCTTCGCCGGTAGAGTCGGCAGGGCTAGTCGGAGTCTCGCCCGCGCAACAGAAGACGTTGAGATGAAGGACTTTGGCTTGACGATTTCCCAGCTCAGCTGTCCGTACGCAGCACTGGAGATCGAGGGCGGATGGCGTCGACGTCTCACAATTATGTAGCTGGCTGGCTGACAGAACTGCTTGCGGCCTTTGGAATGCATTATTCATGCCTGATGCCGTGACTCTTGTGCCTGCTTGCATGAAAACTGCAGTGAAAAGGTGTTGATTGGAGACTGTGAGTCGTTTTTTTGTACCACGGTGGTGTTGTACGCGCAGTCTTGGGCCCTTTGTATACCATGATGGCCTCGTAGACACGTCATTGATGTGACCGAGTTGCTGGCACCACATCAAAAGAAAAGGTGCCGGCCTGAGAGATTTGCAACGTCCGCCCTCGCTAGATGTGCCTTCATGCGAGTTGGCCCGACGTGACTGTCTGAAGAGTACAAAGAAAGTACCGAGCTGCCCGAGCATGTGAAAGTCATGTCATGTAAAGCAAGACGGGGATCTCAGTGAGTTCGAACAAGATTATGCGACTGCCAGCCGTGATGCCCGACGAATCGGACTTGCACGTGCCACAGATGTCATGGTATATCAACATCCTGTTTCTGGTTTCTGGCTCTGGAGAACTTGATTGTCCTGACAGCAGCCAGACGCTGTCTTGTCAGAGGGGTTTTCCAAAAGTACAAATAGCCCTGCGCTTTTCTCCTTGGACTGCACTATTGCAGGAGAAGCCGCCCAGAGCAGATGAGCAGCCTTCATCGTTACTGAAGCGCCCTTTATCCCATCCATCGCCGTCGCTGCTTACCCTCCGCCATCATACCATGCCTGGCTTCGCCAGAGCCCTGATTCTCACGGCGCAGGTGGCCGCCGTGGCGTATGCAATTGTTGGTCTCGTCCCCGCGATGTTCCCGGTGGTCCACGGGCAAACTGACAAGAAACAAATGCGCTCAAGCCCGCGTTGAACAACAACATTGCCCGCCGAGTATGGCCCGGCTGCTTGGATAAGCATCCTACACCCATCGCGCCACACTGCAGTAAGCCGCTGCCTTTGTTGTCCGGCACACTCTGCACGGGTACGATGCTCACATGTTCTCACGTAGGTGTCGAGGCCCCCAGTCCGGTGAGGTCGCCAATAGATTCCAAATGCAACAGGTTTTGCTGGGTGCCGCCAGGTGCTTGGTGCAGCATGGTGGCCGAGAACGACGGCATCACCGTCGGGCAGTTTGAGGCTTGGAACCCTTACGTCGGCCCCGAATGTGATGGGCTTTGGGCCAACTACTATGCCTGCGTGGGAGTGTGCGATTCGTAAAGGTCGAAATGGCTTGCTAGCTTCCTAGACTGGACTTTGGCTAGCTTGGCAAAATTCCAGGAGCAATTGCTAGTCTTTGCAGATCTCCACGATCGGTGTGACAGCGCCGTAGTTTGATCTACAATAGCGGTGTTGTCAAGCTCATAGTACTCCATGCTTGTGCTGTCTCCATCGCATGCTTACACGTATGTGTAGTGTGTACGACCCTCGATTTGCTTGATGTAGTTGCACCACACGGCCCCGACGGGCTTCCCCTTTGTATTGCCGTGAACCGGAGGCTCGCTCTTGACGTACTCGCCGTTGCACCTGTAAGGAACCCGGAATAGTCTCATCTGAGACAAACACATGTTCTTGGCACGGAAAAACTTGTCCGGCAATCTACTGTGTCGCAGCTTTGCCAGATATCAGTTCCTCGACGAAGCATGAGCTGACAAGGCACCATGTTACTTCGCCTTGTATAATTATCCAACGGAGCCCGATCCGGCAGCCGCGCGAGTGGAGGGCTACTACGTGGTACCAGGCAGACCATGTATGTCTCTCGACGCCCCGCGGTGCGATGCACAAGATGTCGCTGTGCGTCACCGACGCCATCCAGGTACGTATCTATGCGGTACTCCGTATTGTCTTGCCTGACCTTGTCCAGGTCACACACGCATGAGCTCGACCGCAGCCATTTTTCCTGGTCCGAGAAGTCTTTTTGCCTGTTTCGGGCTGTGGCGTAGATGCTCGATTGCCCGGTGTTCATGGTAAAAGGCCAGTACTCGATCTCGGTCCTTGGTGCGGCCACTCAACTAGTAGATGTTGCTGGCAGCAGAGGCACAAAGAGCGTGGAACGTGACGACGTGGGAGTTTGATTCTTTTGAATTGGACATGAGGCCCTTGAGAGCCATGGGGAGCATCATGCTGCGGCGGCACGGGTTGTGTGGCTCCTCAATGAGGACGAGTTTGCGGCTGGTAAATGTTACCGAGTGATGGATCAATCTTTTCTGGTCAGATGGCATGGAAACATCGTGAGTGGCGGCTCGGCGGCGAGGGCATTGGAGGCACTCAGATGAACCCAGTTCAGGCGAAGGCCATATCCTTCGCGTGCGACGCCGAATCGTTGACGACGAGAGCCCCTCTTTGGCGGTCAGATCCCCTTGGGTGCAAGGCGCTGTGCGGTAGGGAACGAACCTACTCATCGCACTTCACACGGCGAGCACGGCAAGTCCAGCAGCCGGCAAAGGATTTCGAACGCAGTTTGTACATTACGCTGTCGTCGTCGGCCCATGACCTTGTCCGAGGGGCATCAAGACGGTGAAGTGGGAGGAATGTTGCTCGCTGTCTTTTCCCTCCCGAGTTGGAGTTTGGCAGCAACAAGCGATGTCGCTAACCTTTTTTGACAGCCGGCCCGTCATCCCATGAATGGGCCATCAAATGCCGATTGGCTCGCTGTAGACTTCCCGACCCACCTTGTCAGCCAAAAACCAAAAATGACTCTTTTTAACTCGGTGTTTCTGCAACGCCGTGATTTCTTTGCTTGAGGTGACTGGCGGTGTTGCATGGTGTTTGTCCCACAAATTTTTCAACTAATTTATAGCCCCCATCATGGCGTGAAATCAAAGCACCTCTTGCGCATTCCGTGGTTCATTCTGCTTCTAATTTCGTGCGGCACAGCGGCCAAGCAACACCAGATGTATGGCTGCGTCTCTGCAGAGGTCATGTTTCTCATCATGGCACACTACCTCTACGTCAATGCCTGTGCCAAGGGAGAAGAATCGATCACTTCCAACTGGTATGGTGTTCTCGTCAGACGCATCCAACACCGCCTACTCACGTGCTCTAGGGACATGTACTTTGAAAAACTCGGCCTCATGCTCACCTTCTGGAACATGGCCGGCATCCCCTTCAGCTACTGCCACTGCGCAATTTACTTTGCCCATCACCACCCCTCCGAGTACCGCTGGAGCCGGTACGCTCTGTTCGCGCTTGTCGTCGTCTACCTCTCCATGTACTGGATGTGGGATACGTCCAACAGCCAGAAGAACCCGTTCCGACAGATGGAGCGCCAGGGAAAACTGACCAAGCGCAACACGTTCCCACAGCTGCCGTGGCAAATCGTGGAGAACTGGAGACCCAGGCCGGCGAGCGCCTCTTGGTCGATGGTTGGTTTGTTATAATTCGAAAGCCCAACTACGTGCCCATTTTCGTGGGGGTTAATCACCGGCTTTCAGTTAGTGCCATCTTTGGGTGGACAACAAGGCATTCTAGCAGCTGACTTCATGTAGGAGCCCGTTCCCCTGGTTTTACTCCGTCTTCTTCATGATCATGATTATCCACCGTGCAATGAGGGACATCGAGCGGTGCCGACGCAAGTATGGTCATGCGTGGAGGCAGCATGAGAAAGGAGTACCCTATCTTTTCATCCCGGTACGTGTTGGCTTCCACTTGATATGTGAATAGTAGTACTCTGGCTGACATTGCACAGTACGTCGTCTAAGTGGACTTGACGAATCCGATACGGGCACTTGATCCCCAGCAGGTCCGAATTCTGTCCAGAAGCGGGAGCGGGAGCAGCGCCAATCCAAGGCAGTTACGAAAAAAATCAAGGAGCATTTGTTGCAGAGGTCACTGAAGTTGCCGCCCTTTCCCAAGTGCTGTGAAGAGATGGAAATTCCTTGGAAGATTTCCACCGGCACATTCTGCCGACTCCAGTACACACCCAGGCGCAGGTTTGGGTAAGTTGGAGTCTTGGAGCGTCATGTGTAATCGTGCTTCTAGTTGTAAAGAACAAACTTGCATAATTGCCAACCCCAGCCTACTTGGGATGAATGCGGCACAACGAGGGGTCTTTTGGACCCTGGAGATACGGGAGCGAGCACGGGAACCCGATATTTCTGGGAACATGGCCTTCTACGGCAAGCAGGCAGCGCTGCCTGAGCTGAACGCATGGACTCACTTCGAAGTGGCGTGGTGTTGCGCGAAATTTTTGCATTGATGAACGTGAAGGCTCCCCCGCAACTGAGATATGTACAATGGCTTGGTCCGCATTGCTAATTCCCTCACGACGTCGAGTCGAAAAGAATCAATGTCAACAGCACTACTCGGCGGCTACAACTGGCGGCTAGTAGGAGACGGGATGAAGGTGCGTGTAGTAGACGGCTTGGCGGTGCGTGTGGGAGAGGCCGGCGCCGAGCTCGGCGTCGAAGGCAGCATTGCACAGTTGCTCGCCGGTAGAGAACTGCCAAAGAGGTTGCCCAGGATGCCCGAGAACTTTGAGGGAGGTCAGTCACGGCTCATTGCCTGCATGTGGCCCAAGATGCCTCGTGGCAACTACATACCGGATTATTATTCATGCTGCTAAGGTCGCAACACGCAGGAAATTTGGAGGGCGCGCAAGCTCGCATAACATCCGCCAAGTCGTTCATGGTCAGGGGCACTATTCAGCTTGTCAGTCACGTCCCACGGCCCCGGGTCAGGATCAAGTTGAAACACATACTGCTGTCGCATTGTAGAAAGGAGCCAGTGGCGAGCCGGCAGCAACTCAATGTTCTGGTGCCGCATAGATTGGACGGGACGGCCGGCAATTGTGGCAAGGCGGCCACGCCGACGGATGCCACGGTGAGCGCGAAGAGCTTCATGTCGGCAGGTTGGCAGATAATGCGGCCTTGACGAGTTGAGATGCTGGGAAAGTGAAGGAGAGCTTGCTGTGGTATCGGTGACGGTCTATATGGTGCATCTTCCGACAGCGAGGCGAATGGCACAATTTATAATACTGCAGTTGCAGCATCGCTGCCGCACCACGGTATACGTCCGCTCCCGTCCGCAGCGGCTGCATGCCAACCGGTGGAGGCAGAGACTTGTTATACACTATGCTTGACTTTGGGGAGCTGGCTATATCGAACGACGTTGGTAGCATGTCTTGTCCTGCCGAGTGCCGTGTGCTAGCCACCACCCGTGCCAGGAAATGGCCACCATCTGCCGCATTACATTCTGTGGCTCGTCCATATCTGGTGTAATCACCGGTGTAAGTGCCGGTCTTGTTAAGCTGGTCAATGTGTCACTTGGCCGAGCCGGGCTTCGTGTCTGCTTGACCGACTGCGAAGGATATTCAATATTCGACATTGACTGACCAGTCTGCATTCCATCATGTGAGGCCCTCGGCCACCTCTGCGCAGGTTGTTGAGGAGTGGCTGACATGGACGCCAGGGCAGACTGAGACAGTGAAGCCGGGCAAGAGCCCTTGCGGCACAAGCGTTCGAGACGAAGTACTACGCAACTAGAGACTCGCTGTAATGGCACTCGACCAAGTCTTTGACCAAAGTGGGCACTGTCTCATACTTCAAGCAAGACGCGTTGCGAACAAGATTCCATTCGGCTCGCGCTGTAAAGCAATTCGAAAAAGAACAACCCAAGCGGGCTGGTCTTTGCTTCCCTTTCCACTGTTCTACAAATGCAGTCTCGTCTCCTATAATCTTGAAGGCGTCAGTCTGGTTGTCCCTGCTGCAATATGTTGAAAGGGGCTGTCAGATCACTGCTTCTGAGGCGGTCGAGTGCGTTGCGCATGAAAGCGCGGATTGGGCGCTACATCTATGATGAGAAGATACGTAAAGCGCCCCCAACTTTGCAAACAATGAGAGAGGCTGGGGAAATTCCAGCCCCCCCCGGGGAGCCATTCAACCCGCCTCATTTGAATCAGATTTGGAGTTTTGACTCTGAGATACAGAGGAGCCCCTAAAATGCCGGCTTGTGGCTCCCTTGAATGCTAATGGCGGCGACTCAGACCTAGACTCACGTCGTTCGGTACGCCATTATGAAGACTGCACGTTTCCGCCTCCACTGGATGACCCGAGACCCGAAAGGCCAATGTTGCTTGGGCACAATGGAAATGTCGAAGGCATCTTGGAAAGAAGAAGGCGACTCGATGGGATGTCATAGAAGTGTCCTCATCAGGAGTCTTGACCAGGCTATTGGGTTTGACTGGTCAGTGATGGAACATCAAGATGTAGCAGTGGCTCTTGGTCAAATACCTGATATCTAGCTCCGTAGGTCCCCACGTTATCCGTGCTCGCGTCACGGGTCCGGTTCGTGGAAGATGTCCGCGAACAAGATGGAAATTGACAAGGGAACGCTTTCGCCAAGTCGAGCGATGCCAGTTCGGACCCAGGAATTCAGCGAATGCCTCTGGCTCGGAGCATGTAATACGGAGCGGAAGAAGCAGGGTCTCGAGGACAAACCCATTCGCCCGAGCCATCATCACCAGAATTCCAAATCAGCATTTCTTTCCGCTACTGAAACCACTCCTGGACCGCGTCCCCACAGCACATATTGTTCGTTCTGTTTGTTCTACAAGGGTCTTCGAGCCGTTCTACGTGGCCAGAATCATTGCTTTGGGCCTTACACAGCCCACGTACTTCAGCCCGTTCTGCACAAGATTTCTGTCAGAAGATATAGAGGGTGCACACACACAGGAAGGGTAGCCTCCGGTTGCGCCATTTTTTTTTGTGAGACTTGTCGCCAAGGCGCATTTTCGAGTAAAATCGCGACATGGCATCCATATTTTCCGTGGTTAAAAATGCATGAAATCAGCATTCTCGCCGAGCAAAAACTCCTCCAGTTCAAACGCACCTGGAAATACAAAGTCATCGAGCGGGTTGCCTAGCCGTACACGATCCTCACCAACCAGGCTACCAGGCGAGTCGTACGCCGTGTCCGACGGAGTAATGACCGAAGAAGCAGCCTGGCCGACAAAGGGTAGCCCATTTCGCGCCGTGGTCGAGCAAGAGCTGGCGCTGTCTTGGCCGCCAGTCATGCCGCCAAAGGATGCGCCGTTGCAGTCGCATCTATCGCTGCACTCGTGGCTGCGTTGCGCTGGATCCGCGACCGATTGCTTCGTGGCCCTGTGGAGCGTCAACTCGCCCTTTGAGTCGAAGATGCGCAAAAGGCCTCTGGCGAAGCCCCAGTTGCGTGCCAGCTCTGCCAAGATAGCTGACATGGACTTGAGCTTCTGGGATGCTTTTGCCACGACAAGCGGGTTGCTGCTATGGAGCTCGTTGTTGGCGGCAACAATGGCCGTGAAGACGGCTTGGACGTCAAACAACGACAGGGCGTAGAGTCGACGGGTGCAGTGCAGTCCTTCTAGCAGGGAAACGAGGCCCATGCTGGCCTCTGCGCAGATGTCCGAGTTGCCGGCGGGTTGTGATGGCTGATGCTCGCCTCTATGCTTTGGCGGCGGTCGGTGGAGCAGGAGCACGAAGTTGTTGTATGTGAGATGGAGGATGGCACGCCACGTTCCGGCATTGGCGAGCGGCAGTTGCAGGGAGGGAGGGAGCGCCATTGTGAAGCTCGCCAGGGCCTGGTCTGCCCAGTTTGTTGCCCTTGTTCTCTGCTCGCTCGACGCTCGGAGCGCCCAACGCTGTCTGAGGGTTCGCGATATGATGACGCAGAGACGCGTTTGGTGAATGACGAAGTCGGCCTCGGGCTCACGGATGTCCTGAAAGTGGGCATACTCGAGGTCTGGAACACCACAGTCGTCGAGATTTCTGCGACCCAAGATTAGACCTCGGAAACGGGCAGGGTGACGGCGGCGGGAGAGCGACTTGCAGACATTGTGGGCGTCCATACGACAAGGAGATCAGCGTGTCAAATTGGAACAACACCCACCACAAGCGAATCCAGGAGCGCCTGTGCACGTCGAGCAACCTAGCCGTCGTCGTGTCGCGGTGCATCCCCAATCCCGTGGCTGTCCGTGCTGCCGTGCCTATCCAGTGCCACGCGTTGGCAACGACCTCTTCCAGCCCATCCGAGTACCATGTCAAGAGTAGAGCGACCTGGACATATACCTGCCTGTCTTGCTCATATCGACAGTCCATCAGCGCCTTGGTGCGTCTGAATAGAAGTGACTGAAGCAGTCTCATCTGTTCGAAATCCTCTTGAAACGACAAAACGTGTGCTCCCACCAACAGTACCGCATTCAACAGCGGTAAAGAAAGTGGGTTTCCTGCATCTCCCCCTTCAAGTTGGTTGAGAAAGTTTTCTTCGTCGACTATGGGCCAGCCGCGATTGACATGTACGAAGTACGCTCGCACCAGTTTGTCTATGACGGGCTTGGCAGGTCTCTCCAGCGCCTCGCGCGGCACACGTTCGATGTCGTGGGAAGTATACTTGAGATGATATTGGCGGTTGCTGAAGTGGAAAATGCCATCTCGGCCAGTCTGGGACGATGTCTGCCGGACTAAATAGTTAAAGTTGGATGGCTCAGTTCCGACAAAGCACACTCGGCTTCGGTGATTGATTTGTGCGGCTCTGATGGCCTCTCCGCTGACGAGATCTGCCAGATTTCCGGAATCTGGCTCCAGTCCTTCGCCTTGCGGCCATGTATGCCGTTGCTGAGGATCGTCAGCCTGGTACACCGAGTCAGATGGATGCGAACTGTGTTCCGTCCAACGACGGGATCTAGGGCTTGCATCATCTCCAACAGTCGTTTTGGAAGCACGCGACCTAAGAGCTCGGAGAGGGCGTTCTAGGTGCATCGATCCAGGTGCATTTCTCCTTTTTTTATAGATTCCGCAATCTATCAACCTTTTGCTTCGGCAATTTGTGCAGGGCGTTCCGGTGCCGCCAACATCGCAGCGCACCTTTCGCCGATGGCAATGTATACAAGCTGGTCCTCCTGCAACTTCACGTCAGGCATCTCTAGCGAAAAAAAGCACTGTTCAAAAGTCGTTGTGGGACTTTGGTCGGCAATACGGATACGTACTGTGCTGGAGTGGTCTCAAAATGGTTTTCTGGAGCGCCGGCTCGCCGGTGTCGGCGTCATTCGGAACGTCCTCCATGGATGGCAAAACGCCAACGAATCTCAACTGCCTTTGTCACGAATGGATATGCGACAGAAACCAATTCCAACTGCCGGCCATGAGGGAATCAGACAAGTTCAGGAAACATGGTCGGCCGTCGTGACGAACCCGAAAAGGCGTTTATTTAGTTTCGGCGCAACGCTGGTCGGCAAAACCAGCCAATCACCATCAAATCGCAACCAATCAGCTCCAATGGGAGTTCGAGTCGGCAATTCCGACCAATCATGGCTCTTGACAGCATGTCCGAAACTGGACAAAACAAAGGACGGTGTAAGTGACGAGCCCCGAGAGTCGGACAGGGCAAGTTTCCGCGATGGCTATATTAATCGTGCTTTGTCGACGTAATGCTGTCTCTTTTTCGAGCTCTGTCATGGGAGTTGTGATAATGCATCAAGTCACGATGATACCAGCCGCCAACGACGTTCCCCATCACCTCGAGATGCCCGAGCTCGGGACGCATCAATTTGCTGAGAATCTCGACTCATCTACCGTTTCCGTCCCAACAGACTGCTGCAAGCCCAACAAGCCATCATGGGTCAGCTTCGCCAGTTGCAGACACGTACATCATCGTCCCCACGCTAACAAAACCAGCCTCGCAAGATACACATCGTCCTCGCGGGAATCATATGCACCTTCAATACCAACCTGGGATCTTCAATGCCCTCAGGTGCCCTTGTGGCTATATCTCAGAAGTTCTCCATAACAAACAGCTTGCTCCTTGTGCTTCTCAACTCCATCTACATGGCCGGGTATGTCCTTGGGCCACTGCTCTTCGGCCCAATGAGCGAATATCTAGGTCGTCGGCCCGTCCTCATTGGCACCTTTATCGGATATCTGATTTTCATGGCCTGCTGCTCCGTAGCCCCAAACTACACAGCGTTGGTTGTCTTTCGACTGCTGTGCGGCATCAGCGCCTCCGCCCCCCACAGCATCGTTGGCGGTCTATACTCGGATATATTTGACAACCCTTCTCATCGGGGCACAGCAATGTCGCTCTACATGTCGGCCGCCAATGTAGGGCCGCTTTTGGGACCTCTCATCTCTGGCTTTTCCTCCCAAATATCATGGCGCTGGCCGTTTTTGTTGGCCGTTCTCATTGCACTGCCTGGGTTGCCCCTCGTGCTTCTGATGCCCGAGACGTACGCGCCCGTTCTCTACGACAATGCGGTTCGGAAGCACAGGAAACAAGGGGCGGCAGTGGCAAGTAACCAGAGATCCACATCTCCTCGTCGTGCTTTAGACCCGCGAGAGGTTTTTGTCCGCCCCGCCAAGCTCATATGCACCGAGCCAATTCTCCTCTTTACGTCCCTGTACATCGCCCTTGCATATGCCATTATGTATCTCACATTTCAAGCGTATTACATCATATACCAAGGTTTGTGCATATTTCATCATGATTCTTGCTCAAGCCCGTCTACGGTGGGAAAGCTGCGGCCCTAAAAGCTGCTAATTCGTCTTAGAACACTATGGACTATCTCCTGGTATTGCCGGACTGGCTTATGTGCCGAGTAAGTAATGTCCAGAGGTTCAAGTCCAATAGAGTTATGAATTCAACGGCTAACAAAGAGAAATAGTACTAATTGGCGTAACTGTGGCATTTACTCTCGGCCTCGTATATACTTGGTGGCATGACAAGGCTTGCGCCGCCGGAAAGAGTTGGACGCAACAAGAGGTGTATCGGCGGCTTCCCATCGCATGTTTTGCGGCACCATGGTGTGTCTTACCACTCTCTGCCGGCTGCATCAGCCTATTTGAGCTAACGCGTACATTTAGCCTCGTCACCTCCTCGTTTTGGATTGGTTGGACGGCTTGGCCCGGGGCAACAGCTCCAATTGTCCCAATGATTGGAGGTCTCTTTTTTGGCCTCGGCTCGCAATTAGTCTACATTGCCATGATCAACTACATCACAGACATCTACCGAGAGAGGTCGGCGTCGGCACATGCTGCTGCGAGCGTGACTCGGTCTGTCGGAGCTGTGCTGCTGCCCTTGGCTGCTAGGCCAATGTACAGAGACCTGGGCATCCATTGGGCTCCATCTCTGTTGGGCCTCCTTTCCTTTGTCATTGGCATCATTCCCTTTCTTCTCGTCCGTTACGGAGACAAGTTGGTCCAGAAAAGTAGGGCCAGGGCACAGCAACAACTCGTGCCGCGCGCAGAGCTTGACGCCTCCCTACGCCCAGTCATGCACCGTTGAATAATTTTGTGTCTCGAAGTGCTGTGCTGGACAGAGTACGAGACGAAAGAGTTTATCCCGTGCAGCCACCAAGTCATCTGCAAGCGACTAATTGTGAAAACCAGGTCCCTCGCTAACCAGACCCTGCAGGCCTCGCCATGGCCAATGCTTCTGCGCTCGGATACTTCAGGCCCTTCTCACCATGTTCGTCGACAGGTTCAGCTTCTTTCACCCTCTGTCACTGTGCTGGCGATCCTGGGCGCCATTGCTGGTGTCGTCACTCCACTTGGTCTGGGTGAGAAACTCATATCCTTACGCGAACAAGGTGGGACATTCGAATACTCGCGAGACATAACGGCAAAGGCAACTTCCACCGCTTCTGCGCCAACTATTCCGGGGGCGGTTGGATTCCCTGTCCATACACGGGTGATGTCGTGGAAGTGACTCGAATAGCGAACGGAACGTTCCTCTGAAAGTTCCCGTATGGACTCCACACTGCTGTTCCTGATATTCTCCGAGACGTCTTCTCCAGCGGCACAGCGGGCCTAGCTACGACAATCTCGACTCCTTTGACATTGAATGGAGACAGTTATCTTATCTACCGCAAGAGAGGATACTTACAACAATGGCACCGCGTACGAGGTTATCAGACCCATCGGACACGGCGTCACCTATAAAATTCCGTTTGGTGTACCCGCATTCCTGCTCCTGCTCTTCATAGCTAGTATGGGCATTATCTCTATGATCGCTATGTGATTCATTAAGGCCAGCATCGGCGCCGCCGCCGCCGCATACAGCAGGTATCGACTGGCAGGATCAAGACTACATATCTGTATCCTGAATGTGGCTCTCTTTCCATGCCCGGCAGGGAATGGACGGAGAAGAATAGGTCCTGGTTGATAAAACTCACCAGCATCGGCGAGGCTCACGGGCCACTGGATTCGGAAATGTCGCATAGCAAGCATATAAGGTGGTCTAACACAAAAGTGTGGCGTGGGCCACGCCCAACTTTTGGTGTGACAGGAAAGCCGGTTCCACTTCGAGGAGGCGAAACGTCGTGCGGACAATGTTCAGCATGTTATCGCCAGCTCTAAACCCTAGTCCTATTCCGCGACATGATATGAACCTGTACTCTGTATCCGTTCAGTTGCAGAATTCAAGTATGTTTCAGCATACAGTAGATGCGCACCCCGCACCACAAGCATTGCTCTTCTCATTATTGCGCACTTGCAACGCTGTAATATATTTAGCTCAAGTATCTTGTTCCTACTGACATCTAAGCGCTGCTTATTAGTGTGGAGGTCTTCAACTATACCTACAAGCTAAACTTATTTAATATGTACTTTAAACGTGTCTATATTATCAATCTCCGCCTCTTCTATCGTGCCATGCTCCTCTAGTATGTCTAATACTTTTATCTCATCCTATCAAGCGTTACTTGCAGAAACTAGTCAGAAGCGATATAACTGTCATTTTGTGCTGCACTGTTAATCTGACATTATTGAGGTCGCAAGCCTTGAGGATGATCCGTATCTCAACCCCAAGAGCAACAGGTTCCCCTTGTATCGGCACTGAGTCCCCATCGTCTGCCAACTCCTCAGGTCTCTCTTCCGCTCCAGCTCCTCTTCACGTTCCATCTCTCAAAACAAATCTAATTTCGTACTTCTATGTGGACCTTCGTTCGACCGTAGGTAAGACCTCCGGCGCTGCGTCCATCCACTATAGCCCGCCCGTGGCCCTGTGGCTGGATACCCAGATTCAGCAAGGTATAAAATGCATATAGGCCTTCTTTCTGCATTATATAAGTATAATCTTATTATTCTTTTTGATAGCTAGGACTTCTTTGTGTTTCTAAAGAGTAAGCTAGGCATTCTAAATAGTTAGAGCTGCTTATTATAGAGGGTTAACACTACGAGGCTTAGTACTAGGGACAACTAATATTACAAGAATATTAATTCTTTCTTTTGCCGCAGCTCTATGTAAACTATCCTAGGCATATTATTCCTCTGCCTTACAGATATAGTCTGTAAGCTTATCGTCTTTATCCCTTACTTTAAAGCAGACGCTATAATAATTAAAGTGACATCACACAACCCTTACAGCCCAGGCTATTCTCCACAGTTAATTCCAGTACAGCAGAAGAGATAGCTAGCGGATGCAGGATATATGTCAAGCAACACTAAATCTAGAGAAAGAAAGCTTACTAGTACTACTTAATAGAGTTTATAGAGGCTGGCTAAGTAGTAGTAAACAGCTAGTTAAGTTAATATTACTAGAGATATACTATAATTAAAGTGCTTTCACTAGAGGTACTAGCTTAGAAGAAAATTGGCTGCCCCCCTAGAAGTAGAAATAAAAGCTCTAATAGCCTATATATACAAGAAGTTGCCTGTGTGTGTAGCTCGACCAGATAAATGAGGCATGGAGGGATTAATGCCCGGACCCTTGTGCGGCCTATGAGGGCGCCGTGATAGCTGCATCCTTTGTGCATTTCAGCTTGTCATGCGGTTGTGGCTTTGTTGGCTGCAAGTTCCGTGTGACAGCTACAGACTTGTTTAGTGTCCTATAAGCCTTGAAGCCTTGAAAGTGTTTAGTTCTTTCAACAAGCACGCCGCTGCGACAATGCGAAAGCTTTCCAGTTCCCCGGTGCGGTGATAAGTTGGGCCGAAATTGTCTGCCTGTTCGATACACCCCACGACCAAGCACGCCCAACACAGCTGAATGGCCACATGCTCATCATCATTGTCCTCGAAGCGGCCCCAGTCACCCGAGTGGCCGCGCCTATCATCGATGCGGTTGCGAATGAGGCTGCAAATCCACGTCAGAATCCTGTCTGTATCTTCTTTGAGCCGGATCGAGGCGTCACGCTGCCGGCGGGTTTGTGTTCCAGTCTTGTTCAAGACGGAGCCGCAAAAAACCTCTGCTTCTGTGATGCACTTTCTGGGATTCTCCGAAAAGTGCCACATGCTGTCCAGTATGGAGTCCTCGTAGCTGTGATTTGTTAGCCCGAGCGTCTTGTGGTGTATTGTGTGAGATGGCGCCAACTCACAGGTTGCGTATCTTCCACGCGTGATCCTCATGACGAGAGAATTCTGTTCTTATTCCGTAGGAGTTCAATTCAGCCATAATTCTACCCTTCAACTGGTCCCATATCGATGGGCCCGTCATGGGAACCGCCCTGTGGATGTGTTCACTCCAGATCTTATTTTCGTCGATGCCGCGATAAAGACGACCTAGGAGTTTTTCCGATCTGTAATATCTCGGCTTGGCCCCACCTAAACCATTTTCGTCGTCTTCGTCATCACTCATTGCGATGTGGTCGATTTGGCCACGGTCATAGATTCTCACGGGAGGGGCCGGGGCAAGGCTTGAATGCGGTTTAAATTTTAGCATGAGAGATTGCATCAACTAGTGACAAGGAAGGTACACTTACAAATCAGGACGTAAACGTGGCGCCTTTGGCATGTCAGACCAGCTGACCGCGATTCCAGTCTTGGAGTAATCAACTGCAGTAGAATGCATCTCGGCCAGCTTGACGCAGCTGGCATCTTTGGTCCCTTCCGGTTGCATATCCGCAAGGATCTGGTGCCTGTTCGCAATCAAGCCGAGTATGTCTGATTTCATAAAGTTGAGGAAAAAGGCCGCGATGTCGTCACGCGTGACCGGCCGATCCAAAGGTTCAGGAATCACCCGAGGGTAGTCGGCAGGGTTGAATGTGAATCTGGGTGCTGCCTTCCGATCCCAAATGATGTTATACAAGTCACCGTCAAGATCTCCTCCACTCAACTGACTAGGTAGGTCTCGAGAGCCTTTTTGGCTAAACACGACGCAGTTTCGAAGGCCCCTCAGAGGGTGACCGTCGGGAGGCGACACCGCCGTCACATGCTGGATATCGCCAGGATGCAGAGCTGGGCATCGAGTGACAATGACCGGGCCATCCCTCAGGGTTGCGTCCATACGCGCTCCACTGGTTGAGTAGACTTTGTCGTAGGTGATGAAGATTTCGTTTTCGTTTAGAAAGCCAGTCTCATCCATAATGCCGAAGAGAGTGACTCCTTTGTCGACCGGGATCCGGGCTTTATGCTTGAGTAGCCGCAGCTCGCGTAGCACTGCGTGTTCGACGACAGATTTGAGGAATCTGTCGCGGCGGTAGTCTATGCTCATTTTGTCTAGTTGTTTGATAAACGACGGTAGGCCTATCGCACTGCCAATATCCTGGGAACGCAAGAAAATGCTCGTATTACCAGCCGTTGCCGTAACTTGCCGTAGAATATTGAGTGCTTTTTCTTGTTGTGCTACAAACCACTGAGGCTTGGTGCCCATGTCTTCCAGAATTTTGATGATCTGACGATTGAGGACCAAGCGCAACGGCCTCGATGCCACGTCACAAATGCCGAGCTCTCTCAGATCTTGACTAGGAAACTTCATCATTGAATCTTTGCGGATGCAAATAACCTTGCCTCGCAATGTCGAATTAAGCGCCAGCATGCCCTTGGCGCCCGCCCAGCGAATTTGAAAGCACGTTGGGCTTATAGTTCGCATAGGCAATGCCTTCCAGAACTCTTGCATGGCTTCCCTAGATATTGTACCAACGCCATCGCTAAAGACGCGTTTGCCATCCGCCGACTTTACATCGGGTATATAGCGAATATCAATACCAGCCTTGAAGAGATCAACAGCGAATGGGGTCTCGGAGAAAAACTGACCAATTCGAGCGGCGCATTTAGCGGCCACGCGAATCTTGCTAAAATCGCCCAACGATTTCAGGATCGTGTCATGGTCCTGGCGTTGCAAGTCGGCGTCGACGAACGGAGCCAGGAACCAGGTAGAGTGTGAGCGAAGAGAAGAATGGGAGAAGCCAAGGAAAGAAAAGTGCCTGCCGGCAATCCGAATTCCATCAGCGAGGACCTTGCGGTATCGCTCGTAAATGGCATCGTTGCGAACCCGCGGACTGAATGAAAGATCTTGGCCTCTTTCGTCGCAAAAAGAAACCCGCAGAAAGTGGTCACCATGATGGCGAAACATTCGCAAGACCCTGTTCTTGCTCTCGGCATCAGGACCTTCAAGCAGGATGCGAGTTGGCGTTACCATGGCCTTGAAGACCCAGGTTTGGTGCTGCGGTAGGCTGGCGCCATACACGTCGGTCTCGAGTGGATTTTGGCGGTTGACGCCAGTTTTTCCTGCTTGCATGCTTTCTACAACGCGCACCGGGTCGACATCTGCCGTGTCGGTGCCGGGGACCGGATACGGCATCGTCTGGAGGAGCCTCTTGAAAGCATCGGTCGTGAATGGGAACGTTTTGCTGTCCTGAGCTCTTTCTCGGGCGATGCGCGCAATATGGTCGAGTACGCAAAGCCCTCCATACGGGTGCAGGTAATTGTTCCAGACAAGCGACTGGACCTGAAAGAGGATCGGAAACGGAATTATTCCTTCTCTTGTGGTGCCCAGGCTCTGCATCTTGCCTTCGAAGGCACTGATACCTGTGGCATAGTCTTCTACGGTGGGCGCTGGACAAGAAGCCACAGGTATGTTCTGCTGGCTCAGGGGCAAAATGTCCTGGGCCTTGATGGCGCGAATGATGGATTGATACTCTTCTGTAGGTGTTAGTTGGTAGACTAGACAGTGTGCCACGTATTTGGCGTGATCAGTCCAGAGCGGACAGCTGGTTTGCCGCTCCCAGTTGACATTACTGCCCTGTAGACAAGGCGATTTGGAGTAGAACCTGGGCGGCTCTTCCAGAACGAGCATGATACTCTGCGATGAGTGGTTCGCGATAACTTCATGAATGGCATCGTAAAGGATATCAACGCGGCTGTCTTGTCCCCAGATTGTCAAGCCCTGTCGGGCAAACTTGGCCATGCCCCCGACACGAAAACGACTTTGCGACACGAACTTCAACCCCGTCGCTGGTGGCGCATAAATCAGCTTGCCACACGAGATTTCAGTGATGGCACACGAGATGTCCGGGGTTCGGGGGCCTTTGTCGACCACCTTCTGACGCTCATGACGCTCGTGTAGAAGGTGGCTCAGGGTAAGGGCGTCGACCTCGCGCCGACTCCTCTCGGCATAGATTGCAGTCGACAGAATACATAATCTCGCCATGTCCCTTGTGCGTCGGGTGAGACCAGACTGGGTGGTGGACGGTGGCTGGCCAAGGCCTTTGGCGCTGCTGATCTTGCCGTGGCTTTTGAGAAATTTTCTGCCGTCGTCAATCTGAAGAAACGTCAGCCATGCCATAGGCTTCCGCCTGGTTTTATCGACGGCCCAATCGACGATGCCGAGAGCGTTCATGAACGGCGCAAGCTCTCTCCTGAGGGCCTCGTCGGTCAGAGTAGCGGGCACGTTCCCCAGGAAGACTTCCATGACTGCGGCGTGCTCCTCGGCCTCGGAAGCTGAAGATGATGATGAAATGAAAGCCTGCGAGGAGCCACCTGCCTCCAGCGACGGTTTCGTCAAACCTCTGGGTGGGCAAGCGGGGCCGATGCAACAAACAGCAAATAGACGGGCCCTGGGCATTGTCAAGCCACCCGTGAACGTTGATTGTTGGAGTGTGCGAGGGGTCACGTGGGCAAGAGAGTGACACTTAGCCGAGTGTTATTTATAGCAACTACGGATTTGTGGGGCTCACCATGTACGTACTCGTAGTCAGGCCAGCCAGTCGAACGGCTCTATCTTTCTCGGTCTCTCATTCGTAAGTCTTTGGCGATTGCATGTCCAACCCGTGCGGAGCAATTGCGTCAATGCCCGTCTCAGCATCCCTGTCTGTAACCATTTCGAACACGGGCCAGGCCTAGAAAGATACATGTGCATTTCGCTGGCAACTTGGAGTCCAAAATGGAGCCACAACTAGATACAACGAGGGTTAAAGTTGGCGCAAGGAACTAGCAAAGGTAGGAGAGGAGATTGCGCGAAATTTGACCGAGCACAGACTGCCTAGGATAGACAACATCCTCGCCTGCAGATGCAAAGGATACCTACGGAGTACTGAGTGCACGGGGGCGACACAAGAAGTGTGTTACTTTATCACTTGGTAAGTGGTTCCGTATCTCAGCATCGTCACGACACACCAACGCATGCTCCCTACGGCGCGTCTTGGTGTGTACTGGAAATCTGGATGAACACTACACGTTGACGCAGACAGTACGGCGGCTGCAAAACAAGGATGAGGTTCGAATCAGACCTCAATGCAACTTTGATGGCCGTTATAGCAGTCCATCGCGTTACACAGCATGACAAGGTGACATCGTGCGCTGCACACGCTTGATACGGGGGATTCGTCGCCGACTTATGGGTCCCTCTGTCGGCTTTTAGCACGGAAAACAAGGCGTTGCCATTTCGCGACTGATGCAAAGACTCAGCACACCCTCTCCGTTCTTGCCGGTCGTGGGCCTTTGATTTCCGATACATCTGCCGTGTGTCACAGGAGTAACTGCAAACGTCCAGCACGCACCACTTCACTTACATACGTGAGCCGTCCTGCTCGGTGTTATCTGCTCCCCTCGTAGCCAGTGAACAAGGTCGTGCATATTTTACAGGCTTTCTTGTAAATTTCATCTTTGTCTGCGTCCATCTGTAGCGCATTCTATATCCTGCGATGCCCGAGCAATGTTACATGCAGTCTCCGCCCTTTCCTCTCCTCTCCTCCGACTCTTAGGTCAAATACCGACCCCGGCTCGCGGCTTTCGGTGTGTCTGTATTGGAGCAAAAAAAAAAAAAACAAAAGCAAACTGCCAGACAACTCAAACTCGGACTGGGGTTGACAAAGACTTTAACGTTGGCTCTATAAGCATACATTTAATCGTGGTATCGGCGGCACGTCGGACATCAATGTCACTGGCCAGAAAGATTGAATGACATTGACAGTATTTGTGTTATAACTTGGTCGAATTCAAACCTTCTAGCTCCATGGACAAATTATAATGAAGTCGTTATATGCAAGTCTAGCTACGCCACACAGTTGGAACGGACTCACGCAGGCACCAGATTTTCTGAATAGGCAAGTAAACTAACACTATAGACAAGACGCATCGAGACACGCTGGATCAGTGGGTCATGGTCCATGGAATACGGACATACGAGGGCCTTCGAGTTGAACATACCTTCCCAATTTGGACCGCGACCGAGCGAGCGCTCATCGTCTCTGCTGCGGAACAGGCCGATGTCGCTGGAGATGGTTCATGGTGCAAGATGGATGTGTCTATTCAAACCTCGCGACAGATTGCCATGACCTTTGCGATAGTTAGAGGTAGCCTTGTTAAGTTCTGAACGGAAACAACTGGGCTATCTATGCAAGTTGCCCGCGGCTAAGTATCTTGGGCAAATGGCAAGCTGTATTTGGTCTCCTTATACGGAGCGTCGATCTACTGGCCTTGATAGCTCTGCCTTCTCCACCTACACATAGTAAATATGAATTGAGCGAGCATGCGATTCAGCGGGCTATGACCAATTCTAGAGGGTACCTCCAAGTAAATGAATGGACTCCTACAGATCGCTTGAATATGGACTGTGAAGTCTGGGAAGCAGCCACCAGTCGCGGTATATTTATTCCACGACCTAGGACGGCGTCTAGATCGCATCGAAGGAGACCAGGCTGACTCCAAGAAATAAGACGAAGCACGACAATGCAAATGTCCTGCTCCCAAGTGCCGAATCGGACAAGGAGATAACTCACATGCCACGGCATTCCCATTCACAACTCGGGCGGCTCCGTCAGAGAGTCTAGTCACGTGTCATCCGATCAAACAGCCAGTCAAGTATTTAGAATAGTTAGCTACTACGTCGCTTCGCGGTTGACATGTTACTTCCTTGCCGCTGTGGAGTCGGGGATCGTCTACTCCGTTGTGCAGCCGGGCCTACGAATGCCAAAAAGTGATGACTGCATTTAAGAAGGGGTGTTCCGGTCAAACAATCTTGCATAATATTGGTCACTTTTTATTTTTCTGCTGTCCATCTTGCAATTTCGTCACCAGCCGGGTCAGCTCCGTTATCGATGACCTAGTATTTAAAGCGAGCCTCTTCCGAATCTAAACATTTGTTGAATACATGGAATGAGCTGATGTTGATTTTGCAATTGCGCTACTAGTTGAGTACTATTTTTGCTTCTCAAGCCTTCTTTTGACGCCACACATCATGGACTCGTCGGTGGAGCAGTTGCTAACTCCTTCATTTACTCCAAAAACAGACGATCTGTGTCTCTTTGTCGACGCCGTCAAATCCCTACTTGATGAAAGCGATATCGGGGTGATTTCTACGTTGGCTGACCGGCTAAGGCCCTTTCGAATCGATCTAAGGGGGGACGTTGTTGAGGATACTTGCTCGGTGAAGCCAATACTAGTTCTTGATTACGAACAATCGAGATGGTGAGTTTCACTAGTTGGAGATGGGAGTAAACAGTAAGAGTCAGCAACTAAATCTGGATGGATTCCAAGTAGCTATGCAGTACCGGATCAAGCTTTCCAACCGTATCTCAGTCCGGAGCTATCCGTAATATCTCAAAACCAGCAGGCAGCCGCATTGACCGAGACAACCAATGGCTCAATCATCTTCCAGGCGGATTCAGCACCTTCCGGAGAAGCTGGTACCCTGACGATTCCAGACGAACAACTGTCCAAGTACTTGGAGATCACAAGATGCAACGATGTTAGTCAAGCGCAGGGCATGGACTATTACTATGATAAACAACGTGGTGTTTCGGGAGGGGAAGGTCTCGCCGCAGCCCCAGGGGACCCATTTCTGGTGTGGATTTAAGCCCAAGATTGCAAGTTGCACAAACAAAAGTCGAAGCTAACCCGGATATTCATCTCTCAAGGCGGCCATTCACAGCCTGCAGTCAGCCGGCGCCCTGCAACTAGACAGCACCGGGATGTACTTTGACGACTCTGGCATGTCGTCTTATGAAAGTATGTGTCGTATTGTAGAAATGATTCGCAGTAGAGGACTTGGCTAATGTCTACGAAAGCAGCGACTAACACGGACTCGTCGAGTGCCTCTATGGCATTACCAAACATGGACATGGCGCCTCGTGAAAACAAAGAGCCATCGCCAGGGGGCGATCTTGGCGAATATGTGGGCGATTATTATGTTGAGTCGCCGCATAGTATACATACCGACCCGCCTGCCAGCTACACCGAGATCACTTTTGTCAAGGACCTGAGTGGACATGGACCTTCATCTGCTTCATCTGCTTCGTCTGCTTCATTGGATTCAGATCACGGAGGGCTTGGTCCCTGGCAGGCAACAGAAGAGATGGAATCCCGCAGCTCACGCAACACTTCACCGGCCCAGTCTATTTCACAGACTGCCTGGCATTTGGGCACGACAAACCCCAAAGCCAACGACGGAAGAACCCCTGTTGACTGCGCAGCCGGCGTCCTGTCAGATGGAGCCATGCAAAAGGTCTTCGCTGCAGCTCGTGCCTGCATCCGGTCGGACTACCTTTCGCTTTTGGAGACGAACCTCCCGCGCTGGGCCACAGATGGCCTGTGGCACAAGACAGTGCCGCCGTCATACCAGAAATCCGGTCGTTGCGAGTATGAAAAGTTGCAAAAGGCGTACTCGTGCCTCTGCCGCCTCGATATGCGCATGAAAGATGACGCCATCCGGAGCAGGATGGCCATGGTCCTGCTGCACCTGGAGTATGAGAACACCTATGTCAAATGGAAAAGAGGAGCGCCCGGAGGCTTGAAGCCAACAACGGACGTGGGCAGGGGGACGATTAGCTCCATGATTGATGATATTCTAGAGACTACACATTCCCAGTGGAAGAATGCCGGTTCCCGTGAGAAGTCTCTGTTGCGGGCAAACTTCCACGAACGCAAACGATTCGGAAAGCGGTGGTGGATACTCATAAACGCCCTCGGACCCAGCATATTAATATTGTGTTCTTCAAAGTTTGCCGCGATAATGTAAGAATATCACACTCCGCTCACCCCCTTGGCAACTTGATACTGATGTCGTCGCGAAGCAAAAACACAACTATTACGGCGAGGATGCTCGAGGCAATAGGAACTGTTACTAGAGAGACGGTACCGTATGTCGTTCATATTCTGCAGCTAATAAATCCAATTGCCGAGAGCCTGATTCGCGACCGCGGCTATAAAAGCCACGACGTGAGGCAGCTTCTACAGGAGGCACGGGCATTCGACAGGCAATTTGGAGAAACAAGCAGGGGAGAATGACATAATCAGAAGCTGTATATAGTGGAGAGGTAGTAGATAGAACGCTGTTTGCGCACGCATCAAAATATTTCTGCATCTTCATACTAAACTTGGCATCATGCCATGGCCCTTCCGAACAACAGTTTATAACCCAGGGCGTACGGACTTAAATTGGTCATGAGTCATCCTTGTCCTGGAGGTTTTCTTTTAATCTACAAAAACGTCACGAGAAAAGCTGAAACATTCTCTTCATATCACAGTAATGTCATACCAATTTCACATATAGCAACAAGGCAAGTGCAGAGCTTTAGCTCTAGCTAGAAGAACATAGCACCGAATGAAAAGAGCTCAGGTTAAATCTATGGGGGACGTTGGCTTCATAGCATTATGGGATGCGTTTCCAAACATGTTACAAATTTCGTGATGCCGCTGCCGCGGCTATTGCCCTCCCAGTGCTACTTGCCTCTACAGTTCTGGATTGTGCCACTCATCATCACGTAAAACAGCTCCTGTCGGCCTTTCCGGCCTACTCGAGACTGCATTACTACACGGGCCTAGGTCACTTAGCCGCTCTCGAGAAAGCTGGCAATCCTGCCATTACTAGGAACTAACCCGAAGTCCAGAATGATGCTTGACATGGGACTACGTGTGATGCCAAATCGAAAAATCAGAAGAAATTTGTTTGACCCTACTCTCGGAATGATGAATGGGAAAAAGTTGTGAATGCCATGTAACCGCACACGGGCATGGTCAGGCAAGTCCGATATCGACCCCTGACAATGCGAGGTATTGGACCGTCGTCCCCCGTGTTTCGACGCATCGAACTAGGTAGAATGCTTCATCAATCAAAGAAAGGAAGCCCCACACCCTGGAATAAATATTTAAAAGACACCAGACCTGCCTGCGTCGCTTGGGGATGCTCCAGCAAGTCCAACGCATTCCGTCAACACCAACATTCGCAATCAACATGGATAAGATAGTTCCACAGACCAGTGAGATTTTTGATGATTTTACAATCATTGACGAACCGTACGACAGCATCAGTCGTGTCTTTGGTGTTTCATGCTGATTCATACATAGGTTTGTCATACGAGACAACCACCCAATTTTAGCTCATATACTGCTTCCCAGGGATTCGTCGTCGAAACCACACCCGGTCATTATAAATTGGCATGGCGGATACTTGGTAGCAGGACACGGCCTGTTCCCCCTCTTTTTCCCGCCGCTACTGCTTCAACTTGCCAAGAAACATTCAGCCATCATCGTCTCTCCGGACCATACTTTGCTACCCCACAAAGACGGCCTTGCCGTGATCCAGGAAGACGCAGAATCTTTTCATGTTTGGCTGCACTCGTGGTTCCCAAAGGTGCTGGCTCAAAGGACTTCACACTGCGAAGTTGATTTGACGCGGACTTTGCTGCATGGAAGCTCCTCGGGCGCTTACGTCGCCATGTCCTCTGCTCTGGCGCACCCCGACTCCTACCGATCTCTCAGTCTCATGTATCCCATGATCGATTTTGACACTGAATGGTGGCGTCGAGGCAGCCGCGCTGCCGGGGCGCCAAATCCAGGCTGTTTGCCCGATGCCGCGTTCCCCGCTGATGACGGCGCCGTGAGGGCCGAGCTCGAGAGGTTTCTGGAGGCCCCCATCGTCACGATGCCCAAAGCAGAGCGTGATGGCTTTGGTGCATGGGTTGCACGCGCCGGTTTGTTCCCGGAGCTGTTCAATCCCGGCGGCAAGCTGGACGACCACCCAACCGTGTGGCTGAACCGCCGTGTGCAGCAAGGGGCCAAGCTTCCCGAGCGCATCTGGGTGTTGCACGCCGACGCGGACACGGTAGTCCCCATTGAGACCTCGCTTACCTTCCAAGAGACAATGAAGGGGCAACAGCGGCCGGTGCGGTTGGATATCGTCGAGGGGCTAGACCATTGCTGCGACATGGCGATCACGGAGGGTTGGAAGGGGTCGCAGGATCCTGTGATACTAGAAGCTGCCGACTGGCTAGTTGAGAAGTGGCTGGAGTAGCTTGGGAAAGGAGAGAGGTGATGCGCTTTGCGTGTGCATATCTGTCCGCCAGCCTGCTTGAATATGAGGTGTCCCGTGCCGGTAGTCCGATAGATAGATCGAACAGTTGGATTTAGATTGATTCATTACAACGCTCTGAGAAGACCTATTCATCATACTCTGTTAGCAAATTGTCGACATGTTCTGGAAATTGTAGAGCCCGCTCCGAGTCCTTGGGAACGACATGCCAACTATAAGTCGTTGACGCAAAGATTTCTCATCGTAAAAAGAAATGAATGAAGAATATTGTGGCAAGCTGAGGAGGGGAAGAAATGACATACGAGGAAGTTACTCCCTGGATATTTCGAAATCTCAATGCATGCCGACGAACATGCATGCAGTAAGTGACCAGTGTTCATGTACCCAGCTACATTTGCCATTGAGTGTTCAATGGGACATGGTTTCTACACCAAGATGACCCATTGTAGCTTTCCGAAGTTGGAGGATACAGTATCGTGGCTTCAGCTGATTGTCGATTGTGATATCACGACGACTTTTGCTGAATTTCAACGTCCTCTGCGAGGCATGTGCAAGAGACCATCTTTTTGAAAACCAAGCCACGCCTCCGCTGAAAGATTGCGCCAAGTTTATTTCCTGCATGATATGACAACATCTATGACCTAGAAAACGCACCTCTAAGGCCCTGTCTTCCTTTCCCTTGACTCTCGTGACTAGACTTTGGGATGAATCCAATGTCACTGAGAAACTCCAAGCTGCGCTTGACAGCACACTTTAATCTCACAGATGAAGCCTCGTTGCCGTGCCAGCTATTTGCCCACGTCTGCTCCGCATGCTCGATACTTCCCTCAACCATGTGTGCCAGCGTCCAGAGCGGGTGATTCTCCTGCTCAACCTCAATGTCTCGGCGAATAGTCATCAACCACTCCTTGGCCGGCCTGCTTTGCACAGCGTAGCCCATTTCCATGACGATGTCCCATATATCTCTCCAGGTAATTCCGCCAGTAACCTGCATCACTGGCCCAGGCATCGTCATGGGCTCCAACGCCGTGTCGATGATGATTCTCGCTGCACGCGCCACGTCTGAAATGGGAAACCACCTATCCAAATCATCAGCATTGCACACGCCGGCTTTGATACAGGCCGCAATCATTCGCCAGACGTAGTCATCCGAGTTCACAACGCCTTCAGTAGGCGTGCCTATCACAAGACCCAGGCCAACAACGGCGACGTTCAAGAGCACAGCGGGCATGCGTGCTGCCGCGCGCCGGACCAGAGACTCGGACACAAATTTGGTCTGGCTGTAGGGAATGCCGCCGGCAGCAAGTTGCGTTGCCACCTCCTCCTCTACTTCGTCAAGAGGATCTTGGTACCTGGCGCTTGAGACATATGTAAACCTCATCCGAGGCGTTCTTACTGCAATCCGCAGCAGCTCCGCCGTCGAACGAACGTTGGTTGCCTCCAGAGCTGCGTAGTTCTTCAGCCAATGCACCGAAGCTCCGTTGTGAATGACGGCGTCGACTGTCCCGCCCTCTTCAAGTATGTTCCAGTGCGTTTGATCAAGGCCTAGGTGCGGCAACGACAGATCACCAGGCCACACGTCAAGCTTGGCGGCGTGGTCGTCAGTCCACCACAACGCCCTCTTTGCTGAATCGATTGTGCGTCTGCTGACCTCCTGCGTCGAGCTGCCTCGCACCAGGGCAATCACGCGGCGGATCTTCTTGCTCTCTAGTAACTGGCGAAGAAGCTCCGTTCCGATGAACCCGTTGGCGCCGGTTAAAAATACAGTAAGTGGCTTGACGCCTTGTGAACCTGTTTCTGGGTCGGGGACTCTCTGTTGCTGTGTACTAGCGACGATATGGTCGTATCCATCAATCTCCGCCACGAGGTTCACTACTCCTGACGCCTGACTCAATTGCTGGTTTCCACGCCCTCTGTTGGTCCTACCCGACGAGATTTGGCTTTGAACTAGCGCTGCTTCCTCCAAGGCGTTATCGACCATATGTTGCGTGTGATGAGCTTGGCTGTCAGGCGTCGAGTTGTAGAACAAAATGTCTCTGCTAGACAGCAAATTGACAGCTACGTAGTCACCACCAACGTGTTTCCGGTTCAAGTTCGAGTCGCCAGCATCTCTTGTTTTTTTAGGAATCTCCACATCGATATCCTTCAAGGTGAAGGAGGACCGGGCACTAGAGTCGTGAATCTGTGCGAAAATGTGTCGGAACCGCAACAAAATCTGTTGCATCTGAGTGTCGGGCAACATTGACCGGTGAAAAAGAGCCGTCATGTCGATGAAACCAGGCTTGGATAGACATTTCAACGTCAAGGAATGCTGCCTGGGCTCTATAGAATCGTAGAGCACCTCGTGCTCACAAAACCAGGCTCCCTGGATCTCTGAATGATCGGGTTGAACGATGAGCAACGTCTGGAACTGGCAAGCTGCTGCGGCGTTTTGACCCAGTTGACTGATTCGGGACAAGCCAAAGTGTGTGTACATTGCCTGTTCCTCAGCACGATACTCTAGCTCTTCCAGAGCCTCCGTTACCTCCTGAGCTGGGTCGATGAGAACTCGAAGAGGGGTCACGGCACAAGTAGGACCGAGCATCTTGTCCACGCCTTCAACGCGAGTCTTACGCCCGTCAGAAATAACTCCAAAGATGACGTCTTGATTCTTGGTAAAACTATAACAAGTCATGGCCCAGGCCAGCTGTAGCTGAGATTCCACGTTGCTCTTGCGGGTTGCATCAGTTGGAATTCTCGCGTTGATTGGATTTGTTCTTGGCGTGAATGTGCCCCTGTCGACATGTTTCGATGGTGGCTGGGGAAAATGCGTAGGCTCTGCATCTTCCAGCTCAGCTTTCCAAAACGAGGCGGCAGCATCGAGCGACTCTGCTATATGCTTCACATAACGATTCATCGGAGGCAGCTGGCAGACTGAGAGCTGGCAATAGGCTTCATCAACTTGATCCAGCAGCCGAGACAGTGAACAAGTGTCGTAAAGTGAATGATGCAAGGCAACGAGTAGCCGGCCTTTCACAACACATAGCTGGACCAATGGGCTGCCCAGGTCGAAGGATGGGCGAAATCGTCGACTTGAGCCATCTCTGCCCGTGTCATCTGTCCAGCAGATACTTCCTCTCACGACGACCTGAAAGAAAGATCCAGTCTTGCTCTGAACAATGCGTGTCCGAAGGATGGGATGGCCTTTGGCGGCGATGCTCCATGCCTCCTTCACGCGGGCGCTATCAACGCCATCTATCAATCTGAACGATTGAACCGAGACACACGGATCTTCAGCCATGCCAGCCATGGCCATGAGACTTGCTTGGGTAGGGGTACAGGGGTAAATGTCCTCAATGTCCTTTGTGCTTACACCACACTGATCGCTTGCGGTTCTCATGAGTGAATCTTCGTCTCTGACAAGGCAAAACGGAGGCAGACTAGAGTCTGTCGAAACCGACTCTTTGTCGCTCGCCGTAAAACTGGACCTGGACCTCGATACGCTGACCATGTCTCTCAGTCTTGGGTGCAGAAAAATGTCGCCGTATGTAAGATCAAAGAGCTCTTCCTCGGAGACCAAAGCTAGCAGCTTCATGGCTTGTACGGAATCGCCGCCCAAGCGGAAGAAATCGCTATCAGCACCGACCCTGTCGGGCGATATTCCTAGTACACGCGCGAACAGGGCTTGCAAGCGGCGCTCGTCATCTGTTTCTGGCAAATTGGTCCTTGGCAGCCCGGCACGCGGACGAAACAGTTCATCCTGAGACAATGACGAGGCCAAGGCTCTCAACTGTTTTCGATCCGTCTTTCCACTTTTCGACACGGGTATGTATGTCACGGGCAAGAAAGTTGCCGGAATCATGGTGGAAGGCAGAATACCCCGGAGCCTCGAGATCACACCTTCTATGTAGGTGTCCAACTCCGGTGTGACGTCTTGCAAACGTGCAGTTGGCGCCGGATCCTGATGTGCCACCGGATTTGATGTATCCACGGAGAGAAACGCGATCAACGTGGTACACCCATCACGCTTCACTGCTTCAACAGCCGCGTGATGATTTCCCGGAGACAAAGCAGCACGTAGCTGAGACTCGATTTCCCCAAGTTCGACTCTCTGCCCCCGAATCTTGATCTGGAAGTCTTTCCGCCCGATATAGTGCAGAGCGCCGTTGCAACCGTAACGTACCAAGTCACCTGTTCGATACAGACGGGTATTCGACGATGCCTTGCCGCGGAAACGAGACAACCACCGCGGAGGGGAGAGGATGAAGGGCGAGTCGGGATCCGCGTTTTCGGGGTCGTGGAGATAGCTCCTCGCAACGGCCGGTCCCTCGATGACGAGCTCGCCTATGGCGCCTACAGGCACGAGCTTTTGAAAATCTCGACTGTCCACGACCCAAGTCGCATGTGACGCGAATGGCCAACCCAGGAAGTTCGCCTCGGAGAGCTGAGCTGGGCCGGAAATGCCAAGTGGACAGCATTCAGCAGGATTGTAGCCAGTGATGAGATTCTTCGACCTCCAGAGTTCGATATCCGATCTCTGTAGAAGCTCGCCCCCAAGCGATACTGTCCGCAGCGTAGGAAAGTCAGCAGGCCTATACATCCGAGCGACCGTTGGTGTGAGAAACGTCCACGTCGCTTGGAGTTCTGTCGCGGCTCGCGGCAGACATTCCATACGCGCCATCTCTGACGGAATAGCCACAGACGCTCCGGATACCAGTGCTGTGAGCACTTCGAAAACACTGAGATCAAAAGCGTAGGAGGCGAAATGAAGTATGCGATCGTCCGGCCGAATATCCAGAGGCTTTAAGCAGGCCAACACAGTCGAGGCGAATGAACCATGCTCCATGACCAGCCCCTTTGGGCTCCCCGAAGACCCTGACGTGAAGACTGAGTAGAGTGCATTGCTCGGCCGCGTGTTGGACGGTGAAAGTTGCCCCAGGCTGCGCTTCGCGGGCCCGGGTGCCATCGTAGACTCATCATCAACGACGATAGCAGTCAAGCCCAGTTGGCCTGCTTTGTTGGCATCGCTTACCGTTGTTATCACCACCGTTGACCGCAGCGCCTTGCACATATCCCTCAAGCGACCGGGGGGATGTGAGGGATCGAGAGCACAAAAGGCACCTCCTGCTTTTATGATTCCTAGCATAGCAACTGGAATCCACTTGCATCTCTCGGCGCAGACTGCCACAAAAACATCTGGTCCTACACCAGCGAGGCGAAGCTCTTTGGCGACAGTATTCGACAGACAATCGAGCTGGCCATATGTAAGGGACCCGTCCCAGGCAACAACGGCAGTCGAATCGGGATGTAAGTCACACTGCTCATTGATCAGGTCGTGGAGGCACGATTCTAATGCAACGGGGGCTGTTCTATTCCACTGCAATAGTTTCTTTTCATCGACTTTGCTGAAAAGTTCAACTTCTGCAATGGTCAGATGTGGCGAATTGATGATGGACGCGAGTGCCGCTTTCAGAGCGCCAGCAATGTGGATAGCCAGGTCATTCGATAAACAATGGCTCTGGTATAGCAAGACGAGCTGCTTCGAAGACGATACGTGAATGACAATGTCATGCTATGAATCTTAGCGTTTCTGGTACCGTCCTGAACGTGTTCCGATGTTCTTACCTGTGGGAAGACGCCCATGTCAGCAATATCTTGGGCGAGGACACCAGATCCCAAGTTGGGAAAAGTTTCTGAACCAGCCGAGAACAGCATACAAGTGTTGGATAAGCCATTATTTTCCATGCCGATGTGGCTGCGCATCTCGTCCATGGTGACGCCTTGATTTGTCTGTCCTCTGTTCAAGTCTTGCTGCGCCTCTCGAACTGTCTCCAGAATGGTGGCCCCTCCTTCGAGCACCAAAGAACAAGGCAGCAGATTGACCTGCGGTCCGAGGAGCACATTGTGGCCGTTCGTGGGCCTCTGCTGCGTCGTGAATGCGTGTCCAAAATAGACGCTGTCCGAGTCTGTATATGCGCGGAGTATCATCGCCCATGCGGCCAGAAAAATGGCCGAGGGGGAGACGTCGCCGATATTGATATGGTCGCGCCATGAAGTTCCTATTCCATCTAATTCGACCGTCACTGACTTGATCGTTGACGATGTCGGCAAGGGTGCTGATCGGTCTGAGAGGGTTGAGATGGATGGCTCAGCTAGGCGTAGCCTCGAGCTCCGAATGTCGAGATCCTCTTCGCTATTTGCCATCTTTACAGTCTAAAAAGACATCCCTCGCAGGATGTGCGCCCGCGATTTGGAAAGATGTTGAGGCTAGGAGCCCAACGACTGTTAGATTGGTCAACAAATAGTCAGTACTCACGGCGCCTTTCGCGTGAGCGGATAGCTGTAGAGCTCTGAGGCTCCCGTGTTGATTGTATTCTTGTTGAAGACTTGGAGAGTGGCTTTCGACCTAGCAATTTTAATTGCTGCCTGAGTGCGGAAGCCCGCGAGCATGAAGTGTGCACAAAGGGGATCCGGGTAAGAAGGCAGGTTTTCTATGACATTTAAAGCAGACTTGAAAGCTGGATTGCCACATGCATAAGTGACGACTGGCATGGCAGTATTCGGTTGCACTTCATTTTGAAACCCTATATTGTTGATGAAATCACTTTGTACGATAAGAAGTATCAATGAGGACTTGATTCGGTTTGAATCTACGTATGGGATGGGCAACTGGCTAACATCCTGACCTGACCGAGTGCTCATATAATGAACACAGCTCTCCCGCACTCCACGGAGCGAAAAGCACTTGTCTGCTTGTTGGACCAACTCTAACTGGTACCAAGAGGCCTCACTTCCAGTGGCTGCAACTGGATGTCAACGCAGTCACAGACATTCTTCATGATCGAAGCCTACTATATTGCGGGCAAGCTTTCGATCAATTCAACGATTCACCAACTATTCTTAGTGGCAAGTGTGAGCTTTAACACAAAAACGCGACTTCGGATGACCGAGGACGGCGTGACCGCATTTGGTTGATATTTATCAACAAAGTGGGGAGACAGTAAGAAGTCATGATTCTTTGTGCAGTTTTTTTTTCTCCCGCAACTCTCTCTTCTTCGTAACTTGTTCCATAACTCTGCGAGATTCCTCTCTTTGCGGCCGTGGAATCCTGCAGTTGACATGAGCCAGATTTACGAGAGCTTCCGCGTTTAGAAGCTTACAAATAGGCTATATTCAAAACACGGCGCCAGCATTGTATTCCAAGGTGTAAGTGCCAGTGTGAACAGCAGGCAGCGTTGCTACGTGCACTCTCATGCCATGATCCCTTCCTCCTGGGCCACATACTCCTCACTGTACGGATAGTCCAGGTATCCCTCGTCCGAGAAGGGAATATAAAACGTGTCCCTGTTATACTTCTCAAGGTCGAGACCCATCTTCAACCGGAACGGCAGATCTGGGTTGGAGATGTAGTGGCGTCCAAAAACCACCATGATGTTATTCTGCTTGGAGTAGGTCTCGTCCACGACGCGCTGGGCCGACTCGGCGTCGTAGCCTCCTGCAAGCAAGACCGGCCTCTTCTCCCCCCACAGGCGGACAAACGTTTCATTATGGACATCCGGGTGCGTCCTGATGGTAGGGTCCTCTTCCTCAACCCAGCGGGAGTTGGCAAGGTGGAGATAGGCAATGTCCATCTGGGCAAGGTGTGTGATGAAGTGCTCGAACTGAGGAACCAGATCTTCCATTGTGCCCATTCCCTGGAAAGTGCTCCATGTGGAAAGCTTCATGCCGACGCGGTCCTTGCCGACGGCATCGATGACTTGCTCCGTGATCTCGAGGCCAAACCTCGAGCGATTTTCAATGTTGCCGCCCCAGCGATCCGTGCGTTGATTACAAGAAGATTGGAGAAACTGATCAATGAGAAACCCATTTGCACCGTGTATCTCGACCCCGTCGAAGCCCGCGCCAAAGACTGCGTTTTTAGCCCCTTGGACATAATCGGCAATGTACGACGCGATCTCGTCCTCGCTGAGAGCTCGCGGCGCCGGCTCGTCGGGGCCGACGGCAACGGCGCTGCTTGAGACGAGTTCAATTCCGTTCGCTTTCAGGGTGTCCAGGTCCGCTGCTCGTCCAGTCGCCCAGAGCTGGAGCCATATGTAGGACCCTTTCGAATGTACTGCATCGACAACCTCTTTCCAACTTGCAATCTGCCCGGGGCTCCAGATGCCAGGCACATTGGGAAAGCCTTTGGCCCGCGGACAAATGGCCACAGCTTCCGTAATAAGCAAGGTTCCAGGAAGACACGCTCGCTGAGCGTAGTAGGTCTTGACGAAAGGAAGTGGTACTCCGTTGTCGTCCGCACGAAAGCGTGTCATGGGCGAAAGGACTACTTTGTGCTGGAGCACGCCTTTTCCGAGCGGAATTGGCTTGAAGAGGTTCGACGTAGCCATGATGATTTAGTATAGCCTCGGTTGGCTTGTGGCGACGCGTATAGCTGAAAATGCAGGACAGCTTGCTTGCCAGAGTCACTCCGAAAGCCACATGGCTATTTATACTGCAACTGTAGGAGTCCTCTCACAGTAAAAGAGCACGTTTTGGTTTGTTTTCCAGATTTACGTCTGGGGCCGAGGAGCCCATGCGAAGGCTGAGATTTCGTAGATTGATCTGGACAACGCCCTCAACTCCGTCCCGCTCCCCACGTACCCATCCTCAACAGAATACTCTCATCCTCTACTTATACCCGATGATAGTATAAGTGCGTCTTTGCTACGTCAAGGGTTGGCTTTCGTTGGAAATCTGTCGTGGTACAAACTGCCTGCTGCGACTTGTCTTCCATCACACAGGAACTGACATGGCGAACTCGGCGGCGTGGAAAACATATCTCGAAGGCTACAGCCCATGCAACTTCCCAGCATTAGGCACTGGGCGCTCTTCTGGGACAGGTTTGGCGTCGGTTTCAACCGTGTTGAAGCATGGCCACGACAAATTGCAGTCTTTCTCAAACCTCCACAGCATCGACGACGTGGCTGCAGTCTTGTGCGCAGCTTGGGGTCTTGTCCTTCGTGCGTACACGGGACAGGATACCGTGTGTTTTGGAAAAGCGTCAAAGAAGATTGACGCCTGTCGGATTGACTTTGCCTCGACTACATCGATTTTGAGCATCCTCCAGACACTTCAGATAGCTGGCGATTCACAGCCTCGGGCTCAAGAAACCTCGGGTTCACAGCTCCCACTAAATGCGGCAGACTCAGTCACCTCTTTCTTCAACACGTGTGTCTTGTGTCGGAATGAGGAGAGGCCAGATCAGGAAGAAAATGATGTTCCAGGAACAGCCGCGGACACCCTGGACTTGGTAAGAGACCTCCGCGCAAGCGTGCGAGGTTAATAAAAGACGCTGACGTAAATTCCTTAGTTCGGTATTGTTGTCACTTTCGGCGTAGAACAAAATGTGACGAGTATTACTCTGAGGTATCAGACATCACTCCTTGATGAGGCGCAGGCGATTAGTGTCGCAAATACCCTCGAACAAGCGATATGTGAGATTATCCACAATAAAGACCAAGTTGACGGCATTTGTCTGCTCAGCGATGCGGAAAAGGCACGGATTTACTCGTGGAATGAGAAATTGCCTCAACATACGAACCATCGCGTGGACAAGCTGATTACGGATCAGTGCCAACGGAGCCCATCGGCAATGGCAGTGTGCGCGTGGGATGGCGAGCTCAGCTATGAGGAACTGGACAATGTGTCATCCAGGCTGGCCCAACATCTCAAGGCGCTAGGTGTTTGCTCGGAAGTGTTTGTGCCCATTTGCTTTGAGAAGTCTCGATGGGCTATTGTCGCGATGCTCGGAGTGATCAAGGCCGGCGGAGCATTTGTACTGCTTGATGCATCACATCCTCATCAGAGGCTTTTCGACATCTGCAACAAAATTTCGGCAAAGCTCATTGTCTCTTCAACCCAGAATGCCAAGCTAGCGGCCGGTTTGGCGCCTTCAGTCGTCGAACTGGGAAGCGACGATTGCGAGAGAAGTTGGCGTACTGATGTCATCCACGGCCCGGACTCCTTCGCGACTCCTGATTGTGCTCTATATGCTGTGTTTACTTCGGGCACGACCGGAACGCCCAAGGGCGTGGTCAGCGAGCATTCATCGTTTCTTGCAGCCACGCAAACATACATCGACGCTCTCAGACTCAACCGAGAGTCACGGACGTTCCAGTTCGCTTCCTATGCGTTTGATGTCACAATCTTCGACACTCTTATGACGTTGACCGTCGGTGGTTGCGTATGCGTTCCCTCGGACACGGAGCGGTCCAACGATTTGGCAAAGGCAGTGCAGCACTTTCGAGCCACGCATATAAGTCTCACTCCGACAATCGCGCGAATATTGGATCCCCAAGACTTTCCAACAATGAGAACGCTCACTCTCGGCGGAGAGAAGCTGCAAACAAGTGAGATTTCCAAATGGGTGAGCCACGCTCGCGTGGTCCATCTCTACGGAGCGACGGAGTGTTCCATGATAGCAGTTCAAAGTATAACGGGAACTTCGTCTGACCTGCGGACCACAAACTGTCCAACCGGACATTCTTGCTGGGTCGTGGACCCGGCAGACCATGATAAGCTGCAAGCGATCGGTGCAATCGGGGAATTGGTAGTCGAAGGTTCCATCGTGAGTCGAGGCTATCTGCATGATCCCATACAGACGGCAGAAACGTTTATACAGCCTCCGGCTTGGCTGCGTGAGCTGCGCGGGACCAACGACCAGAGATGCAAAGTATACAAGAGCGGCGATCTGGTTCGTCATGGTGCGAATGGATCCATTGAATTCATCTGTCGAAAGAACACGCAGGTCAAGCTCCGTGGCCAGCGCATCGAGCTTGGCGAGGTCGAGCACCATCTCAAACTCGCCTTCCCGGGCGCAAATTTTGTTGTTGCCGAGCTCATCACGGTGCCTGACGCATCACGGCCCCCGATACTCATGGCTTTCGTACGGCTTGGAGAGGATTTCGGCCCCGGCAGCATAACCGGGAGTCGTGGAGCGGCCTCGGCTAACATAATTGCTGAGCCGACAGACGAGTTTCGATCTCGAGTTCCCGCCGCGCTATCAAAGTTGCAGGATTGTCTCCCCTCTTACATGGTTCCTGCGGCCGTCATTCCACTGACTGTCGTTCCGCTGACCGGCACGGACAAAGTTGACCGCAAGCTTTTGCGACGGCTCGGCGCGGATCTATCGCGCCAACAGCTCGAAAGATATCAACCGACCGCGAGAACATATCGCGTCCCGACGACTAATGTTGAAAAGACGCTGCGAAAATATTTTGCAGAGGTACTGAACCTGCCAGAGGAGCAAATCTGGGCCGATGATCACTTCTTTGCCCTTGGCGGAGATTCTCTCACGGCCATGAGACTGGTCTCACTGGCTCGGAAAGGCGGCTACAGCTTCACGGTTCAAAACGTTTTCCATCGTCCCCAACTGTCTGAGCTGGCAAGTCTGATGCAAACTCTGAAAAGCCAAGACGATAAGAAGCCGCAACCATTCGCGTTGGTGGGCAAGAATCAAAACGTCGTCAGAGCTGCCGCTCAGCAGTGCCATCTCCCAACAACGGCAATCGAGGACCTTTATCCTTGCACGTGGCTGCAGAAAGGTCTCATGTCAGAGACCATGCGCGAGCCCGGTGCATTCATTGCCAAGCTTGAGCTGCCATTAGGTCGGCACATCGATGTCAGCCGCCTGGAAGAAGCATGGACTGCCGTGGCGAAAGCCAACCCCATTCTAAGGACGCGGATGGTCCTGTCCTCTTCTTATGGCCTGTTACAGGCTGTAGTTCGTGACAGCGTCTCGTGGATGGCATCGGACAATGGTGAATGCGGAGATTTGCCTGTCGCCTTTGGCAAACCCCTGGTGAAAGTGGTGCTTTGCCGCGCTGCCATCAGGCAGGCAACACAAACCAAACTAGTCCTCATGATGCATCACTCCGTCTACGACGGATACACCTTGCCGCTCATCATTGCGCAGTGGAAGACGGCTTACGACGGCCACGTACTTGCGCCTCGACCTGTCAGTCCCTTCATCCGATACTTGACATCACTTCCAAGCGGTGCCGACTACTGGATCTCGTTGCTCAAGGACATCAGAGCCCCTGCGTTCCCGGCTCTACCGTCCAAGACGTACAACCCAGTGCCAGACTCAACAGAGACGTACACGTCGGCCGTTCCCAAGCCCGTCGTGAAAACGTACACGTCAAACACGTACGTGCGACTCGCGTGGGCCTTGACACAATGCTACCATCAACAGCTCACCGATGTCTTCTTCGGCACCGTGGTGTCCGGCAGAAACGCCCCCGTCGACGACATAGACCTGATGACGATGCCGACTGTGGCCACGATCCCGTGCAGGGTAGCACCGGATACCGGCCGTGTCGTGGCCGACATGCTCGACGGGATCCAAAACGTCGCAAGTGACGGCATCCCACACGAGCAGTTTGGACTTGCAAATATAAGCCGTTTGGGAGAGGGCCCGGCTCGTGCTTGCTCGTTCCAGACGCTGCTGGTCATGCAACCCGCCGCGGAAGGGAGCACGGATGACGGCTTTGTGGAAATACCCAGGTCGGATGCCAACTACCGCGCCGACGCAACGTACGCCGTTAACCTGTTCTGCGAACTCGAAGCAGGACGACTGGCGGTCACGGTGCTCTACGACGAAAACGTGGTGCCGAGACTTGGGATGCAGCGGATTTTGGCGGATTTCGGTCTGGCCCTCGGCACTATACTTCAGACTCCTGGTAGTCATGTTGGGGATGTTCTCGCGATTCTCAAGCAAAGCCGCGAGTAACAAGCAAGGGCGAGGGATACAATGATGAGCGCTGCAGGGGTCGTTGAAGAGCTCGCAGTGTATGAAGCCACCTCGATGAATTGAACAATGAGGACACTACGCTGATTCGGAACCGCTGACGTTTTTTCCGGACCATTGTTTTAGATGTCGTGAAAGGGAACAAGTTCAAGTTGATTCTGTTGCCATCATCGTCCCTCTGGTAGTCTTGCCCACCCCAAGTAGCGCGTTGACACCTCTGAACCTTGTCGACTCATAAAACTAGGCATCTTCGCTGAAGTACACTGGACACTACGGCTACAAGGAACAAAAGACGCATGCCAGTTTGGGGGACGACATCAAGTCGGGACTAATATGGCAGTTCTGCAGCAGCAGTTGCCCGTGTGTGTCAGTTTTGATGCGACGATTTGGCCGTAGCATCGAAACGGCGCTGCTGTGCTTTTACAAAATCCAGAAACAAGACACGGCATACTAGCCTTTTTCGAAGTTGTACAGTTTGTTATGTGGTGAAAGCTGAGGGGTTCGCGACGTTTCACGACAGTCGACTGCAAACTAACGAAATCAAGACGACAACGTTCTCCATGCTCAAAGTAATGTTATTTTCTTCACATTTTTATTAGGCCTCCGCAGCTGCATCCTCCTCGCGTCGCCCTGGCCCAACCCAGCCTCGCCCCGCCCTAGTCAGCACGTGTGCGTGTGTTTGTTTGCCCAGTTCGACTGCCCAACCGCGCCGTCCGGACATGACTCCTCACACTCGCACGTTGTGTAATTTTTTTGGCGTCAGTTCCACCGATCGCCAAGCAGCCTGACCTCGACATCATCCAGGTTAACGGCGACGAAGCGATCGACCCAACGAAGGCGGTCGCCGCAGCTGCCAGTCAGTGCCATTTCAAAGCGGGAAAAGAAATAGGCCAGGACACAACGAAGCTCCAGATAGGCCAGGCTGGCAAGGACCACGAGTCAGCTCGGCCAAGTACGGCTGGAACTGTCGACAGCTAAAACGACGTACCTGGTGCCGATACACTGACGAGGACCTCTGCTGAATGCTACGTTCCACCTGTCCAGGCGCTGTGCTTCGCTGCCCAGCCATCTTTCCGGATCGAACTCGTGTGGACGGGGAAATATCGCCTCGTCAAAGCTGATGGACTGCTGGGACAGGGAAACGGCCGTCTGTTCGCAAGGGGGAGTTGTCAGCGCCCCATGGCGATGCATCCACGACTAGACTTGACGGCAGGGCATGGCGCAGAAACAACCACTCACACCGGCAGGGAGATGGACGGAACCCAAAGTCGTCCCGCCGTCGGGCACAGTCCGGGGCAAACAGCCCGGAACAGGGACGGAAATCCGGAGCGTCTCCTTGATCACGGCGTTCTGAAAAGACCCAGGCACAAGTAAGCGTCTGGTCTCTTCTCGGCTCCCCCCCGCGGGAGTCGCGGGGCACAAAACAAGCTCTGATCGAGGCACGTACCAGGTATGCGAGGTTTTGAATCTTGCTGTAGTCAAACGAGTCCCTTATGAACGCAGCACCCTCATCCAGCTCTCTCAGGAGCTTGGCGTAAATCTCAGGCGACGAGAGGACGTGGAAGAATGCGCAGGCGAGCGTGTACGAGGTCGTGTCGCTGCCGCCGGCGACAAAATTAAAGACGTCGTCGATGGGACTTGGCAGGAAGCGAGATTTTGCGCAGCCCTCGCTCTCGGCGGCCAGGTACCGCTTCATATGGGAATCACGCAGTTCCCGTGGCTCCGTCGCCTGCAGCATGCGGACGTCGTTGTCGTTCCAGGCCTGGCAATACTGTGAGTAGACCCTGTCAGCGGCTGCCTGTCATCCGGCATCCAGCTTCCCCTCGGCCGTTGCGCATACCTGCATAAAGGTCGTGTAGGAAGATTTGAAGCGCGCGAAGCTCGTCCCCGGAATGAGACCCAGGAGCATGGCCGGCAGGGGATAGGTGACGACTGCGGACGCGGCGGACGAAGCAAGCAGGAGCCTCTGTTAGCTGGGATTCTAGACGTGGTCTGGACGAGCCTTACACAGCCAGCTCTGCGTCATGAGCTGCTCAAAGGCCTCCAAGAAGGGATGATAGCCGTCGTGCTCAATGAGGGAGATGTCCTGTGAGTACAGGTTGTAGAGAATCATGGAAGTCTAGTTCCGTCAGGTCAGGGGTGAGTTGCTTGGGTGGTTGAAGAGTTGGAACCAACGCTCAATGTCCGCAGGACCTTGACCATGTTCACTGCGTCTCCCGTCTTGACGCTCGCCTCCATTTTGGCGGCGGAGAGGAGTAGATCTCTGTGAAGCTTGGGCGGCAGCTCGTTGACGGCTCGCTGCGCGTACAACGGCGCCAGATGCGTGCGGTAGGCGCGGTACTGTGCCGGATCGATCATGGCGTCCAGGCCGTTGAAATATCTGTAGAACGAGCCGTCTTTTTTCCATTTCGACCCAGCTTTGAATATTCTGAACAAACCGCCGTTAGACTCTGATGACGAACCGAAAGCTGAACCGTCTTCTTACACGTCGAAGTACTCGGGCTGGTTCGTGTGGACGTGGTTGGGGCCGATGCGGATGATGGGAGAATCTCATGCACTTTAGTAAACCTGAACAACGGCGTGCTTCAAGACCAACATCCTACTGTAATGCTTGTGTAGAGAGCCGAAACGCTTGGAGTACCCTTCGTCCCGTATCCAGTTCCAATAGAAGGCGTAAAAGTCGGTCAATGCCGCGAGCTTGGGCCCGGGAACATTTCGAAGAGGGTGGAAATACAAGTTGTAGAGGCCCTTGACGAAGACGGGGAAAAGCACCGCACCACATGCCATCCATGCCATCACGTTCCATGAGACTGGCTCGGTTCGAGACAACCACGACCATATTAGGCCGCTCTCGCCCATGGAGACGGTTGATGATGTCGTATGATTATTTTCCATGAGTGGCTCGCCAACCCACTTCGCGGCGTAGATTCTGTGACATTGTCATCAGCAAGCTGTTGTGTTTTGAGAATTTTGCGGGTGGACGACGCAGGCGAGGCGTGCCATGGGACTTACAGATTGTCCTTCATCGCCAAGTAAAAGCAGCACGAAGATTCTCGTGACACGTACAAGCCTGACTTTAAGTATGAGGGTCTTGCGTCCTGGCTGCCACGCACTAGGGGAGAAGAAGAGCCCAACTTCAAGGGTGGGCCGCGTTGCGTCGTCTTCTCACGGCCGGTGCGACACTCGAGTAGCAGTAGCGGCATGTATGACGAGAACAGGCTTTGAGGACGGCATCTCGGCATTCGTGGCCCAGGATTCCTACGCAGTGTGAGTTTGGCAACCTCGCTATGGGGACCGTGGCTCGCTGGAAGCCGAGTATCTTGACATATTTCAGCAAATCCACGGATGGTAGAGAGATGAGCCCTACTTTGAATGCCGCAAGGGTATGCCGGAGAGCTTTGGACGCGTCGCTGCCTGATACCCGGGTCAATCTAGCGTATGTAAATCATGTCCGTTTCTCCCAAGCTGACGTTGTAAGCCCCTGCTGTCTGGCTAGCTCTGAAAAAAAAAAGAAAAGAAAAGAAAAGAAAACATCGCCGCACTCACATTCTCGTCAAGCGGTGGCTGGGCCCCTCACAAACCGCACTTGAGATGGGCAGGACGTAGGATGCGGACATGGTCGCAAAGATCAAAGCACAAACAGCCCGGGATCTACACTGAAACAACTTGTCTCGCCATGATATTGGTGTGAGATTCCATCCATGCACCAAGGGAAGCGAAAATGGGAATGTAACACGTCCACAATCGTATGTGACTATTATTAACCTCGACCGCCTCTATGTTCAGACCAGCAAGTGCAGGACAATAGTCAAGACTACAACTACAACCTCGCCTTCTTCTCAGCTTCCACGACCAGCTCCTCCGTCATCTTCTCAACCCTTTCCGCCATGTCGGATGCGATCAAGCCCAGGGTACGATACACCTTGAGCCGCAGGTCTCTGGGAGTGCGCGACACGGACTCGGAAATATTCACAACCAGATTGTTCTGAAACTCGTCGCTCCGCAAGACAGGCAGGGCCTTCCAGAACTCCCTTGGGAACTTGTAGTCGAGCTCGTTTGGCTTGGACCAGTCGCTCGAGGTCGTTTCAGCAACCCACGCCGAGTGCTGCTGACTCTTTTGCTCAGGACGAACGGCGTCTCTGGAAGCAGCAGTAGGGGCATCGACATCGTCGGCAGCACGTCTCGCCTTGTTGGCGGGCATTTCTAGATTCTGCGGACCCAGCCGGTATCTCTGCGCATCCGGATAGGCAAAGAGCCGGGCCTGCAGCATCGGATCCTCCGACGGCTCCACGCCCGGGACGAGATGGGACGGCGAGAAGGCCAGCTGCTCAATCTCCCGGAAGTAGTCCCTCGGGCCCTTCCTCAGTGTCAACTTGCCGAACGGCCTGGACGGGATGACGGGGATGTCGGGCGGGTAGTTGCCCAGGTTCCAGTGCTTCGTCACGTCGAGGATGTTGAACGACAGCCCGCGGGCGTCCTCGGGGTCGATGACCTGCACGCTGGCCGTCCAGCTGGGGCATTCACCGCGCCCCAGGCTCTCGTGCAGATCCCTCGTGGCGCTCTCCTGGTCGTCGGGCTCTACGGCCCTGGCCTGGCTGCCCTGCTCGAAGTTGGGACCTTGGTCGGACGACAGGAACCAGTGGACGTACTTCCACGAGCCGTCGGGCTTGACCCATTTGTACGCGTGCCCTACGTAGCCGCTCATGCTGCGGTAGTCAAACATGGTTCCGAAGTCGCTGAACTGGAACATGACCATGTGCAGCGTCTCGTCGTTGTCGCACACGAACTCCCACCACCTGCTGGGGTTGGCGAGGTTCGTCTGGGGGTCCGGCCGTTGGGCGCGGATGAGGTCCGGAAACTTGGCCGGGTCGCGGATGAAGAACATGGGAATGTTCAGGCAGACCCAGTCCCAGTTTCCCTCGCGGGTGAATAACTTGACGGCCAGCCCCTTGACGTCTCTCACTGCCTCGGCGGAGCCTCGCTCCAGAGCCGTCGTCGAGAAGCGCACGACACAGGGCGTCTTCTTGCCGACGCCGAGCAGCATGTCGATGTCGCAAATGTCCGATATATCATGTGTGACCTGTGGGTTGTACACGCGCGTCAGCGACTTGGATCCGTTGGATGTGGCGTCTTGGCGTGTGTACTCGCCTCAAACTCTCCATAGGCGCCAGCGCCTCGGGCATGAACTGCTCTCTCCGGAATCTTTTCACGGTTGAACTGCGCCAGCTTATCTAGCAGGCCGTGGTTCAAGCCTGGGCAGCTTTGAGGACCCCGATTGTCCTCGCAGGCCGAGTTGTGAGATCCATTTGTCTCAGCAGAAGGAACGTCGAGAGCCATGGGTGGGTGATGAGTGAAGCTGCGGTGTGGAAAACGCAAAGGACGTTGCTGAGTTCAGGCTTTATCTGAGCTTGGAGTCGCCTTCACACCTTGTGGGTGGAGTTTTGGCAAGGGGGAACGGCGGCCGAGATATATTTCAAAGCCGAGCAGTATTGGCAGAGCGTTTGCGTCATGGGCCTCGCTTTGGAGAACGACGGGCTTCGTCGTCGAGCTTTGACGGGCGAGAAATGCTGCTTCAACCGAAAACGCACAAGCACATCGGGACTCAGCAATACAAGTACGGTGGTGGACAATATCTCTCCGACGGTCGATCGACCAGCGTCATACCGCTGCGGTTGGGAGAATGTGGCAATTACTCGCTGTTTGTATTCTTTGCTACAGGAAAACGAAGCGCAAGACGAGCAATATTGACGCAGCAGCTCACTAGCTAGACTGATGGCGCCGTGCGTTCTCCTCCATCCTTTACTAGGGAACGCCGGCTCCCACGTTGATGTTGGCTCCGTAGACCGGGTGGGAATCTTGGCTGAGCAACCACACAATCGTCCGGGCCACTTCGTCGGCTCCGCACATGGAAAGCCCCTGGCGGGCGTACAGATCCCGGATCTCGTCGAGCGACTTGGCGTTGGGCTCAAACTGCGGCAGCAGGGGCGTGTTTGTGATTCCTGCCTCCGGTCAGACGGGGGTTGATCGGTCACGACGCCACGGACAAGGACTTGGGGCTCTACCTGGCGAGACGCAGTTGACCCGGATGCCTATTCTGACGACATCGGCAGCGACGCATGCAGTAAAGTGCGCACACGCCTGCTTGGACGTGCTGTAGGCGTAGACGTCGGGCACGTGAGAGAAGGCGGCGATGCTGGCCACGTTGACGATGCTGCGGCGGGCGCCGCCGGGCAAGTCCTTCATTGCCCCGACCTGGGCGCGCGTGCAGTAGAAGACGCAGTCCAGGTTGACCTTGAGGACGCGGCTCCAATCTGCATCCGTCTCTCCGAGGATGGTTGGCGTCGCGCGCAGGCCGGCCCCCTGGGCAACACCGGCAATGTTGGCGGCCCCGTGCAGGTCGCCGTGGGCGGAGACGATGTCCCTGAGCCACTGGTCGACTTGGTCCGACGAGGTGACATCGAGTACGGTGCATTGGAGCAGGGTGGCCGGGTTGACTCCCGCAACGGCCTCGTGCAGAGAGTCAAAGTTGGTGCTGCAGGCATCGCCAACGCAGATGACGGCGGCTCCGCGCTTGGCCAGCAGTCGACAGGTCGCGGCGCCAATACCGGAGGCGCCCCCCGTAATAGCAATAATCTTGGCGGCGAAGGATTCCATGGCGCAGAAAGCGTCATCCAGCCTGCTGTCCGAGGTCGAATCCGAGGGGGGGCTCAGACTCCATCTTGTACGGGCGCGTGGCTACTGATAAAGGGGCAATTTGCACACTCGGCGCCTCGTTCTCCAGCAGCCATGGCCTCTCGGACTCAGCATCGTGACGGCAACTCGGTGTCTGCCGCAGCTGTCGACGGGCGCCTCGACGGGAGCCTCAGGGACGTGGCTACTCGTGACAATTCCCTCCGTCCGACGTGCCCACCACGGGTCTGCGGCCCCATCTTGTTGATAAATATCAAGGAATGAGGCTCCTGGGGCAAACCGGTCGACACAGAATCCCACCGTTGACGCCCAACTTGTCAGACCAAAAGTCGGGGCGTAGGGCCGATTGCTTCAAGGATAGCCGTGGGAGGACTTCGCCGGCGGATGGAAGATGAGCCCGGAGGCAGTGCGCGAAAGGATATAGGCCTGGGAAGGAGGACAAGGCAGAGGACGAACCGTGGGACATGACAGCGGTTATCCAAAGGTATGTACGGAGTAGGGGGTACGGGATACTGCTCAAGTGCCATATCCGCCATGGTCCCTAGGCTTTGCAATTCACGGCGGCATGGTCAGGATTCGACAATCGGAGTTCCGTCACGCCGAGCATGCAGTGTAGAGACTTCTGGGCCGGAAATCATCGTGTCTTCGCCTCTCGGCCGGACGAATGTGGTGATGGGGAGAACGGCGTTTCCGCACATCAATACCATGTCACGACTTTTCTCTGCACCCTTTTTTTATATTTTGGCTGCCGCTTACCGGTTGCCTAGCCGCCACTTTCGCATCTGTCTTGTCCCCAAGTAGATGATTTGGGACGTGTTTGGGGCACTTTTTCCGAAGGCGCACATGTACGTTTGGACCTACAACACGCATTATTTGCACGCACCAGCTAACCGTCCGTCATTGGGAGCTAGTTGGCCGGCTGCTACAGATACCAGACCGATGTATCATCGACTTGCCCCCATAGCTGGCCTAGCCCTAGGCCTTGCGGTGCTTTGGCCGCGGTCAAGCCAGCATCAATGCCGCTGCAGGCCCTCCGAGCCGTGCTGGCCGACGCCCCGTCAATGGGACGCGTTCAATAAGTCGATGGAGGGAAGCTTGGTCCAGATCCGTCCTGCCGCCTCCGTATGTCACGGCCCCGAGTACGACGGTGCTGCTTGTGCCAGCTTGTCTGGCCTGGCACGCGATAGCGGATGGCGAGCTTCCAACCCCGGTGCGCCCCTGCTGCTTCCTTCCGGAGAGTGGTCAAGGAGAAGAGACTAATGGCTGCTCGCCGAATCTAGCAACACTGCAAGACTGGGTGTGGGAAAGCGACGATGTCGCCGAGGAGGTATGCCATGTGGTGACGTCGCCGGAGGAAGCTCGACAGTCGGCCTGTCGCCAAGGCAGACTGCCTCTGTACTCGGCCGTGGTTCAATCCACGGCAGACATCCAGGCGACACTAAGATTTGTCAAGGATCACAATCTCCGTCTTGTAATTAAGAACACTGGCCATGACTGCGCCGGGCGATCTAGTTCCCCCGACTCGCTCCAGATACATACCAATCTGCTCAAAGGCATCACCTATCATGACAACTTTGTCATCCGGGGCTCCGTCGGACAAGGCTCCGGGCCGGCAGTCACCTTGGGCGCAGGAGTCCTGCACTGGGAAGTGTACAGCGAGGGCGCCGAGAAGGGATTCACGATTGTTGGAGGAGAATGTCCAACGGTCGGTGCCGTCGGCGGTTTCTTGCAGGGAGGTGGCGTGTCGAGCTTCCACAGCTTCACCAAGGGGCTCGCAGTAGACAACGTCCTGGAGTACCAAGTCGTGACCGCGAATGTACGTCTCGTCCCATGCTCCGTCTGGCGTTGGCCGCCCAACTCTCGTCATCGTGATGTTAACAGGGCTTCCCAGGGCGAGCTAGTTGCAGCAAATGAGAACCAGAACCAAGACCTGTTCTGGGCCTTGAAGGGAGGAGGCGGAGGCACCTTTGGGGTCGTTGCTCAAGCCACCGTTCGCGTGTATCCTGATGATGCCATCACCGTCGCTGCCGTCAGGATCTCAACGTCCCACTCAAACAAGCTGTTTTGGACCAAAGGAGTGGCCGAGCTTCTGCGTCTCTTGCAGCAATTTAATCAGCGAGGCTTCCCGGGGCAAATCGTCATAATGGGCCCGAACCAAGGCTTTGTCCAGGCCACGTTGGAGTTCCATTTCCCCAGCACGACAGACGAATCGTATTGGCATCGCCTAATGCAGGAGGAGATGAGGCCTCTCCGCGGGCATGGCATTTTGACAAATCTGTCCACAAGAGCTCGCGAAAAGGCAAGCGCAGAGGTTCGACTGAAGCCAGATACTTACCCGCCGCAATACGGCATCGTGCAGGGATCTGTCTTGATCTCTGACGCACTCTTCAGTTCTGCCAGAGGTCCAACGGTTATCGCAAGCAACTTTTCGCGTCTGAATCTGGGGCCGAACGATATTCTATTCACCAGCAACCTCGGTGGTCGTGTCACGGGCAATGGCGATATTGACATCCCCCTTCATCCAGCGTGGCGCTCTGCTGCCCAGTTGATCACCCTGGTGCGCGCAGTCGAGCCATCAACTCAGGGGAAGCTGTCTGCCTTGCAAAGTCTCAACTCACATGACATGCCGATCTTGTATTCGCTAGAGCCCGACGATAGGGTATCGTACCGTAATCTGGGTGACCCTTTCGAGGGGGATTTTCAGCGTAGATATTGGGGGCCAAACTACGAGCGCCTCGCCTCGATCAAAGCAAAGTGGGACCCCAACGAAGTGTTCATCAGTAGACTTGGCGTCGGAAGCGAAGACTGGGATGTCGAAGGAATGTGCAGAAAGCCTCGCGGTGTCGGAGCTGTGGTTGCCCAGCGTTTCCGGCTCTGGAACAGTTGGATATTTAGATGAGTTCTTGCTCCGACAGCGTGGACCGAAATAGAAGTCACGCAACTTGGCATGCATCATAAAGATCTACCGAGAAGGACGCTAGATTTTGGTCCCGAAAGGGCTTTGATACGAGTTGTCACGTACGAATCCACAATGCCCGGGCAATACATGTTGCGAGAAGAATGCGAGAAGACCAACTCGTACAGCATGACGAGGTTATAAATGCAGCAATCTGCCACCGACAAAGCGTCCGAGTCCTCTCTTGAAACATACAGCGTATTGATAGACGACAAAAACATCCACCATGGCCGCCCCTCGAGTGATCGACATCCGTTCTCGTCACTCCCAAGACTCACTCGCCGACCAGGTCCTGAATGGCCTCAGCAACGACCCCAAAACGCTGCCTGCGCAGCTCTTCTACACAAACAAAGGACTCGAGTACTGGAATCACCACTCTCGCCAGCCCGACTTTTATCCTCGACAGGAGGAGATTCGGATCCTCCAGGAAAAGGGGCATGACATGGCACGGTCTATCGCGCCCAACAGCGTCATATTGGATCTGGGCAGCGCGTCAGTAAATCCAGCGTCGCCCCTCGAGCAAAGATTCCACTCCAGCTAACGCGCCACGATTGTCAAGAAACCTCGAGAAGGTGACGTACCTGCTCGAAGCGCTGGAGGCCCAACAGAAACCCGCGGCCTACTTTGCGCTCGATCTCAGCGCTTCCCAGCTCGCCTCGACGCTCAGTTCCATTCCGGCACACAGGTTTCGTCACGTCCGGCTCACAGGGCTGCATGGCACGTTCGAAGACGGCCTGCGTTGGATCAGCCATACGCCCGAGATTTGCGACCTGCCGCACTGCGTGCTGCTACTCGGACTCACGATTGGCAACTTCTCACGAGCAAATGCCGCTGCCTTCTTGAGCGACATAGCCCAGCGCGCGCTGCAGGGGCAGTCGAGTGCTCAGAGCTCCATCTTCATGAGCCTGGACAGCTGCAAGGTGCCGACTCGGATACTGAGGGCATACACAAGCGACGGAGTCGTGCCCTTTGCTCTGCAGGCTCTGACCCATGCCAAGACGCTTTTCCAAGCCAAGTGCCAGGACCGAGTCAACGGCGCGCATTCATATTGCAACTTGGACCCGGACGACTGGTATTATCTCAGCCAGTGGAACTTTGGGCTCGGGCGGCACGAGGCGTCGCTGATTCCGCGCTCCAAGGACGTCCAGCTGGGCCCCTTGCTCAATGACATGGTCGTCCGGAAAGACGAAAAGGTTCGCTTTGGGTGTAGTTACAAATACGACGCCTCGGAGCGGCATCACCTATTCGCAGGTGCTGGGTTAAAGCTCGAGGCGACTTGGACGACTGACGAGTGCCATGTGGCAATTTATGACTTGAAACTAAGCTGATTCCAAGCACACAACTGTTTAGCTAGTTCTCTATAGCCAGACTTGCTTCTCGCTTGAGGCAAAATCCAGAAAAGTTCGCGGCATCGTGCCCGTCAGTTCAAGTACCGAGTTGTTGAGTCTCTCCTCCCCGCCTGCCCGTACTATCAGATCCATCGAGGCGTGCATTTTAGCATCCTCAGGGGGCATGCCGTACTCGTGCATCTTCTCGGCGAGGTCCGACTCGGTCAGGTTGACATGGCTTATCCTCCTGTTGAGCAGCGTTGTAAGAATCTCGGCGACCTGGGCTTGCACGTCAGCGCTTGGGAATCGACGGGCCAATTTTACGCATCAGCTTACATCGTCATACGTCAAGAGCTCGGGTCCGACCAAGATAGGATCCGTGTTGTCTCGCAAATCTCCCTTCAGTGCGTGGAACGCGACTCGGGCAATGTCAACCACGGAGACGAATGGGATTTTGCCGTTTCCCGCTGCCGAGTATATCCTGCCCTCCTTTTTAATAGCTTTACACTGAAAGTCGTCTGGGGAAGAAAAGTTCTCTGTGATTCAAGCGAGTCGACTTGGTGAGACGTTGTCAGCGAGAAGAACTGGAGGAGCAGGTTTCCGTACCCATGAACCAAGTTGGCCTCAATACCGTGTACTTGACGGCCTCGAGGGACGCCAGATGCTGGTGAATCTGCCCCATTGCCGGAGCGCCTCGTTCCAACATACTTGCGCTGAGTAGCACAAATCTATCGACCGCCTTGAGGCGGGCATGGTTGATGAAGGCGTTTACCGGCGGAGCCAAGTCGGCTATCGGGGGGGGAACAAGCCAGACAGCTGAGATTGGGCGCATCCCTTCTTGCGGCGACAAGACATTATCGTACGTCTTGCTGTCCAGCCAGTCAAAGGTTAACTGACGATACTTGGAGCCTGGACTGCAGGTACGGGACGCCACGACAAAGGGCACGTTGGCCGCATCCAGCAGGGCGGCGATGTGGCTCGCCGTCTTGCCACGTCCGCCCGTGAGTAAAATCGTCATTGTTTTTTTCCGAGACTGGCGATAGGCCGTGGCGATTCTGCGGATTGCGAGGAGAGTCAAGGATCGGTAGATGCCTTGACTTGTATCAGCAAGATTGTGTGGCGATATTGTACAAATGCATCGTGAAAGAACACCCAGAATATATATCTCGGGGTTTTCTTGAATATCTGGTCCCCAGGCTGCCAAGGGACTACTACTGGTCCCTTCCCCTCTCTGAAGTGAGCTACAACTTCATCATGCCTCGTTGCTTCTACTGCTGATGCCGTGGAACTCTTGCGGAACGAGTCGGCGTTTTCTTCAAGAGCCGACTTGTGCTTGAGAAGAAATCTGTCTGGGCCAGCCCTGGCGTACTTGGTTACATCTCTTCTTGAAGCAGCACCGCCTTATTACCAATGGAGTTGGTTGATATTTATCTACGAAATCTACTCAGCCGGGGTCTTGCTTGCCACGCCAACATGCAGGCCAGCCATATCAAAACCTTCGGCGCTCTGAATGCACACACGCGCCTTGCCTCATACTTCGAGATGCATGCAAAGTCTACATTCTTGCCACACAAGATCAAGTAGCACGAATCTCTCTTGGAAAACGGGTGATTGGACAAGGCTCGCCATTTCAGGGGTAACCCTAACCCTGAGCCCGGTATTCGCTGTTCGACACACGACGGAGTGCCTCGACTAGCCTGCATGGTAACATCCGCGCCCTGGTTACGTGCTGCGGGAATGTGTTCGAAAGATCGTATCTGCTCGCAGAGGCTCGGTATGGTACGTCAATCATTGCGGCGCGGAGTATATACTGTGGCACTGATAGTCGATGGCTGTACGTCGATGCCCAGCTACCATCTCGATATCCCTGAGGCTTGAGTAGGTGTGTCCGTTCCTTCATCTGATGCGAGCCGCGTCCACTCTCCAAGAGGTGTTGATGCTGTGAACACGAACATGCTGACGCATCAAGCATTTTCTCGATATGCTTTTCATGAACCGAGGGTATATAATCGTACGAGTCTGCCGAGGAACAATCATGGGCTTGCAAATCCTAGCGCACGTTTGGCTCGGTCAGTGAGGCAATTTGTCTCGAGATCCTTCTTGCCGCCTCGAAAGCTCCCGGGAAAGCGATTCCCTTGATGAACAATTACAAACTCAACCATGGAGCTCGACGAAAAGCCAAGCACGAGTGTCTATGACACACTCAGCCTCATCTTTGACTTCCCCAACGACGACCAGAAGCTTTGGTGGCACAGCACGGCTCCCATGTTCGAAGCTATTCTCCAGACCGCCGGACACGGCATCAACGCCCAGTACCGACACTTGGGCATATACAAGAAGCACGTCATTCCCTTTCTGGGCGTCTACCCCAGAAACGACAAGAAGCGGTGGCTAAGCATCTTGACACGATACGGGATTCCGTTTGAGCTCAGCTTGAACTGTTCCAACTCTGTCGTCCGATATACATATGAGCCCATCAACGCGGCAAGCGGCACCCGAGGGGATCCGTACAACACGCTGGCAATATGGGAGAGCTTGCAAAAGCTCGTCCAGATCCAAGCAGGTGTAGACCTCGAATGGCTCAAGTACTTCAAGCGAGAACTCACTCTTGACGTGCTCGAGTCTGCATTTTTGCTCGACAACGGCCTCGCGAGGGACGGTATCAAAACGCAAAACAAGCTGGCCCTGGACCTAAAAGGAAACCAATTCGCCCTCAAAGTATACATATACCCGGCGTTGAAGTCCCTGGCGACGGGCAAATCGATGCACGAGCTCATTTTTGGCTCCGTCCACAAGCTGTCCCTACAATACAGCAGCATCCGCGCAGCGTTTGAACGGCTAGAGGGCTACGTCGTGTCACGAAACAGCCGTGGCGGCACCGGTGAGGGTGGTGTTTTGCAGCCGCGCCTCCTCTCCTGCGACCTGATCGACGCCGCTAAATCTCGTATAAAGATCTACCTCCTGGAGCGGATGGTGTCTCTGTCCGCCATGGAAGACCTGTGGACATTAGGCGGTCAACTTGCGGACCAGTCGACGATGGATGGACTCGCCCTCATCCGTGAGCTCTGGCAGCTGCTTCGAATTTCTCCGGGTCTACGGAGCTATCCGAAGCCATACTTGCCGTTGGGGCAGATGCCGGACGAGCAGCTCCCATCCATGGTCAACTACACACTTCACCACGACGACCCGACGCCCGAACCACAGGTCTATTTTACCGTGTTTGGCATGAGAGACGTGGACGTGACGGACGCCCTGACTGCCTTTTTCGAAAGGCGCGGCTGGACTGAAATGGCGAGGAAGTACAAGGCTTTCCTGCACAGATCGTTGTAAGTATCGCCGGATCCTGCATTTCGGATAGACAATACCGACTCACACACGCGGCTCTCGTAGTCCGCACGACGACCACGGGTCTCTGAATTATCTTCACACGTACATTTCGTTTTCGTACCGCAACAGCAAGCCGTACCTGAGCGTATACTTGCACTCGTTTGAGAGCGGCAACTGGCCAGCTTGTAGGTGTCCCCTGGATTCAATCATTCAAGCCGGAGTCGCAGGATACTGACTTTGCGTCGTGTAAATTGCAGTGCCAGAGGTTCCCGTAGCATTCGATGCATTCCGCTGCGACGCGTCCCCATGCAAGAAAGTCCAGCTCAGTCTTGATTAGGATGTTGGGGATGTTACAAATGACAAGGTGGAGGCTTGTGTGATTATTGTAGTCGCAAGTTATAAAGAACTCGGATAGTAGTCAGTGATTAGGCCACGAATAAAGCTCGAGTACCATCGTCTACCCAAGTCGAACAATTGAGTCTGCAATGTTGAACTCCTGAGTTGCAAGAAATTAAAGGAACATCCAGTACAATGTGTATATACTGTATCAGGACAGAGCCGGCGCCAAATTCCGACGGGTGGTAGCCACGATTCAGGGTTGGCATTTGCGTCACTCTCAGTAGTAATATGTTGTGTTTCATCGTCGAGACGTGTTTCCCGGGAACAAACACAGACCTACGAGCGAAGTGTAGCTCGTACAGGGAGCCCCGGCGATACTAGACAACGGGCAGCCAGGGCAGGGGCAAGTAATATCAATATGAATCAGAGAATGAAAAAGGAGGCTCGAGATCAGTATCGTCGCATAATCAGCGTCTATCTGATCACGGCTAGGCTACTAGTCTCCTGACACTATCCACCTCCTCGCTCTCCCAGACAATCTTTCAGTCCATTTGGGCATGGCGCTCGATGAAGCTATCGACACCCCTGTATGGCATCTGGAAAGACCTTGACGGCCAAGCGGAAAACCATCGACGTGGCCGACATGGATGGCGACATTAGCAGTCCCTGGGCCTTTGTGGCACGAGCGACAGGGCTCACGAGGCGATCAACAAACGGTAAACAAAATTTGCCTTGGCTTCACTGGTTCCGCCCACGTAACAGGTAAAAGTGTAAATAAACCGCTTTTCTGTCACGACCGACGCTGCTCCCGCACGCCTGCCTTGTCTCTGCGCGACCACGTTCGTGTCCGACATCAAGCCCAAACACCAGCGCGACAAGAACAATTTCCTCAGAGATGACCACGCCTTCATCAAGCCACAAGACTCGATGCGTCATCATAGGCGCCGGGTAAGCAAGAGCCTTGGAATGCAGACACACAGTCACGCTGACAAAGTCGGCAGAGTATCTGGCATTCTCATGGGTAAGACTCGTCAAGAGTGTCACCAGCGTGGAGCCCCGAATCATGTTGAGCAACTGACAAGACGAGCAGCCTATAAGCTACGGCATCACTTGCAGGATTTCGTCGAGCTCCAGATATTCGAGAAGAATGCCGACCTGGGAGGAACTTGGTACGAGAACAGATATCCAGGTACGTCTGAGCTGGTCCAACCCGGATACCTGGATTCTCACCAGACGAGGCTGCGCATGCGACGTCCCGAGCCACTGCTACCAATACGCCTTTGCGCCAAATCCCTCGTGGTCCAAATTGTATGCCCCTGTCCCCAGTGCTGCCCGCCCCGGGTACGGCCAGGACGACAGTTGACCTTGCGTTGCAGATACTCTTCGTCAGAGGAGATTCACGGCTATCTCAAAAAGGTAGCCAAGCACTTCGACTTGGAACAATACATCCGGTACAGCACGACAGTCGTCTCGGCCACGTGGAACGAGACCACCAACACATGGGCGGTGGGCATCAACGACGAGACGACGATCCAGTGCGAGATATTGATCAACGCCGCCGGCATCCTGCATCGCCCTCAGCTGCCCGACATCAAGGGGCTGGAAACCTTTGCCGGCGACCTGGTGCACACTGCCGCGTGGGACTCGCGGCTAGACCTGCGTGGCAAAAGGGTCGCTCTCATCGGATCAGGCTCCAGCGGCATCCAGATTCTCCCTCAGCTCCAGCCGACATGCAGCTCGATACGGGTATACATCCGCACGCCCGGCTGGATCGCGCCGCCCATGGCCGATGCCGACTCGGAATCCCCCAACCGCGACTACACGACGGGCGAAAAGGCCCTGTTCAGACAAGACGCCCGGGGATATGCCCGGATGCGCAAGGAAATCAACTCCAACCTGAACGGCATGTTCAAGGTTCTCCTCAAGGCCTCCCCCGAGCAGCAGAGCATTCGGGACGCGCTCGAGACGCGGATGCGGTCTCTTATACGGGACGACGCCCTGCGGCATCACCTCGTCCCCAAGTTCGAGGTGGGCTGCCGGCGCGTGAACCCTTGCGAGCAGTTCCTCTACAGCGTGCAGGAGAAGAACGTCACGGCGGTGTTTAGTCCGATTGACGAGGTGACGCCTCGGGGCCTTGTTTCCGGCGGAATCGAGCACCAGGTGGATGTGATTGTCGCGGCCACCGGGTTCGACAACAGCTTCAAGCCGCAATTCCCCGTGCTAGGTCGTGACGGAGTCGACCTCCGGGACATTTGGGCCGAGGAGCCAGTTTCGTACCTGGGCACCGGTGTCTCCGGGTTCCCCAACTATCTCACATTCCTTGGACCAAACACGCCTATTGCAAACGGCGCTTTCATGGGTACGGATTGCCGTTTGCTCCCTCGACTTGTTGTGCTGGCAGGCTGACACGTCTCGTAGGTCCCCTGGAAGCCACAAGCGACTATTTCATCAGGCTGCTCCAGCGTGCGATTCGATACGGAGCGTCGTCGTTTGACGTCAAGCCCGAGGCTCAGGCTGACTTTGACAGCCGCGTGTGGGAGTTTATGAAGAAGACGGTGTGGACGGGGTCATGCCGCAGCTGGTGTGAGTATTCTCTCCCTTGTCCGCTCAGTCAACTGCCGCCCGCTGACAGATTCTGAATAGACAAAAAGACGAGTCGTGGGAAAATCACCGCCCTGTGGCCGGGGAGCTCGCTGCATTATATGCAGGTCCTGGCGGAGGATCGATGGGAAGATTATAATTGGACATACAAGGGACGGAGGTACGACTACTGGGGCAACGGGTTTTCTTGGATCGAGCAGCCAAAGAGCGACAAGTTGGGCATCCAAGAGCGCAAATCCAGAAACGACATGGTGACGATTCCCAACCTCGATTCCGACTTGGGCTTCTACATCACGCCCCAGGCGCCGTTGCCAGAAGAGTAGGGTCAAAAGTTGAGCGGTGATGGGCTTTTTTTCTTTCGCGGCTAGACGAAGCTGGTCAAGTGTTTTTGCATAATCTAGGGTCCGTGTTGGTGTTGTGCATAGATATTGCCACGTCCGCGGGATGGCGACGTCGTAAAAGTGAGCTGCTCCGACAGCATTGTCTCACAGGGCTTGTTGACAGGCTCGGAATCGGACCACGGCTCATCTTTGAACAGTCGTTGCGAGTTTGCTGTAGCCAGAAAAGTAGAGTGCTGTCATACAACAGGGGGCATATTAATCCTGGCTGGAAGTGGCACTCCTCTTCTCCTCAGCCAGCTCCTTCAACGCCTCCATGGCCTCGTTTTCCCTCCCGAGCGGAACAAATAGATGGTCATGATAAAATCCGCTTACGGGGTTCACGCCCATGGCCCTCGTCGCCAACTTGGTCGCAATCACCGCCATGAACCCGACAGCCTCCAAACTCGACGTCACGCCGAGCGTGATCATTCTGCAGGGAAAGAAGTACTCCAGATTGTGGGATTTCGCGCAGTCGAGGCTTGTGACTATCGTGATGCCCTCCTCCTCGCGGAAGAAAAGCTGCACCTCAGACACGGGCGGCAGATTCGCCTCGTCTTTAAGCGTCGCAAAAACATAGGTTGTAGGGCCGAGGACGGCGGTAAGTGTGGCCAGGAGCGTCGAGAGAGATTTTTCTCCCGGTTCCCTGAGTAGCGCTGACATGACTGGCAGGCGATGCGAAACGAGAGTCGTTGGACTCTGGTGATGTTGCTGGTCGAGGTTGAAGAGCAGGGCACACACAACATGTTGGATACGCGAGTTAATCACGAGTGGATAACATTGTGGAGAACAGAACCGTACGGAGTACAAGGGCTGAAAATGTCTTTATACCGAGAATATCCCCCAACCTGAGTGTTGTGGGTTGAGGAGTCGACAACTATTGAAATCATACCTTGTGCTAATTCAACACAACAGACGGAACAAATGGCTCGCCGGACAGCATTCGGATCGTTGGCCGCGCACCGGATCCATATCGTGACTGAAGTATCAGTCATGAGTTCATTCTCGTCAACCATGATCATACTGCGGTCATGGACATGCCCGCATCAAAAACTGCAAACCCGAATCACCACCTTGCCGTTGGCCTCTCTCCTCTCGACCTTGTCAAACGCCTCCTGGAAATGCTCAAAATCAACCACGCTGTCCACCTTGGCGGTGCACTTGCCCTCGCCCTGCAGCCCAGCGATTGCCTCGAGCTGAGCGCCGTCGGGCTCGACAAGAAACCACGACGCCTCGGCAAGCTGCTTCGCAACCGACGCCGGCTTCGACTGCTGCGGATCGCCGGTGACGCTGTGCAGGACGCCGCCCTCTTTGACGGCGGACCAGCACGACGCGAGCGTCGGCCCTCCGACGCAGTCAAGCGCGGCATCGACCTCGCGCTCCGACGGACTCACAGCCACCCAGTCGGAAACGCGCTGCTCCTTGTAGTCGACGACCTCGGTGGCGCCCAGCTCTCGGACTCGATCGCCGGCCGCGGCGCCGCCGGCGACGGCGACGATCCGGCCGGCTCCGGCGAGCGCGGCAAATTGCACCGCCCAGCCGCCCACGACGCCAGAGGCTCCCGTGACGAGCACTCCGAGATTCGCATTCTTCCTCCTGGCCGCGTCGTCTCCGAAAACGGCCCTCTCATCGAGGATCCCGTGTCGGAAAAGGCCCTGCCAGGCCGTCAGGGCACTGAGCGGCGTCGCCCCGGCCTCGACCCATCCAACGCTCTTGGGCTTGTGTGCGACTTGGGACAGCCGAGCCAGCGTGTATTCGCGGAGATTGCCTGTCTGAGACGGCTCGAGACGAAAGAAGACGTCGTCGCCGACCTTGAAGCGGGAGGCGCGGGCCTCGTCGCCATCGGCCATTTTCACAACCACGCCGGCGGCCTCGGTGCAAGGCACTCTCTCGCGTCCGGGGGCAAACAGAGAAGGGAACCAGACCTCCCAATGCAGCTCGCCCGGACACGGCGACGTCGTGTACACGCGCACGAGACACTCGTCCGGGCGGGAAATGGTAGGCAGCGGCGCCCTTTCAAGCACGAGGCGTGGTGACTGCGCGTCGGGCTGGTGCACCACCTTCACGGTGCTGGGAAGGGGAAGCGACTCCATTGGAGCCAATCTTGGAATGAGGCCGGCCGGATCGAGGGACGCAGGGTGCTTGAACCGAGTAAGTAGATCGGCCGGATCCAGGCGAACGGGCACTCAAGTATGGCTGGTCAGCGGTCAGCAAGCAGATTCATGGCGCTGTCGGCTCGAGGGGGTGACACTATCTATGCGCATTCTGGCTCACAGTCGAAACCTCTCCGTCTCGGCTCCGTCGGAGCAAAGCTCTGGGAGACGGGCGTCACAGAGGAAAGGATTCGTCAGGTTGTCGTCAACCTGTCCAGGAGCAAAACGCCACGTGTTCGGCTGATGCTCAGTTTGCCGAAGGGGACATGATATGACGCCGCCATGCCCACACCACGCTGACTCCAGACGGCCTGTCGCCGGAAGTCTCACGCGTGGGTTGCCGTCAATATCCGCGTGGGCATGACGGAGGACGGCATAAATCATCACCTCGACTGGTGTGTCTGGCCGTGAGACCAGGCGTTTTTGCGGCCAGCCTCAGCTGACACGAACACTTTTCCTTTTTTTTTCCCAAGAAGAGGTGACATCATGGCACAAGGCCAAGTCGTGCCAGATCCTCCCAAATACGACAGAAGGTAAATCGCGCCCAAACATCAACAAGAAGAAGAAGAAGAAGAGGAAGCAACGTTGCACAAAGGCACCCATGTCCAAACCCATGGCGCTTGGTACTACTCCGACAGGGCTGACACTATTTTCACAAACAGTCGACCGCTTCCGTCGGTGGAGCTCGCATATCGATATAAACTTCCAAACTGCCCGGGCAAATCCAGCATCGGCCTGACGGTTACATTTCCTCCCCACGCTTCCACTCCGCCTCACACGCATGCCGGCGCCGCCGTCTCCGTGCTCGTCCTTCAAGGCACCGTGCTCAACAAGATGAACAGCGAGCCGACCCGGGTCTTCGGAGCGGGCGGAAGCTGGTTCGAGAGTCCCGGCTGTCACCATGTGGTCAGCGACAACCACAGCGCAAGCGAGCCCGCAAAGCTATTGGCGACGCTGGTCGTGGATACCGAGGTCGTAGAAACGGGTGGCGTTGCAGCGTTGGTAGTATTTGACGATGAGTACAAGGATGTTCAGCTCTAGAGTCTAGGCGCTGGGTGGTGAGGCCGCGTCGGAGCATTTCGTTTGGATACGTACGACGATGGAATGGCGCGGCCGAGCACGTCCTGACTGGCCTGGTTGCACGGAGGAAAGGCAAGTCAGAACCTCTCGAGTATATGCCACGTCTGATACGTGCGGAAAGGAAGACTCCCTCGCCTGTGATGGGGAATCGAGACAGGCCAGGTTGGGCATGTAGATGGCTGGTCTCTGATTCCACCACGCCGTATGTAGCCACGTATGCGTATGTGAGTACCATTACCTGACAAGGTGCAGCAGAAACATCCAGACTACCGCGAGCAGCAAGGGCGCCACCAGCAGCCGCGGCCTCTTTTCCAGCACGCTTCGACTGTCCAGAGACGTCAGCCACGAGCCACGGTAAAGGCCCAAAACGAGGCCCTCGTGGTTTTGGGCTCCCGGCCGTGTGGCAGCAAAACACGGCCTTGCGCGTCACACAACATGCTCGCCCAGCCCGATGAACATCGTCGCCGGCCTCAAGCGGCCCGCAGCGGCCGCCGTTGGGCTTCGCGGTCCTGCTGCCAGCACACACAAGTTGACCTGGTACGCTGCAATGAGCCCGGGAATCCCGTATCCATGGCACGACAGTGACGGGCAGCCACGACGGGGTCCGTTGGCAGGCGTGCTCGCGAATGAAGCCTCTCGTCGTGGGCAGTTGGGCAGCAACAGGGTGAGCGGTGAGCCATGCCAGCACCATCCATCCATCTGTGCAGATGCACCATCCAGGCGGCAGGCAGACGACGTACAGCGAGGCCGTGGGCATCTCGACACGGGACGAGAAACAGATATTTATTTCCACGACGTTGCTCCCGTCAGGTTGTGTGGACATCAAGTCTCTCTCCATCTCCCGCGGCCCCGGCAACCCGCTTACATCACCGTTACCAGCGCCTCACCATGGCCTTCGTCGAGCTTCAGTCCGAGGACCACGGCAATCTCCTCGACATCGTCGACCGGCTCCGGTCGGGGGGCATCTACAGGCATGTCGAGCTCCCGGAAATCATTGTCTGCGGAGGCCGGTCCGCCGGCAAGAGCTCCGTGCTCGAGGCCATCTCGGGCATCTCCTTTCTGACCGAAGACAACGCGTGCACTCGTTTCACCACCGAGCTAGTCCTTCGCCGGCAGGACACCACGGCCGTCAAGGTATCCATCAATCCGGGCCTGGAACGGAGCGGCCACGACAAGCGTCGCTCGGGCCGCTTCACCGTCCCCGTGAGCCTCGAAAAGCCCGACATCGAGACCATCATCGGGGAAGCCAAGGAGTCCATGGGCCTGTCCGAGGCCAAAATGCTCAGCACCGACGTCCTGCGCGTCGAGCTTTGCGGCCCGACGCAGCCCCATCTCACCATAGTAGATCTCCCTGGCATGTTTCGTGCCGACGCCCAGGACCAGCAGGCTCAGGATGCCGAGCTCATCCGGGCACTGGTTCAGAACTACATCCAGAGGCCGCACAGTATCATATTGGCCGTCGTCTCGGCAGAGAACTACTCCTACCTGGGCGACATCACCGACATTGTTCGCCAACACGACCCGACGGGCATCCGCACCCTGGGCCTCATCACCAAGCCAGACGTTCTCGAGACGGGGTCCAACAGGGAGGCCGCGTACGTGCACATCGCCAAGAACAGGGACGTCTTCTGCCAGCTCAGCTGGCACGTCCTCAAGAACAGGCACCACAAGGCGCGGGACGGCTCGGCCGTTGAGCGCAACGAGGACGAAGAGCGCTTCTTCTCGCGCGGCATCTGGTCAACCATAGACCCCAAGTACCTGGGCATAAAGTCGCTCATGCCGAGGCTCAGGGAGATCCTCAGGAACCAGATCCTGCAGCAGGTGCCAAGCATCCTCCAGGACGTCGACAACGAAATCGACGCGTGCAGGGCGCAGCTCAAGCGGCTGGGGAAGCCGCGCACCGCCGTCCTGGAACTGCGCAGGTACATGCTGCAGGTGAGCAGGGAGTTTACGACCCTCATCAAGGCCGCCGTGGAAGGCGAGTACGACGACGCCTTCTTCGGCAGCGCCAGGTCCGACCAGGGGTATCGGAGACGCCTCCGGGCCCGCGTTCAAAACACCCTGACCAACTTCGAGAAGGAGATGCGAGAGCGGGGACACAGCCGCGTGATTATCGAAGACGCCGGCAGCCAGGAGCGCAAGCTTCCCGACGGCCACCAGTGGCGATCCGTCTTTGTCGCGGAGGTCATGGACACCATGAGACGCAGCCGCACGCGCGGGCTCGCGGGCACGTTCAACGCCCAGATCATCCGGGAGCTGTTCATCGAGCAGTGTCAGCCGTGGCAGGTCATCGCGAACAATGTCAAAGCCGAGGTTCTGGGCATCGTCGACGACGTTGCCCAGGCCATACTGAACCATGTCACCGTGGGCGGAACCACACGGGGCATACACTTCCTTGTCGGGCATGAAATGGACAATCTCAAGGCCGAGCTCAATGCCAAGTTCCGTGAGATCCTGAGACAATATGTACACGGCCATCCCATCACGTACAACAGCTACTTGATCGACATGGTGCAGAGGGAACAAGAAAGGCGAACGCACGACCGACTAGAGGAAGCGCTCGGAAAGCTTGTGGGACGTGACAGCTTGCAAGAGGGCCATAACGTCACCATTTCCCCGCTCAGTTTATGCAACCTGCTCAAGGAGAGTGTCAACATTGACATGGAGCGGTCCGGGGCCGAGATGGCGACTGATTACATGCTTGCATATTACAAGGTAAGGGAGACAAGACAGATGCTATTTGATGCCTTGTGAGTGCCACCAGGGGCCGTCCGTCATGCTGATTGGTGGTTTTTATAGCTGGCTCTGGAGAAATTTGTAGACGACATCAGCGTTCTGGCTGTTGAGCAGTGTCTCTTGGAGAGGCTGCCCGCGCTGTTCCAGTCCGAGGCGGTCATGGACCTGCAAGATCAGGACGTCGCTTTCTTTGCGAGAGAGGGAGAAACTGCACCGACTGAGCGGAGCCGATGCGCCGACAAGCTCAAAGTCCTGGAGTCGGAGAGGCGCAGGCTCGCAAAGCTCGAAACTCATCGCTCGCCCCAAGTCACGGGTGCTCAGAGCCAAAACGTCACGGGTCCAAGGATTCCACGAAGCTACACGACGGACTCGACTACTGCTGATGACACGCGGGCATTAGTCGCCGACTCCCCTGTTCCAGCCAAGACATCCCATTCCCCTGATTTTGTCATCGAAGCCGAGGTGGTAGAGCCTCCCCGGGCAGTTGGCGAGTCAGAATGGACGTCCGGCCACGACGCGAAACCCTGTGCTGTCGAAGGTGAGTCCTGTGCGCCGGAGCCGGAGCCGGAGCCGGAGCCGGAGCCAGAGCCCTTGGACGAGACCGAGGTGGTGGAAGAAGCGGCGCCGGCGCCTGAGCCCGTCGCGGACAAGCCGCAGCAAGAACCGGAGCCGGAGGCTGCTCCAGAAGGTGAGCCTGAGTGTGCACCAGAAACAGCCGAAGAAGACATGTGGGGTTTCAAGGCGAAAAAGGAGAAATGGTATGGAACGTGGGAAGAAGCGCCTGCTGATGCTAATGCTGATGCTGACGTAGCTGAGCGTGAAGAACCGACCCCATCGCTGGAGACACAGGAAACTACGTCTGAGCTCGAGCCGAAATGCGTCGTCTCCAAATACAGGAGATGTAAGAAGAATAAGAAGCCAAGAAATCGAGTGGCCTCGGATGTACCGGCCGCTGCGCCAGAGCCGCTTCTCATAGTTGGACCTGACGTTTTCGACTCGTGGGGCGTGGCAGCGCGGTGACAAGAGGGGATGACCAGAATGACGAGGAGACATCATCGAGAGGGGGGGCTGACAGTGTACGGCATGTTGTTTCTCTTTTGTGTGCTATTGTACGGTCGTGGTCATCTCATTGTCGGTGCCATTAATGACGTAGCCGGCACGTAGTAGTTGTTTGCCTGAAGGGGAAAGAATCTATCGGTTGAGCACTCTATCGGTTGTCTTTGTGTTGGAAACTCAACCATTCCACTATCCTGCCATTTGTGCAGCATCACCGTCGCAATGAGTGACGTTGCGGCGTTTCTGGGTCAAAGTCAAAGTCGTGACTTGACTGGGGGACAATAAGCAGTCACAGGCAGCAAAGACGTAAGTCTTGGTATCGAAACGAAACCCGCCCGAGCGTCCAACGTTGTGCTAGAAGCAGACATGATTTCATCACGCCCCCGACTCTGTCTGCACCGACTGCCCTCACAAGCCCATCAGAACCGTTTTCGCAGCCTCGCGTCCTATGAATCCCAGCCTATCTGGGTCCGGCCCGGAGGAGATGCCTCCTTTGCTCCAGCTCTGGATCAGTTTCCGTGCCTGCCACACGGCCAGGTGCTTGTTGTAGCGATGTATCTTGGACACAAGTTTGCCCTCCATGGCCTGGCGGAGGGTGTCCTTCCACCCCGTTTGCGCCCAGTGAATATCGTTCCTCCAGAGCGGGCAAAAGGCCTCGGACTGTCCAGAGAAGGGGTCGACGACTGTGTATTCCATCTTGAGCATCGCGGGGTTGCAGCTGTACGACGCGAGCGCAGAGACCACTGCGTTGCAAGTGTTGGATGCTCTGCATCTACCCTCATCTGCATGGAGATCGGGGGTTGCTACCGCCAGCCTTACTTAGCACTCTGCTCGCAGCCCGGCAGACATCTGGAACTAATACTCCAAGACTTACCACATATTGTCCCCGCGACAACCTCTTCTTCGACCAGAAACTCCAGCTCGGGCTTCACCATGCCCTCTTCGTTGCCGCTGTTCCAGTCGTTGAATACGGCGTCCACAAAGCCATCGATGCTTGCCCGCGTGGTAAGCAACGTGGCTTGCTCGTCCGTCGCTCTGCCGCAAGCATGTAACATGTCGAAAAGCCGCCCGAGCTGTACCTCAGTCAGTTGGTCGGCACTCGAGATGGCCCTCGGCATGCCTGGATGGGGGTCGCCGCAGCCGAGATTGTCAAAGACTCGTTGGCGAGCCCGCTTCGCCTCCTCGGGCGAGATGCGAGCAATAGATGAAAGGCAGATGGGTGATTCGGATCGGCGGTTGCGCTTGACGGCGCGCGCCTGCGAGTTTTGCGTCGACCTTGCCGAGCTGCCTGCTCTCGAGGTAGCCCTTGGTGACATTGCACACGGGGAGTAGAACTGGCGAGGCCTTGAGCCGTTGTCTCATCAGCAACCGAGAGATCGGGCCGTCTGGATCGACTCGAGACTTATCAAATGTCGGGGTCTTCTGTGTGTGAGGAGAGTTGACTACTCACCGGGCGGTGACGAGTATCTGGTCTGTCACCAACTACGCACGTGTACACCGATTCCAGAGGCCGCATGTGTCGGGACACGCATGTCGCCGTTGTTCTGGTCATGAGGGAGTGATTGCGGAGGCGGCTTTGCTCATGCTGAATGAATGGACTATTGTTCCCAGTTGCACAAGTCAAGGTCGGCAGCGGCGTCCTCACCTTTGGCTCACTTTGTTGAATACTGTCACGGCATACATCTTGATCGTCCGGTCAGCATTGCTGGCCAATCTTTTCAAGGAAAGGCAGTATATCATCAACATGAGAAACGTCTCGAGGTCATATCGTGGCTGATCCATGACGCATATTCTGCGCAATCCTCACGCGTGGAAGCGCATCGTTCCTATGGAGCATCGTGAGCACTGGATCGCGAGCACTTCATATTGGTGGAGTTTGTACCTCTTACTTTTGTCCAACGCATGCTCGTCTCGACACATGTTCCTCGCAAAACATGATGGCACCACCTTTGATGCCGCAAGCACCAAGGCGGCCAATATTCGCCCTCCCAACCTCTATGAAGCCGTACTGTCCGTAAAATGCCTCGTTACCATACGAGCTAATAACCGACGCACAAATACCTTCCTCCATGGCCTTGTTGACCCCCCACATGACAAGTTTCTTTCCAAGCCCTTGGCCCTGGTGGTCCGGATGAGTAGCCAGGACGTCCAAGAACCAGTTTTGCCGCCTGGATTCGATCCAATGATGCGCGAACAGCGGATACGTCTCCTCTAGAATCCTGATCTTGTCGGGATCCGCTGCCCGATTCGGCCACAGGAAGTCCAAGGCGCTGAGGTAAAGCCAAGATGCGCTTTGCATGAATGGGCCTTGGACGGTCAGCTCAGTGAAGCCCGAAGCCCAGCAACCACCGCCGACGACGCAAATCCGAGATGCCCCTTCCAGCTGACGGCCTCAAATCCATGTCCTGACGCGGGCTTAGGGACTGGTGAGTGTTTGTTCTTACCTGCGATCAGACTGTTGCTCCAAGATGCTGGCCGGACGCCTTGCCTCTCCCATTGCGCAACGGCAATCACCTTATCACTTGTCTTGTCGAGTCCGACGAGAAAGCGACAGCCTGGGTCACCCCATTTCTTGAGAAAGCGTCGTTCGAAATAGTTAATAAAGTCTTGGGGGTACTCTTGTCGGCGAGGATGCATTAGCTCGCCAAAGAGCTCGTCGTGATGGAAGGCGGCGGCTGCGGTCTCAGCCATGGCCCGCAGGTCGCTGTACTTTGCTTGGCGTATGGTCATGGTGACGGCGTATGAGAAGTTGCGTTGACTGCCATGTATTGTCCAGCAAAGGAGAGGGAACAATGCCTACAGGATCTGATGATGGAAAGTTGAAGCCAGCTCAACCTTCATCGGGTGCCAGGATGATCAGGATCTAAGTCGGACGGGTGGGGCCAAGGAGGAACTAAGTAACCCTTACCCTTGCCCTTACCCTTACCCCGACTGCATGTCCATGTGAGAGCTGAGGGAGAAACCAGCACATGAGGCATTCCAACGTCAGAACATGGTGTTCTTACTACGTACGAAAAAACTGCGGTACGTTGGCACTCTCGGACTGATCAATCCTCGGCACTAGCAGCATTCATTGTCATCGCTCGCCGGCCTTTATTTCCCTATTTTCCACGAGCACTCTTCACTCATCAAAAGGCATTGTATTCGGGTGCAGGAGGACGTGCGATGTCATCATCAAAATACCACAGGATCGGTTGAGACTTGTTGCTCCTGGGCGCGACATAACTTCAGAATCATACCGGACAAAAGGTACTGCCAGGACAGCCCTAGCACTGAGGGACTCTTCAGTAACTAACACGTCCTCCCGTCCCGACACAAGTTGGGGGGGCAGACATGCTCGGTAGATTATCCCATGTTTTTTCTGCACCCTGAGTATCTATAACTGCATAGAGTCCTGATAGTTGGGCAGCATGATATTGTAGACGTCTTTTCGGCTGAGTTGCTTCCTCATCCACGACCACGCTCCGAATATATCCAGCGAGATTCTCTGGATAAACTCACAATATTACTACCACTGCCTGCGTGTCGATTCTCTGCCAGATGCCTTTAGCTCCAGCGTATCTGCATGAATCTGGCCGAAGAATTGTCCACTAAGACATAAAATCGGATGATGTCCTTGTCTGCGAGCGGAATTAACATGGAATTCGTGTAGTTCTCAGGAATCTTAGCTTGCACGCACGTGGCGATCGTAAAAGGCCATTTCCGGCATACCACTTTATGCAGCATCAAAAATCCAGGAAGGCTTCTTAGAAAGGGCTGCGACAGTGTATTCACCAGCTGTGGATATGTGGTCGCTAGGCGTAGTGATACACCAACTTCTCTTTGGCCTCCCAGACTACTAGGAGTGCAGGGAGCGACCCTCCCAGGCAGAAGCTGCCATTGCTTCCCCAAAGCGCAATCTAACTTGGTGTGACCGGATTGTCCATTGCCTTGAGGATGAGTGCCGCAAGGAATCAAATGCCCTCAAACAACTACTACTTCACAGCACGTTGCGTATATCGCCGAGTGACAGAGAGTCTGCCCAAGGATGCTACGAGAAGGCAATGGCACATGCACGGAAGACTGGTAAACACGATGTTTGCTCAGGCAGGGGAAAGACGACCGTCTTCTTTAGCCCTGATATTAAACAGAAGCCAACGATTCTGAGTGACAAGTCCGACAATGAACGATCAACTGATCGTTACTCTCGTCGGACCTCAGCCAGGGATTTAGAATCTGCAATGAAGTGGCCACGACCTCGGGAAAGTCAAGGTGCTCCTCACTCACACTTCGTGTACAAGACCCCAGCCCTAATCGAAGTCCTGGACGAACTCGCAACGATCCGGCTACTCAGATGAGGAAGTTGACTAGGAAGCAGCAGCAGCAACAGATTTGTTACAGGAGCTGGAAAATGGGCCTTAACCAAACAGAGAGCTTCACCTATGGTTAGCACATGCCAGCGATGAGATCTCAGGACCAAAGACTACCCAAATATGTATCCCGAGACGAGGAACTAGGAACTCGGGTTATGAGATATGGAGCACGGATAGGTGCTCTGTCGATTGGTTTTCTGGGACATGTTCAATGTTATTTGGTTATCAATAGCCTCTATGCCCAACTTTGATGATAATGTAGGTGTGACAAATTGAAATCGTGGAGTTTTCTGTGGCAACGCCACGAGACACTGGTTGGCTGCTGACGTAGGGCACACTGTCGTAGGAGGATGAACAGTATACAAACTAGGAAGCTCCCGTCGTCATTGTCTGTTGACAGGTAGGTTTTCCAAGCTGATTAGAGTAACACGATTCTGCAAATCGCGCAGCTTAACGACTCAACAAAGCCTTCGGTGTCCGGTCAATACAAGACGCCCTGTAGATGTGTCTCTCATCCTTGACCTTGCAGTCTTCCAACACGGAAAGACAAAGACGCCATGGACAGAGTGGCCCATACTCGCGCCGAAGGCACGGATGGGAAGCTGTATCGGATTTGGCTGAGCTCAGAAGCCCGGATTTCAAAGCCCTTTAATTTCCAGGCCGAGGCCTCATTTTCGCAGTAACTGGACGGCTTGTACGCCTCGTTGTCTTGTCAAACTCACTGTCTCTTCCTGCCTTGACTCTGAAGATGGGACCTCGATGGGCCCCGGAGACTACGCCATGCAAGCCGCTTGCCATCTTTCCACAAGTCACTTCGAGGCTGAGTGCTGTGCCCTTGGCTTCAAATTTGTATTTTCCGTACCCCGGTTCTTGTTTGTTAAACTTGAGTTTGCAAGGACCGCGGGCCTGAATGGAGTCAAGAGATCCAAGATGCGGTGCCGTGAGGCTTATAAGTCACCCGAGGCTGCTTTGAGGCGTTGAGGCTCTGAACTCATTATACGTGCGGTAGCTTCGCTCCCCGAGACGGAGGCTGCGAGTCGCAGCAGCAGAGATGACTACAAGACAGCAGGTGAAACCTTTAATTCCATAAGATTTTCATTACGCACTGTCTCGGTCTATAGAAATACCACGCACGTCAAAAACGTCACGATGCCTCCTAGCTCAGAGTCAACCAGCTAAAACCGTACCTAGTCCAAAGCGAAGAAAGCTCGCTCGCTACTCATTAATCCTGCCACCAATTTTCAAAGGGCCAACAGGCGTATCCTTGGCCCGTTATTGTCATGGCGGACAGGTTGCGTCCCTTGAGCAGATCGGCTGAGGCTGAATCTGGCGTTGTCGCTAGACTCAACAGAAGGAACAAGAAAAAGCGTCTTCAACACGCAATTGCATCATTTTTCCTTTTTCTGTTTCTATTGATTTTTTTTTCGGTCCTCTTTCATTTTGTAGGAGCCTGATTGTCCGCTCTCGCGTTACTATAAGTAGTATTGCCTGCTGTTCCAACACAAGCTTCTTCTCCTCTTTCACTTCAAGTCTTCCTTTGTCTCTTTGTGACATTTCCCAACTGTCCCTTGCCTTTCTTAGAAAAATGACTTCCTCTCAGAAACAAGTCCCCGTCACGCCCCAGCCCACCTCTACTCCCGCGCCGGTTGCATCCCAACATGGCCAGAACGGGCTCGTCGACCAAGCCGACCTTGACGACTGGAAATCCCGCTTCAACGACGTGCTCTCTCGCCCCGGAGAGGTTCTCAAATCCAAGTCACCAGAGACCGCTCAGCCCTGGTCCGCTGGCTTCTTCGACTGCTTCCACCCCATTGACACTTGTTTCGTCACCTGCTGCCTGCCCTGCGTAGCCTTTGGCAAGACTCGCCACCGCCTTCGCAACAGCGGAAGTCTCGATGAATATGGGGCCATCAACACTTCTGTGAGTTCTTGTTTCCAAATCGGACGAGCCGGATGAAAGGTCTCGCGTAGTCGCAGCATACTAACAACACGCCCTGGAAATAGTGCCTGCTTTACTGCGGCGCCGCAAGCTTCGGTCTTCACTGGGTCCCCGTGGCCATGCAGCGGATGAACATGCGCGAGAAGCACAATTTGACCGGGTCGTGCCTCGAGGACATCCTCACGTCGTGCTTCTGCTACTGCTGCAGCCTGGTCCAGCAGGACAAGGAGGCCGAGCAACGCGAGCAGCAGCTCCTAAGCTCTAGTCTTCAGCAGCAGTACAAGTCCAACGATGAAATGCAGTACGTCCCTAAGACTGCTCCAAAAGGGTTCATCTGAAATGAAGCTCAGTTGAGTATACGGAGCTTTTGGGCCTGGCGTGTAGATGGAAAACTCGAAAACGATACCAGGATGGTCTTGGGTGCAGGATTATAGTTGGACGGGTACTCTTTTGCACAGCAATATTGGGAATTGCTACACGGGCATGACACTTTGGCTACACGGGCATGACTCTTACACGGGCATGACTTTTACCACTTCTGATTGGTCGCATACTTTCTTGGCCCCACAGATACTTCCTCGGAAAGGCGGTGTAGCCAACTTCACTAACAAGCTCCTACATCACCATGAATTGCAGTGTCACTTATCGTTGTGGGCGCGATTGGTCTTCTGCTATCTTGCAAGCCTGCATTTCGGATTAAACTACCGTCCTTGTACTGTTAGCCAGTAACTGTCAAATACTGGCAAAAGACGTGATGTGGTCTACTTAATTTATTGCCTCACAACGATACAATCTGGATCTTCGTCATCACTCTTAGCCAGTTCCCATTGACTCCTTGTCCTGCGAATGTTTCGTTGCGTCCTCCGTCCACTGTACCGCACGCCTGTCGTATTCCCAGCATTTAGGACTTTAGAAGGTCTACCTGGCCCTTGCTGGGCTGAGATGCCAATTTGGCCACCAGTTTGTGTGATGGTTTCTCGAGTAGCTTTATGCACTCTCCTAGCAAGAGTTGGCTTATTGAGACTTCCTGGCGGTCGACCTCGTCGCCCACTTGGTTGATTATCAGATCGGCTACTTGATGTAATAGCTAGGCTTTCTGGGATAACCTGCGCTGTATTCTTTGGCCTTCCACGTAGTGCAGTGGCAACTTTCGGGTCAAGAATTCGTCGGTATGGATCTTGAGATGCCGATTCCCGTAGTCGCCAGCGTGGGTGGACCTCCCATTTAGTGAAACGTGTGTCAGAATCTAGCTTTGCGTAGACTTTATGATAGCATGGGATTCCCAGCTCAATAGAGACCGTACAGTCGTCGTCGCAAAGTCCAATAGAGTCGGGGAAGGGATTCTTCCCCGTCGGCAGAAATTTGCGAGCAATACAGTATTGCTTGTTGATTAACCCAAGTCCTTTCGATGACATGGTTGTTCGTAGTTCACCAAGATAGTTTCCCATCGAACCTAGGTATTGTGGAGCAGTCAGGACATCATCCTGTCCACAGGCATCCTTAAAGGCACGTTCTTGGTCATGTATCATATCCTGCATTGCCTCGACGAGTCGGTAGAGGTGGCTCATGCCATTTAATAGATAGCTTTTGATATTATTGTTGCTTGCTTCTGTGCCGGACGTAACTCGGATTCCGAAGTTACGATAACGACGGATAAAGCAACGTGCCCATTGAGCACTAACAGGCATATAAGTCGAGTAGAGGTATTGTAAGATCGCTCGTTGGTCGTCGAACTCTTTACAAAGATCTCTCCATGCCTGCTCAAACGCTTCCTCAGTCTCGGCATAGAGAACCTTTTTCCACATTAAAACAACGCCTTGGTAAGTATGAGGAATCTTATCACTACTCGACCGATCTTCGATCAGATGCTTATCTGTAGTGCTCAACCCGCCATCCGCCTGTGAGGGAATGTCTTCACTGTCACTAGCGCTAGGGCTAGTAGTACTGTCCTCACGTTGGCCCGTCCACCTAGTCTTCGATTTAAGCAAAACGTTTGAAAGGATATGATGAATACAAAGCTGTTGCTGTGCATTTGGAAACTGATCATTAACGGCAGCTTTCATAGCCTTGTCGAAGTCTGTGATGATGACATCTGGTTCCCTGAGTGAGTGTTTTGTAATGAGCTTGCGAACACTCTCTGCAAGGAATTGGAACCCCTCCCTCCTCTCGTTATCTATTAAGCCAAATGCAGCATTGAACACAGTTCCAAGACAGGTTTGGCCAGTAGCCTGGAATAAAGGAAGCTTGAAGCGATTAGTGTTATATGTGTTATCAAAGCTAATAACCTCGGGGAAGCGCTTCCACATCTGTAGACAGTACGGAAAGGTCCAGACAAGACCAAGCAGTCTATCTGGATCATCATCGGCCCATTTCGCGATGTATGGGATCTTCTTCTCATCAAAGAGTTTGATCAATGCCGCAGTAGGTGTATAGCCATTTAGCTTCTCTCGGTTAATGAACGAACGGGCATTATAGATATCCTTCCGCAGGAGTGTTGTATCGGGGAATTGCTCCTCAACCATAGCAGCTACATCACTGGCTCGAATACCCGCGCGACGGCTTGCTGACTCGATGGTTGCTTTAACTGGTGTAGTAAGGCGGCGGTGGGAAACATGCGCAGATGGCGTAATACTCCGTTCATGGTTATGCTGGTGATGTTTCGGGTCTCTATGTTGTCGAAGAAGCCACTTGCCTTCCTCTAGGGCTTCAGCAATTATCATCCATTTGCAATCACACTTCCGAGACCTTCGGGTTCGAAGACCAGAACCCCCCGAGGCCCGAGATTGTCCAAACCGGTCGCATTGAATGGAGTACCTAATCAACCGTCCCTTATAGGAATATTTATTCCGCCGAATAATACCAAATCCGTTCTCCTTTGCAAATGCGTTGGTTGTTTTAAAAAGAACTTCGGCCGAGGGCGCTGGGTCGCCAGGGATTATTGGGTTCGGAATTGGCTCCGGGGCGGGAGATAGAGACTGTCGCATAGGCGAGGAACTAATATTTTCGGGCGTCGGTGATATTCGAGGAGGTTGTGTGGGTGACCTACGAGGTGGAGAGTACGGTGGAGGAGAGTCATATGCTTCGAAACTTAATGGTGACCATCCCCATCTCTCTCGCCAAGCTTGTACACGTTCGTATGATCGAGCAAGGTCTACAGTTAGCCTTCGACCTTCGCCGGTAACCTCTCGTACTATGCGCATTGCGGACTCGAACTCGGCTCTTGTCCTTGTTGGGAGATGCTGGGCGGATGGGGGTGATTCGGGAGGTTCAGAGGCGAATGGATCAAATTCTGGGCCTGGTATAAGCGCTCTGACTCGCTGGCTCCATCTTTTTCCACGGAAGAAGTCATTTTGAAGATATATCTCATAGTCAGATCGAAGGCCCCATGCAGGCTCATGGCGGCCCTGTGAACCATGGGGGTGTGGGAGACTTGAAAGTGTTTGCGGGAAAGAGGCGAACAGGTTATCGAGTGCATTTTCGTCCCCGAGGCCGTAGAACTGACCGATACTCGTAGCAGAGCTACTCGCGGATTGTGGTCGGTCTTCAACTGTGGAAGGACTAGATCTGCGTCGCCGACTGGATTTGTGTCGCTTTCCTCTTTGTGATTGATCACTGGGACTAGGGCTCCGCGACCTGCGAGGAGGTGTGCGAGGCAAAGACATTGACGTCTTGAGAAGAGAACAAGATTGTAGTGAAAGAATTGGTCGCTATCTCTACAGCATAGGGTGCCGTATTATGGTTTATTAAAAGCTACGAAAATGAAGAAAGCAAGCTCGAGGGGGTCGCCCCGACTGCGCGACCACTGGGTTGCTGCGTAGTAGCTTAGCCGAAATGAAGTAATTTACACAGAAGCAAGGTTAAAATGGCCCAGGTACTTGCGGCTGAGGTGGCAGAATCCAGCGTCGTTAACAGAGACAATGCGACCAATCAGAAGTGGTAAAAGTCATGCCCGTGTAAGAGTCATGCCCGTGTAGCCAAAGTGTCATGCCCGTGTAGCAATTCCCGCAATATTCCAGTTGATACCTCTTTCATCTCGTGAGTTGTTTTGAATACATTTCCTCGGTTCATATTGAATACAGGGGTTTATGGACGGAATGTGATTGCTTTCGCAACACGGTCGCCGATGCCTTTAGACTTGCCCATGCTCCAAGCCATGAGCCGAACTTGTCGACTGGCCAGAATTCGATCAGGCGCTAGGAGGAGTTGTCCTCGCTAGCTTGAATATCAGTAGTGATAATTGCCCGGGATGCAAGTCTGAGGTACACTGAATGGTGTATGATCAACAAAGCCCAGCCGTAGGCTGTTATTGAACTTGACTGGCCAGGAAGAGCTGGGTTTATTACTGTTGGTGATCTGGCCAAACGCCTCGCCGTATGACTCTGTGTTCCTGAGAGAGACGAGTCTCGCCAACCGGCTACATCGCATGCGTACCCGGCTGAAGCCGCATGACGCCGCAAGCATGCGAGTTTCTAGCAGGCGGCAGGCACAACTCTGTCCGAAAGCAGAAATACCATCTTTGTAAGAGTCGTGAATCTAGGCATCCGAGATTTGACCAATGTCAAGTTATGTAGAGACAATGTATAATACAGCATCATGTACCCTGATGCGCCAATTGTACAGGCATTCCGCTATGCCGCAATCCCGGCCTGCGCATCCGTCGAGCTCGTCGACTGCACCACATAACTTTCCATCTCCTCTAAACGCTGTGCCAACATTCCATCGTACGGTGGCGCCTCCATAATGCCCATGACAAATGGCCCCTGCGCACCCCATGTACATCCATGTAGGTGATCGCGAATGGTCACTAATAGATCTTGAGCTTCTTGATCCGCATATAGTCCGGCGGCAGTCATCTCTTGCAGTACATCCAACGCAGAGTTGGCATCGCCGAATCGATTCCAATGCATTTGCGCGAGTCGGGTGTAGAACGGTGTCGACACTCCTAGCACGTAGGATGGCAGGCCAAGTTCCTTGACACGAGGAAGGGTCTGGAATGCATAGTCGGATGGTCGATCGAATGCGGTGTCGAACAGGCCCATGGCTGTGTTGATGAAGTGCGGGTATAGAGGGCCGTGGACGTCCATTATACGCTTTTCCTCCTCGGCAGCAAGTTTCGTTGCAGGCTTTGGAGCACCTGCAGGTTTCCCAGTACCCTTGGGCTTTGCGTTTTTGACCGATTCTACTTTGGCCTTGCGCTCTGTTTTTTTAGTTGCTTTCTCTTCTTTCTCTTTCCCTCTGCTGTCCGGGTTCTTGTCCGACGCTTCTGTGACCTCACCGCTTTTGTTCGTGGCTGAACCGCTTCCATTTATTCCCTTTTCATTCTTGGCCTTGACTGTTTTACGCTGCAAAATTCCCAGCTTTCTCGGTAGAGAGAAAACTTCCTTTTCCATGACAGCCCACAGCTCGGCATCCGTCTGGCAGGTGCCCATCAAGCCATCAACCCTCTCGCGCTCCTGGACACGGGCGCGTTCGTATCTTGCACGCTCTTCCCACTTTGCTTGATCTGCCTCGTCCAATTCGACCATCTGACGTACTGATGAACCATTCGGCTCCAGCTCATACAGTCCCAGCGCAACTTGAGCTGCGTTTCTCAACGACGGCGGATATCGGCCGAGAAATTTCTCTCGAAACTCCATGACACGTGCTTGCTCGACTATGGATCGCGCCATGCCGGCCTCGGGCTCCTGAGGATTGTCGCCCTTGATTTGTGTGCCGTCCGAGGGAGCAGGCCGCCTCTTTGCGGCTGGCATTTTCCCTTGGGCAATTTCATCAAAGATGCCTTTGAAAATCTCTGCTTCAGACGGGGTTATCGTGGATTTTTGGCCGGGCGCATTCATCGTTTCTTCGTAGGGTGTGTCATGGTCCCATTCGAAAGGAATAGAGTTGTCTGGTTTCCGGAACCTGGGCCTTCCATATGCGTGAGCAAGACGGATGAACTGCGACACGTGTGGCACGCGCAGTGCTCTCTGCAGAGTCTTGGTTTGGTACAGAAACGACAGCAGTGTTGACGACATGCTGAATAAGTGCCATCACGATGCAATCATCTCGTGTCCATGGCAAGCTCATGATGAGAAGTGTGATGGGTCCAGAAGAGCGTCCGCCGGCTAATTCCCGGGACAATAAAACCTCGGATGGTGTCGGCGCGTGACTTCGCGCCGCCCATTAAAGCGACCGCCTGAGTGGACGCGCCAAGAGTCGCGTTTATTGGCGACTGCCGCCTCGAAAGCGACCAATTCGCGATGCTATTCTGAATAATTGCTGGTTTTCAATTCGTTGTTTCCGGATTGAAACACTACAAAGTCTGACCGGGGACAGGATCTATTTCCCACGATTGCTCTCGCCCGTCGCTACAATTCTCCCACCGCCAAAATGCCAGTCAAGAAGGAACCAGGCGAAATGAGCGCCTTTGAGCGCAAACGACTAGAAAACATCGCCGCCAACCGCGCCATCCTGACAGACATTTCCGTCACGGCAAAGAAGATTATTCCGGATAAAGCTAGACCAGCGAAGCCTGCGGCGCCCAAGCGCAAAAGCCGCGGAGACCAAGTGAAACGCGAACCAAGTCGTCCCACGCGCATGAGTTCACGCCTGGCCGGTATCGAGGCGGATAATGAGACGCTGAAGCGCAAGCTAGAAGTCCAAGCAGAAAACCAAGCCGAGGTGGCAAAGGCCAAGAAGCTTCGTGTCGTGAATGACTTGAACTTGGGCGACATTGTGGTCGAGGGCAAGAAATGGAGCGCCGGACTGGATAGCCTGAAAGGCATTGTGCGTGGCGCAGAACCCGGCGTGAGGACATTCACCGAGGACGATGTTCGAGAGACGACGGATAAGAGTCTGAAGGACTTGCGACAACGGATGGGCGGTCTCAAGCTATATGAACATTGGCTTCCAAATGGTGTGTTGTGACCATCAGCGCTGACCAGTCGTGCGTACATACCAACCTAACGTGACAGACATCAAAATCACGCCGCAGCGCGTATACGCCCTTGGACTGCACCCGACCGAGGACAAACCCATCGTTTTCGCAGGCGACAAGGAAGGCAACATGGGCGTGTTTGACGGCTCACAAACACCCCCTGAAGTTGGTGATGACGACAATCCGGTTACGGATCCGGAAATATCGGCCTTCAAGACACACTCCAGAACAATCACATCGTTTTCCTTCTCCCCTGCAGACGCTAACACTGTATACACCTCATCGTATGACTCGTCCATCCGTAAAATGGACCTCGAAAAGGGGACATCCATCCAGGTTTTCGCCCCCTCAGACATCGACACCGACATGCCCATCTCAGCGCTGGACATGGCGCACTCGGAGCCCAACATCCTCTATTTTTCAACTCTTGACGGCGGCGTAGGGCGCTACGACGTTCGCGCCCCGGGAAGCGAAGAGATCTGGACGTTGTCGGAACAAAAAGTCGGTGGCTTCTCACTGCACCCTCTTCAGCCACATCTCATCGCCACCGCGTCGCTCGATAGAACGATGAAGATATGGGATACCAGGAAAATCTCTGGCAAGGGCGACCTCCGCCACCCGGCTTTGCTGGGAGAACACGAGTCACGGCTGTCTGTGTCGCACGCGTCGTGGAGTGCCGCAGGACACGTCGCCACATCCTCGTACGATGACACGGTCAAGGTTTACGACTTTACCGACGCAAGTAGCTGGAGGCCAGGACACGACATATCCGCCAAAGCAATGGAGCCGAAACACAAGATACCCCATAACAACCAGACGGGTCGGTGGGTTACGATACTCAAGCCGCAGTGGCAGCGACGCCCGCACGACGGCATACAAAAGTTTGTTATTGCAAATATGAATCGGTTTGTAGACGTATTTGCGTCGGACGGAAGCCAGTTGGCGCAACTAGATGGCGAGGGAATCACGGCCGTGCCCGCAGTGGCGCACTTCCATCCGACGATGGATTGGGTCGCTGCGGGCAATGGCAGCGGGAAGCTGTGTTTGTGGCAGTGATTTGAGTAAATGCCGGTCAGGTATAGTAATGAAACATGATTATATCCCAGGTTCTCACTTATGCTGTCTGGTAGAGGTCACAGTTCCAAAGGATCGGTGTTGACTTGTCCGTGCGCTTTCTCTAAAGACCTCGAGGCCTGTTTGCGGTAGTATCATTCTGCTGAGGCCATGAGTCACTGGCCCCAACTCGTTTATGGCATCGGCAAACACGGCTTGATTCTCTACGTGCTCGCGGGCCATTGGATAAGAGGCCATATGCATCGACAACTGCCGCAGCGGGTAGCCGTTTGGGCGAGATATCAATTGACATTCCGGAATGTGAAGAAGAACAGGATGCACGTCTCTGCGCTCCGAAGCCCGTGGAGCAATCGGAGAAGTCTGTTTTTGCAGCATCATCTTGGTGCTTGAACGCGGTGTCGGCTGTAGACTCGGAGTGGCTTACGTTACAAGTTGCGGGTCAATGTTACTCCAGTCCGCTTGACATGCACATTGTAGCCCATCGTGAACAACCGCTTGGTCTTTCTTGATTAACACTACATCGAAACGGCGCGGCAGCAGCATGGAGTCATGAACATCTTACTTGGCTCCCCGTCCGAGTTCAACAGCGCTTGAGACTCGGGGCGCGATGGCACGCGGGTAAGTGTCTGCAAGTCTAAAACACACACCAAATGGCCCCTTTTAACGATTTAACATTGTAGGCCACTGACCTTTCTAAATTTGGGCATCATTGTCGATATAGGTTTCGTATGTATTGCTTCTCATTTCGACCGGTTGAGGTTTCGAAGCTGCCGAATCATGAGGTGGATGGACCCTTGTCTAGTACACAAAACATTGAGCTTGTCGCATTGCCAGCCGGGATCACCACACACGGGTGTCACCAGAAGATTCTTCTCTGTCCCCGCAGACACGGGTTTTACATGGCATTTTACCAGTAGCCGTCATCAGTAGCGAAATCCGGAGCTCACAATCGGAGAAGAGGAAAAAGACTTGACCGGGTTGTTGTAATCTCTCTGGCATCGTCGTTGTCGCCGACTCGTTTTTTGACCTCAGCCACACCCCCTTCCATCCCGCATACTGTCTCATGCTTTCTTTTTTCTGCATTCCTCAGAGTCCCTCTGAAGGGCGTGAACTTGATCGCAGGTTCCTCGGCAGCCTTATTGCAGCGCCTGGCTTCTTGAACGAGAACACGGGGACGCCCCCTAGGCTCTTAATGATCCAAGCTTCTCGCCGCGGGCATGCCAGCCTCCCCGAGGCCATGAGAAGATGACTCTCAGTGACCATGAGTCCTTGCGTAGCGTCTTAAGCCCTGTCAAAGAATCCAAGATCCTTGGTTGCAAGTGCCAGCGACTTGTCCTGGCTCCTAGCAACACAACAACGACCAGGGCGCTGAAATACATCACTCCTCACTACGTCAACCTATCTACGGCTCTTAACTCTGGTTTATCTGGCAAATATCATATCATCATCCCATAAAACAAAGACCGCACAGTAAACCAACCCCGCACGCCATGCTGACCCGCTCGAGCTTCCCGATCGCCCTGGCTCAGGTCCCGGAACGGCACCGCATTGGGGAAGCCTACCAACAGACGAGTGAGCCAGGGAGAAGTCATCTTGGCCAGCCACAACGAGGGATTCACGATAGATCAATGGCATACCTCTCCATCGGCATCTACAGTACCTGGTCGTCGACACTCCGAAAGGCAATCCGGCTTGGCTTGTTGGAGACATGCGATGAGGGAGTCGGTCTATACATGGGGCTGGGTGCGCGCTGAAAGGTTATGAGTGAGCGTTCAGTTGCCGTCTCTCCCCTGGGATTTCTAGCTGCTCAGTCGCAGCCAGATGCCGTGGTTGGGTATGCTGTCGCAGTTGCTGTACTCCAGATGAGACAAGTCATCGCAAGGGGGAAAGACGCAAGATCGGCGGAAGAAAGGCCTCACGGCCTCTAGCAAACGGCCGAGAAGCTACGGATGTCTCGCGGCATTTCGAAACAACATATCATGACTCCAACGCTCCGGCCGTCTACTTCCTTTTAGCACGCGCAGACGTTTCTTAGTTGGTGTCGTTGGTCGTACACAGAGCGCTGTAGAACTCGAACGACGGGATGGACAGTGGGGGAATCTTGCTGTCGCGGTGGATTCGGCTCTAGACCATTCGACTTGGCATCAGAATGGTCACAGGGAAAATTGTCTCCCTCTTCCGGACCTGATGGGCAAGGGAAACAACGTCCAAAAACAGTCGTGGCTGGGTTGAAATGCTCTCTTGATCACAGTTTGATGGGCGAGACAAAGGCAGGATCATGTCTAACGGCAGCTTCGTCCATCTGTCTCAATACGATCCAGTGACGAGGCGGGTCTAGAAATCCCGTCTTTTAGTTCTGCTGAACTGCAAAATTCCCTTGCCTTGCCGCCCTCAGCCGTTTCAACTCACAAAACCAGCCTTTAAGCTCCCCGAAACCCTGATGCTTTCGTTATTCACTCATCCGACCCTTCCTTTTCCTTGCGGCAACGCAATGAGCATATACTGAACAGCCAGACCACGCCCGTCATGGCTCTCGGTCCAGTGTCTCCGCCGCCCTCAGGAATCGATCTGTCCCAGGATAAGCGACCTTTGATCGTGGCCATTTCAGTAACGACATGGGCTTTGGCATTGATCATGGTGACATGTCGAATTGTTGGACGACGCATGAGGGGGGTTCGATTGTGGCTCGACGATTGGTTTATTATTGCATCTTTGGTGCGTTCGCCTGCTCGCAGGTCGTGAGTTGGAACAGTGACGTGGAAGGCTTCGGTTCTAACCGGTTCGCAGCCACCGTCATTAGGCCATGTTCTCGGCATGGCAGCATATGGTACGTTTCATCGCACTGCTCATGCCTGTGAAGCGTGAAACATTGTCACGCATCGCCGCTGACCAACCGATAGCCGTCAGTCGCGGGCTCGGAAGGCATGTCTGGGCGGCAAAACGCGATAGCATGTACGCCTGGGCGCTTGGGTTATTTGTTGCCGAAATATGCTATACCCTCACATTGGTATTCGTCGAGCTTTCCATCTTGTCATTTTTCTGGCGGTCTTTTTCTGTCCGCGACTCATCCAAATGGCCAATTCTCATCCTCGCATCCATTGTTTGCATCTGGGGTGCTGCTGTAGTACGTGTGGATGGATTGATGTCCAATTCAGCGAAATTCGGTCCTGTGTTGACATCCTGCTGCAGCTCCTCGTTACCTTCCTGCAATGTCTCCCAACACACGCGATTTGGGACCGTTTCAATCCCGTCAGTCCCATAAGCGCCAGCAAGTACACCTGTGACGTTGATCCTGTCAAGTTTTTTTACGCCAACGCGATCCCGACCATTGTAACCGACCTCATGACGTTGGTCCTTCCGGCGCCTTATGTCTGGAGACTGCAGCTACCGCGGGTTCAGAAAACAGCTCTAGGCTGCGTCTTTCTGGCTGGGATATTGTGAGTCCAACTCCTGGAACGGTCTTTGTATCGGGGCCATGTCTAACCATGTTGCGCCCAGCGTCACCCTTGTTTCCATCATAAGGCTCTACTATCTCCTGTCGCTGGATCTGGAAGACCCCGATGTTACATGGAACTTCGTCGCGGTCGGAGTCTGGTCCTTTGTTGAAGGCAACACTGCCATTGTTTGCGGTAAGTCATGCAGTGGTACCGAGCGGCCAAGCGGGTGCTAAGGATTTCAGCCTGTCTGCCTTTCCTCAGGCCAGTCATCAACAAAGTCTCATGCAGCGGTTCCCTCATCTTGTCACCGTTCTCATGGAACAATGCGCGAGGATCTGAGGACTCTTGCAGAAGCTCGAACCAGACGAACGTACCCCCGTCTTGGGGCTTTGAGACAACTCTCGGCGCTTCGGTCACACCGGCCAAGTCTCACAACCGTGACGGACCCGAAAATAACGAGCGCCCCTTTGCTCAGCTTGCGGATGATGCACCTGAATCCGACTCGCAAGCTCGACAAGTTGAAAGGGAGTCGACCGAATCGGAAGATGTCATTGCAACTCCATTGTCGAGGGATATTACCCTGACAAGAAATATCAGCCGACAGAATCAAGCAATTTCGTGACGATAAGGAGCAATTGCGTCTTGCCAAATCATTTGCGCCAGGCTAGTGTCGGCGCCGTTCAAAAGACTACACCGACGGGGTTACAAAAACGGTCGAGGCACCGGCACATCAGCGTCTCCTCGTAGACTGAGCCCGCCAGCTTCGTGGAGAATTGGGTCTCCCGTGGACCCTTTAGGCAATTGCCAGAGCGAATTGAGCGTGAAATTTCAACGACGATTTGCCTTCAAAAAACGATGGCAAATCCGAGCTTCATGCTCGCTCACCCCTTGACATTGACCTCTCAAGTTCGAAGTCCTCATTAGACTCTGCAACAAACACACTTCGCGACAAGCCCGGACGTGGTCCATTTCCTCACCGAGAGTCTGGCTCGGTACAGCCTCCGATGCGACAGCACGTCAAACATGTGCATACGATCCTGCGGCTCTGTTCCCCGCCCTGCCTCAACAAGATGCAGAAGCTCGTTGCCTTCAACTGACAAGTTCGGTCCCTGGCACATTGAGCCCGGGGCCGGGATATACCAGGCTTCCGCCTTCCCGTGATTATGTGCGAGGTGCAGCCTGGACCAAGTTACCTGTGGATGTTTGGCCAGACACTCTGCGTCGGGCCACTTCTCCGGCTCGAAAGAAACTCCATATGCGAGCGCAGTCCCATGCGAGAGTCGACTGTTCCAAGGCAGTACGACGTAGCAGCAACCCAGTCTCCGGACAGCTGAGAGGAGCAAGGATGGTTGGTGTGTTCCAGCGACGTAGAAGCGCCTCGGGTTGATAAGACGATGGTTTATATCCATCCAGACGCGCAGCTCACGAGGAGTCGTGCGCCAGGTCCGACTGGGCGTGGAGGCATGTGCTCCGAAATGGTGCAAAGTTGCCGATGGGTCTATTTCACTTGGATACTTTTGACACAAATGTTGACAGCACTGCAATTGATCACTCTTCGGGGCCCGTGAGAGACTATTCGCGATTCGTTGCAACCAACATGGCCGCAGATTCGATGACGACTCGGCGTTTCAAAGATGCACTGAGGGCGGGTTGTCAAGGCTGAAAAGAGTAACGAGATTCGTATTCAAGGGGCCTTTAAAGGAGTGATTCAACGTGTACGTGACATGCAATGTAACCGGTTCTTCCTGTCTCAGCGCAAGCAAAGTAAGTTGCGTGCCGGCATTTACGTCGCCTGCCGGTCGTTGTTGAACTGATGCTGCATCTCCATGCCGGAAGATTTATACCCACACTTGACGTAGAAGCCGCTTTTCTCGACACTACAGTTGAGAAGACTCTTGTTGCATCCGACATTCCTGGCAACGGAGTCGAGGGCGTTGATCATCTTCAGGCCGAGACCCTTGGACTGGTGGGCTTTGGCGATGCAGATTTCTTCTACGTGGCCTACGCTTCCGCGGTTCCAGATGCTGCCTCTGAGTCAGTGTCACGGCGGGGGGCGTGCCCTATTCCATGCTGGAGAGGCAGAGGGAGAGGGAGAGGCAGAGGGAGAGGGAGAGGGAGAGAGGGACGGGCAGTGGACGTACAACTTCTTTTCGACGACGACGGCTCCGGTACCGACGATCCGGCCAGCGTGCTCGATGACGACGTAGTAGTAAGGGCCGTTGCCGCCCGTGTCCATCTCGTCGTAGCGCTCGTTGAATTCTTGCTCGGTCTGGTCCCCTGTCCAGGTGAGATCCCGAAGGCACGTGAGGAAGCCCTTTGCGTAGTCTTGCCTCGCGAGGGGCCGGATGGTGAAGCCTTCGGGCAGCGAGGCGGCGACCTCTTTCGAGATGAGGGAGGCGGGGAAGAGGCCGGACATGGTGGCGGCCGTTGTTGACATGGACGGGCGGCGTGTGTACGGTCCAACTTCCGACTTCCAAGATGGTCATGGTGGTGGTCCACCGTGGTTGGACGGAGCCGATCATTTGCGTCTGGTGTGGAGAGCGTCACTGTGCGTGCTTCACGAGCCGTCCGTCTGGTCGAGAGCACATACTGGCATCAATGTCGAGTCCTGCAGTCCGTGTCTCCTCGCATATTTACATCTTCTACTGGACATTTTCCTCCACGCACCGCCTTCCTTGATCATTAGCAGCCCTAGATAAGGTTCTCGTGGTTTTCGCCCGTCGTCTTGGTCTGGTGATTATCTGTCCTGAAACGGTGTGTGTTCGCCGTTTCTACATCTTTCTGCATACTAGATTTGATGCCAAGCTGTCGTTTATGCTGTAGCTTCTTCCCGTCAAGGTTGCTAGTTTTTTCATCATTTCCCGCTGAATGCTTAAACCCTCAACTGGAACCGATGCAAACTCCCGATGCTACGCCTGTGGAATGGCCTAATATCATGGGATATTTTACAAGGAAGTAAAGGCGCATCTGATGCCCCATGTACTTTGCACAACACGTCCTTCCCATGAGCCCTGGACCACTGCGTAATGTCGCCTGGCTAAACACTGGGTGCTTCACGTCCAAAGTGTTGCCGTCGGCGGCCTGTGTGTAATCAAGTAACAAAGCCGCATGTCTAGAAAAGGTAGCTACGGTTGCTCGTGCCGAGGTTTAGTGTCACATCAACAAACGGTTGAATATCCAACAACGCTCCATGAAGCCGGTCTCGATTAGAAACACCTGTACCACCGCCATTCGCCATTTCCAACCGACGCGTCAGAGATGGATTCTTAACAAGCTGCCAATCTCGTCACAGTTGTGAGAAACTCCCGGCATCACATGTATCCAAGGGCCAGAGCATTCGCCCTCAGCACCTTGACCGCCTTATTCTCGGCATGGGTTTCCACACACGCAAGGACAAAAAGTCCAATGTGCATCGTTCTACGCAGATCAGCAACACGCCTTGCTGACCCGTAGCATGGGCAAGCTACTTACGTGGCCATTCCTCCAAACGCCAGCGCCGCCTCGACCAGGGCGTGGATGCGGGCTGAATTCGCCGTGTTTGAGGGGTACTCGTCATCCGTCCAGCCGGATATCAGGATGCCGTTGACGGTCTCGAGAGAAATATAGGCGAGTGAGATGATGAGGTCCATGCCTACGCGGGCGCCGGGGGTTATGCCGCGGTGCGAAGCGTGGAAGAAGTAGCAGGCGGCGTCGGTCGCGGACCAGAGGATTGACAGACCGGCCTGAAGCGGTCAGCGTATACAAACTTTTGTTATTTGCTCTTGTTTGCATGTTTGTAAAAGGGGGGGGGTGAGAGGTTACCGCGGGCCCTAGGAAGAGAATAGGGACGACGTTTTTGGTCGCCGCAGGTTGGCCGGTGAGTGCGAGAACCAGCACGCCGCACACGATGATGGCAATGCGAAGACTGAGTGGAATGATCCATCGTTTCGAAGACGAACGAGGTGCAGCAGTGTTGAGCTTGGGGTCCATTGGCATGGGATCACTGCAGCGTGTAAGCCGGACCAAAGTCGCTCATTCAGAGTTGTGACAACAGAACTCGGTGGCCTGTTACTCGACTTCTTTTAACGGCACGTCTTGTTGATCGACACCTGGGTACGTTCGAGCTTACAAATATTTACTCGACGTTCTTGGCGGTGCAATTTCAGACAAGCAATTGACAATATGGCTCAGTTGGAGCCGACTCTGTGAGATGACAGTTTGGGAAGGAAGACAAAGATAACCTTTCTGCTGGGACAGGACTATGAACTACAAGTTGCGCAGGTTGGTCGCGTCATGTGTCAGATGGAGTGACTGGCAGACACCATGTGGCCAACGGTTCGTCGTCTTACGGATGCCGTGGATGGACAGGAATACCGTGATGGCTGTAGAAACGGCACGTGCCGTCGTGGCTAGACAGCGGTCACAAGGCGCCTGTTGAATGCATGCAAAACTAGTCGGACTGGACTCGAGCTGGCAGCATGACCGGCCGGCGGAATGACAAGAGTCGACGACTCCCTCACACCCATACTCTGGCGACGTGAATGGGCCGCCTCACGTCGCGTACTTTCGCCTTCTTGGGCTGATTTGTGTACGTGCAGGGCCGAATATGCACTCCTGCGCCAGGTCATGCAGGTTCTGACAACGCACCCGGGAGCAACGACGCGTGGATCAGGGTCGCACCAGGCTGCTTCGTTGCCTCCTGCGGTGGAGCATTTTTGGCAGGTGACCTCGTCGTTTGCTGACAAGGTGAACAGCATGGGGCAAGTCGAGCATTTCGTGTGCACACATCGTAGGGCGAGGTGAAATAGTTATACTCGGAAGCGACATGTCCCAGTGATTCAGCTGGCCAGCGCATTCTGTGTGGTGATGAGGACTCGTGGACCAGAAAACATCGCCACGGATAACTCGACGCCCGCGGCAGCCTCGTCGGGCCCAACTGTGAATTCGGCTACATGAAAGGGAAGGTCTAAATATCTAAACGACGACGGAGAAATCAGCGAAGCTACGCCTGCACATATATTGTTGTGGAGTTAGTTAGCCGTAGCCGCGGGCGGTTGACGTTGGTTGCGGATGCGAATTGCCCAAGCCGGTCATAAGGAGAATGCGGTCGGGCAGCCTCACGGCCATGGTCACGACTCACCATCATGTGCGGCCACACCGACATTGGACGAATGCGACGGGCCATTTCCACGTCCCAGTCAGCTTGACGTCGACGACAATGACAGTGGTGAGTGGCCATGACGACGCCATCAGCCTTTCAGGGCGAGTCCTGGACGGCATGGCCAAGCGCTAAGCTTTGACGGTGACCCAATGCCGAGCCCATTGATGATCAAGTTGGACTGCGTTTCTCGATTGTCTAAAAAAAAATTTCAGTGTTCGCATCGTGATGTGGTGAAGAATTCGGATCTGATGCCGCAGAACAGGAAGAAAGAAGGAACAGAAAACGCAACGCCGTGGCATAGGTGCAAGGAAAACTTGAAACCTGAACAGGTTGCGTGAACAAGCCTTGACTTCATCATGCAGCCACTGTGAGAGTCGGCTGCAACATGTCGATGGCGACAAAGTTCCGTGAAGGGACGGCCAAATTGACTTCCAAGTTCCGGCGTACAATTTTGGTACAGAGTGCTGTGCCTGAGGCTAGGACCTGCACAACTACCTAGGTAGGTACTTACGTACAGAGTAGGTACCTTAAGTAACAAGTACCTACTTGGTAGGTACCTGGGTAGTAGGTACTTAAGTGCCTGGGTGCCCAGGTACTCGGTATATTTGAGCAGGAGGCTCATGCATTTTGTACAAGGTCAAGTACAATTAAGCGCCCCCTTTTGCTCCAGGCCCCTGCTTGCCGAGCACTTTATCCAGTTTGGATTGGTGCACGCAAATGTTAGGCCGGTCAACTAAGCCTGCCTGATAGCACAACTAAATCCGGAGCTAGAGTAGGTAAGTACGATAAGCCAGCTGATGGTTGTGGCAGGTCACCACTTTGCCGTCAAACTCCAAAGAAACTATCTCGACACTCTCCCATACCGCCAGCCTCAGGCTGACTTTTGCGGGGAGCTGCCTCTCGATTTCCTCTGCGTCCCCGTCCAACGGCCTTGGCATTTCATTTCACTCGCTCCGTGCTTCTTCTGTTGCTCCCTTCTCTGCCTGGCCTTGCCATCGAGCATTTCCAGCTCCGCCATTCCGGGATCCTGCGGCGAGCATCAGCCACACCATCGACATTACCTCTGGACTACAATTGTAGGCTGCATCTTGATCAAGGCTGCCTTATTATTCTGCAACCGCCCAAATCTACGCCTCGAATCGGTCCCCTCCGCTGAGCACTGCAACATTCAACTTATGGATAGCTTCGCGCCCCTGTCGCCCAACGGCGGCGACGCGTCTCCCCAGTCTGCTGGTGCCGGTGCCGGTGCCGGTGCCGGTGCTGGCGCTGGCGCTGGCGCTGGCGCTGGCGCTGCTCATGATGGTGTACAGAGACGCGTCATTAGGAAGCTTTGCAAAAAAAATCGAGACGATCCCTCCGCTACTCTCCTCGATCTCCCGGAGCCTCTCAAACATTGCGATAGCGACGATGAGGACTCGCCTAATGATCCAGCCTCTCAACGCGGTCGTGCCATGTCCGTCAACATGAACCAGAGCATATTCGGTCTTATAGCAGCAGCAGGATCACGGGTAGACTTCAATACTCGCTTCGACGACGGAAGCAGCGATGACGAAGACAGCGAGCAATCGAAGAGTTCTAGTGGAAGCCAACCTCTTTCGCAGACCATAATACTTCCGCCGCGGGACAAGGACGCCAGACGGGGTCATCACAAAAGGCTCTCCTCTGGCCACAGACTGCTGAAATCGCTTTCCACTCTGCCGAAGAGGAAAAGCAAAAGGCGAGAAGCGAGTCGACTATCCGCCCCGCTGATGGATTCGTCTGACGAAGCACGAGAATCTACAGAACTTTCCGCGTCTGCCATCGCTCCGCATCAGGAAGATAGCAGACTTGCACCAGTTATGAGCCGGATGCTGCAGGCTAGAGCAGAAGTAGCCAGCAGACCCAGCTTCGACATGGAGCGGCGATCCAGTGATCTTGCCAGAAGCCGCGACGGTGATGAATCTTCTGCGTTGGCGAAGCGGCTCATGGAGATTTTTGAGTTTGATGAGCCGGAACAAGTCATCGAGGGTAGGTGCCTTGAATCTCTGCCATGGTGGTGTATTTGAAGAAGTATGCTTGTTCTTTCAGTTCCGGGCTAATACTTGACTCCAGAATATCCATGTTGGTTGTTACAAAGCGTGCTCCTCCAAGGCTTTCTCTACATCACGAGCAAGCATATTTGCTTTTATGCCTACCTTCCCAAGAAAGCGGTAGGTTCCCTTTGCAACAGTCAAACCTTCAGGACCCTTGCTGAGCGGTTATAGCATGTTGTGGCCAAGTCTGGCTATTTGACAAAGAGTGGCAAGCGCAATCCCAAGTATCATCGATACTGGTTCCGTCTAAAGGGCGATGTTTTGTCATACTATCGTGATTCAACGAATCTTTATTTTCCACATGGTCAAATTGACTTGAGGTTTGGCATCTCCGCCAGTACCGTGGATAAAGACAAGGACAGTCTGCAATTCAACGTTGTCACCAGTCACCGCACCTACAACTTCAAAGCTGACAGTGCTCCGAGTGCCAAAGAATGGGTCAAGAGCCTCCAACGGGTAATTTTTCGGAGCCATAATGAAGGCGACAGCGTCAAGATCTCGTTGCCTATTGATAATGTGATCGATATTGAAGAGACTCAGATGATGGAATTTTCCGAAACGTGCAAAATTCGAGTTGTCGACAATGACGAAACTTATGCTATTGACGAGGTGGGTACATCGTCAGTTTCGACCCATGGTATTATTCACTCACCTCTCATAGTATTTCTTTTCTTTCTTCAACCTTGGAAAGGAGGCCATCAACGTGCTCAAAATCCTGGTCGATGACGCTTCATCCACACAAAGAACTCCAGGGAAACTCATTGCGGAGCAAGAGTTGCAAAAGCAGGACCAACCCGAGCAGAACCCGAATAGCCAGCCCTCTCCATCGATCTCGCAGCAGCCAGCGAAATTGACTTCCCGTCAGACTATTGTTGTCGATAAGATCCGAACGACGAAGCTGCCCGAGGCCGTCAAAGCTACCCTTTCTCCCATGTCACCTCCGGCAAATTCTAGCCCGCAGGTTAGTATGGAGTGCTCTTCTCGGACTAGTCTAGACGCAGTGCGATGTAAGGGACGACGAAGTCAGGAAGTATCCAACATGATCAGCGAGCAAAGCACCCGGAGGAGCTTCAGTGGTCATCGACGAGCCCAGAACGCTCGTCAGTCTGAAGATAAAAAGGGCAGGCATGTAATGGAATACTCTGACTCAAACTTGCAATCATCTACAGAAGATCCCAGTTTCTCAAACTTGGTTATGTCTCTACCAACTGAGGATCCCTCAGCAAGTCAGATTCTAAAAGGCAGCGAAGTGTTCCACAGCCCAACCATGCGCCGGTCGGATGCCTCGAGTCAGTCTACAGACCCCAGGGAGGAAGAGTTGTCCAAGAATTCGGAAAAGTTTCTCTCTGATGCCTCGGCACCTATGAAACACGCGGCGACAACTGGTCATGTCAGTCAATTTGGATATCATGGCCAGGCTGAGCAGGCCGGATCGACTACTCCCACTCTCCAGAGCATCACTAAGATAGGATCATACCCTCTCCAGCGTGCGGGCGCGTTCGCCGATTATTTGAACAAAACAAGCAAGCGAATGAGTTCCCTTCTCGCCACAGAGTCTATGGGATATGTTGAGAAGGTTTCAGGGATGTGGAAGGGTGGTCGCAAGCACTATGGAGAACCCGCCGAACTTCGGACAGATGAGGACGACATAGAGGAGGACTCTGAAGGCAAAACCCAGACGTCCATGGATCGATTTCGTGCTCATTTTGCCCTGCCAGAGTCCGAGAAGCTGCAAGCTACCTATTTCGGCTGTATCATCCGAGTGCTACCTCTATATGGCAAGATTTACATCAGTGACAGATCATTCTGCTTCCGCAGTCTGCTGCCAGGCACCAGAACCAAATTGATTCTGCCGCTCAGGGACATTGAAACTGCCCACAAGGAGAAGGGATTTCGGATCGGGTATTCGGGTCTTACCGTCGTCATTCGCGGGCACGAGGAGGTTTTCTTTGAGTTTAGCCAGCCCGACGTACGTGATGACTGTACCGTGACGCTGCTCCAAAGTCTGGAAACAAATCGTTACCTAAGGGAAGCGGGACTCCTTAACCAGGAGGAACACGAGGAACAGCATCAGGCCATGGCCGAACGAGATGCTCTCAAGTCAGCTAGACAAGAAGACTTCCCTCAGCACGAGATTCTCCCGCCCCAACAAGCAGACTCGCAACCAAACGCTCCAACTATTCTCATGGACGAGACTGATGGCTCTTTTCTCAACTTCAAGCCACCACAGCCCATGAGAATCACTTGTCTAACTATAGGATCGAGAGGGGATGTCCAGCCCTACATTGCTCTTTGCAAAGGCTTGCTCACTGAAGGGCACCAGCCTCGAATTGCGACCCACGCCGAGTTTCAAGACTGGATCGAATCTCACGGAATCGAGTTCGCCAAGGTTGAGGGCGACCCTGGCGAACTTATGCGACTGTGTATTGAGAACGGCACTTTCACCATCTCATTCCTTCGTGAGGCCAACTCAGCATTCAGGGGGTGGCTCGACGAGCTGCTTGATTCAGCATATCAAGCATGCCTAGGCTCGGAACTTCTCATTGAGTCGCCCTCCGCCATGGCGGGCATTCACATCGCAGAAAAACTAGGCATTCCATACTTTAGAGCCTTCACTATGCCTTGGACCAGAACGCGTGCATATCCTCACGCCTTCATCATGCCCGAGCATAAGATGGGTGGTGCTTATAACTACATGACATACGTTATGTTTGACAACATCTTTTGGAAAGCCACGGCACAGCAAATCAACCGCTGGCGCAATAAAACACTTGGCCTTCCCAACACGAGCTTGGAGAAGATGCAGCCGAACAAAGTGCCATTCCTGTACAACTTCAGTCCCAGCGTCGTTGCCCCTCCTCTTGATTTTTCTGACTGGATCAGAGTCACGGGGTACTGGTTCCTAGATGAAGGCGGTGAATACAAACCACCCAGGGAATTGTCCGACTTCATCCAAAAGGCCAGAGACGATGGCAAGAAGCTTGTCTACGTTGGCTTCGGCTCCATCATCGTGAACGATCCTGTCAAGATGACGCAAGAGGTTATTGATGCAGTTCTCAAGGCCGACGTTCGCTGCATTCTGTCCAAGGGCTGGTCTGATCGTATCTCATCAAAAGATGATCCCGCCAAGCCCAGGCCGGATGAACCAGAAATGCCTGCCGAAATTTTCGTCATCAAGTCCGCGCCCCACGACTGGCTGTTTCGTCAAATTGACGCTGCTGCTCACCACGGCGGATCTGGAACGACCGGCGCAAGTCTGCGGGCGGGTATCCCTACAATTATTCGACCGTTCTTTGGCGATCAATTCTTCTTTGCAACCCGAGTAGAGGATCTGGGTGTTGGTATCGGCTTGAGAAGATGGGGCGCCAACAGCTTTGGCAGGGCGCTGTGGCAGGCGACGCGCAACGAGCGAATGATTACAAAAGCTCGTGTCCTCGGCGAGCAGATTCGCAAAGTGCGCTCTATTCTATCATGGGTTCGAAAGTACAACTCGCAAGCTGACCATTTGTATAGGACAAGGGCGTCGACACTGCCATTCAAAATATATACCGCGATCTCGAATATGCAAAGAGTCTCATTAAGCGCAAAGTCGGACATAATGAACAACCAGATGCTGACGACGACGAGGACACTGAGGAGAGCTGGACTTTTGTAGGCGCAGACGAGCCAGATCCGGACATGGTCACGAAGAAGCTGAGTGAAGGACTCGGCTTCTTTGGCAAGCAGAGGAGCTTGGGCAGCCAGGCGATCAAGGCATCGTCTTGACGGATCGAGTCATTTATTCATTAATTTATTTATGTTATACTGGGTATAGTTTGAACTCAAGTGCCCTGCCATCAGGAGCAACTTGTGCTTGAAAAGGGCGGAAGCTGGAGCTTCTTTTGGAGGAGTGATTGCAGCAACGAATATCGCTATAATGGGCATACTTGCGAGGCGAATGATTCATCTGGTGTTGAATATGGGCACGGCGCTGCATCCTTCAATGAATAGCCTTTCAAGCATAGATTACACGACATGATAGAAGAGATAGTAATACCTCGATGACGCAGAGTCGTCCGCCTAATCATATTCCAGGCCTACAGTCCATCGATGCCACCGGTCTTTTGAACTAAGCAGCGTTGCATATCCCAAGTCAATTCAACTTGATATTGTGTGGCGGCTGTAGTGCACACATGGAGGCCATGAAGCCTGGGTGGTCGTACGTGCCATCTTGGTCAATTATTTTCATGAGTATAAGTAGAAGACGGGATTTCCTCTTTTCGTCGACAAGTATGTCTTTTTGCTGAACTTGGTGGTGCATCTTTGCTGTGACTGTAATCTCGTGATTGACTTGACAGGCTCTGCGCAAGCCTGGAAGCTAATGTTGGCCCAGAGTGCTTATCTGCATGCATTTATGGGGAATCACTCAATCGGGGTCTTCTCATCGCTTTACGACTATGTTTTGTGTTTACTACTGCCTTTCCCCTGGCTGCAGGGATTGAGGCATCGCAGCGCGCGTTTAGCTACAGCCCCCTTTGAGTCTTCCCCTGTAGTGTCGTCTGGGCTAACAAAATATCATTGTGCTCTTTGCGGAGCATGCTTCCCTTATAACATGGCATGGGTGCTGGCGTCACGTCCCTGATCTAACAACAAACACAGAGGTACGCCGTGCCAGAACCACTCTTGATCCCTTGCAGCCGTCTAGAAGTGAGACGTAAACCATGCAACGGCCTGGTCTTCGGCTGCAGCCGCTTGTGCCGCGACATCCGGGACCTTGAGGTCAGCGCGCACCGCGAATCCATGACTTGTCTTTTGGTAAACACGGAGTTCACCCTTGTACGCGTCCGGGAAGGCTGTGACGATTGCCTTGATCTGCTCGGCCTGCTTGAGCGAGATTTGGTTGTCGTCCTCTGCACACGCAAATGACACTGGACGCTTGATCTTTTCCACGTCAGACGGCAACCTGAGCATGCTGGGATGAGCAGTGAAGCCGGCGTCGACGAGAGGCTGGCCGTTGATTTGGGCGCCGTGGGCAAGAGTGACTACGTGTTTGCCGCCCCAGCAGAAGCCAGCCGCGCCGATGGACAGCGCCTGACCCTGTTCCTTGCGGAGTTGCTCGAAGAAGCCTCTGACGCCGGAATATGTCCGCCTTGGGGCGCAGTGGATGAAAAAGGGGACTACAACCAAGATGGTTCGGATTATGGCGATGCTGTCACGTGTCAGCTGGATGGTGAGGTAGATGATTTTGGTGCTTTCGGAAGCCTTTCTTACAAGCGCGTGAAGAGACTGCCAGGGGCTAGTGCGGTCTGGATGCTGAACAGCATGGATACAGGTGCGGCGTGGCCTGATGATCGTCAATCATCCGAGTTGGATCGTACAATGGTTGCGCTGTTCCGTCCAGAGACGATGCGACGCATGTGGGAGTACATGTACGGGTTGTTGACACCACCTACCTACCATTCATAAAGTCTGGCAAGTAGACCTTGAAGTCGCCTTTTTCGGCGTAATTGTCGGCCAGGATGCGATTATTTGGAAACTCCCAGCCGAAAGCATCGGGAATGATGACGACAATACCCCTGGGTGCCTTTCCATTTGGCGGCTCGCTCACGTATGTGTCGAGTCCGTAGAGTTTGATGACGTTGCCCTTGGTTGGGCCTTTGTGGATTTGGCCTCGGAAACAGTTTGGGCACGACATGGTAGCTAGATGATTGTCGTCTGGGTGGGAGGAGCGGCTCTTGCCTCGTGAGACTTGTTCAGAGGTGGCATGTCAAGATGAAGGCTGGCTTCCTTGGACATTTAATCCTGGGATCGCACGCCGGCCTAGTCGGGAATGTCCCAGATCCGCTGGCCCCTGGACAGAGAATCCGGACCGCGCTGTACGATGTTACTCTCGGCCCTCGGGGGCTGGCCAAGACGGCGGACCCTCCCAACGCCGGGATAGGCACAGTATTTCCACCAGACACACCTCGGGCGGTGTCAAGCTTTGCTGTCGTGGTCGAGCAAGGTCGATGGCTGCACGGTCCGGTTCGCCAGGCGACTTTGGCTCTGGCGATTCTCTGGTGATGGATGCTCCGGTCAAGGTGGATGCCAAGTTTGGTGACGATGATTGGGCAAGCAACTGATGATTTGCTGCCACGTCTAGTGGACTTGTCGAGCCATTGAGTGGTAATTTGCTTCAGCCCAAGCAACCCAGCGCCAACGGCACAAAAGTCGCCCAAAGAGCTTGAAACGTGTAAATACTCGGCGTCATGGAGGGTCGACAGTCGACTAATTGGGTTTCGGAAGCTGTCCGGGGTGGCTCTTGCCATTTGTTCATGCGGACAGTCGAGAGGAGGGTCAGGGAAAGGCCGGCGATGGCTCCTTCCAAATGTTTGTCCATGGGCGCCCTAGGTGGCACGACGACACTCTTGCAAGCCGCAACACCAACAACCAACGCCCGACCCAGCTGACCGTCTTGTGGTTGCAATGTCAGCTAGTCATTTTTTCGATTCCGTACGCCGAGTGGCAAGGTCGACGACTTCTTCCCAGCAGCCGGCCGGATGCAAACATGGGCAAGAGCCAATTGCTTTTGTTACCCTCTGCCGGCTTTGACCGCGCCACACGTGCAAGCGCTGAGCATCTGGCCGGCAACCTTTTGCATCTGACAAGTGGCATCAAGCGCCAAGGTCCAAGGACGCAATCCACGCCAAAAGTCTGGTGAGTTCTCTTCAATATTGGACGCCATTGAACGACTCGAGACGCCCGTCATCACATGCATCTGCTGTCTGCGGTATTTTGTGGCAAACGCGCTGCCCGTGTCCCCCCCAAACTCGCCGCGGCTTTGCATTGAATAGCCAGCCCCTGGATGCGGCATATTTCTCACTGCAGTATGGCTTTTTTTTTTTTTTTTTTTCCTTTGGGCAGCCTTCCACCCGCACAAATCGGGGGGTTTCTGCTTTCAAGGCTGGGCCTCGGGACGTTTGCCGTTGGGTTGAACCATTGCGCTGATTTTTGACAGATGAACCGCCTACTGCGATTTGCGACCAAGCTCACACCTTGCCAAACGCAGCTCCTTCTCATCTTGCCCAAACCATCTTCGACTTGGATTTTCCACTTGCCTCCACGGCCCCATGACGACCCCAAATGTGGCCCAACCACTGCCGCCACACTGTCGTGTCCAGCACCATTGCAGCTTAGCGTGCCGCAACCTTCGGCGGCGACCAACGAAACCCAACTTTGGCTGCCGAGCCTCGAATCACAAGCCAATGCCCCATTCACATCTTAGCCTCAAGATGCTACATTGCCATTGCCTTGCGTTGCGGCCCGGTTGAGACAGGCATGCGTTTGACTTTCTGCAACCAGCCGTCCGGGCGCTCCAGCCAAGCAGAGGCTGTTTGCTTTTGTGTCGCGCGTGGTGTAGAACAATCAGGCTCGCGTCGAGGCTCGATATTTAATGATTAATGACACCCCAGGAGTAGCCCGCTGTCCTATCGACTTGGAGACTCTTGCCTTGGGATGAGCATGTGTGTTTTACTCGTATGAACCAGGTTACCCTGAGCTCCCTGCCTGCAATATATTTGATTTCTCGACCCTAATCATCCAACGTCTCCGGCTGTGCGGATTCACCTCATCCTGGGAGTTGACAGCAATCGCCGCCGCCTGACCTGTCTCTCACCCAAACTCATTCCGCCCGTTATGCCATCGCCAATCGAGAATCCATGCATACTGTCTATCTCGAGTTATCCCTGGATCACCCATTAGACAGCCATTGTACAGCGTCCCGTCGTTAACATCATGTCACCGTTGCGACTGCTTGTATCAACTAGGAGAGATTAAGATCCTGTTATGCTACAACTCGATCCACACGGTACAACATTCGATTCCCTATTTCGACGTCAACGCACAACCGAAATCTACAACATGGAGTGGCGGCCATACCCATATCCCACCGATAAATCCCCTCTGGAAGGCACAACTGCTCAACATGAAGAAGAGTGGCTCCACGCGGCGTACACCGATCCTATCTTTATTCACCCAATCGGTTACCGGGACATAACTGAAGCTGTCAAGTTGGAACTCTTACAAAGAACCTTTTGGCCACCGCTAGTATCATGGGTCGAAGCTCGTCGAGAGGTACTCCCCAGCGGCGAAGTACTAGGCGGTTGGTCTCGCGCCGACATGTATGGCATGATGGACTGGTATCGACTTTGCTTCAATATGACATCGCGATATGAAGACGCTGTGGCCGCCCACGAAGATGGGATATGGAGGACTGTGATCCTAACCTCCCCATGGTGGGACTGGCCCGAGTTTGCATATCTCTATGTCAAGACTATCCGTGACGACAAGGGACTTCCAGTGAGAGACGCCAATGGCCGCATCAGGAGGGAAATGAGAGACCCATACGACGATAAGCTCGAGGACGAGTTCATGGATACCTGGGAAAGGGTCGCTAACAAGCGGCCGTTGAGAAAACATGCCAACGGACAGGTTTTCCTGCCCTGTGACAGGCCCTCCGTGTCTAGGGCGGCGAGCACTGGAGCTGTTATGGCTGCCAAAGCCAATGGAAATGGTGTTGGTTCAAACGGGCCAAGCAAGGTGGCCGCTCCCCAGGCTGCGAGGTGATGCTCTTGACCTGCATTCGCCTTGACGCCCATGAGGCGCATCTGCGCCAAGGGCTAGCGTGCGGATCTGTGGCAATAATGTACACCCATTCCAGCTTTAAGAAGTGAAAGAATACGAGAAGATGCACGTTCTGTAGTTAAGCCTTTTGATCTACCCAGATTCAAATTTACGATGGTGGTTGTTTTAATTACCTTCGTCTTTTATACATGGAACTTTTTCACCCCAACAAAAGACGTGTTTGTATACCTAGGTATTTGTCTGTTACATCTGATTTCCGATACAGGGTAGGAAAAATGGGGCCATTGCTTACCTGATCATACATACCTAGGTGGCCAGTCATCATTCATGCAAAACGATCGCCTCAAACCCACGATCCGTTGGGACCAAGCCGATCGAGGGCGACTAAACCATACGCTCGGAGACGTGCCGGTGCTGTGCGAGACCTCCTTTATCTCAGTGCTTGAATACGGTTCTGTACTCACAGCTTTCGCAATTGTCGTCATCGCAGACCGATTCCCGACACACACTCTCGTTACGATGGCGCAGGATATGCCCCCCAAAGGCGGGTACGAACCCGTCCAGTACAAGGTATGTGGGTGAAAACCAGTCAATGGGGAGCTTGATATTATGTTGCATACTCTTCGACGACTGGACGCTTCGAGAATCGGTGCCTTGTTGAGCCGAAAAGACTGTGTTCTGCGGAAACCTCGGCGACGAGAATTGATGTCTTGGCCATTTCGAAGCCAAAGTGTCGAACTGAATCCTGTGCAGGGCTGACGTGGACCGTAGCGAAATCTGCCAGCGAAAGGGTTTCGACCTGGCGTTTTACTGCTTGGAGTCGGAGCAGTAATGGGTTTCGGCTGGTACAAGCTGATTGGAGGCATTCGTGAGGCCAAGTACGTTTCCCACAATACCGACGGAAGCTAAATTCGCGACCACTGCTACAGTTTGCAGCCTTGACTTCTATTTGCGCGTGGTTCGATTCGTTGGTCGAGCTCAAAGCGGAACAACCTGCGAGAAGGAATAGACATGCTGACTGGGAATAGCGAGCTGGCGCGCGAGAAGATGTGGGCGCGTATCAACTTGATCCCCCTGCTGCAGGCCGAAGAAGACCGTGACCAAGTACGAAGGCATTGGGCCGACAAGAAGCGTGAAAAAGAGCTGTTGGGCGAAAACACCAAGGTCTACAACAATGAGAGGTGCGTTTAGGGCGATGGGCATTACAGCTGAGCCTGTCTGGTGTGCTAACAAGCCCTCCATATTAGTCGATTTGTCCGGCCGACTTTTGCGGTGTCTCCTGCGCCCTCGAAATAATCGTTCAGACATGGGAAGACAGGGTAGATCCAAGCGGCAGCGTGGGACTCGGGGGCAAAACGCGGGAGACATTTTTGTACATGTGTATTCAATCAAACGAGACGGGAGTCGGGCACCTTGGTAAATGGACGAAGGAGTCCGGTCGCTGACTAGACTCGGGCCCAATTCACTCTATCCCGGAGAGGGCCAGGAGGTCCCGAGAATGAACGAGAATGGCAACACCATGCTAAACAAGCCGAGCCAAATAACAGCCACTGACAGGCTAGAGAGAAGTCCAAGAGGTATCGCAGGATGTGGACGAATACTACACCACACATGATGATGTGCCTAGACGCCGAGCCATGCAAATAATGCGCACTCGACCGGGCTCATGCTTGATCCGTTGACGCCGACTTTGCTTACAGTCCAGTCCCACAACTTGGCCATCAACTCATCATCCCAACACTTGGCATCATCCGCATCAGCAACACCGACGGGCACAAAGAAGGCAGCCTTGGCCTTGTTGCAAATCGTTGCTGCACCACTCTGCATCTTCTCACCGGCATGCCTCCCCGTAGCCCGCACGAGAAGCCGCTTCCAAAACGTCAAGTCGTAGACGAGATCAGTCTCCGCAACCTCCGGGTGCACCGCGACGCCGCTATTCTTGGGATACCGCCTGCCCAGCTCCCTCGTAAACAGGATGTTTGCCAGCTTGGACAGGCCGTAGCGCACCCACAGGCCCAAGATTGGGAATTGACGGGCATCGCGAAGCGCCCCGAGGTCAATGCCCGGGTTGTGATGGCCGCGGTAGGTCATTCCTGCTGAGGTGTTTATAAAGCTAGACGAGGCGATGTGCTCGTTAATGCTATGTGTAAGTGGCCGCCTTGTCAACAGTGAGCCGGCTTGTCTTTCATTCCGTTTCCCGGATACAAAGCTGGGTCTTGCGACATGATGTCCAGTCCGGGTGACGATGCTCGACTTCCCGCGTCTCGAGGCCCCCAAAAGATTGTCTCGCTTCAATCGGTGCGTGCCTTGGCCCGGCCTAGTCGTTGCGAGTCCCGGAGGGCTCGCGGAGATGTTCGGCCGCGACGGCGAAAGAAGACGGCCCGAGTCCCGAGTGGATATTCGGCGTTCGGAGTCAAACCGGAAATGAGTGGGGTGCCGCGGCGTTTAGTTAGAGGCTTGGCTGGTAAACCAGGTTGCGGCGGCTGGCGGCTTCGTCATTTCTCAGTTATCCCGAGTGATGGGAATGCGATGACATGTTTCTCTTGACGGACAGACTGGACAGTGGACAGATAACTCAAAAGGCTGGGCGGCACCCTCGGACTTGTGCTCCGTGACGAGGGCTCGTCTCACAGCAGTATGGGATGAGGGCTTGGAGCACTTTAGCTCATTTCAGCAAATGACACACTTTGGTATGAACGGTCTTGGTTTTCCAAAAGGTCCTCGTAGGCACGGGCTTCTGTCCGTGCAGCAGCGTTCAGCTCTAGGTCTCGTGACCGTAGCCTTTGTGTCACCAACATCTGTGTGACGGAGGGGGAGGCTGGCTCTATCTTCTTCTCTTCAAATGTTACACGGAACTTGCCGTCAAATCAACAAAGGCATGAGGCATCAACAACCCCTTGATGCCTCAACCATCCGGGTTAGGTTGCATATACATAGCCCTCGATGGTCGGTGCTTCACGTGGAAAAGCCAAGGACCTCAGGACGATACGGATTACAGGTGAATTTGTCTCTTCTCCAGGCCCTAGTATCACTCACTATCGTGATTCAGCCCTTGTTACATCAATCTTCAGCATCAAAGGCCACTCCTTGACGAAACTGCACATTTAACCGTCATCCACACACACAGACGCCCCAAGGCGGTACAAATAACAAAAGCAGATTTAACGATAAACGCACCCGTGTTCTCATCCGCCACCAGTAGGTCAATCTACCATGATCCTGTTCACAGACCAAACCTCCTTTTCAATTTTCACCTATTGAATACGAGCCGCCAGCACAGCCGCGTTGATAGCGTGAGGTGTCGTGACAGAGCAAGGGGAGGCAGGAGGATGGCGGATACCGTGGCAAGAGCTCCATAGGGGACTTGGACTGAAGACATTTAAACTCGGTTTAATGTAATGTGCTTCGGGGTCCTTGAAATTCTTTTCTGGCTCAACGCTTGGAGAGACGAGCTTTCAGCCATACGCTTCACATACACAAATACACAAATGTATAGCAACACTCACAGGGGAATGCTGGGCGTCAATACGGCCTTGACGTCAACCCGGCAGGCGCGCATGCATTTTCAAGACTCTCTGGCCACAGTATCCGTTCAAAGCTGGACTGTCCAAGTATATCGACACTAGCTGTACAGATCAAAGCACGCCAATATCCAGCGCGGTTCAACTAGATTGCACGGCAATCTTCTGTCAACATTACGTGGTGCCAGCCCAATAGGGGCCCCCGTAAGCAATCATGGCTACTCAGCCACCACGGGCCTTCGTCATGGTAATATAGTGGTGAGACGGCCTCCCACCTCGTACTGCCGTACGTGATGACTCGGGCAAAGGACTTGCAATAAATGCCGACGGTGTTTGGGTGTTTGGTAGCCTCGTGGCTTTACAACTACACGGAGTTGCAATCAACACGCTAGGAGAAGAGGATCTGCATCTGTCAGGACTTGGCGTCACACGCCGGTGCCGCCGACGTCACGCTGTACTAGTGCGCTGAATGAATTTAACCGGGAGGGTTGGTTTATCCCTTTCCGACATGAATTGTGCTGTGTTGCGAGTGCGGTAGTCGAGGTGGAATAGGAGTTTTCTAACCTCAAAAGGATACAAAGTCTGGTTGACCAGGGAGCAACAGTGAAAGGAACTGCAAGATCAGCGGTGTAAGAGCCCACGTCTCATGGCGTACGGACGTACAGGGACACTTCGTGATGCCGTATGTGGGTGTACACTGTTCAAGGGCACCCTGGTACAAGTCACAACAGTCGGGTCGGTCTGATGATGCAGCATCTTCTTACAAAAGGCCAGCGATGCCCTCCTCAGTCCAGCACTGTTCGATTCTTTGGTCCGGTCGCAGTACCTGTTTGCAGTATTGGCTCCGGCTTGCTGGTAGCTTTGCCACAAGGCGGCAGTATTTGTATTTCGATATTTGCAATATTCCCACCTGTACTAGACTTTGATCATACCAAGGTCTTGTTATTTCTCAGCTGTTAAATGAAGAACTAAAAAAAGGAAACAAGACAAGAAAGAAGAGACTACAACATATATACAAACTTGCCACGAACAGGATGCGCTTTCCTGCCATCAAGGCCTTGATATTGGTCGCTGTCGCCGTGAACGCGAAGCCAAGAGGCACCACCATCGGCAGCAACACATTCATACCCGGACCTCGGGACCTGTCGGCTGACCGAGAACCAATCGAGACGTCGCAACTCGACGCCAAGGTCTGGGACAGAGCTGTCGCAGCCCCCAACGGAACAGTTCTACTAGGCCGGAACAGAGTCAACGTCGTCAAGCCAGGCTCATGGGACGGTCGCTGCCCTTCGTGTCCCACGTGCACTTCGGACTGCGGCGCCTTCGACCGGCTACTCATTGACGATGCTCTCCGTCAGCTATGCCGCGGCACGGGCTGTGACGGCGGTGCCACGTATCAAGTCCCGGCCACGGCCGTCTGGACAGACTTGACCTCTTCTCAATCCTGCTCATGGACCATCACGGCAGAGGGGGATTTCCAGTCCGAGGACGTACGCGACTTCATGATCCAGATGATGACGACGGCGCTGAGCAAGACCACCACCAACTCATCCAGAGACTTCATCTCGGGCGAGCCCGACGTGCTTGGCTGTGGTCAACGGGGGGCCGCGCCGTGCGACTGCTACTGGTATCAAAGCGCGCCGGGGTGTACCAGGGGCAGCCAGACGACTTGGAGCATGGTCAATTATCAACAGGTTGATATCCGGACCGGCGATGGTTCCAACACCGCGCAGCTCAAGTACACCGTCGCCGAAGCGTGCAAGACGGAATCCCTTTGGCTGTGCAATCCCGTCACAATCACTCTTCTTGGCGGTGCCCTGTCTCTGATTCCGACGGTAGGCCCGTTTGCCGGCATGACTTATACTGTTCTTTGTCAGGAATTTTCCCCCCAGTGACGCGGTGAATTCTAGCTTCTTTGTTTTACAGCATCTGTTGCTTAGTGTGTGTGGGAGAGAGAGAAGAGGTATGAGGTTTGATTTTTGATTTTGGCCGCAAGCAAAATAGAAAAGGAGTCATCCAAGGCATCTGTGCGTGTTTGAGGCTGTGCCACATATCGCGGTTCTGTTTCTGCGGCGCTTCTCAACTCTCTCAACGTCACTCACGCGGCTACCCAAGGGCCATGGTTGGTGATGCAGGCCATGAGGCGAAATGGAGTACCCTCAACGAAGTCCGTCTTTATAGTTGAATCAAGTCATTGCACCAAGCCTTGTTCCTCCAGCTCACTGTCGAGGGGGGATAAAAGTCTTGGCCCGAGGTTGACGATTCTGTCCAAGCCTCGGGCGACAACGCTGCTGCGGTGTGTGTATCGCCACAAGTCGACCAGAGCGAAGGTACGTGACTGGGTCATGATATCAATACCTGGGTAGGCGTTAGGAGTCCACCAGGAGCGAGGGTACGCGGCTGGGTCACGCCATCAACGCTTGGGTAAAGAGCAAACAGGCGACAGGGACAGGCACCGGCTTCAGATGAACCCGCCGGCTTGCGTGAGCCTGTCACCCTGGTATTTCTCAAGCACGGGGGACAGTCGTTTTCAACGTGGGAGGTCTGCAATGGAGCACGTCACAGTCGTGCATGCACAAGACAAGATGACAGCAGCAGGAGCGGGACCAGTCGTGCAGAGTCATGCACGACGGAGGGCCGAATCTCAATCAAAGGACCCGAGCAGGGCCAAGCACGAATCTGGAAAAAGGTGCATGCCGGGTAACCGCGCGCGCTGCCTTCGTCGATTAGCGACGGCATATGCCCTACGTTTGGACATGACAGGGGTCAGCGGCGGCGCAAATACACGAACTTTCCTGTTGGATAGATGTTTGCATGTCGTTTTCGATTACTCCCGATATCAGAAGCCCTCTCACTGGTGCTGGAGTAGATGCGTCCCTTGTGTACGATCGCGGGATGCCTCTACTCGTCCAGAAGTCGTTGCCAAACTCCTCTTGGTCTTGATCTGGACGGTGCAGGACTCTCGGTGTGCGGTACGTCCGGTCCATTCAGCAACGCCACGGCAACAAAAGCAATACTGAGAGGGGGGGGATGTAACCTCCAGAGTCCAGCACGGCATACACCGTGGCTGGGACAGAAGGCAAACCTTTTGAGAATGTCACCGCAGAATACTCCGTAAGTGAACCCCGAGTACCCGATTAAAGGCGCGCCATCCCGGTAGGACCACAGACTCTCGGAGAGCAAAAGGATGCGGCGTTGGGTAGGATTGACATGCTATTCAACAGGGATGGTGATGCCGCCAACATGATGCGGTTTCAGATCGGAACAACCCGGGACACATTCAAATCGGGGCGGTTTGCTGGTCCGTCGCCGGGACGTAACTATATAAAAGCTGTCTATGGCTGACCGTCGGATGCCGCTCAGCAGACGTCGATCGACAACAACGTTGAATCGAAGAGCCGCGTCCGAGTTATCCCCATTCGCGTCAGACGCATTTCCCTCGGCAACCAGTCATGATGAGCGTCGATTTGAACTACCTCACTCCACGCGGCCTCTTGGTCAACAAGAGCTTTGTTTGCCAGGGGCCATCGTTCAGCAACCTCGTCCTGGCCATCGACAAGATGATCGATGTGCCGTACAGCAAGGAGACCATGGCGCAAAAGTCTAACTTCTCCAGTGACGCGTTCGACGCCGTAAAGAGACCCAAGCAGTTTGCGTTGCCGCGATCTCGACTGACAGGCAGCAGCTTCTAGACGTGCTTGAAGACTGCCTCGGGTACATGGCAGAGGTGCTGCTCCTCGTGCTCCCAGCCCTCGGGGTTCGTGGCGACTGGCTAACCAGTTCTCGGTCGCAGATCAACGCCAACGCAGGGAAGCTCAAGGTACGCGAGAGCCCTGTGAGCCGCCCGAGAACCTGGAGCCGTGTTGACAAGTCCCAAATCTAGACCGCATATCGTGATGTCGGCGCCGTCTGCGATGCCATCCTGGTCCTTTCGGCCGCGGCCCCCCAAGACTACAGTCAGACTCACCTGACCCAGTTGAAAGTCCCATCCCGGACATGCCGGCAGTCAATCGTGTTCTGTCAATGTTTAGCTGACGCTGCTGTCTCTCCGCGTCAACGTGCGTAGATAAACTGTTCGACGACCTGGCGCGGCTCTACAAGGACGAATCCGACAACGAGGCACTGCGAGACTCTGTCAAGAGGCAGATTGACGCACGCTTGACGGGCATTCGCAACGTTTCCACAAAGGCCACCGCCACGCGAGCCGTCCTGGCCAATTCCACAGACGCCGTGCAACTGGCCCAGGAGCAGCTGAAGCAGGTCAGCGCGCAGCTCAACACCGAGGCCATCTACCGACGGCTCCTGGAGGCCTTCATGCCCGACATGGTCAAGATTGCAATGAACAACTTTGCCATCAACATGATGAGGGTACGTCTTGCCCGCCGGAGGAGAGCCTGCTGCCTGGCCGGAGAAGCTGCGCACCTCGTCAAGCGCAGTTGACTGACGCAGGGGGGCGCCGTGTAGGGCTGGATTGGGCAGATCCAACTGACCGAAGGGACTGCCGCCTCGTTGACGGAGCTGCAGAAAGCTGTTGGTGAGCCGCCGCCTCGCCCGGGGAACCTGCACACGGGATGAATATAACAATGTGTCCAGGTGCCGTCGCCGAGATCGACATGGATCTCATCGACTTGCGCAAGTACGTCGAGGAGAACACCTCGCCCGGACCAGGCCCCATCCTGGATCTCCAGAAGGGAAACATCCTCGAGAAGTGGGAAGACTTGGACAAGGAAGGTAAGCGAGAGCGCCGTGGATTCGATGCAGAAACCTATCCTGGCACGGCGCTGACTTTGTGGTGTTTTTCTCGTCTCCAGTGAGGAAGTTCAAGGCAAACTTTATTGATACCGTAGGAGAGGGAAAGGCGATAAAGTAAGTCTGGACCTGGGCCAGGGCATTGTCTGCCAGCGGATGGATGATATGGATGCCATGTCGTCGGCAGGGGCTCTGGTCTTTTCGCCGGCTGGGACGTTGATTAAAAACTCTGTCACGCAACTCCCATTTTCGAACAGTCTAGACAAAATAACAGAGTGGTCATCTTCTCCATACACAAGTAGAGTCGTATAAAAGAGGAACAGCGTAACGGGCAGCACCAGTACAATCATCAGATCGCCGTTGCTTTCAATGACAAACTCTAGGAACAGACGGCACCATGATTTCCTCTTGGGGGCATCGAGCCTAGCTTTTCCCCGCGCCCTTCACCCCGGGCCTGCGGCGCCTCTCATCAAAACGAACATGTCCCGTGAATTGCAAATCAATGCCCTTCAAACCATCTACATTGAGATCCTCCGGGTTCAACAGCTTGACCTTTCACTGCGTAAAGGGCGTGGGCTCGGCGTGGTCCTTGGTTTCAAAGGCGGGATACACGCGAGTTTTGCCCCTGACGCCGTTCTCGTCAATCTCGTATGAGCACCTCCGAACTTGAGGGAGGCTGGCAAATCGAAACACTTGTTCTTTTTGGATGTCGGCATAGATGCCAGAGGTGGTGATTTGCAGGTTCACCACGGCCACGCCGCCCTTGACAGCGCCTGGATTGGGAAGCACTCCGAGCAGGGTGGGATTGAGCCCGTCCAGACGGTAGTGGGAGCCTTCGTCAAAGTCACTGGCGAGGCCCCTCTGTGGAACGAGTGTGAAGCTGCCGGTGCGGCTGCTGCCCATGATGCCCTCCTTCATCGACTGCCCCTGGTCGACCGGGAGCTGCTGCTCGTCAGTCTTTTGTCATGTACGAACCGCTCGGGGGGACGGGGAGGGCACAGGCACAAGCCACCATTTCAAGACCTACATCTGCAGAATCGATGTTGTAGTCGAATGCTAAATCACAGGCCGCTCAGTAAGCATTCGACGCACAATGGGTTGGAACTGCCACTCACGCTGGAAATCGCTCGAGTATCGCGAGTCAGCATTCACCATCTCCTGGATGACGATGGACAGGTCCTGCTGGTACTCGACAAGGGACTTTCGAGAGTCGAGACTAATGGAACTCTCGGCGAGAGCCCAGTAGCGATAGGCCCATGCCATGTTGCGAAGAGACAAGACGACAGTGGTTCTCAGAGCCATGGCACGGTCGTACAGCATGGACTCGGCCAGGGCGTAGACGGCCTCTTGCTCCTCGTACCCGTCCCTCAGCTTTTGCAGGCCGTCGATCTGTTGCTGGGACACAATGACTTCCATCTGAGCCTGCACATACTCGTAGCCTGCTTTGACGCTTTCGGCTTGAGCCTGCGCAAGCTGCTTCCCGTTGATGGCGTGCTTTCGCAGCGCCAGTCTGTACTCGCTGGCCGAGTCGACGCCCTCACTCACGGCAAATTCCATCTGGTCGTCGGACTCGAGAACCCACTTATCCCACGCAGCCATGGTCACGATGGCCGCGGCGTTCGCATCGCCCCGGCTGCTGCCGGTGATGGTGTCGAGAGAGGGGATCTCGACGGAAGGATCGGCCTCGAACTGGCCGACCGCGTCCACCACGGACTGTACGAGAGGGTACAGCTCCAGGAGGGTCTCGACGACCTCGGCCAGCTTCTCAAACGTGTCTGATTTCAAGAACTTGCCAATTTGGCCGACGAGGCCCTCGGCGACCTTGACGGCCTTGACGGCCTGTCCCACGGCGTCGGCGGCGCCAGGACCGCCTCCTGGATTGCCCATGCAGAGCGTGGCAATGTTCAATGCAAATGCTGCCGGTAGGGACGGACGTTAGCGTTGAGCCACGGACTCTCTGGCTGTGGTCGGGACTGGGGGGCGTCGCGGGCGCGACTTACACGTGGCCGCCATGAGGATTTGGAAGACGGCCTTCAACTCCTGCTCGTCTTTCCACTTTTGAAGGCCATTCTCGAAGCGGATCCTGAGGATTTCCAAGGCAAAGTTGTTGTCTTCAAACTGTGTCTGGCAGCTCACGGCAGTCTCGCGAGTCGACTTGTACTTTTCGAGAGCCAGGTTGCGAAGGTTGACGCGCATGGCATTCTCGTTTCTCGCCTGCGCGAGCATCGTGTCCCAGGCCTGTTTGTGGATTTCCACCGACTCCTTCTTGTCCTGGAACCGCTCGAACTGGGTCTCAAAGGCGGTGGCAGCGTTGAGCGCCTGCTGCGTAGACTCTTTGTATCTGTCGAGGACCAAAGCTGGAGCGTAGCTCATGTCCGGCCCGGCCGCGACCTGGCCCGCGAGTTGTTGGCCTATTGCCACTGCCTGCGTGTTGAGCAGGCTGAACGAGCCTTGATCCGTCGTCATGGCGGCGACGTAGGAGCACAGCGAGACCGCAATGGACGTGTTTTTCCAAAACTGAACGAGGGAAATGCGTAGCTGCGTGTTGAGGCTTGCCTTGAGGTCGTCACTCGTGGAGCGAGGGTACTTCTTCTCGTATTCGTGGTCCATTTTGCCATTGTCGAAGGCGATTGAAACGCCGGCGTACTCGGACTCGGGTCCGAGATCAAGTTCCAGGCTTTCAGAACCAGTCGTCACGGTGACTGGCTGATCAAGGATGGCGGCGTAGATCGATATTGCACCCGAAGCGTCGGATGGTATCGCCAGGGTCGCCGGCGCATCTGCCGTCACAACTCTCGCAGTCACCTGTATGACTCCATTCTTGTGCGGCGAAATGACCGTCTGACGACCCGTGAGGGCGAGAACGTCGGTGAAGACATTCAGCCGCAGCATGGAGGGCAAAAGTGCCGCGGATGCCTCGAGGTAAACCCCCCGGAGCATCGCGATTTTCTTGTGGCGATTCCATGTCAGCGCAGGCGCAGGGGACAAGACATGTGAGGAGGGAGCATCTACTCACTGCATTTTCGTTCACGTTTTCTGCTTCCCGCAGAGGAATACTGGCGACGTCCTTGGACAGGCCGTAGGCTTTCCATTCCGCCGGAGAGCTGGGCTGAGGAACAGGGCTGCTGGACATGGCGTTGGGGTCGTGAAGATTCTGTTTCTATGCTCCTTGTTTATGCTCCTTCTCTCCTCTTCCGGATTCCTCGTCTACGGGGCCTTGCGGCTTCAAACGTGGTTGCTTATAAGGATATCCGAGCAACAGTCAAGTGACGGATCGGACCCGAGGCAATGCGGAGACCTTCGATGCTACGCGGGAACGGGACATTTCACTCTTCTCCCCCTCGGTGAACACAAGGGACGGGATTTTCCGGACAGAGCTACCACTCGATCCTGATGCTCAGCTCGTTCTTCTCTCCCAACAGTGCCGGCCAGTCAATGTGATGCATCGCGTCTCGGCTGCGTCTTCGTTTCTCGGCCATGGCGCGGACTGGGGACGGCCTCCCAAGTGGCTTTGCCGCCAAGGCGGAGGAGGAGTAATGGCAGAATCACCTGATGTACGTGATCTATTGTCTCAACGACTTACCAAAACGACGACTCACATATTTCAGCTCATGTCTGACCTGCCTGTCTCTATCAGGATCGCTCCTCCTCCGCGGCCGGACAGGACCGCCTGTGCGCGATGCTACCATGTGTGGCTCGATATATCGCGCAACGAGGACCGCGGGGATGGAAGACGAGAGCTTTGCGCGATGGAATGTCGTTGCCGGCCTTGGCAGCGATGAAATCTGCTTCTGCAGTGTCACTCTCTTGCATGGTCAGCTCATGCACGCCCACCGACAAAGCTCGCGACGAGCAAGATTATGGAATCGGTGTCACCATGCATTCTACCATGCACGCCGAGAAGAAACAGGCAGGTTACGGTTGCCGTGAAGCGGCAAAGCAGGACGGCGTGTTCCCGCCTACGGCCGGCACGTCGGAAACAGTTGCTGTTCAAGGGATCAGAGCGACATCGACGCCTCCATGAGACGCCGGAAACTTCGTCCCGGGAGACGTATATAGAGGGTTGGCGCCCGCCGATGTAAACCTCAGCTTTGGCTCTCTCTTCCACAGTCCCCGTGAGCTATCTGTCTCCAGTCATCACTCGACGACACTTTACTTGTTCCCCCGGCCGCTCCGTCTCGTGAAAATGAGCAACTTTGACCCCAGGCAACCAATTACGGATCCGTCCGTATTTTCCCCCAGGGGCATGTACGTGGACAACCGCGGCGGAGCTAAGGGGATGCGAGCCGACGAAGACGACGAAGACAAGGCCTTCGTCTTCGATGCCAGCGACATGAAGGCGCTGAATCGGTTCCTCGGCACGGGGAGAAAGCTTCAAACCACCCGGTCCGAGTACCTCCGATGGTTGGGGATAACGGACACGCCCGGAGAAATCAGCGTAGACCTCGGAAAGGAACTTGAATCGCTTCTCGGAACGTACAGCTCGGTGCGTATCATGACGGGTTTGCTCGTTCCACTCAACAGCTGCTCTTCAAGCACCGGGGCGGAATCATGACTGCAGATCTAACCGGCTAAAATAGATCAAAAGAGACTGTACGCAGTTCAAGGATGTGACGTGGAACAGGATCGTTGATATTGCCGGGGACATCAAGTCCTACGCCACCATGTCGGGCGGCAAAGAAAGCACGTCGTACTATGTGCTCATGCTGAAATTCATTGGAGACTACCACGAGGAAAACAAGAAACCCAACCCGGACCAGGGGAAGCTCGCAGAGTTGAAGGAAAGCATCCAGTTCACCGTCGACGCCGAGCTTAGGAAGCTCGAGGAGTTGCAGGCCGGGGCGCAGGAAGCCCTTACGGGACTCGGAGCTTTCGAGAGAGTGTGCGAGCAGCACGGCCTGGCAGTCGAGACTAACGCAAACGCTCTTGAGGCACAGCTTGTCAAGGAGGGCAACGACATTGCGTCTATGAAGCAGAAGATATCGGATGCCCAGGCTGAAATTAACGACTTGCAGGGACAGATCGATGGAAGTAAGTCACAGCAACAGCCGTCGAACGACGCCCAGGTTCGTGTTGCTGACTGAGCATTCCCCGATTCCAGAGAACCAAGCAATCAGAGATGCACCGAAATACATGTGGGTGTAAGTAGGAAAACGGGCATCTTGATGTGCATGAAAAGGACGTGAGTCGCTTTGCTGACGGGTCACAAGCTGGCCGATTGGCACTGCCATCGGCACTGGCATTGTCGTGGAGGCCAAGAAGGCCATCAAGAGACTCAAAGAAGCCATGGAAAAGGTCAAGAAGGTTCTGGATGACTACGAGTCCAAGATGAAGACTGCATCCCGCCTGGAGACGAACCTCAAGTTCATTAGTGTGAGCCTCGCGCTTGTCCATTCGTCTGCTTACGTCCGGCTCTGACAGCTTGCAGCGCCAAGTCAAGGACCTCGGCACGGAGATAGGACCTGCCATCAAGACTCTGCAGAAGCTTCAGGGAGCTTGGAAGAGCATGGAGACTGATCTCAAGTCCATCAAGGACCTGATCGAGTTCGACACGGACAACATTCCGCCAATGTTGATCACGAGGCCCCAGTTGCAGGGCATCGTTGACGAATGGAATGAGCTCAAGGATTACGGTACGTCCATGAGCAACCACATTTCTCGGGAAATGGCTTGGATGAGAGCTGGCTAACCTCTGCTTCCTCTTGTCTGTCAGCGAGCAACTACATTGAGAATGCTTACATTAGCGACGAGCCCAAGTCTGTGACCATTGCGGAATATATTTCCGACCTGGAGGTTGCTATCAAGAAAATTGAAGCTATGCAGGACGATGCGTAAAGCAACGGTCTGGGACCATGGTCATTCTCGTCGATGTGGCTGCACTGAGATTACGTTCGACATGGCATTGTATCCCCGCGGGGGGCGAACACCAGAATGTATATTCGAACATGGCATCTCCTACCCTCTCCCCTGGCGCGGAGATCATGCGGCTGATGCCCGAAAGGATACGTGGGTTTCATGAAAACAGAAAAACAAATTGGTTTGGCATGTCTCGGAAGCCCGTGAGGAACAATGGAATGCCCAGCAACGTCTTGCGGACGCGTCAGAGCCAAATTCACTCCGTCATATACTGGTGTTGCTAGTCTGCCGCACACTTGCGTAGAACCGCGGCTTTCACGGGACTTGCAAATTGCCTCGAGCCCTTGGTGGGTGAAGCATGAGTAAATGCGCCATCTAGGGAATGCGAAGTGACGACAGTTGGATCGAAAGCATAGATGGACGCTTTTGGTATGTGTGAATGCAGACCATCGTCTCGGACTGAATAAGCATATTTTCACCGTGGGAAGAGAGGTTTCATCACAGCGGGCCAGCATGAACAACCACCAGAGACTGAACCGCAAATTCACGCCAACTCCAATCTCCAAACATCTCCCAGTCGAGAGTTGTCCGCGGCCAGCCCGCCATGGACAATGACGGCATCTCCATCACGCCCCTGCAGGACATCTGCCGCGAACCACGCTCTCGCGCTGGGAACGTCGCCCTCAAACTCCATCTTCTTCCAGGCCGCGTCTCTAATATGAAACAGCCACACATCGTGGAGCATTTTGCCAGCCCCCGCGTGCCCCAGAGACGACGGATCGCCCTCCCCAAACATGCTAACAAGGACAGGCTCTCCCTCGCTCCTCACGGCCAGCAGAGCAGCGACGCTTCTTGCGCCCGGGCCGTGGATATCATCGGGACTAAAGGAGATGCTTTGCCACGTGCTTGCTGCCGGGTCGTAAACGTCCACGACGCCGCCTTGCTCCGAGGTTCCGTCGAAGCCGCCGACGCGGTAGAGCTTCCCTTGACAGAAGGTAATGGATGTCCCTCCGCGCGCGGGACCAGGTGCAGACGGGAGCTCAGTCCACTCGAGACTTGCGGTGTCGAACGCCCACAAGTCGGACAAGCGGCCTTGAGACGGGCAGCCGGCGTGAAGATAGATGGTCTTTGCGCCATCGGATGCCATTGCGTGATAGCTGCGCGCGGCAGGATACTTGTAAGATGCAGTCTCGATCAGGTCCCAGCTAGGAATAGCTGCATCGCATCTCCAAACACCGCCTTGCTCGTCGATGGGGTCCATGGCTGGACCGCCTCGCCCTGAGAATAGCCATATGTACCCGTTTGCCGAGACGCTGGGTGCGCCGACCCGAGGAGACGGGGCATCAACAACAGCCAGTGTCTGTGGTCCGTCTGCGAGTCGAATGTGAGAAGAGTGAAGGCGCTTCAACGGGCACCGCGGTAGCAGACGCATGAAAGGACAAATCCGTACCACGAGACTCGACTGTGACGTCCACTACATCGGACTGATTATCCACTGGCTGTCTGGGCAACAGTTCTCCGCCAAAGATGTAGGCCTTGGGGCCCAGAACAGACATTGCATGGGATGAGCGGCGGAGACGAGAGGCGTCTGTGATTTGTGTCCAATGGCCGCAAGGGGAAGGCATCTCGATGTTGTGTAAGTCTCGACAAGTCGTAGGGGGGGGGGGGGGGGGGAAGACAGTTGCTGAGTTATTTGTATTCCCAAGCTCTGGAGAAGCCAACGCCACACGGACCTCGGCTGACACCAGCCCTTCGAGATGGTCAGGAGTCGTGGTGTATGGTGATTGGCTGGTAGTTCCTCATCCTTGAACCATGAAGCTTCTGATCGGACAAACAGCTGCAACCCTTGTGCGTTGCAGCTAGTCATGTGGTTGAGGCTTGGCCGTAAGTTCCGTGCAACACATGGTCGTGTAGTTCACATGACATATAAACGGACAGTTGGATATGCTAATCCCATGGCGGGATATTGATTTTGTTGCACTGGAATCGCCCCTTTTGTACATGGATACATCTTCTTGTTTTTCCCCCAGGCCCTGCCACACTACAGAACATACCATGGCGACAGTCTCCATCCGTTCGATACACGCATAGCTGAGCGAGCACCCGGCGGGTGGCGCAGGGCTCGCCCATCTCTCTCTATACCACGTAGTTTGTACGGCCGCCAATGCAGGACCAACGAGTAGCGGAGTGCATGACAATGTAGAACTGGGGAAGGCTGCGGCTGTCCCGTCAGCGGCGTCTGGTAATGAATGAATGTATGGCGGACAGGCCCGACTCACAAACCAAGAACGGTCGACCACATGGCAGCCACTCTTACATGATCAAATTTTTTGCCTTTGGAAATGGTAAAGTTGTCCTTTGAGTAGACATACGACGTGACCATGCCGGGCACGGAAGCCACCCAGAGAACGGTCAACAGAATGTCCATGCCATCGCTCACCTTGCCCAAGTTGGATAAGACGGTACGAGTTGCTTGGACGACAAAACCGCAGTTCCAGAGGCATCCAAGAACAGCCTACAAGGTTAGTTTTATGAGTTTTATTCCACGCTTACATGGCGGGAGAGATGGTCACTTTACCACGGCAAAGATGGTCTCCAACATGGGATTCTTGTCGTACTTGAAGGCCGTCACGGCTGTGAGAATAGTCACGATCAACGCGCAAACTGCGGCCGCAACCCGTCTCGGCCTGTCCCCCGATTGGAAGCTGAGCAATCTATTAGTAAACTTCATTTTTTTTTTCCGTTTTTCTTTTCACAAAGCAGTGTAGAAAAGGGCAAGTGGTGGGTGACAAGCAAATGCTGGGGCTTTCTCAGCGGTTGATGACGTTCAAGGACAAGTCTGCCTTGGTAACGGAGTTGAAATATTGGCCAACGGAATGGCCTTTCGTCGGGCTTATACGAGCGCGGTGGTGGTGGTAGGTAGACCTAGAGCCAGGCCACATCTATGCACGTGGCTTTAAATAATCTGCTGAACATTGGGAGCTGAAGAGCGCGCATCTGACGAAACGTGAGCACGTGTATCGGCTCGTCAAAGATGGCCATGGCTCGGGCATGAGCAGGAAAAGAAGCTGTTTGTGAGGACGAGACACATTCTTACCCACAGTCGCCTTCACAAAGACTCGTGGGACCTGGACGGCAGACGGGTAAAAGAATTGGCGGGTTCGGCATTCTTCGCCGTGTTTTCTACGGCGCTTCGTACATGACGGGATGCGGATGAGCTGGCCATTGTGACGACGCTTGCGAGAAGCTCCTTGTTCGGTCTTGGCCGGTGGAGAGATGATGCGTGTGCGAGGACGTAACGACTGCCTGTGCAACAAAAGTCCAATGTCGTTTGATAGCTCGCAGAGCACAATCATGGCGAAAGCAGCCTTTGCACAATGGGCGGTCTTTCTCCTTCACTTACCTGGACGCGGCTCGAGCTCGACCTGGGTGATGCGGATGCTCTTGGCGCCCTGCAAGTGCTTCTGCAGCAACATTGCTCTTTGGATATCTCAATGACGGATGCGACGAAGACCAGTTGAACACGTGAGCAAACTGGGCAGCTCCAGATGTTAGTCCCAGGCTGCTTGCCGACTGACGAGCGGCCCAACATTCAGCACAATAGTTTGCTTGGGGAGACACGAGCTTCTTGCTGGACAAGAGCGACGACGTGTGAAAGCCTTTGGCATCTGTGGTGATGGAGGGCCTTCGTCTTTGTGTCTCTGCTCGCTCGGTCGCAATGCTCAAAGCTTTCTGTAAAATCTAGGGTCAACTCTGTAGCTCTCGTCAACCAACGTTGTTCAATGTCGCCAATGCAACTCGACGGCTCCAGCAATTCCATCGCCGTAGCACGCGGCAGTTTCGATCAAACGGCCGAGGCAGACGTTGCTGTGAATCGAAGCTGTTGTGCTGCCACGTCTCATCCTCTTGGTGCTGCATCAGCCAGTCGTCAAACGCCAGCTCCTCCGCGAATTTGAGACAAGAGGATCAGCGAAAGGCCGTTGCAAAGTATGGCCACGGTTCGGAACGCTGGTCTGCGCCGGCTTCTTGGCCACGATGAATTCATGGCAGACGCATTAAGGGCGGGCCAAGGCACGATCCGAGCGCAGGAGAGTCGTCTCACGTGCAGGAGAGTCGTCTCACGTGCGGCCTGAAATTTCTGGCGCCAGGCCACGAGAGCACAGGTAGGATGCAGAACGCAGAATACAGAATACCCAGTCACCAGGCCAAGTCTGACGATGTAGCCTGTCGCACTCACCGTCGTCTCAAGAGGCGCTCTGAGCAATTTACCTGTTGAGGTGCGTGGTATGTGGCCCATGGACCAGACGGCACGGTTTTGCACGGCATCCGAAGGCTCACTCGACGCAGCGCTTGGTTCCTGGACACGCGGCACTCGCCCTACTGCACCTTTTCGTCGACATCACGAGGCACCTCCTGTGTTTCTTTCATGTTCAGCCTGTTCATTTGTTCTCTCGTCCACAGCTGCTTCATGACCAGACGCAGGCCCTGCTGATGTGTATCCAAGAGGCCTCTTGTTCAAGAACCAAGCGCGGTTCTTGTTTGTTTGTTCAAGCTAGCTGCTACTGCTCGGAACAACAGGGCTGCTTTGACAAGTCTGTGACAAACTCGGCCACGCGGTGACCACTCAACGGCCTTTGTTTCATTCTCATGTCGTCACGGCGTCTCGGAAAAGTCACACCAAACATGGCAAAGCCTGCTAGCCCCCAGCCTCATATCCTCGACTCATACGACCAGTGCCCCGTCCTCTCAATCCTATCCACGGCCCTTTTCAAATCGTCCATGTACTCGGTGTGCATGGCTTGCCGCACCGTGAGCGGCAGCAAGGGCCAGGCCACCCTCAGAGTGCGCACAGCAGCCTGATACTGCAGCCAGGTCAGCGTCGTGGGCACCAGGCCGTACTCCCTCGCCAGCCTCTCGGGCAAGAAGTGGACGGTCAAGACGCGGGCCAGGGGAGTGAGGGCGCGCAGGCGCATGGGCAGGTTGTCGGGATACAGCAGGTCCCGGGACAGCTTGCGCGCCATGTCGGTGATTTGGAGAGTGTCGATGTTGCGCTTCCAGTAGGCCCAGAAGTCGTCCAGGGAGGGCGGCCACATGGAGGGCGGCATGCGCAGCGAGGTGCCGTAGACGGCGGCCTCTTTGTACAGCGACTCCATCTGCTGGCGGGTGAAGCCGCCCAAGAGGGTCTCGTGGACGACAATCAGCGCGACGAAGAGCGTTGCCGCCGTCCACTTGTGCAGCTCGGGGTCGTCGGCGTCGTAGCCGTCGCCCTTGACGTGCTTGTGATAGCCGTGGATCATGGAGAAGATTGCCCTCTTTTCCTCGGGCGTCCCGTAGACGGCGGCGTTGAGATAGCGCGCCGTGTTCCGGAGCCGTTGCGGGATGCGCGATGCGAAGTCGGAATGGAGGTAGCTGCCCTTTGCGAGGCCGGGATGGGCGAACTGGCAAAGAATGGCGAACTGCCCGCCAATGAGGTATATGTCGTCCGTCAGGAGCTCTCTGAGAAGCACGGGCTCTCGGATGGTTTCGTGGATGAGCGGAGAGAAGGTCTTGCGCTTCCGCACAGCGCCAGTGAGAGGCTTTGCGTCTGAAGTAGCCGACATGGCGAAGCGGTTCGCCGACGCGAGGAATTCGGAAGACGGTTTCGAGACGAGAGAGACGAGAGAGACGAGAGAGACGAGAGAGCTACTACAAGTTTCACAGCAGAAGCTGGCGTGCTGTCTCAAAGCCTCCAGCAACGCAGCACGACAACTTTGACGTGTCGTCCTCAAACCACGAGTCGGACTCCAGACTCTGAGGGATCCAAGGGTCCATGGCCGCCGTGGCTATAAAGTCGGAAAGAACGGGTGCCGGTCCGCGGCGAAACGGAGCGGCGGGGCGACGAGGGACACGTGGACGCACCATGAAACGATTCGGTTCAATCCTGACAACTTGATGGCCCGGACGGGTAGCCACCGGACTCCGAAACCCGGCTCGACTGGCAATGGTAGCCCAACGCTGCTACTAGTCCAAGCGGGAAACCAGGCCCAATTTGCAGTCGCTATTCCCGGTGTGGGTTACATGGTCTCCTCGTGATAACGGTGGGTCGCCAAGGTGAAGTACGTATTGGCAGCTCGATAACAATGATGGACCATGAGTAGTGACTGGTTGTAACCCGAAGCCTGGCTGCCTCGTCAACAAAGAAAGAAGAAGCCTCTTGCAAACTCATCCGACCCGCAGCCGAGTACCAGGCAAGATCCTCGGAGCCTTGTCGTTCCTTCACATGCTTCGTTCCCCGCACAGCCCCGAATGCCACGAGACCACATGGCCGCAAGGCGGAACAAGTGGCTGACTCCGTATGGCGTTCCGTCCGGCCCAATCGCCCGGTCGTCACCGCACGACGCCGATGCTTGAGCCAAGCTTTGCTCAGACTCGATTGTGGCCCGGCCATCCGAGTTGGATTCTGACTTTGAACCTGGCCAACGGGACGCCATGTGGCGTCTTGGTTTATCCTGTTTATTTCCCAAGCCATCCGCGTTCCCTATGCGGGTTAAAACAAGTCAAACTCTAGTTTAAATCCAGAAAAGACGATGGCTCTATCTTCGCTCAAGACCAATCGACCACGTGCTGGCCCAATGGAATACTGCTTGTCATTATTCAGAACCCTGCACGGCTGGTGAACCTGTGTCAACATCGACTGATACAAGAAGAAGATCAGTGACAAGACAATCACGTAGTTTAGGTCGCGTCCAATCTGATGCTTGCAAGTTTAGCTGTGGGTGGCCTGGCAAGGATGTTTGTGGCGGCTCATCTGTGCTAACAATGACTCCGGGGGTCTCTTTATTTTCATTAGACATTATTGACTGTTGGCTACATCTAGGGGATACAGCACGCTTATTGAGCAGCAACTTGTCTTTGCATCTTGAGCTGTGAATATTTCAACACGTTCCTTTTCGATGATAGATTTTGCTGAAAAAAGAATCAATATCTTTAGCCAACTTGGAGGTTTCAGGAGGACTCGGGTACTTGAACTGCATGTAGACTTCCCGATCATCATCAATCGATCCTCAGGCCCAAGGCACCCCCTTTGATGCCACGCCTGGCTCAACGTTCAGGGTCTGAATTATACCCGGGTAGGTAGGTGCCTGCTCGGCAGGCAGTAAAAGCAAGTAGCAACGCCGCGTTTCCGCCTCGCACTGCCCCGCTGCCACTTCCAATCATCCGGCGTGCGTCTTCTGCTTGCCCGTCCGAGCCAGGGGCGAATGCAAAAGACTCCTTCCAACCGTCCTTGCTGTCGAGCGTCTCGGGCTTGGGGATAAGTCTGGAGCCGATCAGGCTTCGACAAAGACGGCCACACAGGACCTCGGGTAGGGAGGGCATCGATAGACACTAGAGCAGCCCGTCGTGGTTACAGCCGTTGCGCCGGTATCATCACGTACTTGACACGGGGAGCTCCCGCTGACAATCGCCTGATGACACGGCAAGATTGTGACCGTGACTGTCCATCCGTCCATCAGCCATGAAACAGCCAAGCCACCAAGCCACTGTACACTAGAAACGATGTGCTCGCCGGCATCAGCAGTGGCTCGAGTGTAAATCGACACAATCCGCCCATCCGGAAATACTGCTCGGCCTAAAAGTCGACTGGTCCTTGAATCACCACCCAACTCCACAAACCCGTCTGTCTCATGGCAGCCACAACGGGCCAAGATCTCCCGTCAAACCGACCACCTCTCTCATCCCCCACAAAGCCATCCGGCTCTTGCGGGGGAAGAAAATACCCAAAAGCAAAACGTTGCCTCGACCACTTCGACCGTCGTGCAATGGTCGACGACCCGTCCCTGCCCGATTGAGAAGGTAGGAAAGCCGTGTCGCTTGATGCCCTTCCGGTAGCCTAGATTGGGGGTCAACGACCACCGAGCCGGCGCGACGGGGAACCGAGAAACCGAAAACGTCAGAATAAAAATATACGAGCCCTTCCCGTGGCTGACGGCTTGTCGCCTAGGTCAAACGCTAGCGCGGCTTCCGTCTTATACCCCCGGCAGCCAGGAAGCCGTCTTTACAGAATCGCAACATGGCCAACCTACATGCGCCGTGTCACCAGTCACCAAGCCGGTTCGCGGCTCAGCCAGGGGGCGGGCCATCGAATGGCACTTTTTCAACGATCCCAAACCGGGCAGCCGGATTGCACGCAGACGGAGCCATGCTAGCAAGACGACATAGCTTCCACACGGTATGCAGCGCGTCGGCGAGGAATTCTTCATCTCACGCTCACGTCTCGCCCACTCCCCCCACGGTCCACCCCACGACTGCTGCGGCAGGTCGCGGGAACTGCTGTCCATCATCTGGTTTCGTGTCGCCCTGGTTGGTCGTGGCTGGCAGGGCGTGTGGGAGAGGGCTCAGAAACACCCGCCGCCCATCCACTTACATGGGCACCAGTGTCTCGGGTTACCCTTCCTGCCCGCCATGTAGCGTTAGTCCTACATACTCCATCTTGCTCCCGTGAACTGACAGCTTGGCTTGCGCTCATTGTTATGTTTGAGCCAGAGGTGGCCCAGGGGAGGAAAGGGGAAGGGGCAAAAGTGGGAAAGGGGGGGAGGCCACAATGGTGGGAAAAGGCCGTGTATCATCGGCAGAATCGTCAGGCCGCCAAAGCAGCACGAGGACCGACGACACACACGCGGCATCAGGGACATTGGCCGTCCGAGGTCTCGAATGGCATGTTTGCCCATGTTACACCCACTGGTCTGGGTATACCTGGCGTAGCACCTCGCCAGTCGCGTCGCAAACAGTCCCGTCTCCCGAGTATATAACCGGGTTGTCCCCTTGGACTCGGCCGACGAGGAGGCCATGAGCAAAGCAAAGCACTCGCTCCCTCAAAGCCCCCGGCCGCTCACACACACGCACGTACAAGACTCCCAAGTCCCTCTCATCCCGCCAACCCGTGCCTCCCGTCCCCTCCCGCCCTCAAGATGCAACTGGCGCTCCTCGTCCTGGCGGGCCTCGCCGCCGCCCATGTGCAAATGACGTCGCCGCCGCCCTTCCGGTCCGCGTACAACAACCACACCACCAGCGTCGACTACAACATGAACAGCCCGCTCGCGTCCTCGGGGAGCGACTACCCGTGCAAGGGCTACCACAAGCTCCTCGACACGCCGCAGGGAGCTTCCGTGGCCACGTGGACCGCCGGCCAGAACTACAGCATGTCGGTCGAGGGCAGCGCCACGCACAACGGCGGCTCGTGCCAGCTGTCGCTGTCCTACGACGGCGGCTCCTCGTGGACCGCTTTCCACTCCTTCATCGGCGGCTGCCCGTTGATGAAGACGTGGAAGTTCAACCTGCCCGCCGACACGCCGGCCGGCGAGGCCCTCTTTGCCTGGTCGTGGTTCAACCAGATTGGCAACCGCGAGATGTACATGAACTGTGCCCACATCACCGTCCAGCCGCGGCGGCAGCGGCAGGCCGCCCCTGTGGCGTGGGCGTCGCGGCCCAAAATGTTCGTGGCCAACGTCAACAACGGGTGTGCGACCGTCGAGATGGCCGACGTCCTGTTCCCGAGCCCGGGGCCCGACGTCGACAATGTTTCCGACAACACGGCCAGCCCGGTTGGCACGTGTAGTTAGATGGGTGACCGGGCGGCCGACCCCTTCGCCTTTGGTGTCGTTGGCGGCCTGGCGCCGTATCAAGATTAAGATTCCGGCAAACTGACGCTCTCCTGTTGAAGAATGGGGCAAAATTGGTGTTTGAACGAGTCCTGAAGCCCAAAGTTAGTACGTACGCTGTCAGCGATCCAGACAGAGAGGGCGGCGCGGCAGCAACGCCGGCAGGGATGAGGACGCATATTGGTACACGTTCGCAGAGTTCAGATGGGTACGAGGCTCAACTGGTACTTACCTGGGCATGGAGAGAGATGGTGCGAGTTACGCGGCGCCGGGTCGCACCAGAACAGCGCAGCATTCGAGCCGACTTGTGGCGGGAGAGTCGAGGGCGAGATGGCATGGTGGCACGCAGACCACGACTTCAACTGTATAGTTAGTTGACCTACTCGTGCCGGTAGGAGTACATACCGTCGCTACCGTACATACATGATACACCCCGTTGAAGCCTTGCATACAGACACAAAATCCAGACCAGACACCGCATGCCACCTGCTCACTCACCTGCAACGCATATACGCCTGCTGCCTTCTACGGGAGCGACCACCAAAGACAACCTCATCAATGTCCCCAATACATGCAGAGTAGAATCCCTCTTTTGCTAAACCTAACTCCTTACATCCATACTCCGTACTGTTCACAAAAAACATACACGCTCTAACGAACCGCCCCTCTCCCCGTCCATGCCGCTCATGCATATGTATGCAGGGCCAGAGCAGGAAAAAAAAAAAAACACACACACACACACACACACACCCGGCCCACGAGACAGTACAAAAGTGGGCTAAAAAGACATCAACATGTCCATGATGTCGCGTTGTCGCAACGCTATTCATCAGCAGCCTCCAGCTCCGCCAACAGCTCTCGTTCCAACTCATCGTCATCCACATCCCCCTCGTCGTCACGCGCCAGCTCCATGGCAGCAGCCTTCTTGCTGATCGCCAGTGTTTCGTCGTTAGTCGGCACAGGCGTAGGCAAAGTACTGCCCTCGTCCTCGGCGTCATCTCCATTGGCCGTGCTTCGTACGGATCTCAGCCCAGACGCCCCACGATTTCGAGCAAGACGCTGCTTCTTGGCCAGGACACTTTCCCCTGCTAGACTAGGCCCGTCGCCGTCCGACTCATCGTCTCGGGTGGCTTGTTTTCGTTTCTTGCCCTTCTTTGCGGGGCTGTTTGGCGCGCTACTGTCTGTGTCCCCGTCCTTGTCCGCTTCAGCACCACTATCAACGGCATCGTCCATCCTCGTGTCTCGGTCACCGGCCCCTTCTTCGTCTTCTTCGTCTTCTTCGTCCTCATCGTCATCGTCTTCTTCGTCGTCATTATCTGTACCAAGGAACTCCTCTAGATCCTTATCTGCAGTGGCCCAATCAAAGTCTTTGAGGTCTCGAGCTTCCGCAGCCTCGGCGTTTTCGGCTTCTGAGGTAGCCTCCGTAGTGTCATCAGAGCGCTCGCGATCCGACGCAATATTAAGATAATACGGTCTCTCGTCCAATCGACGCCATTGGCTGAGGCAGTCAATGAGCCAGTTTTGATTTACAACCTTGATGCTCGGGATTTTCGCAGCTTGTTGCACTTTTTTCGTCCTTGGTCGGGCCAGTGATACAACCAAATGAGTGACTCGTCGAGATATAGTGTCAAGGACCTGGGCACCAAAACTCTGCGCCTGCATGCCAATCTCGGAATCTTCAATGTTGACCCCCAGTGGTACCAGTCCAGAAAGAACAATCACCAGGCCGGACAGAACATTAGACTTGAGCTCATCGAGGATGTCACCAGCATCTGGTACCATGGACAAGTCCACTCCATCATCCACGGATGACTTGCGTCGCGGTTTGCTGTGCCCAGGAGGATGTGTGGGCTCCGACTGTCGTCTTTCTTCTCGTCTCCGGTCATAGGTTTCGTAAAAGGACGAGTGAAGGTCGGTAAGGTGATCCTGTAGGGCGATAAGCTCCTCGTCGTCGTCGCTAAGCAAATGCTGCCTCGGGTGGTTCACGGACGCATCTCCAGTCTCTGGGTCTTGGGCTGACAGCTCGTCTTCCTTATCCAGCTGCTCCTGCATGTGCAGCATGGGCCGGTCTGTCAACTGCTTCTCCAGCGACTTTTCCTGTTCTTCTGCTCGAATCTTCAAACTAACTTCATCGGCGGCGCCACTCATTCTCGCGATTTCTTCGAGGGGCGAAGTCTTTCCATCAGTTGACGTGCCATTCGAGCCGTTGCTGCTGTTTGGTGCTATTGACAAGCCGTTGGATTGCGGGGGCGCTGGCAGAATGTCCGTCCGCTTTGGTAGAAAACTGGAGTTGATATCACCAATGCCCTTGAAGAAGTCATAAGGCACGACCTTGATGAGGTTTGGTCGATTTCTCGGCCATACATCGGCACGATCGTCAATGATGACCACCATGTTGGTGCTGACTGGGAACAGTCGCTGTAAGCTCTTTGAAGTTATGCTGCCGTTTTCGTCTCGGCTAATGACGCGGTTGCCAAACAGCTTCTTGTCCGGGTCGACGATTCGCGCGATGTTCAGTGCATATGCACGCGTGCCCATGGTATAAACGTGCAACTCATACATGGTTGCAATCTCCTCAAGAAACTCGTGCAAGCCAGGTCTGAGCTTAATATAGTACGTGCAGCCACTTGCCAATCCCCTTGGTCCATCGTCATTGAGCTGAAAGCTCTTGACGTCCTTGACAGCCTCATGGTTAGGATTGGACTCATCTTTCTGCCACTCGCCGATCGTGGGCTCTATACAGGCGTGGATAATGGTCTGGTCCAAGTCGACAACAAGACTCAGCTTGCGCTGACGAAGCAGTCGCTTTTGGGTATCATGCTCGGCCTTCATTGCGACACCCTCACTGACCATCAACCCCGTCTGGTCATGGGTCATGTTAATCATTGCGCGATCGGTGTCCCGTTCTTCTGTGGCCCAATTGAACTCGGTCATGTCGGCGCCGCATAAACTGCACAGTCCTTGGATCTGGACCTCGTGGCCGCATGCCTCCTCGACCAGCATACAAGGGAGGTCAGCGCTGATGACCATGCCCTCTTTGATGCGCCATTCCTTCAGTTTACCCTCGGCAGGGCTGTCGTACTCGGTGTAGGTCGTTTCGTCGGCCCATTCATCGTCGCTCACTTTCCGCCGCCAGGTAAATTTATACTCAATAATGGTTTCTTGTTTCTTGATGGAGTCTCCGGGCGCCTTGAGGAGTTTCGTGATGGTTATGGGGTAATGTAGGCGCGAGCCTAGCGAAACGAGTTTGTCGTACATGATACGACGGGACGTGCCCGGGGGGCGGGTTGGCGGATTAAGATATTACAATATTTGCGATCGAGGGAGAGAAGGAAGAGGAAAACAACAAGGTCGAGTGTACAAGGCGGGATGTGTCAGAAGCAGTCAGGAACGAGATGTGTGACAAGAGCGTCACCATCCACAACACCGACTATGGCGAGTCAGCTTGTTGTGTCGTGTCTCGTATCCTTGTGCCGCAGCTGCCGGCGCACGTACGTAACGATCTCCCCCAGTGTCAATCCTTCTCGTGTAATGGGCGTCGATCAAGCCCATGGCCTGTCGGTTCAAAATTCTGGTTGTAGTTGCGACGGCGATGCAGAAATCGCTCGATGTGCTCCTCGGATGCGGAGCGCGCCACTTTGTCTGAAGCACGTTGTGAACTCGAACGGGCCAGATGGGACTGAACGGAAAGACCGGCACAGCGCGGGCAAGAGGAATAATGATGATGGAAACAAAAACGGAAAGGCGTGGCGCAATTCGTCAGGACGTCTGGATGGAGTTTCGTCTCGTGCAGGCAGAGGCGGAGGCGCAGAGACGGACGACTTGATTGTGAAGTTGTTGGAGTCTGGTCGGATAAACACCTGGCTTGACTCGACTCCCAGAGTCCGAGTGCCAGAGGCTCAGAGCTATATGTATCAATGACAACGTGACGCACCTGCCCGGAAGCGGCGTGGAGCAAGAGACAAGAGATGCCTCTTCAGGGAGCCGTGATTGGTCAGGGTGGGCTGGCCAACTCGTGGTCCAAGCGTTTGGGGGATGGGGATGCTGGCTGCCACTGCTGCGAGACGCAGGTTGGCAAGGGTAACGTCACGTGGTAGAGTTTGAGTCCTTGATACCTCAATTTAGGCACGCACGTGGCGCGTCAGGTGATGCTGATGGCTGTGGAAGGTACTCCCGTGCGCGCAGGCCACTTGGACCAAAATTAAAGCAACCTGACTTAAGCACAGTTCAATAGCTGCCCTGTGACTGTCGCAGGTCCTGGCGTACAAAGGGCTGTCGGCGTCTGGACTCTGAATCATGGGCCGGACTGGGCCTGGGTCAAACCCGGAACACCCCGCCCTTTTGTACTCCAACGGACAGACGCAGGCAGCAGCAGCAAGTTGGCGACCCAAAGGGGGGCCGACCAATCAGCGCCCATCGCCGTCCACCTCGGAGCCTCTCCTCTCTCACCACTACCCTAGACAATAATTCATCTCATGACGTAGTCCATCAAAGTTACCCTATTACTACAAACTCACCAGAGCAACCCCGTATGTAAACCCTACCCTTCTTTTCCCTCCCGTCTATGGCCACCAAACATTAGGCCATCCCGTCATCAAGTGAGTCTTACCACATCAGCACAACTTGGGCACGTCTTATAACCACTGGCCGCTTCGGCATGATTCACGGCACGCATACCAACACAAGCTCAAGTCCAGCTGGCCATTAATCTTGAATGAAGGCCAATGCCACCCAAACACCTCAGCTCCCCGACCCAATTCCCTCCATATTTCACATCAAAATAAATTACGTATCTAACACACTCCGTAACTCTTCAGGCAGCGGCCTGAACAACCTTGAACCCCTCAGACACTGTCTTTGTGATCTCCTCATTCTTGTGCGGTAAGAGGCCCAGCGCAAAAGCCACGTCGTTCCATTGTCTCTCCGTTTCGCACCTGGGCAATCTAGCTGCCAGCTTCTCGGCCAGTTGCTTCGCATGTTTGTCCTATGCGTAGACACGTTAGCAACAACGTTTCAACTTGGAAAGTATCCCACTATAAATATATATATATATATATACCAATTGTACGAACCTTCTCCACAAAGCCAAGCAGGAAACGGATGATCCGCTTGAAGCTCTCCTCCTCCATTCTGCCGCCTGCGCTGAGCAAGCTGAACATGTCCACAAAGTGGTTGTACACTGCATTGTCCTTAGTGCTGAGTTCTGTGAAGAACATTCTCGCCAAGTCAGCGATGCGCCGGTCCTCGTCCTCGAGACACTTGGCCATTTCACCAAGCTGGCCCTTGACCTTGACTTGACCTGCCAGAATGAGAAAGGTTAGCGTCATGAGGCAAGTCCTCTTGACGGACGCGTCGTCATCGGCGAGACGTCTGTACAAGAAATCAGTGTTTTCGTCAATGAGATGGTTGAAGCACACTGCCATGTCTCCCAATGCAATCACCGCGTTGGAGCGGACCGTGGCATCGGGCGACCGTTCCATGATGGTGATGAGAAGTGGCAGGTTGGTCTCGCAATACTCCGATGATACACACATGAGCTTTGCGAGGCACAGCGTTGCTGCTGCCTGGAGACCCTTGTCGGCATATGACGTGTTGTTGGCACAAATCTCCGACACGAGAGGCCCAAAGATGGCCAAAAGTGATTCTGGGCCGTACAATAACTCTCGCTCTCTGATGTGAGCCATTGCCTCTGTAAAATCATCTTCTGTGGTGCCTCCAATGAGATCCAGCTCGTCTGCATCCTCCTTGTCCTTGTCCGTCTTGACCGGCGTCTGCTTCTCCTTTTCTTGCTTTCTACGCTTGAAATCGAGTTCGCAGAGCTCCAGGTGCACAATCTGCTTGATGGCAACGTGCCCGACAATGAACAGGAGTTGCGACAGATTGACCGCGTTATCACAACCCTTGGGCTTGTCCGCTTGCAAAGTTTGACTCATCGTCTGGTTCATGGTCATGTCGGGTATGCCCTTGGTCTCGTCACTTGTGGTTGGCCTAGAACCTGGGCGTGACTGAGCAAACACATGCCTAGTCTTGCGTCGGATAATTTCAGAGCAGAGCACATCAGGGTGTTTGGAAATGGCGTAGATGGCATTAATGGCTTGCTCCGCAACACCATACCACTCTTTGCTCTCCGATTGGACCTCAGCGATGGCAGCTAGGCGCCCGAGGACAGCGTGATCGTTGGGTAGCCTGTTGAACTTGGTCGTGGACTCCTTGGCGTTGCGCCCCGTCGGGTTGATCCTCCGGAGAGCGATGCATGTGTACTTGGCCAACTGTAAATCTGCGCGTCCGCGTGCGCCCAGCCCGGTGCGAAGCATGGTCTCAATCTCATCAACGACAATCTCTGGACTGGCAGTAGCCAGCATTCCGAGAACAATTATGGCACCACGACGCTGTGTCCTCGAGATTTCGCGTCTCTGCACACCGTATACCTGCCATAGCTTGGTCACCACGATTTCAGGGATGATACCGCCTTTCATCATGGTAGCAAGCAGTTGCTCTAGTGATGTGAGCTCTGCTGGTGTTGCACCGAATGTCAAGCTGATCATGTTACGGGCAACGTAATTGGCCGCGTCATTGGGGCTGAAGGAGTCGGGGGCTTCGAAGAAGAGCCTGCGGTAACACTCAATCAAATGAGTCTGCACACCCTTACCCTCATCACTATTCCCCTTGGTCCAGATAAGCCTCAGCATGCGTCGAATGCCAACCTTGTTCTGCTCAATATTGTAGGCATCGCCAATCTCAAAATAGTCAATAGCTTCGATAACCTCACTTTTGTTTTTGGCGCCTAAAAGCTGACACACGATCCCGGTTGCGTCGTGCAATACATCAATGAAGCGAAGGGCCTCATTATAATATCGTCGCGTGAGAGTCAGCTTTTCGATAGCCTCGCTGGTAGCAGCTTCCTCCTGCGCCTTTTTAATGGCGGCAACCTTTTCCTCCTCGGTCATTGTTTTGGGCTTCTGGGGCGAATCGACCTGGGTTGCCTCATCCAAGAGCTCATTGTCGGCCGTGGTATTGTCGTTGTCCTCTCCAAATCCGGGCATGCCGGGAGGGGGCTTCAGTGCATTTAGCTCTTCTTCGACCTTGTCGTGGCGTGCCTGCCACTCCTTGCGGGAGAGCTGGGCGCCGTGCATGACTGTGAAAGGATGTGTCTTTATGAGAACCCCGAGAAGCTTGATGGCATTCCTGCGCACATTGCTGCTCTTGTCTTCAAGACTGCGGCATGCGAGTTCTGCGGCCTTTTGTCGCCTTTTGGGGAACTTCTGGTCCAGTTCACAGACTTTCATGTAGACCTGGAGAGCTCTGCAGCGACAATATGGGTTGACATCCAAAAATCGCTCCTCCAGGACGTCAAAGAAGGCATTGAGCTGCGACTTGTAGTTCTCGCTGCGTTCGTCTTGTCTACTGAGGTAGCCAATCATGTTCCCGCACACCTCGATCAGAGCACATCGTAACGTGTAGGACTCGCTGTCTAGCTGTTTGGCCAACATGGTCATCTGCTTAATGACGAGCCTAGGGGCCAACTCGGAGAGCTTTGCAATGAAGGCAGAAACTGATTTAGGCCCTCGAGTATCATTAGAATTGAATTCTTTGTTGGAAATCTCGCGTAGAACCTCATCTGCCAGTTGAGGATAGTCGTAGGTCTCAGCTAGGATGTGCAGAAATTCAGCCATGGGCTCTGACAAGTGCTCAAAATATGTCAAATTCTGGATGACGTTGATTTGTGCGGCTGCTTGCGTGTTAGGCATACTCGTATCAAATAGTTTCGTGGTCTCCAACTAACCATATCCGTGGCCATGGTGTTTCACGGCAATGCACAATACCTTGAAGCAGTGCATGCGAATGGAAGTAGCCTTGGCTCGCTGCTCACTCTCGAGAATCATGTAAACAGGCCTGGTAAGGAGCCCAATAAACGTGTCCCTTTCGCTTGTTGTGAGGAAAATCTTTGACAGTTTCTGCTTCAGGACCTTGCACATAATCTCCAGGGCTGCCTGCAGCTGAGTTGCCGAATCCCAAGTGTCCTCCCTCGTGGATCCTTTCTTAGGCTTGCCACGACCGCGCGCGGCCGGAACAGTGGAGGATTTCTCGGCGGCCTTCGTCTCGACAGCGGCAATGGTCCACTGCAATAAAAAGCCATATATCTCGAGAAGTTCCTTGTGATGAGGTGCGGAGTCCTGCTCGTCAGGTGTGTCCATGTCGTTGTACATGTAGTCGCATTCGGCACTCAGTCCACTCATGACTAGGTCGAATATTTTGCTCAGGGCATGAGTAGGCAGAAATGAGGTGTATCTGTACCCAAGTTCGCATTAGTACAAGATCCAGACTTCAAGGGACACAGTTGCTCACTTGAGAAGGAACTGCAGAGAGTCAATATTCGACGCCCGCAAGATGGCGTCTGGATCATGAGCGACGGCATCGACAATTGGATTCAGCACCGGGTTGATGACCGGGTTTGTTAGTGACTCGGGGTCGTTTTCGCAGTCAAACAAGGCGCCGTCGGCCTCTGGCGTGGGTATCGTGGTAGGGTCGGACATGTAGTGCTTGAGCGCATCGTTGATATCGAAGCTGATTGTTGCCATGATGGCACCTGTGTCGCCGCCGAGGCGGGGGGGAAGACACAACGCGGAGAAGGGACAAGAAAAGATGAAAGGAGGTGGAATGGGCGAAGAGCCAAGGGGTGTTAGTATTACGCTCGCAACAGGCGAGCAATCAGCAAAGCGTTGTCAACTGTTGGCCGTGAATTTGACGATGCCTTGTTGCGATTCCAGGTTGCGTCCCTCAGCAACGGCTGAATGTTTTTGTTTTGGTTAATTGACAGACGCGCAGCACCGCATCCGGCCCACCACGCGCAGCGGGGTCCAGCTACTTACTGTTTGTGCAGATGGGCCATTTTTATGCACGTCTGCGGCCATGTCCCACCATAGATTTGTACTGCAAGTCGACGCTAGTGGCGCGTCCTCACCAATCAGCTTGACGCTTTGCCCAGAAACAACGTTCGTCCAAACTCCAGACCAACAGCTCGCAGCCTGCGGACTTACTTGCTTGCATGCATGCGAATCTATTGCTTTCCCTTGGTTCGAATCTGTGTGCTGTCAACTGATTCGCTTCAGATCCGTCGTGCTAGACCCTGCCCTGAATAGGTAAGGGGACGGGGTGCTTCCAGGTTCCTTTCGCAACAACAAACCGTCACTCTACTCCAAGTATTGGCTGGCAACACATATACAGCGATCGCGGCATCATGGCGGCTACATTAGCACGCCGAAGGGCAGAAGACCCCTTTGACATTCATGAGGATGCGCGGACCGAAGAGACTGAGATGATGGTAGAAGAAGATGTTGCTGGAGCTGCGGCAACGGACGAGCTAATGGAAGAAGACGTCGAAGAAGAAGAAAACGAGGAGGAAAACGAAAGCTCAGACGACGAGTGTGTTGAAAGAGGTGTACAGGCCGACATGGAAAAGCTGGCTAGTGACTTTCCTGGTTTTCGCGGAAAATATCGTCTCATTAAGAGGATTGGCGAGGGTATGTATGTCTGCAAGCCTACTGTCAAGCATTTGAACTGTCCACCGCATTTACCCTATCAAGCCATTTCTAACCCTCTCGAAACTATAAAGGAACCTTCTCTACCGTATACAAGGCTGAAGATGTCCAGTACGATAGATATGACAACAGCTGGGACTTTGATGATGATTCGTCAAAATGGACCCCTCCGCCTCTCAAAAGACACGCGAGCCACGCATCATCAATGTCAGAGCGCTCCCAACGGCGACGTACGCGATTTGTTGCAGTCAAGAAGATTTATGTCACCTCAAGCCCGGCGCGTATTCTGAATGAACTCGAGCTCCTCCATGACCTGCGGCAATGCCCCTCGGTCTGCCCCCTCATTACAGCGTTCCGAAACACGGATCAAGTGGTTGCCATTCTGCCATACTTTCGACACGGTGACTTCAGAGCGTACTTCAGAGACATGACGACGCCGGATGTTGCCATTTATCTGCGATCCCTCTTTACCGCTTTGAAAAGCGTCCATCAGGCCAAAATTCTTCATCGAGATATCAAACCGACCAACTTCTTGTATGACCCTGCTACTCAACATGGCGTCTTGGTCGACTTTGGATTGGCAGAACGCGAGGGGTCCGATTGTAAGCCTTGCCTCTGCCACGAACACCGTGAAACACGCAGACACCGGCAGTCTACTTCTGCATGGGCTCAAATGGCAACGACTTCGCAACCCGGTTACCCTACCTCGGATACACGACTGTCAAAGCGTGCAAACCGCGCTGGCACACGAGGATTTCGTGCTCCCGAGGTTCTATTCAAGTGCACCGAACAAACCACCTCGATCGACATCTGGTCGGCCGGCGTCATACTTCTGACTATCTTGTCAAAACGGTTTCCCTTTTTTAACTCGGCTGATGATGTGGAGGCTATGATAGAAATAGCAACCATCTTTGGTTCAAAGCGCATGAAAGCCGCAGGATTACTGCATGGATGTGTTTTTGAAACCAACATTCCAACAATAGGCCAGCAAGGCTTCACAATGGAGAAGATTATCCTGTGGAGCACATGTCGTACTAGTGACAAGCCGTTGACGCCTGATGAAAAGCTAGCCGTGCGATTTCTGGAACGGTGCATGGACTTGGATCCTTCAAGAAGAATCACTGCCGAACAGGCTCTGGACCATGAATTTTTGAGCATTGACCAACCTCAAAGCCAGGAGCTCGGTGACGAGGATGAGGTCGACATGCTGGCGGCATGAGGTTGGGGTGGCTCTCGTGGCCCTGGAGTTTTTGTCTTTGCAACACCTGGTATTTTTGTTTTATCAAACCAACGGGTACACGGCAGAAATCTACGTATGACAGCGAGCATCTCGGCAGGGGCGATTAGAAGTATATTATTGGCGTTATGAGCTGGCATTGTTTCGATCTGTTGGCGTAAGGATCTGTAGAGAGGGGCATACATGACGCTAGTAGATGCATGATCTGCTGGAGACGAGCACAAAGGACCCTCGTCTGCTCAATCAGGACTGAAACGTATGCACAATTTCTTTGAGAAAGTGCGTCATGTTGCCGGTGTCACGGCTCACAGGACAATGAGCTACCGACCCTTGGCAAACACGACCTTGCAGTACCAAGCAGAAGCTACACAGGTCATCACAACAGGCAAACAGGGATTTCCTTGTGCATGGGCGAAAAATCGAACTTTATTCGTCAAAACTCCATGTCAAGAGCCCCCTGATGCAATGCGATCGAAACCGACCGTACCCTCGGCCACCGATTCCCGAATTTTCTCCAGCTTCCATTCCAGTTCCCCGGATACAACGTTCCATGCCTGGGCGTCGTTGTAAACAACCCCTCCCCCGCTAAGACGCAGTTTTCTCGCTGTAAATTCGGTCCTCGATTGGTCCTCAGACCCCCCAGTAGGCATTTGCTCTTAATAAGCAAGGAGCATGAAATGCTTCTTCGGAAAAAGGCGGGAACCGAATAGATAGAAGGAAGAAATTTTTTCGTTGTATTTCCTCTTCTATTGGTTTTGTTGCGAACATTTAGGCAACCAGCTCGACAACACCACCTGCGTCGTTGATCTTTTTCTCAGCCAGCTTGCTGACCCATCTTGCGCGGACAACCAAGGGGATCTCGGGGAGGCGGCCCTTCCCGAGGACCTTGGAGTAGCCGAGCGGAAGGAGGTCGAGGACAGGCACGGTGTCCTTCTTGGCGCCGGACACGTAGGCGTCGCGAGTCTCGGCGGGGACTAAAGCCCACAGCTGCGAGTGAGTGTGTTAGCATTTTCTCGAGGCAGAAGAGTTCGACGCGTCGCGACGAGATTTGTCTTTGGCGCGGACCGTCGATTGCGGTCGTGGTTGGTCTCATTGTTCGGTGTCTTATTCAGTTGTCGTTCATGCCAGCTGGCATGCTCATTCCCCGCTTCGACGCCGGCCAAAGATCAAGTCGTATCGCGCAACGCAGGAGGAGTTGTATGTACCTTGTCCAGGTTGATGACGGGCTTCCAGAAGTGGTTCGGCTGCTTGTGGAAGTATCGCATACCAACCTTACCGAAGTAACCGGGATGGTACTATCAGAATAGGTTAGCGACTAGCCCCCTCGTTCGCTGGTCGGATCGGGCATCTCGAGGTTGTCGAACCTTGTCCATGTTGGTACGGTGGTGGTGTTGACCACCGGCCAGACCACGACCACCGGGGTGCTTGCGGTGCTTGCCAACACGACCGTGGCCGTGAGAGACGTGACCGCGGCTATGAAGTAAAAGCTGCGTTAGCCATGTTTGATTTTTCCTCATCGATCCGTATCCACGTTCCGAGGGTGAGGTTTTCAGTCAAACACGAACACCCGATGACAAGGGTCACGGTTTCCAATTCTCCCCGGGATCGAATACTTTCGCGAAACGGGAGGATTAAACAACGTACAGCTTGCGGGTCTTCGAAGTTCGGGTAGGCATGGCGACGGTGGTGGTGTTGTCGCTTTTCCGATGGTTTGTCGTCGAGGACTGGAAGTGGTTGGTGATGATTTTGCGCCTACTGCTCGGCTTGCTGGCTGCACGAGACCCAGAGAATTGTTAGCGAGAGGGCAGCGCAGCCCTAACGTTTTGTGTTGGTGCGTGCAGACTTGGGTGCTCGGAGCAAGTGGGTCTGCCACTCTATCAGGTGACTTCGCGGTCTAGCCGTGTTGGACTGTGTGGCCCCACCAACAGGCAAAAGGGACGTTTCGCGTCCGTGAACTTGACTTCATTCATGGCCGTGTCGCGGCAGTTTCATCGCTATCGGATGCAAGTGAAGACGGCACTATGAGATATATTTCCCGGCCGCAACTGAAAACATGAGCTCTCATGGATTCTGCCGCCTCCACCAGTATAGATGATGCGACGCGCCATCTGGAGAAGCTGGATTTTCATCATCCTTACACTCCGTACGCCGTCCAAGAAGAGTTCATGAAAACTGTATACAGCGTCTTGGACAAAGGCGAAGGGCAAATCGGTATCTTGGAAAGCCCCACAGGCACTGTAAGTGGCAGACTTTCCACCAGCAGCAGGAATTTGCAAATGCCCAGGCTCTTCCATGACCTGGACACACTCGGCCACTCACCTTCTCATAGGGCAAATCACTTTCATTAATCTGCGCTTCGCTTACCTGGCTCCGAAATTTCAAGTCCAACAGATTTGAGGTATCGATAAAAAATGCCGGAGAGGCCTACAAGGACGAACCGTCATGGCTCGTCGATCAGCTACTGCGCCGAAAGCGTGAGGAGCTGGTTCAAAGGTGGGAAGATCGCGAGAGGCGCCTCGAAGCCATCAGATCAAGAGAAAAAGAAGTTGAAGAACGAGGCCGCAAGCGCCGCCGCCTCGAAGTCTCAACAGCGCCTGGTCAATGCACCGAAATGGACCCTGATGAGGCCGAATGGCTTCTAGATGACTGGGAAGACCGTGACACCGGTGTCCAGGATGCCTTGTCTGGGTTGAGTAAAGAATCGCGTGAGGTCTTGGAGCGCATCGGCCTGGGCGGACCTCGGAAGAAGGAAGAGGACAATGACATTCTAGAGGAAGAGATCAAGGTGCGAGGAGTGCTCTTCCGCCCAGCCACGTTGAAGGTGTCTTTTGGTGACCGTCTGTAGATCTATTATACGTCTAGAACCCACTCGCAACTGTCGCAGTTCATTGCGGAACTGCGCCGCCCAAGCTTTCCGTCTTCACTTCCAATTTCTCTTACTGAGGAAAAGTCCCCTGCTCAAGAGCCGGTCAAGCTATTACCGCTGTCTTCCCGACAAAGGCTGTGCATCAACCCATCCGTTGCAAAACTCGGGTCAGTGCAGGCCATCAATGACCGCTGTGCTGAGCTCCAGCAGTCAAGGTCTACGAAGAAATGCTCCTATGTTCCAAAAGAGGAGCTCTTGAGCCAAACGCACCAGTTTCGCGACTCGGCTTTGGCCACTGTCCCCGACATTGAGGATTTGCACCAGCTAGGCAAGTCTTTGGCCGTATGCCCGTACTATGCGTCTCGGTCGGCATTACCTGGTGCAGAAGTCATCACGCTTCCATATCCCCTTTTGCTTCAGAGAAGTGCCCGAGAGGCGCTAGGAATCAAGTTGGAGGGAAACGTTGTCATCATTGATGAGGCACACAACGTGATGGATGCAGTTGCCAATGTTCATGCCGCGGAGATCAATCTCTGTGGCCTTCGCAAGGGGCGAGGGATGCTCGGGGTCTACGTGAAACGGTTTGGGAAGAAACTCACGGGTGCCAACCGTGTTAACGTAGGAAGGCTTGGGCGAGTAATTGATGGCCTGACAGAGTGGATGGATGGGGCGAAGGGCTTCGAGGTACGTTATGCCGCGTGTTATGCCGGATGTGCGAGCTGAGCCGAAGTAGCAGCAACATGGAATCGTGGACGCAAACGACTTGACTCGACGCAAAGGCATCGACCAAATCAACATGTTTGAGCTCATTCGGTACATTCAAGAGTCCAAGCTCGCATACAAGATTGAGAGCTACGCAGCACATGTTGATGGCGAGAAAGAATCCGCCAAGCAGGTGACGAGATCGAGCTCGCCCGTGCTGCACGCCCTTGTCTCGTTCCTCGTAGCACTTACCAATCCGAGCTCCGAGGGCCGGATATTCTACCAAAAGACGGCCGAACCAGGCCAAGACGTCCAACTTTCATACTTGTTGCTGTCTCCAACGCATGCCTTCTCGTCCATTGTGTCCAGCGCGCGAGCGGTAATACTGGCAGGAGGAACCATGTCGCCCTTTGACGACTACAAGAATCATCTTTTTCCGACCCTAGCCGATGCCAAAGTAACCACGCTCAGCTGTGGCCATGTAGTACCACGCGAAAATCTATGCGTCTGGACACTGGCGGGAACTCGTCCAGGTGGCCCAAGTTTTGAGTTTAGCTACCGGCGCCGAGGGGACCAAGAAATGGTCAGAGAGCTGGGACTGTCGATACTGAATATTTGCTCGATTGTCCCGGACGGCGTTGTGGTCTTCTTCCCAAGCTACGGATATCTTGAGGAAGTCGTCGCCATGTGGAGTCGACAGAGCCCCGGAGACAAGACGCCTCAGGCAACCATTTGGGATCGTTTGCAAGCTCGCAAGATGGTGTTCCGCGAAACAAGGGGCTGCTCCAGTGACGAGGTCCTCTCGGAGTATACACGAGCCATCCTCGGGAACGGAGCAAGCGCCACCAGTCCAGTGAAGGGCAAAGGCGGTGCAGTCCTCCTGAGTGTCGTAGGAGGCAAAATGTCCGAGGGCATCAACTTCTCCGATCGCTTGGGCCGATGCGTCATGGTCGTCGGTCTGCCGTACCCAAACATTGCGTCGCCAGAGTGGAAAGCCAAGACGGAATACATCGAATCGACTGCCATGGAAAATCTACAAGGCAGCGGGAATAGCGCTGGCTCAAACTTGACCAAGGAGGAGGCTGTGGCGCGAGCCAAGCAGGCAGCGAGGGACTTTTACGAAAACGCTTGTATGCGGGCCGTCAACCAGAGCATTGGCCGCGCGATTCGTCACAGAGGCGATTATGCGGCGATTGTACTTGTCGACAGGAGGTATGCTACGGACAGAATCCAGGGAAAGCTGCCCGGATGGATCCAAAGCGGGATGGAGACACGTCGTGGTGGCGGTGATGGTGATGGCAAGGGTTCGTCGAATATGCTGGGGGGGCTGATGGGGAGTTTGGGAGGGTTTTTCAGGAATCGGCAACGGCAATAATTTGACAGCCATTCTGACAGGGGGTCGGATCTGGCATAGATGCGAAGAAGAGCAATGCTGCCGGAACTGCGTCACCACGGACGGCCCCCCTCGGGTCGATTGCAACGTGCTGCCCCGGGCTTCGGGGCGGACGGCTATGTACTTAGTTACCCTGTCAATAGCCTGCCTCTCTCGCTTCTTCACCGGGGCACCTCGTCTTCATTGCCGTGCTGAACGGAATGAGCTCTGGTAGGCTCTTCAGCCCAATGCCCGCGGTAATCCGGGCGATATTTGGAGACGGCCGGCACGGTGAAGGAGCCTGCCGACATCTCAAATGCCTTCGGGCAGATGGACGTCATATGTGCCGCCAGTTTGACGCATTTATTCCCCGCAAAGTCAGGGCCAGCCCACGGAGCCATTCCGGGATCCCGGGAAATTCGCCACCCAACGTCGAAGCAGCGTCCGCGGCAGGACGTCTGGTGCCGCAAAGGGAGCAGTGGCGTCACAGCTCGCATGTTGGCGCACCTCGCCTCGCGCTGCCCAAGCAAGTCGATGCCAATCCAGACGTCACATGCATCCGGCAGCCGCTGCCTCCCCCAAGGCGTCCGTCCCGGCCGAAGGTAGTCGACAACGGCGACCACACCAGATTTCCATCGCAACCCCCGCAGCTCATCCCTTCAGTTTTCCATCAACCAGGCCGCGGCATCCATCAAAATCACCATGATTACGGTTCCAAGAGCCTCGGTCCGTCTTGTACGGAACCACGTCCGCCCGGCGGCGACGGCGATCGCGGCCCCACGCGGCTTCTCCGGAACCGCTCGCCGGCAAACATACGAAGATGACGCCAGTGGTCAAGAGCTGCCGCCCTCGAAGTCGAACCTCGCAGAAACTCTCCGCAAGAACTGGTTCGTCCTGCGCTTACCGGCCCGCCCCCCCCCCATCGCTCCGGCAGCCGCAGCGACAAAGCGCTCACACGGTCGTCTAGGGTCCCGATTGGCGGAGCCGCGCTCTTCGCAGGGCTCGCCTACGCGTACTTTTCCTCGCCCGGTCCGAACAAGGCCTCGGAGAAGGATCGTCTGTCCCGCTCAGAGGCGAAACAATCCAAGTAAAAAAGTAACTTTTGGAATTGGGTCAACCGGCGAGCCGCTCGTTCGATGGACAAGCACGACGGGCTGATCTAGTTGCGTGGATCTAAGCTGCGAAATTTGGTACCTGGCGGGGTGTTGATGCCGTTGACCCGTGAGATTGGCTCCCATTGTTTACGTACGATATTGCGTGGAAATGCTCCGAGAAGAATGGTTCACGAGGTCCCGGTGACGTGGAGTTGAACAAGATTGCAACATCTGGGATGAAATTTGTATGATGGAGTGCTGTATTAACATGATTCCTGCCGTCGTGGAGGTGGAGCTGGCGGTCATAATATTGGTGTAGAAAAAACAGTAACAATTGCTGTCATCTACACCTGCCGAGTCCTGACTGGTCGAAGTGCCCAAGCAACACCGTGCATGTTGAGGCTCATCCCAGGACATGGGATCCGGGTGATCAGCGTCTTCTCTTCCGATCAAACAGAACCCGGTAGGATTGGTGCTGCAGTCAAGGTCGTCACCGAGAGATTCATCCACGGTTGGCACTGAATTTAACAAGCTCGGAAAGCTCGTCTCGGGTAAGCCCATACCGCGGTGTTCACATGATCCATTCATCAAATAATTTCTCAGACCGACCCTCGCTACAGGCATTCGTCCAGCTCGACTTTCCCCGAGGATAGCCCCCGTTAGGCAGTTAGAAAAGACAGTCTTGTCAGCTGCGTCGTTCCAAGGATCCTTCACTTGGGCCACCTCGTCGCTATGGAGCATCAGTCCGTCCGTATAATTCCTCCAGTAGCCACAACAGTCCTGTCCAGCGGCGGAGTAGAGGACAATTTGACACTTGATACTCACGAGTCACTACCTTCTGACCTTGTACGTCTCCACTACATTAGATCTAGTGTGAGTTCCTGTGGCCGAAGTGAGCAGTGTATCCTTGATAGACCGACGGGCTGATCCGCAGCGGAACATGGGAAAGCCTAGACGATGGACGTCGCTTGTTGCGGGATAGCTACTGGTAGTCGAATATCTTCGGAAAAGGTCTCGCCCGATGGTGCAGAAACCAAGTTTCAGACTTCACTTTGCGCCGCGGCGGCGAATGGGCACATTGACCTGCCAAGAAGAACAAAGCCAAGAGCATTCGAGAGCTGAAATGCAGCCACAGCTTCACGCACCAAGAAGCACCAGAAAAGAGCTCATCCGTTGCTGCGGGATCCTCAAGTTCTAGCCTGACATGTCACATTAGATATTGCCGTCTCCTCGTCCACTTTTTGGGTGACAAATCAAGCAAGATCCAGCGTCGCTTAAATGATTGGCCAACGCCCCGCGCCGACGAAAATGAGCAAAGATGAGTCATTCTGGCTCTCGACGCTGGCATCGCCACGATGTGGGGGCGCACAGTGCGGTGACGGCTGTGCGAGACTAAACAGAGCTTCTAGGTCTGCCAGCAACATCAAAATGATTCATTGTGGATCATTGCGAGACACGAGAAGCAAAGACCAAAAAAGAGGAAAAGGAGTGAAAGAACCCCTTAAGTGGGCTAGCGTGCATACGGGAGTCGCAGCGTCGGCAGCCCAGCGCAGACATCATTATGAGCTGCGCGTCTTGTCTGAATTTAAATGGCGGATATATATTCGGTAGAACAGGCACTGGTGATTATAAAGTAGACCGCAGTGCCAACGCGCATCGCTGCATATGAGACTTGCCACCAAACAAAACACGTCGTGACTTGGAAACCGCTAGGCCAGCATCGCTTCTGTGAGAGTGTAAGTGACGTTCTTCTTACTGCCTTGGACTTGCCCTCTGCGCTGCACTTGGGACTGGGAAAAGACCACAATGGGCTGCAGTGATGACAGATGCGGGATTTGACGAGTTCGCCAATGGATATCCATCTACCAGCAAGGGAAGAGAACGACATCGTCTGAGCAGCACGCCCGTAGTCCGGACAGTCACGTACGATGCTAGAGTCTTGGCTCGGGGATGCGACGGAATTCCATTCGCTATCGATCTTCTTGCTAAGCACAGACAGGTCTTTGTAAATGAAAAAAAAATCAAGTAGTCACGGTGACTAGGGAGAGCGTTGCTTGACGGTCTCTTCGACTTGTTCTGTCTCATGGCGGCGTCGCGTGCAACCTCACTTCCTGGACAGCATTTCCCGCAGAGCGTCGACCTCGGCTTCTCGTCGGGCGAGCTGCAACTTGAGCTCGTCCCGCTCACTGCTCATCTGTCCTAGTGCGCTTTCCAGGTCAGAAATTCGATCGAGCCTCTTCTGGCGGTATTTCCGCGCAGCCATGGTATTGCGCTGACGCTTTATGACCACTTGTGCCTCTTCGCTATCTGGATCCAGGTCCGCTGGCGGAGAGGCGCAGTGTTTGCGTTTTGAGCTGCTGCCGCTGGCACTGCTAACGGGAGAGCCGCGAGGTTGACGCCTTGGTGGGTTATACAAACCTGAAGCAGATTTCGCTGTCGACGATGCTGACGAAGAAGTACTGGACAAGGTGTGATTGACGTGGTTTGCGGTGGACCGCTCCTGAGAAACCGCTGATGCGGTGGGATCCTCAAAGGAAAAGGGGGTTTGATGTGCGTGAGGGACGAGATGGAGGCTGGAACTCAACAGGGCATTGCCATGCTGGGCGAAAAGGTTGTGGTTGGGGATGTGTGGATGATGGCCATGTGCGTCATCTGTTCAAGCACTGTTAGCAAAGCTTACGGATTTCATCTTGTATTACAACATGTTCGGTTACGGTGTAGAGAAGCCTTACCATTCTGATCCAAGCCATGTCCGGAGTCGACGGCCCCAAACAGACTCAAGCAGGTCATGCCCGGGTCGTCGAGAGAAGACAGGACCGGGGTAATGGATGACGAGGACAAATCCCAGAGTTGACTCTGTTGAAGGAGTGGTGGACACCGACCAAGAGCCAGCTCTTCCGGCGAAGCAGGCGGCTCAAGAGAAATCTGGCTCTGAAGTTGAGGGAGCACCCAAAAGTCTTCCAGTGGCGGTGGCGGGACCAGGGAGATGAGGTTGGAGCAGTAATTAGAGGCGGGATTGTGAAAATTGGAGTTGTCCAAGGACGTCGAAGCAGCAGCAGACAAGTTGTTGTGACCAGAGTTAATGTGAGGACGGAGCCCAGTGACAGACCACGACGGCTCTTGACGACTACCAAGGAGGGTCTGGCACCTCTGACTGCTGCGGCCTGAAGAAGCCCGCGGTGTGTCGGGGGGATGCGGCGACGGCGGTAACTGAGGCGTCCATGAGCTCACGCTACAAGACCTCTCCTAGAACCCCGGAGAGGCGGGGGACGGTTTGATTCCTGCGGTTGGTGTTTTTGAGGACGGCGAGGGTCGCGCGGAGACGGGCGACGGGCGGAGGAGAAGGCGGCTCGATCTTCGCTGACGTGAAGGTCAAGGGGGCGTGGTGCTCGAGTTTGGGGAGGAGAGGAAGAAAACCGGCGGGTTGGAGGAGCGAGAGGCCTTTTTATTAGTCAGGTTGACGGGCACAACCGTCACGGTGAGCTGTCTGGCCGCACAGTGTCACATCGAGTGCTGCACTGGCCACTTATTGCGGTGTAGCTGCCATCGGGTACGCTAGTCAGGCGTGCTAGTCAGGTACTCAAGTAACGTACCTACCAGTTGACTCACGTTTACATGTTGGGGAAATTCTGGGCGACCGGGTCCGGGTGAGATTTGTCTGCATCGTCTTGTCTGTGAGTGGCCAAGCCTGCCCTCGCCGCACGGACCACTCCGTACTCTGCGATGATGTCGCACAGTATATGAGGTGGTCTAAATACTTGAGCAGTGTGGTGTGGCCACACCCGTTTTTTGGTGTGACGGATGAACAACACGACGTCTGGCCACCAATTCCAACGACATGACATGCATGCCCTCCTTGCATTCCCAAGGAGCTCGGCCGAACAACCAGAATTCCATCGGTAGATTTCAACCAAAATCATTCACGTCGTGGTAGCTTCAACCATGCATGCCTTGTAAAAATGCAAAGTTGATTTTCCCCCGTACTCCCGTTGTCTAGTATAATCTACTTTGTACAAATAGCCCAGTTTGCCAAGCAAAAAAAGGAGAAAAAAAAAAGAAAATTCAAAAGAAGTTGTGACACCCCATGATGATACGCTCGAGAACCGCAAACCTGCCCAAAACCAACCATCTCAAAGTGCGTAGAGGATAAAAAACCCATCATTCGGGGGGATCAGGGAACTGATCAACGTAGTTGGTACTGCCATCGATGATGACTCCGGCATTCAGGCGCACGCTGAAGCGAATCATGTCCGTGCCTGCCTCATTTCTGAATCCGCCGGTATGTTTGGAAATATCGCTCGAGGAAGAAATGGCGCCAATCGGCCGATGGTGAGAAAAGAGAGGTGGGCTGACACCCAGACACTCTTGCTTGGTAAGGCCGCTGGTCCCTTCGCAGTAGAAGCGGAGCAGGATGTCGAACGGAGCAGTCACAGGCTTGAGGGCAATCTCACGAAGCATCTTCTGGGCACCCCGCTGGCTGACGGCATAGGCGAGGCTGCACACGCCCTCTTGCACGTGTTGGACGACGCGGGTGTGTGCCGGGTAGTCATCCACGAGCAGGAAGGGTGGGCTGAGCGACCAGAGATTCCTCTTGGGCGGCACGGAAACATCGTTCATGTGGACCACGCGACCCTTGGCCATGAGGGCGTTTTTTTCAGACGCAAACGACATGCCGCAGTGCCCGAGCCAGAGGACATCCCAGTTATCTCCGTACGGGGAAGTCAAAGGGCGAATGGTATCGGGGAGCGTGGAAAAGTTCAGGTCGGGAACCTTGTTCGGCGAGCCCTCGACTGGGTTGGGATACGTGGGATCCGCGTATGTGCCTGGCTGGAATCGCAACGGCTGGGTGAGGGCTCGGCTGGAAAGGGCGAAGTCGTGAAGCTGCTGACGGATCCTGACGTCCCAGTCGACGTCGTCTTCCATGATGAGCGCCGACGACAAGTTTCTCCGAACAACTCTGTACGCAGGCCCCCAGCGTTAGACAAGACGCCCGACAGGAAACAAGAAGACGAGGTGGCCTACTCCTGAATGGCGTTCATATGACCACGCCAGGATCCCAGCCCCGGACCCTTCAGATGGTTCTCTGGATCCTCGCCTACGGGGACTGCCTTTTCGTTGACATGGTCACCTTTTACTCCATCGATGAAGCTGAATCTAAGCCCCGACAGGGCGGCACCGAGTACTATGCCATCGCGGCGATCTGTCCGTGACGGCAAGCCGACAACAAGAATATCTTCAAACTATACGCCGGCATGAAAAGGCTACCCGTTAGCCCAGAGTCAGACGCATTGCGGCCATGGTCGTTTTACTTGCACGGCGGCGGCATCGTCCAGACGAGGACGACCGGATGAGAAGACCACTTACCCCGAGGGTCGAGTTGAAGACACGACCAAGGTCGTGAGGTTCACCCCAACTGTCGCTGAATCCATGGCCGTAATGGCTCCGATATAGAGCCAAGAAGATCAAAATGAGCGCCAGGGCAGCGAGCGGCCCGAAGCCTCGCCGCCGCAAGATGAATCCGAGACTGCTATTGCTCTTGGTTATCATGGTACGCGGCGGCTTTTGTGCTTGCTTGTATCATTGGGCTTGGGGAGAAGAGCGAGGATGGAGAATCCTACGGACCTCCGGGGGCCGAGAACGAGCCAGGTCAGGGAAGAGTTTCTGCCGTCTAGTTTGCTGCTAGTCATGTCTCGTACGTAACATGTTTCTCTGGTCTGGGGAAGACTGTGAATGCGGATGCTGGACGCATTGTCGCGCCATGACCATGGACGTGGGCCTGGACGTTACTGGCCCGCCCCTTGGAGGCAACATTCAAGGGCAAGTTGAAGTGCAATCCCTGTTTCAAGCCCGTGTGCTCACTCTCGGCGACAACTTTAAAGTCTACGTGGTTATCTCCTCAGCTTGGCGCCCAGCAAAAGTCAACACGTGGCCATGTTACATTAACGATTCCCTTGTATCGCCAAGTTTCAGGGCCACAAAGGCCATTATTCTCCCCTGTGACAAAGGACCCGGTCAGATGCTCAGCGGGACTTTTATTTTTTACTTGCATCAATTTTGGTCCATTCCTTTTTTTTTTCCTTTTTTTTTTTTTTGTTTGGCTTATACGTCGGCCGTGACGTGATGCAGGACGTGATGCGTGATGCAGGACGTAAGGGAACGTTATCGATAAGTCGCCTGGTTGCCACCGCATGCCAGGAAACCACGTGTCATGTACATGCTAAGTACGTACTCGTGTTATTTTCATGCATGCGACGCACGGCCCGAGCTCAACCTCTACTAGACGTCCGTGAACCTTTGTTCCACATCCGTGACGGTTGCAGAGTTGGACTGGCCGAAGGCTGCTGCTGCTGCGTAAATAGAAGCCTGTGGCCGCAAGGGCCAGACGAGCCCTTGTCACCATAGGCCACGCGCGGGTCCGGGCATCGAGGCACAAAGGGGCTGACGGGGCTCGCCGCTCGAGGCATCAAGCCCTTCAAGCCACGGTCATCTAGGCCAAGGTCACACAAAGAGGCATCTTCATGTACATATATATATATATACATAAACACGTAGACTATAGGTGTTCAACTTGGCAAGCCGCAGGATGAACTTGGGAGAAAGTGTAGATGAGTTCTGATGGAGCCCATTAGTCTTGTAAATATATAAGCTTGTCTTACTTCAACCTTGAGTAATAGAAATCAAGATTGAGTAGATTTTTCCTTTTCATAGACTACATACTTCTAGAGATATCGAGAAGGCGTCAAGATAATTGCTCAATGCAGCACCTTGGCGTCAGCCTCAGCCGGGCGCTGCCACTGTCATCGCCAGATGCTAGATGGGCAGCGACTGGGGATAAATCGACGCATGTCATAGCCGTCGAAAGTTGACAAACAGTTGGTTGTCATTGAGCTCCCACATGCACGTGTTGTTCTTTTCAATCTCTGTTTTTGACACGGCGGTAAGCACTGTAAACGGGGCTCAATCACGCTGGCCGCAGCCCACTTGGCACTTTACATACAATAGTAGACACTGCTTGTAGAAAATAAAATCAAAGCAAGCTGATACGTACAAGGGAGTAATACGTCATTATGCGGCAGCTTTATGGGTCAAGAAGCATTGAATGAATCGATGTTTTTCAAAGCAGGACCAGACCAAGAAGGCTAGGAGCAAGTCACTCGACCCAACGGTGATGGCACAATTTTACATTACAGGTTCTGGTTTCCACCAGGGACATCATCGACTAAAGCGTTTATTTATGCAATGACCTTCTGCCCTCGGCCTCGTGATCATACCCCTTTTGTATCTGCGCTATGCGCGACATGGAGCACATTTTGCTCTTTATACTCCGCGGCCCTCCCTGTCCGGTCCCTCCCAGACTGAACATGACAGACAGACAGTGCAGTTTTTGAAAACCTTCCGGTAAAGAGGTTATGCTGCCTTCTGATAGTCATCCAGCTCTCCCGCTACTCCGCGAAATCACAAATCCAATCACAACCAGGGGGCAGATGTCGCCCAGAACAGAATCTTGGATCCTAGGTGATTGATGGCATAATCCAGGAACTCGTCCTTCGTATATGGAAGTGAGGTATTCGGGCTGGTGGCCGACAAGTCAGGCTCTTGGATGGCGATGACGCTGATGGGGACTTTGTTGCGATATTCCCATAGGTACGGATAGCTATTTGCTACTTGAAACGGCCTGTATGGTAGATTGTCAGGCCCGCCGATGCCTATACCATTCTTGGCCAGGAATTGAAACGAGTCCGAAAGGTAGTTGTTCGCATTGGAAGTTCCATTGGGCCAGAAGTTGACGTATTGCACGACGTATGTCGTCTTGAATGCCTCTGCCGCATACTTTGCGTTGTCCAGCGTGGCGTCAAAGTAGGTCTGGGGGTTGAAATTGCCCGACAACGGGCCAGACTGCGAGATGGAAATGGATGTTTCAGGAAAGTTGAGACCGTAGATCTTGCCATCAAGCTCTTTTTGACAAGAGCCTGGAATCGTTCGCGGACGCGAGGATTCCATTGGGCCGCAACCCAGCCGGCGACTTCAGCATCACCATCACAGCCATCATCTCCGGCGCACTGCGGCACGGTGCTGTTTGAATCCTCCGTCTTGAGATAAGCAGGGACAGCCTGTATACGTGGGCCAAACGTGCGGTCCTGGAGCTGGATCCACAACTTCTTCTTGCCTTGTTTTGATTGTACAGCTTCAAGATCTGTGTAGATCTGGGAGAAGTCGTACGTGTCTCTTTCTGGCTCGAGGACTCTCCATCGATATATCACCTGTATACCCTCAATATCAGGTCGGTCGAGGAGGGCCAGCGACCGTTCATCCAGCTCACTCGCGTATAGCCATTGGCGAATGGTTCCGTCGTCAGAGAAAGCCAACTTGGATACTTGGTCGGCCGAAATGAGAGAAGGGAGCGCCGCGAGGAGAAGGCGCTTCAGATTCATGGTCTTGATCGCTGCTTCGTCTGACGATGTCAAGGAACTGGCCTACTGTTGGGGGCAATACGTATTTGCGCAAACAGTGGCGTAGACCAACCTGGGGGCGGGCAAGTACTTATAACCCTCGGACTGAAGACCATGGAAAAGAGCCTAAAAGTTCGAGCCGGTCTCGCTAAGTCGTGTGCAAAACAGACGAGGTACCGGATAAAAGGACGTTTGTTCTCGGTGATGACCGACATTCAGCCTGAGTCTCCGAGGAACCTTGGCGCTTAGCCTCACACACACACACAACCCAGTTCATGATTGTGATGACGGGATATTTCGAGAATTCACAGCTGAAGTCTCTGGCAGGTCGTTAGTTGGCCATTTGCATGGCAGTTTGACGGGGCACATACTCACACCGACCTAGCTGACCTCGTGGAAACGCGAGGGCTGCGCAGTTTGTACTACAAGCGCCTTTCTTCGATACCATTGGCCGTAAAGAGCGGCGCCTGGCGGCCGTACAAGTCGGCAATCTCATCATGACCCCGGTTGCTGATGAAGGGCGAGCACCGTCATGCACCATGTCGACTCATAAAGTCGGGCCAAGCCACGCCAACAGAGCACAAACATGCTCGACGACAGGCGCAGATCAACGTCTGAAGGCGCGTTCGGGAATACTTCCGGATCTACAAGATGGTGGCTGAACGGTCAGAAGTCGGAGTGGCCATTGACTGAATCTCGGGCCGACTCGACGCTCGTGTACGCCTTGGTCAGAACCACCACGGGTGGATGGAAGGCTCGACTTCCCATACGAGGAACTTGGGAGACTTTGCACAAGTGTGTTACTTTCTCCCTTGTCTGTAGCTTACTTCCATCCACTGCTATTTCAAAACTTCTTTGGTAGTGAACAAGACGCGCAACGTGTACGTGGCCGACACGCAAGCGTCGGGCATGAGCGGCCCAAGCCTTGATAGCGTCCTGAAGAGACACGCAAATATCCCACGCACAATCCAGCTTCCATCGCTCACGCTTCGAAACCCCAAAAGCAGATCATGCTAGATGAGTCGTCTGTAGGACGCTTCCTCTTCAGCGTCCCTAATCGGCGGATGAATATCAGTGCGCTCCTCGCTACCATCGCATCTCGACCAAACACAGACTTTCTAGCGTCTATGAGTGTCAACTCGTCGTTTCTTCGGCATCAAGCTACTTTGTTTCCTGAAACTTTCCGTTCTCGTGTACGGCAGGCACTCACTGTCTTCCTGTATACACCGACTTCTTTGGCTTATTCAGGCCTTGAGAAAACCAAGGGCTTTCGATACTAAAGATGATTGCGGCCGCCGAATTGAGTAGTTACGCCCAAGCCCTCACACACATACTAAGGCCTTGGCACAACAAGTGTGTTGCCTTGGCTCTCTTCCATGTCTGAATTATAGCCGAAGGTCTCCAAGACGATAATGTACTGGACGGGAAAAATCTTTGTCAAGCTGCAGATGCAGAGTACTACCACTAGAATAATACTTGACCCATGCAAGCATGTTCCCGACAGAGGCATCATTGTGCTTGTTTTGAACGAGTGACCTGATCTTGACACGTCTGGTCCGGCAGATGAGGAAACAAATCCTCTCCATCTGCTGTCCATGGTCGCGTGATGACGCCCGAAAACTATCCGCTGAACAGCGTGCTGGCCTCGGCCAACAAACCCACCAGACCCTATTTATGCCCAAGACGTCCGCAAGTAGAGCCTCTCTTTATGCCTTTAGGCTAGAAACAGGTCGCCCTCCCACCCCCTTGCTACGAGGACTTGCGGTCGACAATCTTGGAAAACGAAAGGACCTCGTCAGGCTTGCGGTGCGGGAACGCAACACCCAGGTGCCACGGAAAGATGAAGTACGACCAACGGTGCATGCGGTTCATGTAGGTTTGCATGGCGCCAGTAAGCTCGACGTATTCTTCCTTTGTCTTGAGCGTACTCAGCGCATCCGAGTACTCCTGACCAATCTTGTGCATGCTGGGCAGCCCCAGGTCCGCCATGAATTCGAACATGTCAAAGTTGCCGACCAAGAATTCCCTCGTCAAGCGATTGAGCGCGGGCAGCTCAATGTCATGATACTCGGCAAGCTTCAGGAAACGGTACATGACGTCGCCACCAACCACCATCAGGTATGCTTCAAGATGTACCATGACTGTAAAGTATTGCTCTCCGGTGCCCGCGCCGCTGTCAATCACGCCCCATCGGACTTTCTGGAACTCGGCCGGCTCGTCTAGCCATATGCGATCAATCTCCTCTTCGATGAGTGTCTTTACTTGGCGGTAGCCACCTGTAGATTCGGCGGCAGCCTCCGACGTCACGCGGCGAGGAGGGAGGAGACTCGCGGGCGACTGCTTGCTCGAGATGACGAGTTTCAGAATCTTGTGACGCGGCAGCGCAACGGTGTGCTCGTAGACGAGTTTTCCGATCTGCTCCAACACCTGCAGATCCTCCTGGAACACCTCGGCGAACTTGTTGATCTTGGCGCTCTCCGTGATCTTCCCGTAGGTGACACAGATGGACTGGCCCGGCGCGTTGAGGTAGACGGCGCCCTGATGCCGCTGGACCATGTTGTTTCGACCAAGGTGCACCATCTTGGTCGGCGTCCAAAACGTCTCGCCGGCAATGACAACGTGGCCCAGGACGCTCTCGAGCGGCAGTTGGGCCTGGAGACTTGGAACAACATCGGGACTTTCGTCGACGAGCAACTTTGCTCGAAACGAGAGCCCGAGCTCGGGGATGTGGAATTCGATTACGTCTGATTGTTGAGACGCTGCAGGCATCTTTGCGACTTGGGGAGAAGGAATGGGTCGAGGTGAGAATGGATTCTTGATCGTATGGGCAGATCTCTCGTGAGGCGGTTGATTGCGACTGATGGCCAAGATTGTTGACGTGGCCACCGACTCTTGGGCTGGGCTGGACACGAGGTCGCAGCATCACTTTATTCGGAAATCACGCGTCCATCCAACAGCTCGGAATCGGGACCGCTTTCCCATACTTACACGACGTGGCTGACATGTGTGTATGAGCGCTGTGCTGTGCAGTTTCGTGCGTCATCTAGCCCGTGTCACAACGCCTCATTCGACGGAACGCTCTGGCACGTCATGTGTAGGCTGCCTGCGATGACCTGGTATCACCGCATTGATACAATCAGAGCACATGTCAAGAATAGTTGTGATGGCCCCTTGATCGGCCCCAGATCCAGTGTACACTGCCCTTTTGAGCACGGCATGCATCCCGTTGACGATTCCTGCATGCTCACCGGGCAAGTGTCACCGGCGTGTTGGCATAGGTTCTGAAGAATCGATCCTTGAATTCCTCGGCACCCGAGCGGCATTACGCCATGTATTGGCGCAGATAGGGGATATGCAAGCGCCTTCTAGGGTCGGTCCTTGCAGGCAGACTACCCCTGAATCTGCAGAACTTATCTTGATGCCCAGAGTACTTTTATCCAACTGGGGGTTCTGCCGTCTACATGTCTGCATATGCAAGTGCCGGTCTTGACGTATTTCTACACCGTTAGTTAGGAGGGCAGTCGATGCAGTCGATGCAGGGTTTTCCAGTTCCACGTTTCCCTGCATAGCCAGGGTCCTGTACGAGTGGGGTAATCATGTCGTGCCGTGAAATATCTACAGATGATTTGTTATGTGCAGGGAGAGCAGATGTTCGTTGCGGCTTGAGACGCTAGCACGTCGAGGTCTCTTGTTGGGGTACATTTTGTGTCTGACAGTCAGAGCGTGGCGTGCACTCGACAATACAAGTGTCTGTGTAAAAGTCTTGTCCGTGGTCAAGAGGTGCAGAGCCTTCTGTGAGCGTGGCTGGAACCAAGGCTCGGACATACGAGCCCACGTGAGTGAGACGTTGAGGATATTTTTACTTCATACTGCGCAGCTTGCTCTTGCCACGGGCCTTGTTTCGGTTCTAGATGTTCTGGCAAGAGTAGAAGCAATAAAACGAACCTTGTATACTTGTCCACGTGCAAGACTTGTTTCCATGACTAGCTAGCAATTTGTTGGAGAGATCATCTCAAGCTGTCTGCGAGCCAACTTTATACACAACAGCTGCGTGACATCTATTTAGGATAGGCCCTATTGCAAGGGGCGTTCGTTGTGGCGACAGACAGACGGTCTGGCAGACCTCCTTGGACCGACAAGCCAACGCAGCCGGTTGGATCGGGTGGTTGAGTCGGTCTGGGTTGGGCGTTTCCAGGGGAAAATAGAGGGTTGGGAGGAGAAGCTGGTGCACGTCTGAGCCGCCAGAGACTTGTAGTCTTTACGCCGCATACACCACGTAGGGCGCCGTGATAGGAGCCAACGACGTGGCCGACGGACCCAAGGTGCTGGCCTGGTTCTGTCGTTTTGTTAGCCACACCGGGTATCACTTGGAGACGGCTAAACACGCCATGTACTACATCTCCATGAAGATCAACAAGCAGTCGATTCAGCCTGCCATCTTCAGTCGACAGTGCTTGAGCTTACAAGTCTCCACGTGGCAACGCAACCTGCTAGGATCGGGGCTTCATGAATATTGCCTATTGCCGCTGCAGACGGAAGTCGCAGAGCTTGGAGTAAATGCTGGCAGGGATGAAGATGCGCCTCTTGACTAACAACGCCGTCAGGCTCAACCGCTAGCCCGCACCGTAACCGCCACCTATCTTGGTTAGACGATGCCTTCCAGTGAATAGAACGACGATGACTGTCGTTTATTTACCCCATCAGTTTCACCCAGCAAGCTGAACCGTGAGGACACGGCCTTTACCCTTCGGGCTAGGTATTCAGCCGCCAAGTCCCTTTCCTTGGCAACTTGACTGGTGTTCCAAGTATTTCAATTTTATAGACAAGTTTACAACATGAGCCTCATAGCGTGACAGATATCTGTCAAGGCCAGGGGTTGCGGGACAGTAGAAATAATGAGTCTACAGGAGAATGTGATTTTCCCACGGCAAGGGCTTCAAACACTGCGAAGCTTTCCGGAGTAGACAAGGTGTTTCTCGCGGCTTGTGCTTTCCTTCTGTTGAAATCAGCTACCCAAGGACGCCGGCGAGCCCCATCTTTCTGACGCGGGAGTGCCGCTACTGTCTTCATCGGAAACACCACTCCAACACCATCGAGGGAGTCCTTTCCAGTCATTGTGACATACAAACACCGGAAAGAGCATAGAGTGTCCTGGCACTAAGCCTGTTTACGACCAGCAGGTTGCCCGCCGTATCCGATGTATGCGCTGGCCAGTTTCTTGCGTACATACTGCAATGGCGTCAGCCGGCGGAGTTTTTCAGATGAACGGTAGCATTCGTCAGGTATTATCACTTACCTCGCCCACTTTGAATGGTCGACAACATGGGGGCTTCTTCTCGCTGACTTGGTTTTCCAGTACAGAAATGGTTGTGTTGTAGTCCACGCCGAAGAAGAATGGAATGGAGTACCGTTCTTCACCGGTGAGGTTCACCACTCGGTGAATGGTCGACTTGAACCTATTGTTCGTCCTAGACGGCGGGATGTTTAGCTCGGATCGACAAAGACCGTGGAGACGTGGACTTCTCACCACAGCGCCAAAGAGTCCGAAATATTCACGATAAACGTTGCCGGTATTGGCGGGGCGGTTATCCATTCTCCATGTTTATTTCGGACCTGGAGAGCCGGGATGTCATCCTGCGACAAGATTGTGAAACACTCATAGTCCTACCATGACAAGCAAGAATCATCAGCCTCGCTCGCTCAGCATCCCGTGTCAAAGGCAGCAAGGAGCTCTTACCGTGTGAGCCGCAAGCCCGGGCACCTCCTCTCCCTCGACCGGCTGCGGGGGATAATGCAGCATCCTGGAGGTGACGCCCGGATATTCCATCATGGGGTCGAAAAAGTCCTCCTCGAGATCCAGCGCGAGCGCAAAAACCCTCATCAGAGCCCTGGCCAGCTCCAAGACCTCGCCAAAATAACGAGTATACGCATCTCGAAGTCCCGGCACCGCGTCATCGCTGGGCCATTGGTTTTTCCCCAGCAGTCCGTAGACATCATCGGGAAGCACATGGCCAGGCGACTTCTGAAGATCTGCTGGAATTTCGTACCCCATGTCAAATGCCTCCGAGAGTGCCCCCGGGAATATCTTCTCGGCGTCTCCCTCAAGATCGGGGTTTGAAGATTTTTCCCCGTACAACGGACTGTAACCACGAAAGTTCTGGAAGTGATTGATCGTTTAGAGCCTGCTCTCGCCATAGATGTGTGCTACATGTCACAGACGCACCGTGGAGTTTCCCAGGTAGTATTTCATTTTTTGTCCTTCTTCGAGGCTGAAGAATCGGTGAGCCGCTTTGTAAGTCGCACTGATCAATTCTTCGGATACTCCATGACTCTAATTGATGCACATCTAGTTAGCCTTGTCAGATCGATTTCGAGTGGTTCACAAGAGCGAATCACAGACTTTGACATAAAAGAAACAGACATCCGTGCAAGCCTTGTCAATTTTGCGAGCAAGTTCGCGACGCTCCTGGATGTCGGGGCTCCTCAGTGTCGCCAAGTCAATAATGGGAAGTGCGTCAAAATCACCTGCTTCACGACCAAAGGTCTGTAGAGGCTTCTGCACTGTAGTGGTTGATGGCATGATTCGAAAAGACAAACTCTTACCCGGCAGACGTAGAAGATGGACTGAAGTAGCATCCCGATTGCACGCACCGCTTCGGCACCCAGCTCACTCATATGTAGCCAACTTGCGTGCTTGTCAGGAAAGTATATCGTTGCGCCGCCCCTTGTATTGCTCCCCGAAAACAAATAGTCTTGGCGAGAATTCATGTACGCAAGAGGAAAGCACGGCTTGCATATTCACCATACACGGGTTCTCGGCTTGCAGTCCGAGACGAGCACATGCATATGTAGCATGAGCCTCGAACAGAAATCTTACGTGTCGATCAATAGCGGTCAGAAACCGTGCCGTGCATGTCTAGCAGTAACTAGCCGAAAAGGTCACGTCTCCAGCTAGTAGTCTTGGTTCAGTTGAGAAGCTCAGATCTATAGGCTTGGTTGTGGAACTGCTCACTCTCGAGGTCGTGGGGAGTACATAGAATGATTAGAATCCTATATTGCACTGGTTTCTCTCTTTCAAGGTCCGGACTGACTCAAATGTATCACGCTGCGTATCAGAACCCCTATTAGCACCATCCAACTTCAGCTTTGCTCCTCACATCAGCCACCGCACGTGCAGAGGCAACCATGAACTTCCGGCGCACGGCTATTGAGATTGAGGCTCCAGAAGAAGTTGGCCAAACAATTCACCACAACCTTTGTGATAGTGCCGTCGGCGACAGAACCCTCGACGACCTGGGGATTCGCGTACCCGGAGACCTTCCATTGTCGTACAGTGTCCACCTGGGCAGTCCTCGTTTCCGTTCCCTCATTGCAGAGCGGTGTGGCCTAGAAGCCGAGGATATTCTAGTTACCGCCGGAGCGTCCTCGGCCTTGTTCATCGTTGCGACCTCTCTTCTCGGCGAGAAGGACCATCTCGTCATAACTCGACCAAACTATGCGAGCAATGTCGAAACGCCCAGAGCCATAGGCTGCGAGATTACCTACGTGGACTTGGAGTTTGACAAGGGTTTCCAGGTTGACGTCAACGACATAGCTTCTGCCATCAAACCAAACACAAAGCTGATTAGCCTCACCACTCCGAACAACCCTACCGGCACCTCCATGTCAGGAGAAGACCTGCGCAGGGTGGCAGAGTTGGCCAAGACCCGCGGCTGCTACGTCTTGGTCGACGAGACGTATGCCGAGCTGACATATCTGGATCGACTACCCGGCTCTGCGTCGCTCGGAAACCACGTTATTGGGGTTTCCTCCATGTCGAAAGCTTTTGGTGTTCCGGGCATACGAGTGGGATGGATATCGTCCAAGAGCAAAAACCTGCTCGAGGTCTTCCTAGCAGCCAAAGAGCAGATTAGCATCACCGTCAGCGTTGTTGACGAGTATGTGGCAGAGCAGATTCTCGAGCGCTGCGACACCATCTTGGATCCAATCATACAAGAGATGAAACGGCGGCGGGACAGAGTTGAGGCATGGGTCGCCTCGGAAGACCTCATCCAGTGGGTTCGGCCGAACGGGGGTGTAATGGGCTTCATGCGGATGAAAAAGGAGCCTGCCGGAGGCACAAAGGCTTTCTACGAGAGATTGCTGGCGCAACATGGCACATATGTAGGGCCGGGCCACTGGTTTGAATGGCCCGACACCTACTTCCGGCTTGGCTATGGATGGCCAACTGCCGAGAGCCTGGAAAGGGGCCTGGTGGCAATATCAAAAGCAATGCGTGGCTGATGCTTCCCATGTTGCGGCCTAGCATGTCGGATGTCGTATATTGTTTCCCTAGTTGAGCGAGCAGCCGTGATGTACTTGTATATTTTGGCCGTCCAAATTGTTCTCAAAACATTTGTTTAATCGAAGCGGCAGAAACTAGTCCTTCATGGCAAGTACTTTTGTGCTTGTTTGACATGTCTTCAGAATTAGGCGACTCGTGGCTAGCCACCACCATGCAACTCGATACTTTTGGCCAAGCAAAGAGATGGAAAGACAGTCGTCGCAAACATATGTAACTGCACTCCGTGACCGTACGAGCTATCACAACCGCCGGCGAATCGGAGTACAAGGCCGGAGCGGCCATCGATGCTTGCCAAGAGCAGCTATACCCGGCAACACAACATACACGGATCAGTGACGGATAGAGGCTGAGCAATATACCACTTGGTTGCAGGCTTTGGTAACATCGTGTGCCCTACTGAAATGCTCTGCACGTCACCCTTTTGCCATTTCTGGAAAACCACACAGTCACTCGACGAGGGGGTCGGGTTTGATTCAGGAAGCCGCCCTCACAAGATCTACCGTTGCGCAGTGAAACGAACCGCCAATGCTGTTGACATGTTGGAACCGGCACATGATGGGCTCCATGCCAAACTACTCCTTGACCCAATCCGCAAACACCGTGTCCTCAGCCTCCACCATGATTCTTTTCTCATCCAGACTGAGCGCGTTCAGAACCAGCCAGGGGGAGCACATGTACAACGGCGACGCGCGGGCTTGCGGAACGAACGGATAGGCATGCAGCTCCCAATCTTCAAAAACGCCATGCTGTCGCAAGGCGCTCTCCGTTACACGCTCCGGGTTGTACACCAAGAGACCTTTGCGGAGCGGCAAGATGGTGGCGTCGATATGCATTGCATGCTCGTCGGTAACGTGAAGCAGTTCGACCGTGTAACCGTCTGGGACGAGCGCTTGTAGATATTCCACTCCCTTGCGGTTCGTGACATGGCTCAGTTGTCCGATGATTGTTTTGCCAAACCGCATAAAGTCGGCCGCGTCAAAAGCCGGCCTCGAATTGTTGATGACCCAGGCGCCAGCCTCGGCGAAGCCGTTTGTAAGCGTTTTATTCGTGTCGTATATCGTGTCCTGCCCGACAATTCGAGGCGCCCGGCAGATTCTGGCCGTGCCGCTCGCCGCAACTTTGTCCAGAATGCCGGTGTAGGCAAGTTGAATCTCGTCCCTTCGGCAACGCCAGGCGTACGGCGCCTCAATCAAGGTGTTCCCGACGACCATCAGGCCGTCTCGAGGCATTGCGCCCGTGTATCCGCCAACATGGAGCCAGTCGACGATTTCGGGGCGATGGACACGAATCCCCTGCTCTTCCAGGAGACTGGCAAATTGATCTAGCTCCTGCTGGGCCCTGACAAGTATGTCTTGGGGGAAAGGGTTTGATGGCGCGAATTCCTTGGCATATCGTGACGGCATGGTAGCTCTTATCATTGGGAGCGGTTCAGAGGGGAAAGCAGAATTCTCGGCTCGGCCAACGATGACGGCCCGCAGAGGAGACCATTCGTCGTCTGCTTGAATGAGGGATTCAAGATTGTTGAACATTTTGTAAACATGTACATCATCTAGCTTGACGGCACTCTTTGTGTATCGGGCAAAAGCGTTATTCGGGACGGAATCAGTCGGACTATAAATAAACCCAGCAACCGGCTCCAAATTCCGTACGGAGTACCGTGGCCTCACCAGCTAGAGTCCTGACAATGCTGAGGACAAAGCCGCCCTACGAGCAAGAAACACCGCATGGACTAGTCGGATGCGCCAAGGAGACAACTTGCTCCACGAGTTTCATTTTTTCTCTCAAGCAGAGGGCGGCGGCTCGCTGTGCCGAGGACGGCGAAATCCGAGCCGTTTGTTTGTAACGCAACTAACTACTAGTTACCGGTTTACCACATGGAACCATTCCAGGTTAGGAGTTCACTACACAGGGCGATTCCAGATTAGGAATTACTCCTCAGAGCAGCGGCTCGCGTGGAAAAAGCAAAGAAGAAAGAAAAAACTGTCGCATAGCATATAAGGTGGTCTACCACACACAAAAGTGTGGCGTGGGCCACGCCCAACTTTTGGTGTGACAAAAACGTACATCGGGGACCATCCGGTGGCTCGGAGGAGGAAACACGTTGAGTGAAATGTCCAGTTGTTTTGTCCACAGGATCCTCCGCTTGCTGCGACAAAGTTTCAATACCCTCGACTCTGAGCTGGTTGCGAGGTCGCAACTACATCATCTGCTCCCTATGCCTGCCAACTACGTTGATGAACCAGTTGCTGCAAGCCCATCGCGGCACCAACATTCCACATCTTGCCAACTGCAGCTGCAGGTCTCGCCACCATTTATTACTTGTCGGTGTGAGCTTGCAAAGTTGACGGAACCCGGTAAAGGCGGTCCATGGAGTTGGAGTCGAGCACGGTTTCCTTGGCTGTTTGTTCCCTTGCACAGCTCTTACAACAGTCTTTTGCCATCTAAATCATTGCCTTTTAAACAATCACAAGCTACCCGAGTAATATGACGCACGAAATAGCTCTGCTGGGGAGCGTTGGCCTCGTGTATGCCGTGTACTCCTACATCCTATTGCCCGCCTTCTTCTCACCACTGGCATCGATTCCCACAGCTCATTGGTCATGCTCCGTCTCGGGCATCTGGATCCTGTTGGCCAAGTGGAATGGGGTCGAGGAAGACACCCTTCTCCAGGCCCATTCTCGCCTTGGCGATGTCGTCAGGGTTGCTCCAAACACCGTCAGCATTGCCGGGCTCGACGCTATCCGCGCCGTGTACCAAGGCACATTTGTAAAACCGTCGCTGTACGGCGCCTTCAATCACTATGGGTAAGTAGCCCGCAAGTATGTCGAGTGTATGACCATCTAACAATTCGTGTCGCTTCGCTTGTCTCTTCTCTGCCCTTGGCTTCAAGGACCACTCGAGCAGGAAACGGATGATTTCCAACATTTACTCAAAGTCATACGTCCAGTCTTCAGAAACGGCTCGGGCTCAGATTTATTTCATTTTGTTTCGCCGACTTCTTCCGCTGCTCGAACAAGAGGCAACCTGTGCGTCCTCAGAAGGAACCGATGTACAGCCCATCCTGATGGCCATGGCCGTCGATGTAATCTCGGCTTATATACTGGGACGTGCCAACAGTACAGACTTTCTTCATGACAGGGATGCTTGGGATGAACTGCGCTGTCAACTTCTCTTAGTTCCCAAACGCTTTTTCTGGGTCAAGGAGCTTCCCGGCCTCACAAGTTTCCTTTCTAAATTCGGCACAACGCTATACCCCAAGGCGGCGGATGAAGCTTTGGGCCGTGTACGCCGTTGGAACAAGAAACTATGTGACAAGGCACATGCCTCGCTGTCGACTGAGCCCTTGGGGCCCAATCACCCAGCGGATGAAGCAGTTGTACTCAAGGCATATCGTATTGGCCTCGAGAAAGCTGCCAATGAAGAAGAGTCAAATCTCTTTGCTACATCGGCCGGCCAGCGAGAATCAATCACAGCCAGCGAGATCATGGACCAAATAGTGGCCGGGCATAGCCTCATGACCAAGGCTCTCGTAAGCCTGGTGCGGTGTTTGTCCCAGTTTTCTCATGTTCAAGATCAGCTGCGCCAGGAGTTACTCAAGCTGGAGCCGTCCATGGAAATCGGCAAGAGTTGCCAAGGTGCCCTTCCTGACGCCAAAGAGCTGGACGCTTTGCCGGTCTTGCATGCCGTCATCATGGAAACTCTTCGACTCGAATCTCCTGTGTCGAAGCCCCTGTCGCGCGAAGTGCCATTTCCTTCCTGCCAAATTGGCCAACACGAAATACCAGGAGGTGTGCGCATTGAAGCATCGCCCTATGTACTCCATCATGCGGAGAGTGCTTTCCCAGACCCAACACGCTGGGATCATACACGATGGCTGGAGCCCGTGTCAAGGGACGAATATCGCATCAGGACGAGTCGCCAGTTCTGGGCATTTGGCAGCGGGGGAAGAAGGTGTGTCGCGTCACATTTCACGGTCAATGGTATGTAAAGCCGGATAGCGAAGAATCAGATGCATCGTGGACGCTTCGAGGTTTTCTAACCAAGATGCGAGCAGCCATGAAATACGTCACTGCAGGGATATACACGAACTTCAAGACCCAGCTGGCGGATGAACACCACGACGGACGACCTGTACAGCCACCTACGAATGCACCGAATGGACTCTACTTGCGGTTTACCTCTCTCTGAGTTGCACTAGGTACCAAGCACCCCCCTTCACCACGGGGACACTTGGGTGAGGCACGTGGGCAAAAATGGTTTGACGGCTAGAATGCAATCGCCACAAGCCGTGCTGTTACGACTTTCTTTGCATATGGCACTAGCGCTTGTATGTTTTCATTGGTAGACGCCCCTTTTTCCGGCCATGTGCTTTGTTCTCCCGCTACAAGAGGGTAGCCAGGACAGGTTTCGCGAATATGTAGAGGAAACGACATGGTTAGTTTGTCTATTCAGTTTGATGGCACTACATTTCGAAGCATCCAAATCAGTTGCACATGTCAGATCCAGACGTGATTCGATACATGGTCTTTCACGCTCCCTCCGCTTTCCTCTTCCGCCTGTGATATTCCAAATAAGAGCTTTTAACATAAAGCTCAAGCTTCTAAGAGGTAAACTAGTTGGAATTCATATTGGTAGAGTCACTAAAGTCATTAATATTAGTAGGTGAATATTATTTGAAGAATAATCAAAGACTATCATCTACGAATTAGAGTCAAGTATAATAAGTAAGGCTCGAGTTCTTATAATAAATTATATCAAAAGCCAAAAAGCTAGAGTCCACCTATAATGATATCACACCGGGTTTGACCTCCATACTATATCGGACCATTCCAGTCACTGGTTAACGCACAAGGTCGGTCTTGCAGCCCGACCCACGACAGCTCGGTTTATGGATCAAGTTGACTGGGTCGCGCTTCCAACCTCATGCCTGCTACGTGATGTTCAATAATCCCTTGATATAGGCGGCACACCATAGCCGCCATGGGTCAAAGTCGATTCTATCAGAGTGGACAAATTCGGACAATATACCCCTGTCCGAGCTTGTTTACACCCATTGGAGAACTACCTGAAATAGCTTTGCCTGTGCGCGTCTAGAAAAGAAGATCTTTGCACACATCAAGGGTAACGTACCCACAAGCCCATATAATTGATTAAAGCTATCTTGGTGCGTCGTGCAAGAACACGGCGGTTAGGGTTAGGGTCACGGTCAGGCGCCCCGGGATGTGGTTGACGGCCCGTCGCGTCACGTGGCAGAAGGACCCTGCCCCTCATTGCCCCTCCACGACGGAGAAAAGAACCCGTCAAGCCGATGACTTTTTTTTTGTACATGGTCTTCAGTCACCAATTACGACAAACCCCGGCATCATGGAAGAGTCGAGCGCTCCGACGTCAAAGAAGGGCGCGAAAAAGGCCGAGGCCAAGGCCAAGAAGGAGGCTCTGAAAGCCCAGCGCGCTGCAGAACTCGCCGCCGCCGCCGCCGCCGTCAATCTCGAGGACGACCCCGCCAAAGACAATTACGGGGACAGGCGGACCACGACGGCGGCCTTCAGCCAGGACGCCGAGGAAGTCGAGATACACTCGCTTGACGAAACACACAATGGAAAGACGGTCGTCGTGCGTGCGTGGCTTCAAAAGTCTCGCGTGCAGAGCGCCAAGATGGGCTTCGTCGAGCTTCGCAAGGGGGGCAACTGGGACATCCAGGGAGTCATCATGGCCTCGGAGGAGGAGCCCGTCGTCAGTCGACGCATGGTCAAGTGGGTAGCTAGCATCAACCCCGAGAGCTTCGTGGCGGTTGAAGCCAAGGTGAAGCAACCTCTTGAACCCGTCAAGAGCTGTCGAGTCTCGGGATTCGAGCTTCACATCACAAAGTGCTTCGTGCTCGCGCCGGCCCCGGCCGTCCTCGGCATGACCATGGGGACGGCGAGCCAGCCCATTGTCAACTTTAGCGACGACAGTGACCATGTGGGAGACGTCGAAGCCGGAAAGGCTGCCGAGGCCGCCGCCGAGAGTACGGCGCCAGCCGCAAGCATGCTCACTCATCTCGACAACATTGCCATGCACAAGCGCGCTCCTGTTCAGCAGGCCATTGCGGTACGTCGGTCTTGGTTGTGGGCTTTGATTTGATTCGGGTACGCATTAACACGGCACAGGACATTCGCATCGAAGTGAAGAGACTCTTCCGCTCGTATCTCGAATCCCGTCGTTTCAAGGAATTTGAACCGCCCTGTCTCATCGGCGCAGCGTCCGAGGGCGGCGGAAACGTCTTTCGACTCGCATATTTCGGCGAGGAGGCCTTCCTTGCCCAGTCGCCCCAATTCTACAAACAGTTCGAGATTGCAGGAGGCAGGGAGCGCGTGTTCAGCATAGGGCCCGTCTTCAGGGCCGAAAACTCCAACACGCCGAGGCACATGACCGAGTTTACGGGGCTTGATGTTGAGATGGAAATCAAGGATTCGTACACTGAAGTTCTTTCCACACTGGAGGGTGTCTTGTTGTTCATCTTCCGTGGAATTCAAGGTCAGTATTGTTTCGCTTGATAGTCCTGCACAGAAATCTTTCCGTCAAGACTCGTTCCGTGTACACGGATTAACCAAACATGCCGCCGATGCAGAGCGATGTGCGGACAAGATTGACACAGTCCGATCTGTGTACCACTCGGAACCCCTCCTTCTCCCCGAGGCAGGCAAGGAGGTCCGCTTAACCTTTGCCGAGGCACAAAAGCTTTTGCGAGAGGAAGGACCCCCGGAGTTCTCAAACGTACGGGACGATGAAGACATGAGCACCCCCCAAGAGAAGGCCCTTGGCCAAGTCGTCCGCGCCAAGTACAAGACGGACTTTTACGTCATCGACAAGTTCCCCGAGACGGCGCGGCCGTTTTATGCCAAGATTGACGATGCCGGCACTACGGTAGGAGAAGGTGTCCGCGTCACAAATGCCTTCGACATGTTCCTCCGTGGGCAGGAGGTGCTCTCCGGCGGTCAACGAACCCATGATGCGGCTGAACTCGAGGGTCGTCTCCGGGCCAAGGGTGTCGACCCGAAAAGCGCCGGCATCAAGGAGTACTTGGCGACGTTCCAGCAGGTCGGCGTACCGCCACATGGTGGAGGTGGCATTGGACTTGATCGCGTGGTTGCCTGGTTTCTGGGACTGCCAAGCGTCCACCTCGCGGCGTATTATCCTCGCACACCCAAGAGACTGCTGCCATGAGGCACTGGAGACGAGAATCCCCAGCTGCAGTGCCCGGAAGACGCGGAAGTAGGGACATGAGGATCCCAGAATGGGCAAGAAACTGGCTATCAACAGGTATCCCGGGGCTAAGCCCTCGCAATGGCACAGCATGGGCACTCTACACCTAAAGTAGGCATTCTCTCGGGGGCCGAGGCGAATTTCGGCGGAGCAAAAAATGGCATTTTGCAGACGATGCATGACGTGGACGAATCTTGTCACTTGGGGACGAACCCTTCCTAACAACGGCACCCATTTGTAGATGAGTTTTTTGCACAAGGCCAAAGTTTCAAGTCTGGGGTGCCAGCCACGTTTTGCCGCTGTCAATTTGTCCGGATGGCGATCAAGCAGGGTAGAAGGTCATGGCAAGGGGTGCGTAAAGACGCAAGAAGAGCTACATGTTCATCCAGACTAGAGTACAAGTAATTCTCCCTTGTACACCAGCCAGCTACCGTGGTGAAAACGTTGGACATGCAACGTGGACTGTCCAAGATGTAAGCATGCTTGAGCCGAGCCTTTCCGAACGCAAGCCGCCACGGTCAAGGACTTGACCTAGGATAAAGCTGCGGACCAACAGCCCGGGAGTCGTCCCGGCTCGGCATGTAGCACTATTGTGAGGGTCGACGTGGAAATATTCCACAGTCGGTTATAGCATTTCCGACAAGAACCCACGTGTATACTGCGACTAGACTTTTTCGAAAATTATAATAGTTTACAAGAGTATAATGAAGGAAATTGATATACATCATCATGTTTAAATAACTCGGCTGATGATGCCGAGCACGCGGCACAGGTGACGACGGGCTCGGGCCCTTTGACCTGGGACCCCGTTGAAGAGTCGGGCCGTCGCATTCCAGTGAGCAATTCCCAAGAGGACAGAGACCGCCAAAGAACGCCTTTTACGTCGGGGCATCGATCCCAACCAACTCGGCAGCGAGCCCATCCTTGACCGGGAAAAAATACATCAAGACTTCCGACGCGTTTGACGGTTTGATTGCCTCGAACCCAGCCACGGGGCAGGTCATAGCCTTCCTGGAGGGTACGAGGCAACTGCTCTTGACGCCAACTCTCTTAGCTAGGCTGCTCTACCATGGAAAGCGCGCATCTACATATTGATACTGCTATCCTAGAATCTGTGTGTTTTCCAATGTGAATATATACATGCAAAGAATGTATGCAAGAGACGAGACGGGCGCGCTCGGGAGAATCTGCCGTCTGCCCAGAGAGTGTATACTCGCGCACCGCCCCCTTTGGCTCGGGGTCGGGTCGGGTCGTGTCACACCAAGCCTGTGCGTGGCCATCTGGCGCGACCACGCCCGTTCCTTCATCGTCGGGTGAGACGCCTTTCCAGGAGTCGGAGAGGCACGTAGGCCAAGGTGCTCAGGACAAAGGCCACCTCGAAACCAACGTCGCCCGTCTTCTGCGCAACCGGGCCGACGTACCACTCCTCCTTGACGCACGGGACCACGAGGCCGAATGCAATCACGCCGCTGGAAATGGCGGCCACGCCCAGCGGCAGTCTGCCTCCCTGGTCCCAGACGGCCGCGTCGTACGAATCGAAACGGCAGCGCCGAATGACGACGTGATCCGCCATGACGATGCCCACATACGCGGCCGACCAGTACGAAATCATGGCGATGAAATTGCTCAAGCTGGCGAGAAAGTTGCGAGACGCATACATGGCCACGGGAATGATGGCCGCCGTTATGGCGACCGCAAACGCGCACCTGGGGACCCTGCCGAGAATCGGCGCGAGAGCCTGGAAGTTGAGCGTGATGGCGTAGAAGCTGCCGCAGGTATTGCCCAGGAGGGAGAGCGTCTGCAGCACGACGACGAATTTACCGAATCCGCCGGCGCTGCTCAACATGGCGGCCAGGACACCGCCCACGCCGTACGCGTCGTTGCCCTGCTCCCACGAGGGATTGCCGGGGAGCGCGCCCGCAACAGCCGCACCGAGAGACATGAGCAGCACGGCGGGGATGAGAAGTCCCGTGTACGTGTAGAGAAACACTCGCCACCTGTGTCGGGTTCGTTGGCAAATTGTCGCCGCGAGCTTGCGGTTGGAGGCCGGGGACATCAAACTCACGACGAGACCTTGGGGTCGAAATACGTCGTCAGGTCGCTGGCAATCGCACCCCAGGGGATTTGGTAGCCCGCAACGACCATGCCAAACGTCAGCAGGTCGGCGGCTGCCGCGGGTGTTGCGACATGACTCTGTCTTTGGAGTCCGCTTCCGCCAACCCCAGCGGCTATCACGATGCTGATCAGAGCCGGGATGAAGGACAGTGTTTCAAAGACATGCAACACCTGGAAACCCGCAAACGACACAACCAGGGATAGGACCGAAATCACGACGATGCCTACATCTGGCGTCACGGTTCCCGACGAGACTGCCGAGAGGCACTGCCCACCGACGACGCAAATCACGGCGTTGAATCCTGCCAGCGTGGCCAGGTTGAACAGGACCGGAATGGAAGCGAGACGGCGGCTGCGTGGTGCCTCACGTGAATGATTAATCCCCAGCTTCGTGAAATGGCTTTGGATGCAGTGCAAACACAGGCGAGAGGCGACGGGCGACGGGCGACGGGGACGAGAGACGCGGCGCGGGAGACTTTTTTGGACTTACCCGAAACTGTAGCGAGCATGTATCATTTGCCTCATGCCCGTCTTTGGTCCGATCGTGGCAAGAATGCCTGCCGCGGTAGTTGCCAGCAGGTTGAAGAAGACGATGACGAGGGTCGAGTCGCGCAGGCTCAGGCGGTACACCAGAGGACCGAGCATACCAAATGCAATGCTGTCCGGGGAGGCGGCGTCAGTCAAACTCGCCTTCCGCGTCCGGCTCCGAGCACAAGGACGAGGTCGACGAACCCAAGGATGTTGGAGTTGATGGAGAACCAAACGGTGAATATGCTCCAGAAACGCCGCTGGTTCCGCTCTTCCAACGCCAAGGGGCGGATCCCGTTTTCTTCGACTCGACCGGCTCGCAAAAGCCTCGGGATACCTGACAGAATACGGTGAGATGAGGACGGGGAGCGAAGGCATTTTCCAACTCGGCGGGTAGAAGTACAGCCCACCTGGTGCTCTTCGTCATCGGTATGTGAGCTGCGTGTCGGGGATTGGCGTCCCATGATGGCGAGCGATGGGTTCTTCAGGTGCTCGAAGCCGCCTTGGACAAGCTGAACGAAGCTGGGGCTGGCCGACCTGGTTTCCGCGTCTTCTTATGCTCAGCCCGCCCAGGACCGATTGGATCGAGCCCGCAGGAGGAAATCAGGCACCGCCCACGGCTGAAAGGCGCTGCAACGGCAGGTCTGGTCTTGTCCGTGGGAAAAGTCGGCATGCCTGACGTGATGCGATGGGAGGTTTGGGCCGCAGACTCTGCCAGGGTTGAATAAATCCCGTCCCGTGGGCCGTGGCAGATGGGACACGGCGTTGGGGCGGGCAGGTCAGCGGCAGCGGCAGCCAGCTCGAGGACGACGAGAAGCACTAGAGCGGATTGGGATGGGGATGGGGATGGGGATGGGGATGGGATGGGGATGGGGGTGGCGGATTGCAGATTGCAGATTGCGACGGCCGCCGAGGAGCAAACGAAACGAAACGAAACGATCCATGCCATGACATTTGGCTCCAGCCGACGTTGCATTCAGCTCGACCGCTACAAGCACTTCAAGCACCGCAGCAGAGACACGAGCCTAGCATCGTCATGGCGCCATTTTCAACCTCGGATTCCTACTCTACTTGGTGCCTGTTGCCGAACCTGTGCAGCAACGCGGGCGTCACCGGCCACCGCAGGCAGCCTTTCTTCTCTGAGGATGCCGTCATTGCGATGAGCTCCCTCGAATATCTGGTGATCGGGGAAACCCCCGCATTTAGATACGTCCATCATCTGGAGCGCAAAGTCTGAAGCAGGCACTCAACCCGTATCGAGGGACATCTGGATCCTGAACTGGAAGCTTGTCTCGCCGAGGCTGTCAATTTGAAACACCCCGACTTGAGACATACGTATTCGGGCCAAACAGTTTCGGGAGCCAATCACATCAGCCAAGCCCGACGATACCAGTAGGCTGTAGCCCGCTGTATTTCAAACCTACTCTGCCATCCTCGGAGAAGTCGACCTCTTGGCAGCACGACTACGACTACGACTCACAAGGCACTGCGCTGCCTAGCAAGTCCACGGCCGACGCTGTGGACGCGGAGGGCATATGCTCCTCTGATCTCGCGGCTGATCGAGAGATGACGGACCCAAGATGGGAAACAGTCGAGCCGAAAATTGGCAGGGCCACCGACCGCGATTGCGGATGCGATGGCGATGGGGGCTTTGGCGGGAGGCCTCGTCTCCTCACGGTGCTCCTTTGCACAGGGCTGCCGTCGACCGACGCGCAAGCACCATCTGTGGCGACAATTCAGACGGGCCCGGAGCAAACGACGCCGGCCCGGAGCAGGAGAGGGATAGGAGCGTGGAAAACACCTGCCTATTCACACGGGCTGTGCCTCTCAGAAAAAGACCGAGCATCAAGCGCAACAACTTGGACTTGGCGGTGGCGCTAGAAACAAGATCTGGTACGGGGAAGTCCTTGACGGCACAGCCCAGGCTACCCCATGCAAGCCTGGCACTTTACTCACAGAAGCAGCCAAGAAGCACATGGCGACGATGCGCTCAGTTTCTGGGCAGATTGGGAGGGCAGTGTACCGGGAGACATGGTTTCTGCAACGCCATCGACTGCCTGCTGACGATATTTTGCCGAAAAGCCACGACATGCGAGGAGAAGCTGATGGGGAGAAGCATGGTCTTGTTGTTGTGGTCGTTGTTGTTGCTGTAACGAGGACGAACAATGTACAGGGCACTACTAGTCATGGCGAAGAAGCAAGTCAAAATACAGACGTGGCTTTATTGTTATTGTTGTTGTTGTTATCAAGGGCCTTGTGCGGCCTTGGTTGTGTATCAAAGGCGTGTATTTGGGAAGCCAATGAATCTTGCAATTTCTACAGCTGCGTCCGCACCATTTGATGCATTGCCAACTCTGCTGTCGCCACCGTACGTACCGAGAGGCGGGACGCGACACGCAGTGGCATCGATAGATGATGAACAGCGCAGCATCGTGCATCCGGTTCCTGGTCCTTGATTCCGGACGACCTGCTCTGTACAGAGGTTACAATCTGTACTTACGCGGGCCAAGGTGACCATGGCATGTCTGCCCGCCAACTCGTGTCCTTGCGAGTGAAAGATGCGTCACGTTGGTTCCGAGGGCTGCCGCATCATTCGTCACAGCTCGCAAAACACCACGTTCCATCTCAACCTGCTCGACTGCGCCGCACAACCCTTTCTGCCTCCTCCGAGCGCAGCACCTCACCTACTGCCTACCATGTGACCGTCAGAAACATGTGTCCCTTTCCGCGAGCCCATGCAACGCGCACCTGCGTCGGGGCCTGTAACAGGTCCGGCATCCCCATCGATCGAGTCGGCCACACCATCACTCCCTGGTCATCACAGGCCATCGTCATGTTGTTGAACCTAGAACAACGGCTGCTGGGCGCCTCGGCTTCGACTCCTGAAGCGAAGACGCGTTTCTCATTCTTTGGCACTGCTGCACCTTTCCTACGCCAGGCGTCACAAGTGAGTGGTGTTGGAAACACGTGCGGCATACGTGGACCAGATATTCGCCGCCGCTGTGTGCGTGTCTTGAAAACAAAGTGTTCTCGTGAGCCATGCCCCTTGTCGTTGTGGGCGTAGCGTGGATGGATACCCTGACATCACGACCGGTGTTTACGTATGCGACTGCTCCTCTGGATGTCCACTTGCAGGGAAGCTAGGTATTCGGTAAGAAATCGTCAGCCCGGGGCCGCGGACATGCTGATCCTGCTCCATCATCTCCTTCACACCTCTCATCACACTTCTGAATCTCAGGCGCCAGCTTTTGAGGGAGAGGCGTCCGGAGAAGTTGTCGCAAAAGAGCCATTGGGCTTCATCACGTACGCCTCAAAGTAGGGACACGGTCGAAGGCGTCGTCATTGTGTGGCGCGTCGAGTGTGCCAGGGAGTGTGGCGATTTAAGCCGAAAATGACACAGCGGCCCATGGCAACGATTCTGATGTATGCCGGCAGTTCTGACGTCTCGGCTAGTATCAATCTGACAATGTCAGAGCATGGACCAAGGGCCGACTTAAACTTCATCACCAAGACCGCCATCCATGTGCGGCGCAGGCTGCGGGTGTGCCGCCACCGTTTGCCGTTCGCGACACGTTTGCAACAACGCCTCGCTGTCGCTGACCGCAACAGTTGGTTGGGAATCTTCCACGTCTTTCACCCTTCTCAGCTGGCCAGGCGCGGGTTGACTTCGTAGGACCGACCTATCTAGGCGCAAATCTATGTGGCTGCTTTCGCAGCACGTATCCTAAATAGTTTATTGCTGTGATCATTTTCAGCCTCATCTCGTGCTGTTTTGGCTGATTCTAGTTGGTCGTGGTCGACATCGACGCGCAAATGCAGCAACCTTAATAAGTAAGGCGACAGCCCTTGTGGCGTTCTCCTTTCATCCGTAATACGTATTGCGATTCCACCACGCCCAACCCGACGGAACCTCCCGCCGCGGGTACGGAGGACGGCAACAGCCTAGACGCAGAAGGCTAAAGCGACGCCCTTGTGCTCCTCCTTGTGGCCGCCCTGACCAGTGGCCGCGGTTCTGTGTTGCAGATTTGAACATACTGCTTGACTCTGTTTGTCTGATATGAGAACAGAGCGGAATTATTAACAATTTTACCCAAATCAAATATTACCAGATTTGCCCCCCCCAGAGACATCCCGGAAAGAAAGAAAGCCACATCTGATCCAGCATACACATGTCCCTCAGGGCCAGAACAAAGAGGCGCGCCATGCGTGGCTACCAGGTGATGCATCATGCAGCTGGGCCTGGGAATGCTCTCTGTTGAAGTTGTCACGAAGCACCACCACGGAGTTGGTGGCTGGCTCAGCTTTGCACCATAATGCGGATTGCAGGGGGCCTATCAACTTCCGGGACACGCTTCTTCATGTTTGTGAGGTGGTTGCCGGCTGCATGGGGACTTGTCAGTTGAAGATGGTGCTTTTTAACGGCTCATACCCCACGTGTCTTGATTGGTCCCAGCATCAGACCCGGCCGATGGCGATCACGCGTCGACTCCTCCTTGATAACGGTGACAATACGAGGAGACGTGAAGCACACAAAGGTCAGAATCACTACCTTGCCTTAGAGTCATCCCCCCCTCCAGAGTATCAGGTTGGGTGTAAGATATGCCACGCTACTCCGTATAGTAAGAGAGGCCGTGATCAGATGTCATCGTGTCCATGGGTGACGCCTTTGGGACGAGAGCCCGGATGCAAACTTTTGCGTACGCTATTTTCATAATCTGTCGACAAACCAGCTGTGGCGGCGGGGCTAAGCGAAAATTCGCTGTCGTAGGAGTGATCTTCCAGAACCCGTCTTTCAAGAGACAGGTTCCAAAGGAGACTTTCAGCCTCGCAGGTGGCGCGCGCGTTTCAGGGATCCCGACACAGTGAATGCACCTCGGGGCAAAGGACTAACAAGAATCATGTGTGTCTTGGTGTGGGTTTCTCCCGTGGAGAATTAACTAAACATGATCCTAAAAGGGTGGGGGAGAAGTGATGTGTCGTTTAGGACTGAGTCTGGTGCTCGTGAGACTGCGAGTAGCGACAATAGAAAATGGTCTTCTTACTAATTCTTTATAATAACTGATGGGCCTGTACTGATTTACGCTGGCTACCACAGAGTGATGGCAGTATTGCGGTTTCCCATTCTTTGACTCTTTCACTGAGCATATCTCGGCTGAAGGCGACCAAGGCTGCTTGGACTAGTGCCTACTACCTAGGGTGCTTATGTCGGATGTCTCACTATATCGTGGAGGTCAGCTGGGATCCGCAAGACGGCGAAGACTGAGCCATGCAAGCAAGAATCGAGACCTTTGGAAGACTTGAGAGTGCTGCATGAATGAACGATAATAGTGTACGCTGAAGCCTTGACAATTTTGTGGGAAGCTCTCGTCTCTACACCAAGCTTTCGATATTTAGAGGACGTCTTCTTCCTGTGTATCTAGATTCTATACCATCTGTCGTAGGAGGGTTGAACATTGCGCGCCAGCAGTGAGTGTCGTCTTGAGGCATAATGGCTGGAAGCGATGACGAGGCTTGACCAATCTTGTCAATACCGAAGGAGGAGAAGATTCGATCGGGTGCAGGATTAAGTTGGTCGGATGCTGCCTCGGAAATAACCGTGCATTTGACAATGTGTCCTTGTTGGTCATTAGCTCATGACAGATGTCTGATGGGGACTTACCAGCAGCGTCATGGGCAAAACTACAAAGCTATCATGTGCTTTGTCCCGGCGGTGCATGAACACTTGATTTGCAGACGAGATGATATCCGAAGTCCATCGGCATCAACCCCGGCTGCATAGACATGTGGGCAGCAATCCATCGGCGTGCCACCTGCAGCGGTGGGAAAAAAGCGACGGCAGTGAGCATGGATAGCAAGACAGCAGCGTTTCATCGGGGATTGCAGAAATCGTGGAGGCTCCGCCGTAGTAGTTGCTCTGCATCGGATGGTAAAACATCTAGAACAGCAAGGTCAAGTCGATGCGACAAACATCATCCATGCTGAGAGGTCAAGCGGCACGATTCATGGTGGGATGCGGCGACGATCAGCGGTCTAGGAGGGCGCTGGACGGAGTTTGCTCCCGCCCGATCATCTTGGGAAGGAGCAGAGGAACCTGTGGTGTCTGGCTGCCTGCATAAAAGTCCGACTCTTCCGTACGGACTCTACGGAGCCAAGCTTGCAAGTCGGCATTTGGGGGGTGCAGCACGATTCAACACAATCCAAAATATTTCCAAACTAACTATCTACGCAACATTACAATCTCCTAGAAGCCCTTTCTCGGCAGTGAAGGCTGGCAAGCGCTGGGTTGGCTTTGGGGCGCAGGTATGTACGTTGCAGCCAGACTGGGCCAAGCTCGTCTGGCATCCGCTGACGCAATCATGGGCTGCACTTGGCAGGATCTTGGTCTAGTATTTCCAGCACGCTTGAAACGCCTCGACCTCACATATGTATTGTACACTGACAGATCGGTTGATGCAGCTGTTCATGAGATGCCCATTGCTGACATGTCACCAAACCCCTTCCAGGGCCACCGCAAAGTGCCGCGTACCCCACGCAAATGGGTGGCGGCACTCTGGTGAGGGTCGGAGACTTGCAGTTCCTCGAGAAGTACGGAGTAAGAATACTTTCGATTGGCATGCTACGCCGTATCCCTGCCCTGGCTTAACACCCATCTACACGGAGAGCATGTTTGGTGGTCGGTGGCGATGTATTTGGTCCATCAGTTGGCCATCTACAAGTCCGTACCGACTATGAGGAACCAAGGGGCCGCCGCGCCATGCCCTCGCCTTGGCCGTCGGTTGCAGCCGCTGCGCACCGCACCGGCTACGCCTGGGGAACGCAAAGGCAACAAACAGCCCTCTTCCTCGTCCCGCCAAGAGGCAAGCTCCAGCCGAGCATGAGGCTCGTGCAACAGTAGGAGCTGGACTTTTCTTGGCCGCTATGATGGGGAAGAATATACTGCTGCTGGTTGTGGTTGGGGTCGTGGTGGTGCCCGTGGTGGTGCTCGTGGTGGTGCTACGGCATTTGCTAAACTTAGACCTCCACTACGAACACGAACCTGGCCGCTTGGATTCCTGAGAGTTGCTGCATATACAGACCATCTGGTTGCCTGGTGTGACGGGGACGTTGGACTTGAATCATTACACGTCGATCTTTCTCAGTAGTACGCATGTACATGTACGCGTTGCTTGCTCAGCCCTGCAGCAGGTCGATGGAGTGTAGATTCGTCGAAACGTCGAGCCGAGTTCGTGCATGACAGCCGTCCAGAATTAGACTTTAGTGCCCCATGTGCGAAGCTTTGGTGTTAGGGGCATTAGTCTGGAGAAAACATTCTAGACATGATGACAACGAGATGGCCAGCATGACCACCTTGGGTCCCGTGAATCGGCTGAGTCCCGTATTCCACAACACCAAGCCATCTCCAGCATGTCGGGATTAGGATGTGGCCACACCGTCCACACGCCTGTCGTTGCTTCAGGTTGCAGCAATTTTCTCGCTAGCTTCGCTTGGATGACATGGGAGTGGATTCGGTGTGGCGGACGCCTGGCGGTAGGCAAGACCATGATGCGCGGCATGATATGAAATGTGAATGGAGTGTGTGTGCAGAGACTCAAGAGGCAGTGACGGCGCGGGCATAAGAAGGCCACGCCCTCTGGTGCAGGCATTCCCGACACCTTTTCAGCCGTCAAGGCCAAGTATTGTGCAAGAGATTGCGTTGCTATCACGTTGCTCGGTGCTTTGAAGGTCCATCTTTGGTTGGATTAGAAGGACTTGCAAGGTATCCATCCTACTTATGCTGTTGGCCATTTCATCTCAACTCCATGGCTCGCTGACTACCCTTCGTCGTGTCTTGGTTGACGTTGACTTCCAGATCGCGCCCAAAGCCCCGAAGTCTGAACCCCTAACCGCGGCCAAGGAACGACAGGCAATGCCAACCGTTGGCCGGCGTCCAGGCGCGATCCGTTATCAGATCTGCGTGCAAGCAGAGTTGCACAGAGATAGATAGCGTCACACGACATACGGCGTCTGGGCGTTGAAGGAGTTGGGAGCTGACCCGTCGACAGCACGCGGTGCCCTTCATTTACAGTGGCCGCTGACCGGTGCTTCAGCGGGCGGGGGGTGGGAGTTGTAGCGCTCGAGCCGCCGGCACTGGTTCTCGCCAGCACTCGCAGTGGGCCCTGGGCACTACAGGCTCGGCGGTGCCACCATCCTCACCGTCACGGACCAGTTGACATCACCAGTCACCTGTCTCCTCCTCGTCAAGTCCGCCTCGTCGTCCCGGTGCATCGTCCATGTCTCTCGGCCTTGGCCCCTCACTCCACTCTCCGCGCCGCCTCGTCCTCTGTCTCGCCCTCTGTCCCGCCCTCCGTCTCGCCGCCTGATTTTGCTTCTCCCACGTCCACGTCCACGTCCGCGTCCATGTGTGGCCTGGCACTTGGCTTTCCTCCGCCTCCTCTTCTCTCCCCAGGCTCAAGCCCAGGCTCGACTTGGACTTCGACTCGGACTTCGACTCGGACCCGGACTTTGACCCTGAACACGACCCCCATCTCGACGTCGGCTTCGGCTTCGGCTTCGAGTCCAGCCAAAAGGCCATCGTTCCCGCGACACTCTCTCCCCGCCGCCGCCATGCCCGAATACCGCCACGCCCGAAGCGGCAGCCTGAATATCCCAAACGGCGTCGCCTCCAACACCCCGTCGTCCATGATGCCGCGAAGTCCTCCGAGTATGCTGCTGCCCGTCTTGCCATTTCCCTGTGCCCTCCCAATGCCGTGCTCCATCGCATCCCAGAGTCCCGCCCCCACCACCTCACCCTCTTTCGAATTTAATCGCCGCATCGCCTCACCACCGTACCACCACCGCACCACACGCACCACACGCACCCACCGCCGCCGCCGTCCCGTTCCTCGGGAAGCCTTATCAAGACCACCGCAGAACCTGTGCTGACCAATTCTTTCCTCTGTTGCAGACACCTCACACGTCCCGTGCAAGTTCTTTCGTCAAGGAGCCTGCCAAGCTGGCAATGCCTGCCCCTTCAGCCACGACCTCGGAGCCGCAGCCGAAAACATCTGCAAGTACTTTGCCAAGGTACATCGCCCCCCTTGCCCCTAAAGAAAAGGAAAAAAAAAGTTTACAGGTTCTGCTGCTTCTTGTTTTCTTTTGTGTTCTTTTGCAAATCCTGTCACTTCAGGCTGCGTCTGCCGTTCCGTCTTTGTCGGACTCGACTGGCATCATATATTCCCTGATTTGCAAACTGCTAACATGGTCTTCTCTAGGGCAACTGCAAGTTCGGTCCTAAGTGCGCAAACATTCACGTATTACCCGACGGGCGACGAATAAACTATGGCAAAAATGGTGTCACTATAGGCACAACTCCCATCGGCCTTCCTGGTCGACCTTCACCCAATCCTGCATCTCCGAGATCTGGTTCCTCAACCGGCTATCACCAGCCGTCTGCAAGTGCCCTCACGACCTCGCTATACAGCGCCGAGCAGTCTCCGTGGGATGATCGCCAAGTTGTCAACTCTTCTTTTCATCCTGGACACCAACCAAGTCTCGACAGTGGCATCCCCTCCATCGAGTCTCCATACGGCCACTCAAACTACGGCTCGCCCCGCGAGGACGATCTGACTCGCCTTGGCTTTGGCTTGTCTCCTGCAAATGGCAAAGGGCTCTCTATTCTCGATGCTCCTCTGCCCGCTTCGTTCGACTCCAATGGCATCTCCAATGCCGCTCGCTTCCCCGCCGCGCCCTGGCCGTCCTCCATGCCCTCAAAATTCGGCCTCGATTCCCCTACACCGTCTCTTAGCAATGCCAAAGACTCGCGGACCTCCGAGACGCTCAAGCTACTGCATACATCGGCCTTTGGCTCCTCAGAGCACTTGACCCCAACTGCCGGAAGTCCGCCCAACTCTCAGTCCGCCATTGGTGATGAGTATTTCGGCAAGCGGGCTATGCACTCGTCTAGATATGCAAAGCCACGCATGCTCAGCTCCAGCGTGCCCAAGACGTCATCTGTGGACCGTGACTGGGAGGCCGAGTTTGCCTTTGATGACGACAACCTACCCGAAAACTACGTTCCCGAGAACCTCCAAGAGCTCTTGACGCCTGCTGAAAAAGCCAGGCGGGGCTCTAGTTCCATGCGTGATGAACACGCCATAGACGCTCTCAAGTATGGTAGCCCGATGGGGACCAGCCCAAGCCGCTGGGGATCGCTCTTCCAACGCCAAAAAGAAGAAGACGCAGCCAGGGCAGCACGCAGTGCCGGCTCAGCCTTTGGTCATGTGGGCAGTCCCTTGAGAAGGTCTACCCTGGCACAGGAAATGGGCGACGACTACAAGAGCGCCTCCGGCCGTCTGTCTGCGGGCCGCTCTACGAGCGAGTCAATGTCGGTTCTATCGCAGCAACTGCAGCGCAGCCGCTTGGATGATGCCATCAGCGGCTCGGGATCCAGCCCTCACCTGCATCCCACCACCGCACGGCTGCCATCCAGTAGCCTCGCGCCGATTGGCAAAGACCGAGCCATGGAGCGTCATGTATCTAGCGGGAGCGTCAGCTCATCCGTCACTGGTCGTTTTACCACCCCAATTGACGAGGAGGACCCAGCATTCGTCTTCAGCATGGAAGAGGAAGATGACGCACCTACAGCGAGGATGCGCAAGCGCATCTCTGCCGGCCTGAATATGGGTGCGTTGGGCAGCTACGCCAGCGCGGTTGCTGGCAAGCACCAATCCAGCAGCGGTTCCAAGGAGAGCAGAGATGCCGTGCCAGTCAACGGACGATGATTGGCATCCCCCCTCCCCCCCCAAAAGAAAAAAACATTTCTTACCAAGGCGATTGACGCCATGTTTGATGCAACATGCAACACTTACAGCGAATAGAAGTGGCCTGAACGGTCCAACAACAGACTTTACGACGCCGCATAGCAATAGCATACATGCTTTAAACGCACCAAAGCAATTCGTCGGCAGCGAGTGGCACACCACACATTTACACGCACATATATATCCCTGGCCACTTGGCTTGCCAGGCGACGGGGAAATAATGATGGGATACCCAACCCGAAAGAAAAAGGGAGAGGGAGAGAGAGAGAGAGAGAGAGAGAGAGAGAGAGGACAGTTTTTTAAAATAATGAATCGGGTCATATCAAAGGTGCTTAAAATTTTGAGTTTGGGATACACGCGCGGCCGGTTTTGCTTTTATTTGCCCTCACTTTGCTTCTAGTCACTATCGTTGCTTGGCTCAGCTTAGCTTTGGTTATCTACGCTTTTGTTTCCAAGGTTGATTCTGCAGGGGCACTCACGGGAGTGGCCGCGGACTAGGATGCTTCATGCCTTGGAAAAGAGCGTTTGTCGGTCAACGGAATCTACCACATAGCTGGAGGGCATTATCGTGGTTCGCACTCTTATACATTTTTTTTTTTCAATTTCGAATCTTCACTTGTTCACTTGCCCACTCTTGTCTTTCTACTTTACTCTCGTTGCCACGCTGCATCCAAGGAGACAACGTCAACCCAAGATTGGCGTCATTTTATATGTACATGCCAAGGTTGCTGCACCCTTTTTTTTTTTTTTGGCATCGTCTTGTACTCATGACTCTGTACCCCTCTTTCTGTCCGCTTTTTTTATGTGAGGCAAAGGGGGGCCTGTTTATTCAAAATGGGGGATCCGTTCCCGGCGGCCAGATGAGTGTGCACGTCCTTGTTTCACGGGTGCTCTTCTGGGCTAGGGGCAGTGGTTCATGAGGATTAGACTGCACGCGTAGTCGGACAGACGAATGTACGAATGACGTTGGGAGGGTGGCGGGTATTTTGCCGGCGTCTACTAGTAACTGAGTGGAATCAAGAAGTATTCTCGGCTACGTCTGCGTCAAGTGCCTTGTCGTTTTTTATGTTTGCTTCCGAGGGCGCAGGGCCCAAGGGTAGGTAGCTGCTTGCTTGCCGGATCAGCACGGAATTAGAAGGACGCTTTGAGCATACATGCCAGGCGATTTGTTCCTGTTTTCTGGACACAAGAGCCATCACAAGACTGGTAGAAGCTGTCGCGTGCGGGTGGAAAAGGGAGACCAGCTGTCTTGGTGTAGCTGATGAAGCTGGAGACGGCCGCCAGAATGTCCGTCTGCGCGATACGAAATACCAAGTTACCCACCCAGGGTGGGTATTTGGCCTGAAGAGATGGGATTCAGAAAAAGGGGCGGTCGAGTTGAAGAGAGCGTGGCACAGCGAAAAAAGATGTGTATTCCCCTTTCTATAAAACAGTACACGTGCCCCGAGTCCCGCTCACCCAAGGAGCAGAGATAATAGTACAGAGGTTCCATGGAATTAGTGAGCATCCGGTTGGCTGAGAATGTACTCGACCGCCTTGTCCACTGCGGCATGGTCAGCGTAAGCACAAGCACCACCTGTCGGGCCCCTTGTGGGCATGGACGCTTTGCTGTCTGGGCGGGAGAAGCAAGGGCCGTACGTAAAGGAAGAGTAGACGTACCAGAGTGGATGGAGTCGGCGTCCTTGTCGGGGATCTCGATGCTAAACTCCTCCTCTATGGCCATGACCACTTCCACCGTGTCGAGAGAGTCAAGGCCCAGGTCGTTGGCGAAGTGGGCCGCCGGCTTGATCTGCATGCTTGTCAGTCCACTGCGACTGGCATCCCCCGGGGGGAAACGATGGTCCTTGTCTCGGGGTTGCGTACGTTTGCGGTGTCGTTGACCTGAGCGAGTTAGCGGGACGGGGTGTGAATTGGACGGCTTGTGGGAGCAGACAGAGAGGGAATACCTTGTCGAAGCCCTGCAGCAGGCTCATTATGCGCCCTTCTACCTCTTCCTTCTTTAGGCTGCTGGCGGCCGAGTACATCCTTATGGCTAGCATTCGGGGCACCGGAGCTGCCCGGGGGAAGGTGATGCGGGCGGCGGGCGCTGCGACGGCCAGCGGGCGTGAGGCGGCGCGGGCGCTGCGGAGGAGGGCGCTGCGGAACATGGTCAATTGGACGACGGTTCTGGGGGAGGGGAAAGAGGGAAGCTAAGGCGTGAGGTGGTGATGAGTTTCTCGGTGTATTCGAGGTATGGAGGTCCAGAGCTAGCCTTTTGGAAAAAAAGAGGGTCACGTGAATGAGCTTTGGGACGTTGCTGATTGGGCGGGCCGGCAGGTGCCTGGATTCTGGGGGCGGTCGGAGAATACTATAAGGATAACTAAAAGACTATAATTATATGCTACGGGGGTAGCCCTGGGGGAAACTGGGGACGGATTTTGAAGGCTTCAAGGTACGTTATTTAACCTTTTATTTTATTTGTATTTTTTTTCCTTTTCCTTCATTTCCGATGAGGTTGGGTAAAGCTAATGGTGGATGGGTGGTGATGAGAGCTCGGGTATCGAGTTGTGGCTATGAGGAAGAAGTGGAGATGCCGAAAATAAATATCATCATGTAGTTGTTTGGTGGCGAGCTCGAGGAAGGTCCTATTTCGGCCGGGTGTAAGCTAAAATATATGCTCAAACTTGCAAATAATGCAAATAACATCATGAAGCTAATGTGGTGGCCTTGTTTGATTCGTGGACTAGACAATACAGCATGGAAAACGGCACTGGAGCCGGTGACACCAAGGGCACGAAGGGCTGCATCACATTAGCCACTTGATTTGGGAAATTTTCTCGTCTTTTGTACAAAATTTCCACCAACTGCTACGTGTTTAGTGACCTAGCTTTTCCTGCTGCCCAGCCAACGCTCCCCAAACCACTTCTACACGAACCAAAAAAAGAGTAAAACGACGCTGTCAGGTGTGGTAAGGTTATCGATATGGCGCATCCGCCCGAATGGCAGCCGCCAGCTCAGGCTCCCACTTGTCCCCGTTGGACAATAGTTTTTCTATCAAAGAAAGGGGGGAAACGTCAGTAAGCCACCCACACGACATGGCGTGTATCGTGTTATTCAACGCACCCTTGTTGTATAGCAACTCTTCTCTCGTTTCAGTGGCATACTCGGCGTTGGGGCTCTCCACGATGGCATCGACAGGACACGATTCCTGGCAGAAACCGCAGTAGATGCACTTCGTCATGTCAATATCGTAGCGGGTGGTTCGCCGGGATCCGTCGGCACGCTCTTCAGCCTCAATCGTAATGGCCTGGGCCGGGCAGATCTATATCGTCCGTTAGCTTCTCGCGAACCCGAGATAAAGAAAAGTGTGTATCCACAAAATGAACGTACAGCCTCACAGAGCTTGCAGGCGATGCAGCGCTCTTCGCCCGAAGGATACCGCCTCAGAGCATGTTCACCACGGAACCGGGGGGAGATAGGACCCTACGTTGTTTCAATTGATTTATCGCCATGACCAACGGCTAATAATGCCAGACTCGTCTTTGACATACCTTCTCGAAGGGGTAGTAGATGGTATATCTGTTGACCACCCGTCAGCTCCGTCAGGCTTATATGAAGCGTCACAATGAGAGCTTCGAAATGATTATTGGACAGGGTCATTTCACATACGGGGGTCGGAAGAATTGCTCCATCAAAACGTACATGCCTCTTGCCATCTCGGTCAAGAGGAAGTACTTGCCCAGCCGATCCAACGTGGTCTCCTTGTCCCACGGCCACTCCGTGTGCCTGCTTGTCCGGAAGTTCTTGGGGGGCGGGCCCGCGGGCGTAGCATATCCTCGCGTCTGATGTTTCTGCGCGGCCACGAGCCGGCTAGCCACGACTGCTAGCGAGTTGGTGGAGCTCGGGACTCCGGTGAGGTTTCGTCGCGCGAGCATGGCCGCCGAGGCATGCAGAGCCGGCGCCATTGGATGTACAGACAGAATGAATTCCCAGTGGTGGGGAACTAGAGTCGGCGGTTCGACAATGCACTGCTGGGTGATGCTGCCAAATGGGACGGTGCAAGTCTGCTGGTGATTGATGGTGAACGATTTGGATTTCTTCGCCTCGATTTGAGAGGCTTGTTACTGCGGGATTACAATGTTAAGGATGTGATTGGTGGTTCCGTCCGCGTGAGATTTCACGTGACTGTCTCCCCCCACGTGGCAAACTTGTCGCCAAATGCTATCAGATGCAGCTGGGTTTATCACTACGTACGTAGTACTTCTTTTCGCTGGATAAGTATATAACGGCTTTGTAAATCCAGGCGTCCATGCCCATTACGGGCCCACTGTGAGGGTAAAGTGGAATGATGCTAAATGCAAACACTACTTGTCAAGACGAGAGAGGGAGAGCATATAAAGACATACAATGAGGCCTTGCGACGGGTCAATTCTTGAACTGGTTGTTGTCTTTCTTTGATATTGTATTCAGCGCTATTTCTGGTGATTCTTGTGCATTGTTTCAACCTGTGAGACCAGCTTGTAACATTTGTGTCCAGACGAGCATGCACGCTGCCTTTCAAAACAAGTATCGGGTTTTTTTGCCACAGCTTCATTTCCCTTTCATGTCCTCATGTCCACATCTTTTAATCTCTGAGTTACAAATTACGTTGCTTCAATGCAAGTGTCAATATTGTGCCTCGAGGAGCAAAAGTCGGAGAGCAAGTGACCTAGGGAAGCTGAGCCGGGGCAAGCGCCATTTCCGGCACATGACACTTCCTCCGGTGATTGGATTGGATGGAGATGGCAAAATGCCAGAAAGACGATATGTTGGACACAGAATATGCAACCCCAAGTTTCAGTGTCATCAAGTTTCTAATTAGCTGTCATAACAACAAGATATGTGGCTACGCTGAAGACAATCATGCAAAATGAATATGCAATCGCAACAAAATCAGACTTCTAAATCGCTTGCCAAAGCTACTCCAAGACTCTGGCGCCTGGTATCTTGCCGCCCTCACCATCTTTACCGTCATCATTTGGGGGGCTTGGATTTTCCTTTCGACACATGGGGACGAGATCTAGCAAAAACGCATCTGTCAAGCGCCGACCGGACAGTACTTCTCCCATGTTGTCCACCACGCCCCCATGTTGGCTGCCACCAACAGATCGAGCATTTTGAAGCCCTCAGCTGTGATTTCTAGTTTACCCAGTTTTGCCTCCCTGCCATGCAAGCCGCCACCCGCGCGTTCAGCCCCGAGGCTGGCGCAGGACGGCTCTTTGCAATCGTCACTCCCGGAACTAGAACCGCTACCTCCCTTGAACATGTTACTGAAGTGTCCCATTACCCTCTTGGGTGCCTTGGCATGTTCCGCGGACATCGGAAGGTTGAAATGCAGACTGCTGACCTGAGAAGCATCGGGTTTCGAGTGGCGGGTTTCGCCCGAGGAATTGCTGTGGATGCCACCCGGCGACGGAGCGGGCGTGTGAAAACACGTAAGGATCGAGCCACTTGCGCCTGTTTCGAAGGCGCATTGTCCCCCCCATGGGCTAAGAAACGTGTATCCGCGAGGATCCATGCCCTTTGGCCGTGGTCCGGATGTAACAATGGAGTCTTGGATCACAAAAACCCCGCCTTCATTTGAGGCTGCCGACGCCGCACTATTGCTTCGGTCGCGGCTCACAGATTGCTTCATGGCTCGAAATGCCTTCTTTGCGACCGTTCCGATACTGTCCGAGTATGCCATGGCGGCCTGACGATTGAAGGTCTCGGCTTGCGAGGAGCGAAATGCAGAGTATCCAGATGCTACTATCGTAATGTCAAATGGGTGATGCTGCACTGAGCCCGTAGTCGACGTAAGCTGCTGCAGGCTAATATATCCAACGTCCCAAGTGAGCTGGCTGCTTGGATCTTGTCGGATTAACCTAAGTGTGACAGCCGTACTTTGAGGGAACAGGGGTCTGCTATGAGGTTGTGAGACGGCCCGTGGGCGAGAAGGGTAGGCTTGGTTGCCATTGCGAATAGCTACACTTTCATCGCGCGGAGGCGCTGTCATTGGTTTGACATGGCTCCTTGGCGCATCTTCTGCACGGTTTTCCGGACTGGAATAGCCTTCCATTACCATCGATTGGGCAGAAGTAGACGTCTCAGTTGTTGTTCCGGGGAAAGGTCGAGGTTGAAGAGGCTTTCTCGTCGGTATACCTGTGTGCAATCCTAAAGCCGTTCGTTCCGGGACTTCTGAAGGAGCAGAAATGCGTGAGCCCTGTGTGTTTTCGAAGACGGCGGCATCTGAGGGCAGGAAGGGCTGGTGCCTTCGGCTCCCACCGGACAAGCTATCAAGGGATAGAGGACGGGCTGACTGGGGAAGAGGTTTTCGACGGATTGTGATGCGCGACAAGCTGCCGTCCTCGCTAGAACGGTGAGCATTCTCATCTCGGACGGGCTCGGAATCAGACACCCCCACATGCAATAAATAGAGAGCGCTTTTGACATCGGTTGCCGTCACATTCCTCGCTTGAGGCTTGAGAGTTGTGAGAATGAGATCTGCGAATACATGTTAGCTACCTAGGTATGGAGCAAGGAACGACAGGTCGAAACAATGCATGCGAGCGACTACCTCTACTTTGCGGCACACGAGAGATGTACAAAACAAGTGGAGCTGGCGTGCCTATTCCTTCGGAATATCTTGGTGGATTGTTTGCCATGCGGTTAAGTTCGGTTAATGACCTGGCCTCCATTTTCGGGGCGTTGTGAAGCTGTGAGCGTGAGAGCTGGCACCGACGTAGAGGAGATGCAGGAGCCCAAGTGTCTTGTGCCGGGGTGAGTTGGATATGTTGACGCTAGGGAGGGAAACTTTGACGACGTCGAGACTGATGAAGCGAAAGTTGTTGCCTGGTCGCAGTGGTGGGAAGTTGGAACGGTTCCGTCATGGCGGTGCCCTCGTTCTTTTCAAGTGGACGGGGGCAATGACTGAAAGCCTCGAGTGAAAGGACAAGGAAAACAAAAGCCGGCGTCACATGGACACGAAGGATGACATTGAGAGCAAGCGAACAAACGAAAGAGAAAAAGGAAAAGGGAAAGACTAAAGGCTATTGAAGTAGGGTCGCGATGAAGGGAAAGAAGAAAAAAGCCCTAGCCTCGACATTGGTCATGCATCCAGATGCCAAGTGGCACGGATGCCGCGTTCCGTGGCGTCGTGGCGTTGTTCAGACTCCAGAGTCAACGTGCAGGAAATATGGGTGGGCGGTGCTTACGTCACGGTTTCACAGCCAAGCATGGAACCCAGGGATAGAAGCCGGCACCAACGGCGGTAGCTCCTTCCTTTCGACGCACCTTTGATGGATGCAAGGCGAAAAAAAAAAGAACAACACTATCATCATAACCATTACCACCAACGACCACCACACACCAACAAAGCAATCCCGATTTCTCTTTGGCGCAGCTTGCTTGTGTGAGAGCCTGCGCATCATGACCAACCACGACGCTAGGGTTCGACTTTAGAGTCCACAAAGCGCAGGAAGCAAAGACGGCGCATCCGTGCGACCTACTACCGACAACTTGGCTCAGTGCTATCCGTCCTCCGATCCTCGTTGGGCCGGCTCGCTGTCATCATCACCAAGACCATGACCATGGCCATGACCAACAGGTTGTCGCCCTCGGCAGATCGTTCGTGACTCGACTCAATCTGGCACTGTTTCGCCCAAGGGCCGAGATTAACAAGTGGATGCAGCGTAAACCTCAGCGTCACCTTTGGGGCTGAGTCCGACCACTCACCTGCATCCGAGCCAACCTTCCTCTGCCGCTGTTGCTGCCGATGCCGACTGGCTATTTGACCCCTTGACAGGTTCCAAAGAGGTGCTTGGATGTCTTGGAACGCCGGGTACCATGACTCGCTTCTTCTAAATCAGTTGACGAATCGAGTCAGATGGTGCTGCCGAGTACAACCGAGTACTACCACCATGTGCAGACGTATAAATAGATGCCCATGCTGGGCGCGCCGAAGAGTATTGCAGCAATTTTTAAATCTGTCCACGGCCTTACCAATAGGTGCCACCGAGATTCGATACCACGTCCTTGATTCGCGTCGACACTGTCTCTCATTTACAGCGACCGACCGACACGTCGTGTGCTTTTCATCTGACTATTTTTATGAACCGTTGCGTAATAACCGCTGGGATGTCTGGGCCTTAAATCTTCCTGTACCCACCCGGTTCTTCATGCGACGTCAGATCCGCGACGTGGCAATGGCCCAAAATACAGCTGTGGGCCTTGGATCTGCAGGGTCCTATTCCAATGGAATGAAGCTTTGACAACAGAGCAGGCGACCTTTGCTGCCTGATGAAGCTGTAAGTTACTATGGCGCAATTCACCTACTATTGGACCGAGTCTACAGGAGCGAACTACCGTGTACGGAGTATACCAACTCAGATTGATCGTGCTGTGGTTGGGGGACCCCATATTTCGGGCTCTCCCACTTTTTGCTTGATCCATGACAAACCAGTGTATGCTATCACATTGGGGGGTTTTTTTTTAAGAAAATTTTCTTTTTATTTTGAAACGAGTCGATAAACTTCTCACTTCGCCTTGGCGCTTGGCTCACTACCACTTCTGTTCGCAGGCCAAAATGCTAAGGCTCTTGCGGTACACAAACTGATGATGCTGCTTGTTCGCTCCCAAGCAAGACTAGTTTTGCGGTACGCAGAGACGAAAACACGTTGGCCAGAGGACTCAGTAAACCGCAATCGGCTAGGCCAAAGGAGTGGCAACCGTAATGTACGACGTCTCCCCACAACCTGTAGGACAACCTCCTCCGCACTCATACGCCGTCCGACTCGTCGCGGGCGGGTTAGGACACCCATGCCCGACGGTAACATACTCGGTTGACACGCAGGCCAGGTTACGACAAGTAGAACAGACCGTGCCAGTGGACGTGACGGTCCCGCAAGATAGGTTGGGCGTCATCATCGCTCTCGGCGCCTCGGTGACTCGAGCAGGAGGAGCCACAAACTTGTAAGACGTGGACTTGCACCCGCCTGGACACTTGGTGCCGGAGCAAGGGTAAGCGGTGGTGGTAGTCGGCACAGGAGACGGGCAGTCGGCGAAGAGGGTGATTGTCTCGATGGCAAGGCATGCCGGCTGAAGACAGGTGCTGCAAACCGTGGCCGTGGACGTGACGGATTTACAGTGCGGCACTGTGCCTTCTCCGAGAGAGACTCTGTCGGTGGTCAATCACGTGCTGATACTTTCATCTGAAGATGCGAGGGTGAGGGCATCTTACCCGGGGAGGAGGAACACGGCAGCAGCGAAGAAGCGCATTTTTGATACTGATCAAGTTGATGTGGAAACGGAGAGCTTTGGTGTCTTTGTCTGGGTTGCGGAGACACTTGGAGACAGTTTCTTTTCTCGGGGGAAACGAGACCATTTGTACTTTCAAGGCCGCCCTCGTTTACTCCCACGTAGTCATGCCAAGGAGCAGAGTCGTTGGACAGATGCAAGTAATACCCCGTATAACGTCAGAGGACGTGCAGGAAGGTTGGACTGGACACACTCCGACTGGACGAGTGGATCGAAAACATGACCTGATGTATGAGGATGGACAGACGGATGACGATTGAGCTTTTCAGGCCGTGATATACCCCGCAAAGCCGTGATTCGTATGCCTGGTCACAGCTGCTCATAGGGCTGTGATGATGGATGTAAGTTGGGGTCAGAACATTCGACAAAGAACCTTCTTGACCAGGATATGACGTATCGTCTGCACCAAGACCCAGACCCGCCATCTCGGGAAGCCGGAGGTCGACTTGGTGTTTGCAGACTGAGCTTGAGCAGGCCGAGACAATTGCGCCAAAGCGAGTTGCTCCTTGATGTGAAAGGAAGTCTTACACGCGTTTGGAGCACATCCGCAGCTATGCTCAGAAAAGCGTGGCTGTTCAGCTAGCATTAGCAGAGGCCGGACTGAAACACGAGGCATAGGAGAAGACTGTCGAGCTGTCGAGTGTGCTTTTTGCGCCCAAGATGATTGATCAACGACTGCACATTGACTGCACGCAGGAAGTGAACGTGGTTGGTTTGCGAACACTAACTGAAGACTGCGGCCTCGACGGACGGACCGCGTAACTTAGATGCTGTTTTTCCAAGCACTCAGCTGCAACAGAATGAACTCGCATAGATCGCAGACAGAACGGATGAGATCTTGACCGACGTGTTGGAGTACTTAATGGTGCTGCTCCCATCATGCTGCAGCTTCGGTTTCCGCATCTGTCATCTCTTTCTGTATGCAAGCCCAAGCCTTCTCTCCGCAGAAAATAGAGTCAAATTTCTCGGGAAGCCAGAGCTATTCTTACGCCCTTGCTACTTGGTTGAGCCCTCAGACCGAGCTCAAGTCAGCAAGCCCGCCCCGTACTCTCCTCTACAACCAACTTGGCTCGACATACATGATGGCTCAGACGACGAGCTGTCCGATGGGATTGCAAGTGGCTTTCCGGATCTCCTTAATTGGCTATAGCCTCGGCATATTTGGTCTCTCGATCCCTCTTTTTCATTTGAGAAATGGGCTTGTTTGCGCCTTGCTGCTCCCGGTACGTCATCCCAGGCGGCACGACAGATGGGGCGACCATTGGCCCTGACATGACTAGGCCTTGGCTGTAATTTGCTGGAATAGTTACCATGTCTACCTATCCAGCCGTCGGAAGCGGTGCCCCTCCAATCAATGCATGATAGACGGCGCTCTCTGCGCGGGAATGCTCGCGTCAGCCATTGTGGTTCTGGCTGTCAACGACGACGCCGACGACGACATCCTGATTGTTTTCGCGTCTTGTTTCGCATTTTCCTGCGTGTAAGAAGTCTCCCCCTCCCTGCACTTACGAGCTCCATGCAGTCCAGAAGACTGACCAAAGTGTCCGCGACAGAGTCTTGATGATCATCCTGTGTTGGCTTGGAGATCGATGTATCTGGATCAATAGTGGCGGTGAACAGAGGCCGTCTGGGAATGCGCGGACGCGCTGATGGCTGGCAAAACTCCGCGTTGGCGGATGTACGGAGTAGTCATTCGATATAGCCGTAGACTCGTAGCACCAGCCTGCTGGGAGGGATTTTTCGGCGATCAGACCGGCAGTGGCGTTCCCCATGGAAGTCGCAAGGGTCGACGCGCTGGGTGTTTTTCACGATTTCTCATATGGACAGTTTGGTAGCTGCGTCACGAAGCGCCACGTGTCTCTTGTATCTGGATTCCAATGTGGTTGTTCTCGGTGAGAGAAGGATCGGGAGAGGAGACTGCGACAGCGGTTGTGTGTCTTTTTTTTTTTTTTTTAAATTTCGTTGGGCCACAAAGGGCAAGGCGCCCTCGCCGCCGTTGTGAGTTGTAACTTGTGTGAGTAGCTAGGGCGCATTCTCCCTGCAAGTTTCGAAAATTTGCGCAGGATCCGGATTGTATTTAAGTGAGTGGCACCGGGCCTAAAAGTAGCCCGCGACTCGGCCACGTGGATGCCATCATGCCATCATGGCTCCAAGCGCCATACAATTTTGTGTTGTGATATAGCAAATGGTTCATTCCTTGTCTCCTAGCACATTGTACTTGGTATGTTGGGGGACTACGTACCTACCACGCAATGGCACGTGACATTTCGCCTATTCCAACACCTTGAACTCTGCACCCCGTGAACTTCTCTATCCCCTTTGTTGGGAGTTGGGTCAGCGTCTGTTCAATGCTTTCCACGTTCTTAGTGCCAGCGTAGCATTTGCTCTTCCCTTTTGCTTTTCATTTAGATGGACGGTCTGCTGTGACAGTCGCCCGCTTTACGCCGCAAGTCGAAAGAAGTCCGTCTTTCGCCTCGTTTAATCATATACCCACACGGCAGGAACCTCGCCTCATGGTATATTCACAGTATTCTGTCGGGGACGAAATCGCCAACCTTTTTGCGAAATCGTCCACCTGTCGCTCAGAGTGCGATGCGCGGGCAGAGGAGCTGTTTGGGGGCAGGCCAACCGCTGTCGACGTGCAAGGAAGCTGCAGCTACTCCGTTTATGCCGGGCCAAATCTCGAGTACGTCCTTCAGTTCCGGCTGAAATCTTTGCAGCTCGACGCCAGAGACTGATGATGGATGTGGCACGGTAAGAGGTCATCACCTACGAGGCCACCATCGGACGCCTAGGCACTGACTGGCCGATAGGTTCTTTGCCCTTGCTTGGAATGCTCCGCAGCCCGTTGACCAAAGTTATATTGCAAAGGTCAGTGAGAAATTCGAAAGAGAGCTGCGAATGCTGCTCGAGGTCCCTCCAGCTCGGCTGCACCGCATTATCCGGAAGTGCACCCGTTGGATGCCATATTCTCGCTGCCGATGGTGCTTCTCCACAAAGATTTTGGCACCTGCAATATCCTCGTCGACGAGGTGACCTGCCACCTGACCGGAGTGATTGACTGGGCTGAGGCGGACATTTGTCCCTTTGGCCTGAACCTCTACTCCCTGCAGAGCCTAACCGGGAAACTCCACCTTCGGGACGGCTGGGTGCGATATGACGATTATGACAGCCTGGACCATGTCCTTTGGACAACATTTATTGGCCAAGTCGGCGGTTTGACGAGCAAGTGCATCGAAGCCATCCGACTGGCAAGCGTTACTGGCTTGTTGCTGTCGAGAGGCTTTACTAGCCGCCTGGCAAATGAACCTCAGCCCGGGCCCATTGGAGACGATGAACACGGACGCTACAACATGTTATCGCTGGATGGATTCCTGCTAAGCCCTACAACAAAGTTTGAAGGTATCAATTGAACACATCACCGGTACCCTGTCACATGTGCAGAGAACAATCTCCACGATGAACCTAGAAGTCTAGTAGTGTGGTTGCAGCGGGCCTGGAACACTTCGGCTGCATTCAGCATACAATACACTTTGGTATCAAGGGTTCCTTGGTTTTCGAAACGGTCCTTGCGGCCGCAGGCTTCTATTTGTGCAGAAACCTGCTGCCTGTTACACGGAAGAGCCCCAACCACATGACTAGCTGCAATGCACAAAGGTTGCAGCTATCACGATGGCCTCATTGGCCACCAGTGGGCTCGGGCACCAAGCCTATAAGGCATAAAGGGCGACACCCCTTTATTGCCTAGTCAGGTTATACACACAAGCACTATTATGTGTATAAAGCCCTTGTTGGTCAGGTCCTTTAGATTGAGGAACGAAGGACCTTTAAGACCACACGATATTACATGGGAATATGAGTTATTTGCTCTAAGCCCTGATCCTAAAGACCAGTCCTTGCTACACTGCCCTAGGTCTCGTGCGTGACTATAGCCCTTGTGTCACTTAACATCCGTGTGACAACACTTCACGCGTCTTAACCGCGTCTTTCCAAATCGTATAATACTGCACTTGGCAAGAAAGCACAGACTATTCTGTTACACATGGAAAAAGATGTGTCGCACAAGGCCATCATGAAGTCACGAATCACAACAGAGGCCCAAGGCTTCGAGTCCAATAAAGCGGCATTGCGGCTACTTCAGCCCAGCCGCCTTCATCTTCCACATACATGGCGTCTTGTAGCTGACGTCTTTGAATTTAACAAACAACTCTTTCCACCTCAAGTCGTGGTGCCCTTCGTCGCACATCTTCTATCCAACGTCTCCTTGTCGAAGTGACAAAGGCTCAATAAATAGACTAGGGCAACATGACGCTATTTGAAGAACATCTTGTACAATATCCAAGGTTTTCGGAGGGCTCGATTTAACGGCTCGACCTACAAGCTCTCTATATACGACAGCCTCTATATGTATAAGCTGACATGGATGGCCACGGCATCTAGGTCATTAACGCCGCAAGGCCTCTGACCCTTCCTGCCTTGAACCTTGCTGCGGCCTGTAAAGCTACACCCTTTGTGCATCTGCGGCTGGGCCAGCCTCAACGGATGATGCTGGCAATAGTCGGATATGAGCCGTGCTCACGTGCGACAGTCGCTTATAGCCTTCGCTACAAGAATTGAAATGCAAAACGCGCCAACTCATGACGATTCCCAAAGGTTTAAATGTATCTTGTAACTTGTAAATATGAGCTTTGCGCCTGGAACCAACCCCTTTTTTTTTTTTTTCTTTCTCGATTTTCTGATACTACAAAGCAAGCACAAAGTGCAATCTGCAGATGGTAGTTGGGAAATTTATTTCTCGTGATAAACTAGGCCGGTGTAGATGGCAAGGAATTTGCATTGCATTGCTTGAATAGTATGCTCTTTTTCTCTGTTCCATTCTCCAACATCGGTTCCAAGACTTCATAAGCCCCTTGTTCACGTCGTGACGCAAAGGCGTCAGTTTGAGCTGCTGCACGCGCAATAAGAGTCATAGAGACAAGTAATCCTTGTATACATCATGTGTCTTTACTCTTGTCTCGACAGACTGGAGGCTTCGAGACACTTCAACTTCATCGTCAATCTTGCGCTTTTGCTTTGTGGGTGGCCACCACGTCGCGAATTACTTGGTCGAGATTCTCATCCTCCAGGCCCAGCAGGTCCATGGCATAGCCGCCCTTGCGCGTCCAGTCGGCATCGACAGTACCCAGGACAAACACAATTTCCTCAATGGCTTCCGCATCACCCGCCTCCAGACGCTGGCTTTGGCGTTCCAGAAACGCATTCGAGTCCAGGTACTGGGCATGCCACTTGTGGCCCGTGGCGCGCTCAAGAGATGCCAGGATCTCGAGCTGCGTCGGGCAGAAGCTCTGGACGTACACGGCGCGGTTCCGGGTGGCCTCGTGACGCTGCAGCACGCGGACGACCGACTCGCCGACGCGGCCCAGAGTAGACGCCGAGGCCTTGATGTCGCCCGCATCGAGAATCTGGGCCGTTTCCGTGTCGAGGTTGAAATGGAGCAGACCACTGGCAAGGCCGTAGTCGAAAAAGTGGCCGCAGATGATCGATGTCCACGTAAACGGACCGGCACCAGTCGGGTCCTCGTCAGCCTTCTGGGCAAGCTGCTCGCACCTGACGCGCACGGCGGTCTTGTCGCGATACAGCTTCAAGTGGTGCTGTGCCTGGGGACTGGCAGCGTCACAGCTACCGTAGTCTGCGGGGATATAACGGCGGACACGGGCGTTGAAGGCGGCTTCCACCAGGCGGAGGTGCTCCGAGACATCCCTGAGTGGGATGGCGGCGACAACGGCGTCTTGCCCCGAGAGAGCCTCGGTAAGCTCTTGGAGCTCCAGGGCGGGCGACACGGATATCTCGGTGACACCAGTTGGGGAGGCGGATGATGAGCTTGAGCGGCGGAGGACCGAAACATGGAAGCAGCCGACTTCCAGGAGCTTTCTGGTGATGACGGAGCCTACCGTTCCGTTTGCGCCAACGAGGCAGACTTTCTTGATTGGATCTGAAGACGCCATGCTGCCGCAGCCGCAGTCGCTTCGAATCCTTTCTCGGTGTGGTTATGCAAGGGGCCGAGTGGTATTCGTGAAGTCTGGTGTCACACGGTGGATTTGCGGAAGCAGTTCCGAGATGTCGCCGTTTCAATGTTACCAGACGTTGACAACTTGGAGCCGTCGGCGGGGGCGGGGACGGGGTACGGTCGCACATTAGCTCGCATCCGCAAACGCTGCCACTACGATTTTCCTGATTCGCATTCCGCCGATTTGCTGCAGCGCTGCGCACGTCTACGGTCGCACATTAGCTTGCATCCGCAAACGCTGCTACTATAATTTTCCTAATTTAGCGCAGCTTTACGGTCGCACATTAGCTTGCATCTGCAAACGCTGCTACTACAATTTTCCTAATTTACATTCTGCTGATTTGCTGTAGCGCTATATATATCTTTATAATTATAGTTAATTACTATATATATCTTATAATTATTATTAACTTTAATATTATATAAAATACTTACTTAAACTTATATATTTATTTATATTAAAACTTTTCAGCATCTAGTCTACAGCACTGCTGCGCCAGCTTAAGACTGCCTCTAAAATACAAACTAACATAAGGACCTTCTTTCTTGCACTTAATTGCCCCTACCTATAATGCTGTACAGCAGCTGCACTAGGGGCAAGGCAGTAGAGGAGATACTAATAGTTATTAATAGTAGCAATAAAGAGCTTACTTAGAGTTGCTACTACTTAAATATAGAAAGAGGATAGTTTAATAAATAAGAACTAGGCAGCAATAGGCTGCCTATAACTTAAGACTAACTTAATAATACTTAAAAAGAAGTATATAACAAACTTATAGGCTATATTCTAGAGAGTAATACTCTTAAGAGAGCTTAAGCAATACTTTAAGCATATACTAAGGCAGAGGTATGCTAGGCTACAACTAAAGCTGCAATTAACTGCAATAATACCTTTATAACTTAAGGACACTTAGGGATAGTTATAGAAAGCTGTAATAATAGCAGTAAAGAAAGCTATAAAGACAGCTAAAAGACTATAATTATAGGCAAGTATTATAGCTAGAGTGCATCTAGCTTAGGGCCTAGCCTCCCCCCCCTCTTTATCTTAATATAATAATATTGTAAAGTGCTTATAAAGAGAGATACTATTATAGAAGTATATAAAGAGCAGGCTGCTGCTAATATAGTATTAGCTATAAACTAGGCTATTAGCTATAATACTACTATTGCTATAAGGCGCCTGCTAAGTAGTAACAACTACTATAGCATTAAGTATATAGCTAAATATTATAAAGCAATACTAAAGTATAGCTAGTATATAGCTAGGCGCTATATAGATAGAGAATAATTATATTCTATAATTATAAGTAATATTAGGGAAAAGTACGCTCTATATAATAAAGCGTACTTAGCCTAGAATTAAGCCTGCTCTATTCTAAAGAAGCACTAGAATAAAGCTAAAGAGAGATACCTAGAACGCTTAATAAGGTTTACAGACTACTAACACTTAGACTACTACTACTAGCAGATTATAATTAACTCTAACTTAAAGTTAGGCAGAGAACAGCCTGCCTAAAAGAGAGGCTATTTACTAGAGAGCAGGAATAGAACTAAGAACGTAATACCTTTAGCTTAATAACTAGCTAGTATTCTACTATATATAAGCTGCTTTCTATTGCTAAGAGATACTATAATACTAAGAATTAATATTATTCTACTCTTCTAGAATACTTAAGATACTATACTAAAATATTAATAAAAAGAACAACTTTATTTATATAGCGCTTTACTACTAGCTTAATATTAACTTAATAGTAATATAGAAATAAAAACAGATAAAATAGAGCTAGCCTCCTAGCCTAAGGCTTAGCAGCTATAGACTAGTATATTACTAAGGTAGAAATATAGTATATATTTATACTTAGTATAGGCCTAGCTTATAGTTAGTTAAGAATAGTAGTAAAGACTAAGCTAATATAAAAATTAAGGGAATTAAAGTTATATTACTATACTTAGAGCTCTATAAAAGCAAGAGGTA